TTGTGCTTTCCTTTGAAGTTCATGGGAAACGTACTGTACATATCTATTAAACATTTACGGCTTGTAAAAGTTGAGATTATAGCTTGTTATCGAGAGATTATGGTACAGTATGTGTGTGGGTAGTAAATATACAGTGGGGTCTTATTTTATGCATGTGCGAACTGAGGTTTCTTAATACGAGAATAAATTTAGCGGGGTGAAAAGTAGGGATGCTTAGAATAGTAATTTTTTTCGTCTCTAGCTCAAATACAAGTTTTTTGCCTAGGGTAATTTTACAGAGGTGCTGGATGCTTTGTGCTCTAGAGAGATTTTCTTGGAGAAAAGTTGAAGAAGATCTGAGCTTCTGCAATGGGCAATATCTTCCCTAATATATGCAATTTTTGTCTTTTTACGGTCCGTTTCGACTGCAGCATCATAGCTGATACAAGCTAAAAATCTTGGTTATGCTCTAGGAACCTCTAGACTGTGTTTACTAACAGAGGAAGTACGCAAAGTGCGACGCTCAGATTTTGATGAAACTTGGCACAAATTTAGAATAATTTTTTCTAAGATATATGCAAGAATCCTAGCTCGCGCTTTGCAGAAACAACCGAGATTTGCAGATCGAAAGTCGGCGAAAATTTGATACTTTTGCCGAATTTCGGCACCAAAATTTTCATGCCCATTTCTATAGTAAAGGGTAATGTTTCCACAAAAAATCAAATTTTTTCGCACAAAACTGGCAAAGTTGTGGTCAAAAAGCGTTTTCCTCTCTGACCGCTCTCCACCTTTTGTGTGCTCTCTCGGCGGCAAAAATCGTTCAATATCTCGGCGGCGCCCGCAAAGCGTAAGCTAAAACTTTCAGGAATTGATACTTAGTACATGCCCGACGTGTGTGCAAAATTTAAAGGAAACCTGAGTGTCGCACTTGGGGTACTTCCCTTGTAAGCTTTAAAAAAGCTATTATGCCATAGCCATAAATGGCTTAGCAGCGCATTACTTGGAATGATGCTCTTTTGACAGATATTCAAAAAACTTTTTTTTCTGATATTCATTTTGTAGCGGCCCAAGTAAAACTCCAAATTCTGTCATTCTCATCCCAAGACCGGTCCAAAAGTCCAGCGCTTCGGACGCAGCAAAGCCGCTAATCCTGTCTGAGTCCGCGTATTTCCAAACCGCGCCTCCAATTACACGCCTTGCACTCAAATATCCGTGGAAATTAAAGCGCTCTTCCCCTTATTCTCCTCGAGGCATAACTAGGCCCAAACTCTGGAAAATAAGCACCTTCCTGGCCAAACATCCCCGCCGCTTCGCTCCGTTTTTTAAACCGGACCCAAAAAAGGTCCCGAAAAAGGTGCTCATGGAATTTTTATTTTATTCGCCCGCTGGGAGTTTCGGCTGAAAATTTGGGCGTTCGGCTTATTATATTAGGTGCCGGAGGGGAAAGGATTTAAAAACTCGCAAGGTTGAGGCTTCTGCAAGGGATTGGAGGATTTTTCGAAGGAATTTCGGGATTCTTCGAAAGCGAGAAAACGGGGTTTTTTCTACTGATTCAAGTGTAATATCCTAAATTTTTGTAAATTTTGACAAAGATAAATATGGGAGTTTTAAAGATGTCTGACAAAAAAATTAGGCCATAATTTCCATAAAAATCGGATTTAAAATTCAAAAAAAAAAAAAAAAAAAAAAAATTTTTTACAACTTTTCCGGAAATTGTTCCATCAAGAAAAAAGATCGCAAATTTATGGCCAATTTAGTTTTTGCCACTCAATTTTGCGACATGTTACTATGGCGATCCTTTTTCTACTTCTTTTTGCACGGACCATTTTATTTTCCAAATTTGCATACGAAATTTGAAACCGCTCCTTTTTGAATTTTCACTCTCTAAAAAATGAAAAAAAAATTATTGTCAAATATTCTGGGCACTAGTTCTTTGGACACTTTGTTACCAGCGAACAAAATCCAATTCAATCTCTAATTTTTGGTTAGAAGTCATTTTAAAGTGCAAAGGCTTTTTATTTAAAATTCCAAAGCTTTTTTTATGTAAATCCGGTTTTGGCATCAATTTGCTGAGCCGCTTATTTGTCTACATTAGGACAAATTTATGAATAAAATCACCATTCTTTTTGTTAATCTTATCCTAATACTTGGAATGGTTTTTGTAAAAATTTTGGGCGGAAACCAGCGATTAAGAAGATTTTTCTCATCAAAAAATTCCAAAAAAATTTAAACACACCCTTAAGATAACAATGTTTACAATTACAGTTCAAAACTAATGGTTATTATTAACCTTTTTCACCGTAATACCTCCTATGATTCAAAAATTTTTGCCCTAAATTAAAAAAAATTTTTTGCTCGGTTTGCTGTATAAGCAGTCATTAGAGAGTGGCCAAGCAAGAATACTGCTCCTCATTACCACGAGAGTTATTTACCCAAAGAGAAATCCATATTTTTTGGGTGTGTTTATTAGTTATTACAATCCGCCGTCAGACTGGCTAATTACACCCGCCGCCAATACTGGAAAGAATTCGTTACTCCACTCGCTTTGCGGTCTTCACTTTTGCTTTGAGGTTCGAGATGGGAATGCTGAGGAAATCGGGGGGATTGGAGGGGTTTGGGGACAAAAAATTGGTTGGTTTAGACAGTAAAAGTTGCCAAATTTGAGAAGGTAAATTCTAAATATTCGGCGCTCTGAAGATTGCAAGATTTTATATAGCTCTTGTGTCTAGGCCAAGCATTAAATCTTCTAAATATTAGCTTTCTCTTTGCAAGCACTGACAGAATATTGAGCGATCTTTGCAACTAAATTCGCATAGATTAAATCATGCTCTAAGCAATGTAGACACTCTTTTGGGATCCTTGGGATGCAAACCTACCCTCATATCCCATCTGTAAAAACTGCTGAATCTCTCGGCTCTGATTGCGAGAGATTCAGCACCATCCGCAACAAAACGTTCTAGTGGCAGTAAAAATGACACATATTGGGAATGACTTTTGAAAAGTTTAGCCTTAGAATAAATACAGTAACTGTTGATGACACTTACCTACGTATAACATATTTGGTGTCAAACAAAATGGGGATGTCTGAGGATTCAGGGAAAAAAAGAATTTTAAGATTTGGCAAAAAACTAAGGAAGTTATAGCCAATTCAAATCGGGCCACAAAGATGCCCCACCCTTATTCCTTGATTTCTGCTCAACTGTTAGTCTTTCGCTCTTTTCTTTACCTTCAAATTTTACCTTTTTCCCAGTAATTTTGCACTCAAAACACCCAACGCACCTTTATCCCATTTGCTTATTCCGCGGACTGCTCTCGGATATTGGGGATTCCATTGTAATCCCGTCTTTCGGATCTTTCTAATTTGATTAGTGCACAATGCAATCCTAATACCTTCGCGGCTTAGAGAGGTGGAGCCGGGCGGCTTCGGCGGATTAGAAGGTGTGAATTCGAATGTAAATGTAAGTGGGTTCTTGTCGGCGAACATGTGCAGTTGGTGTTTCGGCCGCTCCCGATTGGTGGTTTCTGTTCGAATTTTGGGGTTACTGTAAGTCTGTAAGATTGCGCGGGGTTTTTAAGGGTTCTTTTCGTGTTTTGGAATTAGTCTGTGGCTACCGTGGGCTCAGAACAGACCTATGTTTGCAACTGGATAACTTTTGAGTGCCGCAAAAGTTCTCATGGATCACTTTTGCCACCTTGTGCCAACTCAGACTCCTTTTTAAGCCTGAATTTGAGCCCATGCAAAAACACCTACTTCCAAACCCACCCCCATCCTCAATCATGAATATTGAGTTGCCCGCCGGCGTCTTCGCGTTTCCCCCTTCGATTTGGGGCTCTATTTTTTTGTGTATCTGATACTTTCTCCCCTCCACATTCTCCAATTTCTCCGTCCCACATAAATTTTCGCGGCCAAACAGAAAAGCAGCAAGCGCAAAGGAGACCGGGGAATTCTAACCTGTCCGTCCATGCACACCTTGGTCCTCTTCGACGTCTTCTTCAGCGGCGGCCTGAAGGCCCTCAAGCGCGCTTGTTTGCGAATATTCTCTCTCGTTTCATTTTTTCCCCCCGAAATTCTCAAATTTTTCGCCACGAACCTGGAGATTGGCTGGTTGTTTGGGGCGGCTTCTGGATGGTGATTTTTTTCGGTTTGAGGACGATTAGGAAGGATGATAATTGATTATTGGCTGGGAAAGTTCATAAAAAGCCGAAGAAATTATTTTAGGTGTATTTTTGAAATTTTGCAAAAAAATTTTTTTGATTTGATGGGTTTTGCTGACAAAAAAATAAAGTCAGAGCTTTTTCGGACCCTCTTTTTTTGATGACAATTACCTAAACTTGCAAAAATTTCAATTTTGATGATTTCCTTGCCATTCAATCCTCCAATATCCCAGACTTTCCGCCCTCACAATTTCAAAACCTCCCCAAGTTTGCCTTCTTGAAATATTTCAAAATTTGTATTTACTCCCCAATCGACTACGTCAATCATAAGCTGCGGCCTTGAATATTTGTTTAGGCGAAAGTCCAACGGGTCAATCAACGGGAGTCTTGAGACCAAACCCCATTCAAGTGGGCCTCACTTTTGAGCGTTTTCCGAGTATTGTAATCACTTTGTAATAGACATTTCTGTGAGCACCATTACTCACTTGGCGTGTTGAGTGTAATTGGAGGGTTAAACTTTGTTTGCGGAGGTTTGAAAAGTTTAAAGAGCTCCGTTTATGAAATTTTCGATGTAAATTGTGGTGTTTTAATTGTTCTACTTCATTATTCGGCTATCACTTATTGTGTGAGGTAAATTCTACAAATATTTGCTAAGCCAGTTGTTATGCTACAATCGAGATTCTTTTCCAACGACCAGGCAAGATGTTGGCATAGCTGAGTGAACATTGAAATGCTTCAGCGATGCCTCAGATCGCCGCGTTGTTTGGAAAAAAAAATATTTTTCCGGCTACATATTCGCATGTAAATTGTTGATCTACAACAAAGTTATATACAAGAATTTGACTGTTTATTTTCTACTACAGCTTCTAAAAGATGTCCCGGAATATAATCGCAATGCTGAGGAGGAGTGTGATCGTTGTGGCGACCACCGCACAAGCCGCAATTGAGACCATTTGAAATCGTCGGACCTGCAAAATACGAAGACCTTAGATCATACGGTAATGTTGATAGCAAAGAATTTACGCCGCTACCCACCATGGCATCCTGTTTTTTCTGCGCCGCATTCTTGCCCAGTTGTTTTTTCCGCTCAAAGTTTGTGAGTTTTGTTTTCCGCCCATAATCATTCTCTTCGGAAATGTGAACTTGTTGACGGCGTTTTTGACAATACAACTTCCATTTTAAGGGCTCTAACATGAGTATTATTCCCACAACCACGACTAGGTAGATGACAAAGATGATCCGAGGCAACGACGACTTCCCGAAGACATTCCATATGGCCAAAGCAAGGGTTATCACTAAAAATTTTAGATTTAAGGTTGAAAAATTAAAAGTATTTTTGTTTGCCCTTCGACTGATCCGTATTTTACACTTACATCCCAAGATCAGCGCTGTGATTCCGATCGTTCGATGGAAAATGTTGTGAATTTTTCTTGGGGTCGTACCGACTTTGCATCGGCAAATCGAGTTGATCACTTGAACCCATGCAAATATACAGGCCAAAAAGCCGAGTAAAGAGTGAAGTTCCATGGGATTTCCCTGAAAAATGTTAAGCACTGTGATAAGTTTAGAACCAGCAAAGGCTTCAAGAACGACTTCTGAATTCTAATAAGTTAGGGAAAGATAAAAAAAAGTTGTCAAATATGCTAACCTCAAAACTTGATAAGTGCAGTGGGGGACCTTATCCAATGGCAAAAAAAGTACCATTTAGCATTCGGGAAGTATCTAAAATGTGGCAAAATGCTTCCTTCTCCAAGTGAAAAGGCTCCGATTTCCAAGGTGTTTTTTGTGAGGGAAAGGGCGCGCCATTCAAAACGAAGTTTTTTCACTTGGACAGGGAAGCATTTTGCCACATTTTTGATGCTTCCCGAATATATTTTTTGCCACTGGATCAGGTCAAAGAAAATGAAGTTTTTCCCTCACCGAAAACCCGTCAATCCCATGCCAACGCCAACCATGAGCCGCAAAGATTGCCAAAGTCGACAGTACCATAATCACGGCTGCAAGCGTGTTGCAGAAACGATGACACTAAAAGAATTCCCATTATATCTTGAACACAAATCAAATAATGATTGGGAAAAAAGCTTACATGGACCCACATGGGGACGTTGAACAACTTCCTATCCGGCCCCCAAATCTTCCGCCCATAGCGAGCGATGAGGACGGCTACTGGCACCAGAATTAGCCAAGCCACACACATGGAGATCCCTGTAGCCGAATGGTATTTTAAGCCGGTAATATTAGGACTTACCATGGGCAGTAGTCAGTCTCTGCTTTGTCTTCAGCTGCACACCATCGGCCTTGTGGGCCGGATCATTCCTAGCCACAATAGCGCCATCCATGGCTCTATTCAACTTTGTCCTCTTGGCCGTTTGATTTGAGACGTCCGAGGGATCGACAATATCAGTAACGTTCAAACTGCTGAGGTGGGTGCTGTTGAATTGCTGCGCTAGATCTGAAAATTAAGTTTTTAATAAGACAACTTATGGTATTCAGAGCGAATGCTTATGAAATTATTTATTTGCGTAGATTTTTGGCGCTCATTATTTTCCGACAGGCTGATATAAAATCAAAAACAAAGCAATTGGAATCACAAGTTGAGAATTTTTCTCAAAAAATGCCTTTTAATAAAGCCATTGCATTGCGTTGATTCTGCAGTTCCTGGTGTAGATGGGCTGATTGTGAGAGAACTGCCCAATTTATGCCGTCAAACTACGCGCATTCCAACTGACAGGGGAAGTACCCCAAGTACGACGCTCAGATTTTGATGAAACTTGGCACCAATTTAGAATAATTCTTTCTAAAATATATGGGAGAATCCTAGCTCGCGCTTTGCAGAAACCACCGAGATTTTTAGGTCGAAAGTCGACGAAAATTTGAGACTTTTTGTCGGATCTTGGCACAAAAATATGCATCCTCATTTCTGCTGTAAAGGTTATGTTTCCACAAAAAATGAATTTTTTCCCGTACGAAACTAGCAAAGTTATATATCCAATAAGTGTTTTTTCTCTGACCGCTCTCCGCGTTTAGCGTAATTTCTCGGCCGCAAAGATCGTTGAATATCCCGGCTTCGACTTGAAAGAGCGAGTTAAAACTTTGAGGAATTGATATTTGGCCTATGCCCGAAGTGTGTGTAAAATTTAAAGAAAATCTGAGCGTCGCACTTTAGGTACTTTCCTTGTTAATTAACCACTGTTTATGCGACAAAACTATAGGCAGAATTCATTACCCTCCTGAACGAACTCCTTCAGATCAATGGCATGCTGACTGACGTATGGGAAATTGGGTTGATGCTCGTCCAATGCGTGTGCAACAAGCTCTAAAATCAAGGAAATATAAAAAGTTTAAAAAATAGATTTAGCAAAGAACAGACTTCAGTGCAAATTGAAACGGAAAAAAGTTTATTCCTGGTTTTTAGCCCACGGAATTCTGAAGCGTAAGTCCTGTGCGGATTTCAATTTGGCCATAAAGACAGCTACGACGCTGCAAGGACGTAAGTTCAAGGGAAAAAAGCCGTATTTTAAAACAAATTTCTCTATTTGCAAATAGATAAATAATTACCTTCACCATCAGTGAGCCCTGACGCCAGAAATATGAAGTAAGGTTGGTCCAAAGGCCTGACATAGTAGTTTTTGAGGCCAGCTATGGGGTAAATTGATTGTGATAATAGGCAGTAGAGAGTGTTGTTTGAGTAATGAGAAGAGATTGTTTGCAGCATTACATCGTGGCTGATCTGGAAGTAATGGAATTTTGTTATTCAGTTGAACAACAAGTTTAGGATGAAAGATTTATACTACTTACTTCATCAACAGCAACCTTTCGGTTGCTCTTACCCGGATTACTTGATAAGCGGCCTTGAAATGGCCGGCCTTGGAAACTCGCACATTCAGTAACGGTGTCTTGGCCCTAAAATAAATTTTATATCTTGAAAGTGACATTAAAAGCCAACAAATTATGCATTTCCCCATTACGATCTGACAGGGGAAGTACCCACCCCAAGATTTTGATGAAACTTGGCACAAATTTAGAATAATGCTTTCTAAAATATATACGAGAATTCTAGCTCGTTCTTTGCAAAAACAACTGAGATTTTTAGATCGAAAGTTGGCAAAAATTTGACACTTTTTTCCGAATTTCGGCACGAAAAATTTCGTGCTTATTTCTATCATAGAGAGTAATGTTTCCTCAAAAAATCAACTTTTTCTGTGCTAAACTAGCAAAGTTTTGACGAAAAAGTGTTTTTTCTCTGACCGCTCCCCGCTTTTATCGTACTCTCTCGGCGGCAAAAATCGTTCAATATCTCGGCGGCGCCTGCAAAGCGCGAGCTAAAACTTTCTGGAATTGATACTTGGTTCATGACGGACCACGGCAACCCAAAATAGAACAAAAATGTCTCCCGCCCACTTTTGAATTTCGTCCAAACGAAGTGTCAAAATTCACAAAAGAAATAAAATAATTCCGAGAAAAATATTTTTCGGTCGGAAAACCACACGAAAATTCATTTTTGACATTTCGTTTGAATTCAACCGATACTAGGTGGGCGAAGCGCCGAAACGAGGCGGGAGACTCCCTGGGTTGCCGTGCGGACGTGTGTGCAAAATTTAAAAAAAATCTGAGCGTCGCACTTGGGGTACTTCCTTTGTGAGCTCTGCGCGTCTCGAGACTGTAAATACTTACCATAAGTTCATCCAACGAGAATCCAACGGCAACATAAGCGCCGAAATCGGCATGCAGTGCATTTAAATTTCCATACAGTTCCATGTAAACCCGCGTGTTATCAGTTGCGTAAGAAAATGCGTAAATGCAATTGTCGTAAAGCTGGCATCCGCGTGGATGAAAAATACATCCTTTGCTTGTGGAACACCCTTCTTTTGAGAACTTTTTTCCATCGTAGTTTTGGGCGGTTACGGTAGAAAATATAGCAAACAAAATCATTATGAAGATGACATTTTTAGATGTCATTTTGAACCGAGGTAAATCGAACAATCTTAAGTCATCCAAAAAAGGCAGCGGCTTGAAAAGAAGAGTAAAAGTCCACTTGGAATGTTCGATATTCCGCTCTTTACACGACGAATTTCATGGCCAAATAGGGTTCAGAGATCGCTTCAGACTGTTCGAGACATATAAACCAGACTGAACCGTGTCTATAATAAAAAAAATTGTCGAATATTCGATACAGACAAACGGGGAATTCTCAACTCGAAACGCATAAGATAACTGAGTAAATAACATCGCGAATTCTCACGGGTTTCACGTGAAAATGTTCCCGATGTCAAGGATTTATTATTCCGAAGACAATACACCCGGAATGTTCGTAGGCACTTCCTCCAAATCATACACTCGAAAGGGCGCGTTTCCGCTGCAGTCAGTTCGAGAAAAGTAACAACCAAGAAACGTAGTCTTTGCTTGGAAATTCAGAGCGCCTACAGAAACGTGATCATAGAGCATTGGGTATGCGCCCATCAGTTTTCTTACAGTTACCTTGAGATGTGCACTTGGGACCTTGGCCTTTATTTTAGGCAACAGTTTTCAAGGGGTGAAATTGATGACTAAAATAAGTGAATGGGCACAGATGCATCGCAAGAATTTATAAGTAGAATGTGATATTCGTTGTTCTTTTACGTTGGGAATTGCTCGGGATACCATTTAACAAAGGTTCGCTCAAAAAACGCGATTTTTTAGAACTCCCCGTTTAAAACCGCTTCGATTTTCTTTCCCAGAAAAGAAAGTTTGTACACCTGCGTAATAAAAAATAAGTTCACCGGTCCAAAAAATAAGATGCAAGTGATTTATTGAAGTTTCAAAAACAACAAATGTTTGTAAGATACCAGTAAAAATTCAGAGGAAAAAATTATGGATGGGATATGATCGTCATCGCATTTCAACGAGTCTCCTCTTTAATAGGCTTCAATGCAGCGAGTTGGGAGTTCCATCTCCAAGGTCATGGTCTTCTTCAAGTCCTTGGCCTGAGGCAGAACGTTCATTCTCTTCAACGCGTTCATGAAACGACGAGCTTGGGAGTCGGAACGGTCAATGCAGCCGAAGGCGACGGATTCGGTCTTCTTGGCCGCATCTTCATCGACGTATTGGGAGCGGGGGCACTGAGTGACGGGCTGGAGGGAGAAACAGATGCGGTCTTGCATCTCCTGGGTGATGGTGCGCTTGGTCAGCTTCTCGGCTGAAACGATATGGGTAAGAGAAGTGATGACTATTAAAAGTTGCAAGGAAATTGAAATTCTGCCTTTGAAATCAAAATTTTATTGAATTTCAGAGATTTTAGAAGCTTTACCATCCATTTTCACAAAGGTAGCTCATAATTTCAGCCCTAATTTTCTGTCAAATTTCCTGGCCCAGCCTTAGGTCCCTTTCTTACCTTGTTCGTTGCTTTCCTCGCTGCTCTCCTCGCTGGTCTCATCGCTGAATTCATCTCTAGATTGCTTTCTAGACACTCTGTATTCATCCTCCTTCTGGTAGGTTTTCTCGAAAGATTCCTTGCATTCCTCATTCTTCAACGTGTAAGATTGGTGGAACTGTTTCAAGTTGGCGGCAACACGGTTGTCGCTCATTCTGAACTCCTCTTCTTCCTCGTTATCGTAGTGTCCGCACAGACCGCATTGCAGGTTCTTGTAGGCTCCGCTGATCTGGACATTGGCTTGACGACCGTTGAAGGTGACGGTGATTCCGCGAACGGAGACCACCATCTTCTTCTGGCTGATGATTTCAACTCCAAAGTTGTAGAGCTCATCCTCGTCCTTGACGACCTTGTCGTTGACCTTGACGATAATCTTGGACTCTTCTCCAATCAATTCGATTACATTGTCGACTGTGACAACCTTGACGGCTCTCTTCTCGTCAGTCTTCTTCATCAAGACGGCGAAACGAGGCTGTTCGCGAGAGCAATCCTTGGCCAAAACGGACCAGCATGACGAGAATGGGGCTTCGTAGTCGACACCGTCGAAGGTGCGGATGCGACGAGAGTCGGCGCGGCATTCAGCCAGGTTGGCGGCGTTGGTAAGGGCGCGCGCGACATGTTGGACAGACTTGATGTTCAATGGGCGGCGTTCCAGTTGAAGTCCGCTCATCTTGTAGGGCAGGACCAAAGAGTCGGCACGAGCAATCTCAGTTGGTGTGCGAATGGTCAGGTTGGCGACTTGACGGTTGATGGGGTCAACAATCAAAGTGGCGCGGACTTGGTGGGCCTTGTGGTTGTTGGCCTGCTCCAAAGACAGGGTCCAGAAGTATTGGGCTTTGAGGAGTTCGTAGAAGCCTTGGAGTCTGTGTTGGTTCTCTTGAGTCATCTTGTAGGTGCAGATCATGTCCAATTTGTTCAAGAAGCGAGCAATCTGTTGAGCGTTCTTGGTGCTGTACTCGTTCAACCAGCGGGCAACACGAGTGGGCTCGGCCTGGAAGCGGATTTGGAGGTTCTGCTCCTCCTCGGACTTGGTGTTCCATTGAGTGTTGAAGTTGATCAACAAGCGGGTTTGTTTCTCTTCAACAGACTCATCGGCACGGACGATTTCGGGGAGGACCAGCTGAGCGGTGGAGCGCATCGACCACTCGGTGTTTCCGTTGAGGGATTTGTCGGAGGTCAGTTCCATGTTGCAGTGGCGCATGCGGGAGTCGCATTGTCCGCCGATACGGCTGGTGTACTCGCGACTCTTCTCGCCAGCGAACACCTTGACGGAGAGCTTGAGTTCGTGCTCAAAAGCATCACGGGGAGTGTACTTCTTGAGGTAGTTCTTCAAAGTTTTCTCTCTCTTCTCATCGTTGTCCAATCCCATGTCTTCGTAGTACTTCTCGGACTTGCTTTCGTACTCATCAAAGGACTCTCCGGTGTAGAAAGAGTCCATCTTGGACTCCATCTTCTCAACCTTTTCGAAGCTCTTTCCTTCGACGCGGAGGACGATCTTCTTGACGGCTTCGGGGCCTGGTCTGTAGTAGATGTGCATGTTGTTCTCAGTGGAATACAAAGCGTTCAACAACAGCTTAGCATCCTTAATGACATGAACGTGTCCCTCATACTGAAGGCTGCCTTCTTCGTCGTTGAACTCGCGCTGCATTGGGGCGTATTCGTAGTTGTGGACGGCCTGAAGGCGCATGGCTTTGTAAGCTTTGTCAGTCCAGCTGAATTGGCGAGTGTAAGTGACGGGCAAGATGTGGATTCCAATGATTCTAAGTCCTTCCTTGTCTTCGGGCATGCGGAAAGTCAAAGTGTAGGCGTTCTTCTCCTGCTTCAATTCAACGTCGAAGGGCTTGGACAGCTCAAGGGTACGGTGAGACTCGACGCCGGAGACAACAACTGGCGACCAGACTTCGGTCTTCAGAGAGTGGGTGAAGATTCCAGAGGAGTGGGCGCGGAGTCTGAGGCTCTTTTCCTGGGTCTTCAAGTGGAAGCTTCCTTCGAAGGATCCCACCATCGAGTTGTCCCACATAACGACCAATGGAAGGCCAGAAGAAGTGGCGAACTTGACCTTCTTCTCGTTGTAGTTGGCGGCATGATGAGCAGAGAATTTTCGTTCGGCTTGGAGAGAACGGAGCATCTCCATCAGCTCAGTCATGTTGGGCTTCTCACCTTTGATGAGTTTGCGGAGCATCTCGGGCAGAGAGCTCTCTTCGATGGGCAGGATGAATTGGTCGATTTCGTTGGAGCGAAGAACGATCATTCCGTAGGGTTGATCGCGTTGAGTTTCGTCTTCGCCGTTCTCGGACATCCAGTAGGCTCCTTGGTGGCGGTTCTTGATTCCGAGTCCCTTGTACAGGCTAGAGCTTAACTTGCGGCCGAAGCTCTCCTCAGATTCATCATCGTTGTCGATCATGGTAATGAACTTTTCATACCATTGTTCGAGATTCTTCTGGTTGAATTGGAGGCTCATGGTCTCATCCATAGGATGGCCGTTGAAGGCAGCACGCAACGAAGCGCAAAGGTGGATGGGGAGGATGTTAGTCGGGGAGACAATGGAGGCAACGCGGAACAGAAGGTCGCGCTCCTCTGGCTGTTGGCTCTGAGCGACGTAGATGGGGATTCTGATGGCAGAAGAGGCACGGCGAGTCCAGTATTGGCTGTCGGCCTTGACCATCTTCAAAGAGGATTGAAGATGAGCAGCCAGCTGACGTTCGTGGGAAACTGGAGAAGCGGCCAAGGCTTCCATGGTGGAGATGACGAAGCTCTTGACTTGTTGAGATCGCTCCATGATCATGGGCAAAGTGATCTGGTCAAGGAGGGCTCTCTGGGGACGGGTGTGCATCAGCATGGAGAAGGCGGTCATGCGGATCTCGGGCTGTTCGCGTTGGTTCAAGAAGATGGGCAGAAGGGTGTTCTGGATCTCTTGGGACATGACGGTTCTCAGACGACGAAGAGCGTCGATGGCTTCGATGCGGATCAAGGTAGGCTGCTGTTTGTCGCTCAAGAGCTGTTGCAGCTTGGGCATGGTGGTCTGGAGGGCTGCGTTTCCGAGGCACTTGATAGCCAACACCTTCTGGTACATGGTTTGGGCCTGCTCGAAGAGCTGGTACAAGGTCTGCTTGTACTGCTCCTTCTTGGATTGAGGGCACAGATCCTGTTGGCGGAACAGGGTCTTGGTGGTCTGACTTGGTCTGTCTTGGCAGATGTGGCCAACAGAAGCGGCGAACTGCAACCAGGCGGTTTGTTTAAGGCCGTTGCTGCGCTCTTCCTTCTGCAATTTCTTGGCCAACTTCTCGAGCAAGTCGGTCTGACGGTCGGACGGGGAGTGTTGGTTCAAAACGAAGTTCTGGAGGAGGTGCATCGACTTGGCGTCGTTGAACTGTTTCTTCTCAATCTTCTCAACCAACCATTTCAGAGAGTTGCGGGTACCGGCAACAGCCATGGCATCGCTGAAGGTGGTCTTGATCAACTCATCTTTGCCGTTGATTTGCTCAACTTTTTCTTCGATCTTCTTCAACTCTTCCATGGAGCAGTGACGCAGAGCCACAACGAGTTCTTGGAATTGCTGAGTGGAGTCGAGTTCATAGCCCAAAGTCTTGTCCGACCACTGCTTTTGCAAGTGTTTCAAGGCGTTGATGGCGGTGTGGGTCTTCATGGTGACCTTGGCGAAGGGCTGTTGCTTCTTTTCCGGGAACTCCTCATCTCCGTACATGTAGAATCTCTTCTCCAAAAGGTCCCATTCGTTTGAGGCCATAAGATTTTCCTCTTGGGAGGAGGCCTTGATCTTCAGCTTCTGGGAGTCCTTCTCTTCGCTGACGAATCTCAATTCAGAGATGACGACGGCTTGAGCAACCGAGTTTTCTTGAGCTGGGTTAAAGGCCTTGATCAAGTACTGAGAGACGATCTGCGCACGGCGGAGAGTGTAGGTCTTCTCGGGGTGTCCTTGCAGCTCCAATCTGTGAACAGTGGAACGGTGGATGTCCTGTTCGGCACGGGCCGATTGGCATTCGCGTTGGCATTGCGAGGTCTTGGCGGCTTCAATGGCTTGAAGAGAGTTCAATTCGAGGCTCTCAACGCATTGATGGCACTCCTGTTCCTGAGAAGTGGACGCCGAATATCCGTAGAAGACATCGGTGTTGCGCTGGCAGCGGTCAAAGTTGACGGACTTGGTGGCGTTGAAGATGTAGTTGTCTCCGCTATCTTGGTGGGGCTTCTGGATGGTGTATGTCACATCACATTCGCCCTCAAGAGTGATTTCAGGGACAGTGAAGAAGTTGGAAGATTGCTCTTCCTTCTCCATCTGAAGGCCTTGAACGTTGGTGCGCTTCAGGTTGGCTTGGAAGAGGTTCATCGCGGCACGCTTGATGTTCTTGGACCAGACCGAGTCCTGTTCGTGGAAGACCAGACGTTCGAAAACACCATCAACAAAGTCGCATTCGAAGGGAAGTTCCAGTTGTTTTTGGACTTCTTCGGGGAGTTGCTGACGCTGGAAACGTTCGAAGGGCTGGAGGCGGTCGAGTTTGTGTTCACCTGGAAAAGTAGAGCAAAATATAATCATTTGAAATCACAGTAAGCATAAAAAAGTTAAAATATTTACCGTTAAGTTCGCCGAAGCGGACATTCTCCAGCTGAACTTGAATGTGACGGTCAGAGGTCACCACGGAGCGGACATCGGCGCGGATTCTGGTGGCGGATTGCTGATGCTCGGCGCCTTGCAGCGCGTTGGAGATCTGGGTGTCGAACCGGTAGCGGTAGGTGTGCTGGGGCTTGTACAAATTGCCCAAGGCCGCCGCACCCCAAAGGGCGCAGGCGATCAACACAAAGGTTCTCATCCTTGAGAAGACTCTGTGAAGTGACTTGTAATTCCAACCGTAGCGATTGTCTTATATAGTCATCCGATTTTTTTGCACGATCTCAATCTTGACGGCGGCTCGGGCGACCTGTCAATAATGGGGCGAAAAAGATTTCACGTTTAATGGCGCCAGTGCAAAAACTCGTCGGCCTGACCGGCTTCGGCCCGCACCTGTACAGAGGTCATACCCGCGGATGGACAGCTGAGGATGGACTCGGACTCGCGACCCGCTTATCACAGGTCCCGCTGCGGTTTTCGGGCGAGAGATAAGGGGAATGCAGTTATTTTTGTATTCGGATGTTTTATTCCGCTGATCAAAGTTGAGGCTGTAAATTTTGGACTTTCGGTGCGGGGAATGAAGCCTAAATCTAAGAGGCCAAATTTGGCCTCGCTAATCCGCATTGTAATCAAATTTGAAGATAATAGTGTCGTATTTTACACACTAACTTCTTGGCTTGCTGAACCTTCAATTTTGCACATTTTCCAGGCATTCCGCCAATGTTATTGCCATTTTTTGTCATCAATTACCATTCACATCCCCTCAAAACAATTTGGTGACTCTTGAGGACAGAATGTGTCGGGCCACGAGGTTTGTCACCCATCAAACATCACAGAGGTGAGTAGCGAAGGCCTTCAAAATCTTTGGCCAATGTGGTTACGAAATGTCACGAAAATTCCAATCATTCTATTGTTCCTCTTTTGAGATGTCATAAATAAAATCAACTCTCATTTTGAACCGAAATTTTGCTGCAACAGAAAGATTTTTCTCAAGCAATCTTGTTAATTCAACTTTTTGCAACAAGAAATAAATTGATTCTCCGGGAAATTATCGCATGTCCGCCGGAGGGGAAATAAATTTTGTTTCGAAAAAAACGTTTGATTCGATCAAACCCAATCGTTTTTGATCCGCTGGGATAACAAAAGGAATTTGAGTGCCCGGCGAAAAAAGGCCTCCCGGGGAAACGACAACAGGCCCTCCGGGGTGATTATCTCACGAAACGCCTTTGTCCCGGACAATCGCTCAATTCGGAACTCTCTTCGGATTTCATATGGGTAATTAGTCGAGATGAATATTCTACTGGTCGCTCTGTTGGTGGCCACAGTCTGCGTTGGCGGTGGAGTCGAGGATGGGCGAGGAGCGCGGGAGCAACGACAACAGCCGAGTTCAGCCGTGGGTTGTGGTCCGAATGAGGTGCTGCACTTTTTGCGTTTGCTATGCATTACTTTTTGTTGGCTAGTCGTTGAAAGTAGGACAACTTGGCTTGGTTATATAGCTCTTGTTTTTTGGAATAGCCTTTAATTATGTTGTTATCTTCTCTAGTTTTTTGCCAGACGTTTTCCAAGTGCAACAAGCAGGTTTTGACGAGAAAATGAACCTATTAAACTTTGACAAACATCTCAGCGGCGCAAGCAAATCCTGGGCTAAAATTTGAAGCAAAGAGTACAGTTAACTTCAGAAAAGAAAAACGAGAAAAAAAATCGAAGTTTGCATAACAAAAATGCCTTTCAAAAATTTATCGCTAAATTTTCAACGTATAAAAGTTCTTTTTATTTTGGTTATTCAAACCCTACCTTACTGCTTGTTAATTTCCTTGCTTTCTAAACCATCACCAAATCCCTTAACCACCTAAAATCACAGTCATCGCTGCAATATTCACTTTATTTTTGCCTCAGTTTGCTGAATCTCACCTAGACAAACCATACACCCTAAAAAATCAAACCCAGCGTTTTCAGCAAGTTTCCGCTTATTTTGGCAACACACGCAAACGAACGCTGCCTGAGAGCAGCGGCTTACGACACTATGCCTATGAAAATCTTTTTGCTCCTGCCAATGTAATGCCCCTTTGGATTTACTCATACCTTCTTTTAGGCCCCTGAAGCCACTCGGGATCCTCGAATACCCCAGCCGATTGTGGTCCGGACTGACTCCGTCCCTCCAAACTTTGATCCTCAACGGTTGAACGACCCAAGATATGAGGCTGAGTTGAAGAGATATCAAGCCGAAGTTGCTAGACAAATTGCTCTGGAAGAGAGGAGAATTCAAGAAGAATTCAGGCAAAGGGGGTACCCGCCGCAACAAAGGGCTGGTCAACAGAACAGACAGGGTGCTCCGCCGACTGTGGCATTTACGTTCCAATTGAATAGCCAGCCAGCGCAACGACCGCAGAGTCCGGTGCAGCAACCGCAGCAACCAGCAGCTCCTGTTCAGCAAGGCCAGCAGGTTAGGGCACAACCAAGACAGGATGACAGGTGAGTAGTTAAGAAACGAATTTCCAATTGAATTCGATCTGTTGTGCCGCAGATTCAGTTAACTTTTTGACTATTACATATGCTAGTTTTGGCAAGTATGCAAGGCTTAAAGAAAAGTGAACTGTTATTTATATCGCCAGCTTTTTAGCTTTTTGCCTTTTTTTGATTTTCACGCCTATAACTTCAATTGCGAAGACATTAGGTTGATGCATAATTATCCGGCGTTTTTCAACAAATTGCGCGATCGGCTTTGTTGTTGTCGGAGAGTTCGTGAGGGACCCATCCAGCCAATTTCCATACCTATTTCCAAAATATTTACTTCATCATTTCAGCGCTTTCCAACCTCCTCAACGCTCTCAAAATCCCCCACCAGCCCCTCAATATCCGCAAGTTCAAACCCAGACCTACAATCAGCCTCAAACCCAGCAACAACCGCCCTACACTCAAACCCAAGCCAATCCGCAATCCTATCAGCCTCCTCTACCTCAGCCACAAGCTCAAGCCGCTCAATACAACCCTCAATATTACCAGTCGCATCAGGAATCGCGCCAACCACCGCGCGAGTATCAAGTCCAAAGGTCGAGTGGCCAGCATTGGACGGCGCCGCCGCAACCCCAGCTCCAGATCCCGCCCACAAATCCACCGAATCGCAAAGTCACCAAACAATTTACTGTAGCGCCCACGGACAGTTACAATGATCGGCTGCGAAGTTACAACGAGCAGATGGAAGCGAGACGCCGGCAGTTGGCCAAAGAAAAAGAGGAGATGATCAAGAGTTTGCAAGTCAGTTAGTTTAACAGTAGGACCTCATTACTGTGACAGCTAACCAAAATGTTGATTTAGTTTGAGTGGACGTGAGATTTTTTAGTTATTTTTTTTATTTAAAATTGAAAATTTTGCTTTCAAAATTTCAAAAAAATCCATTTTCGGAAAGAAAACCGTATTTTACCTCTCAAAAATTTTAATTTGTCAATGTAATGAGGTTTTATTGTACTGACGTTTGTCAAATCTCTCAAACCTTCGAAAAAATAATCAATTCGACCTTTGATCAGATATTTTTTTACCAATTCCATTACTCTTCAAACAATGCCATTTTTATTTTCTCGTCCAATAAACGTTTTTTTCCCCGCACAGTACATAAAATCTCATTGCATCAAAAATAACTGTCAAAGACAAGGGCGATAAGGCGCGATTAATTGACGTTTTATGCAACTTTTTTGGAGTCAAAATGGAGCCTCAGGCTGGAAATTGAAACCTTTAAAATGGGATTGTAAATTCTCCGTGAGTAGGGTGAATAGCACAAGAGATGACAACTCTTTATGGAATGACAAAAGAGAACCGCAAATTCATGTTGAAGATACCAATTTCTAACCGCATTGACAAACTTTACATGCTCATAAGTTATAACTAGTAGGATAAAAAGCTTGATGGATGTGGTCACTTTTGTACGCGGTGTATCTTCCTTCGATGTGCAAAAGATCGAAAAAGATTGACCTTATTTTTCCTGCCCGCTGTCAAAAAATAAGATTAGGTTGAGTAAAAATTTTGTCCATTTTTTCAAAAGTTTGAAGTCGATTATTTTCTTGCCCAGATACCTCGTTATTTCAACATACTTGTAGACTAATAGAGGGCTTATCGAACCTTCATCTAGGGTGTATTGCTAAGCCTTACGGCAAGACGGAGATTTTCTGTTGCTAAAAGTCGGAAGTGCCCCCGATTTTGGCAGGGTACGAAGCGCCGTGGGACCAAGAGGTCACTTTTTATATTAAGAATTGAGGAAAAATTCTTGCTAAAGGCTTTAAAGTCACCAGAAGTGTAGAATTTACATTGTATAATATATTAATATTTTCTTGTAATCCCTGGATCAGCTCATTTTTGATTGATTACGACTTATTGCCGCCAGAGATATCCAAAGCTTATTTTGCTAACTTTTTATTTATGTTTGCTCCTCTTTCAAAAGGTCAAGAAATATCCAAGAACGAGCTCGTCAAACGGATTAATAAATAACTCAAAACTCATCTTCACTAATCATAAGCACTACATATATTATAGTATTTATATACCAGTATGACAAAAATTTTGCAGTACCAAAATCACGGAGAAAATGAGGATCCAAATAGCCCTAAAGACGAAGTTGTTCCGTTTACGAAGAGCTACCAGCATCAGCAAGAGCTAATTCGGCAAAGCCAGCAGGCCCAAGCCAACGCTCCACCAACACCTTCAACAACTCGAAGACCCCCTAAAACAACCAGAGCTCCATTAGTCTACTCCAACTCCAACAACCGATACCAATACGGGCTGGGAAATCGCAGTAACAACAAAGAGTCCGTCTATCAAATGCAGCAGCGCCGGCGCAACGAATACGCAGCGCAACGGCAACGGGAACGAGAGGAAAAGCAGCGGATTGAATTGGAACAACTTCAACGCGCCGAATTGCAGCGAAAAATCGCCGAAGAGCAGGCGAAACAGGCCGCAGCATTGGCCGCGATCAAAATGAGAAATCAACAAGGAGCTACGGTGAGTTCGGAGCCGGCTCCACTGTATCCGAATGATGATGAGAGCCCGTCCATTGATCTGGCGCAATATTATGACGACATCGATGAGGATATCGTCTCAACGTCTATTCCACAGGTAAGAGTGGACTTTTTTGATGACAAAACTGCTTTGTTCGCTATAAATTTATTGTTTTTTCAGGCTCAACTAGAAAGTCCAATCTCTCCATCACCCATGTGGACGATGGGTGATGACATTAGTGACCACCCTGACTTCTTATTTGATCTTCCTTGTAATGGTTTCACAGATGAGATTTGTTTTCAACAAGTAAGTTCTTTTACTCCAAAAATTTTTTTGAAGAAAAAAATCAAACTTTATTTCCAATACATGTATAATATTAAATCTCTCTCAACCTCTACCAAACATATGCTCTGGCGCCGGCTTCCGTGATCTGCGCCTTTTTCTCGTCGACTTGGGTCGGCTGCTGATATCTGCTGATCTCCGGGTCCACATATTGAGTGATGTTATTGTTCGTGTCATCGTTGAAACTGCCGTATTCTCGTTGAAATAGCTCTTCGAGTTGAGCCTTGGTGGTTAGATCGTCCCAAACTTTGACACAGTTCAACACAGTGATGCCAACGATGGTGGCGATGAGAAGACAAACGACCAGAGTTAGGAGCTGAAAATAGAAGAAAATGGAATGGTTATAGAGAACATAATAGATGAAGATTTTGCCAAAAAAAGACTTTTGTGGAGCTCCAGAAAATCAAAAAATTATTTTTTCTAGTTTTGACAAAAAATACGTAAATTTTGAATTTTTACTCCCGACACATCGTCTAGATTTTGTTCAAATTTTGCGCACACAATCTGTAAAGAGTACTTATAAATTACTAAAAATTTTAGCTCACGCTTTGCTGCCTCAGCCGAGATATTCAACAATCATTGACTATCAGTCTGTCGGGAAAATAACGGCGGATCGCCGCACCAAAATGTCTCCCCTCGCCGCTATCGCGCACCAAATCCCCAGCCGCGGCTTGCAGTCGCAAAGCGATGATGGGCGATTCCGAGGCGCGACGATCCGCCGTTTTTTTCCCGACAGACCGATAGAATATGAGAGAGTACTCGAAATGGAGAGGGTTAGACATGAAGACGTTTCTGTTCATATTTTTCAAATTCCACGATATTTTTCCTAGCGAGCTTGAGGTTTGGTTGTTGACAGGCAGCTTTTGAGGGAATATTTTCACTTCGTTGCCCTAGGGCAAGTTAAAAACAAAGTCAGCGCCCGGTGCAACTTGGAAAATTTCTTTTGAGGTACAGTGGGGGACCTGATCCAGTGGCAAAAAACGTACCATCTTGTATCCAGGAAGCATCAAAAAATGTGGCAAAATACCTCCCCCTGCAAGTGAAAAAAAAAACTTAGACTTCAAAGCGCGCCCGCTCTTTTTGTGAGGAAAAAAGGAGCGCCCTTCAAAACTAAGTTTTTTCACTTGGAGAGGGAAGCATTTTGCCACATTTTTGGTACTTCCCGGATACAAAATGGGGCGTTTTTTGCCACTGGATCAGGTCCACTGTAGAGAAAATAAGTTTCAGCTACATATGGTTGACCAGATGTTTCCGTATTTTAATAAAAAATATTCATGTTTGACCATAAAAAGTTAAAAAATGACAGAAAAAATTGGAACTTACAACTCCTTCAACTTCGGTCCCCGTGGTGATGACTCGATTAGCTAGGCCAAGGAAATCTGTGAAAGTAGCCGACATCTTTTCGTTGCGAAGCGACCGGTCGAAAATACAAAATCGAATGAGAAATAAATCAAATTTTGAAAACTAAAAAAATAAAAAAAAATATTTTTTTTTTATTTTCAGCAAGCATCATTACCCCCAGAAGAAGTGCACAAATGCTGTCAGACCAAGATCGTTTTGACCGATCAATGTGCCCCAGGGAAGTGCAGCAACGGCACAGTGCAATTATGTTGCATTCAGAAGTTCCTTCAGTCCAAATTCAAGTGTTGTAATGATAGAAAACAAGCCGATGCGTTGTTTGCAACCGACTCTTTCAGCAAATGTTGCTTTGAGAACTTTGTTCAGGAGGATGTAAGTTGAAAGTAATACTGTTTTAACCTATATGTAATGTGTCTGAAATTTAAAAAAAAATTTTTAAATGAGATTAAAATTCATCAAAAATTTTAATTTCAATTTTTATATTATACAATATACGTCTTACCAAATTTATCAAAATCGGGCAACTTTCCGCTGTAAAATTGGCGTTCAAAGAGCAACGCATCCATGCATAATAATGCAATATGTATGTACAGTGGGGACCTGATCCAGCGGCAAAAAACGTATAATTTTGTATCCGGGAAGTATCAAAAAATGTGGCAAAATGCTTCTCTCTCCAAGTGTAAAAAAATTTGTTTTGAAGGTCGCGCCCTTTTTCCTCACAAAAAGAGCGGACGGGTTTTTGAAACCTGAGATTTTTTCACTTGCAGAGGGAGGTATTTTGCCACATTTTTTGATGCTTCCTGGATGCAAAATGGAACTTTTTTTGCCACTGGGTCAGGTCCCTCACTGTACGATACAAAAAAAAAAGTATTTTTTCCTACTTGACCAATCATCATAACTTATGTATATTGCAAGTATTTATCTTCTATTTATTCACAGGATCCCTGCTGTCCCAAATCCTTCAGCGACAAGCAATGGATGCATGTCCACGAGCTCTGCCTTCCCAATGTGAACATCGACCTGAGCTCGGTCAAGGTTCCACAACGCCCAATTGCCGGCATGTCCACGGTGGTTCATTACGACTTCTCAAAGACCGATAAATGGCGCTTCGAATGTCGATATGGCGGACACGTCCCACAGTACTCCTACTTTACCGACGAGGCCTTCAAAAGTAAATCGAAGGAGAAAAGCTATGAAGAATAAAAAATAATTAAAAAAAATATTAAAAAATTGTAAAAAGATATTTTTTAGGCTTTGAAAAGGTTTGTAAAGTAGATAAAGTAGAGTTTGATTATAAAATATGATTTTTTAAAATTTGCACTTTATTTTCAGAAACATAATTTTTCGTTTTTTTTCATTTTGATTATTTTTATTGTTGGGTTCACACTCAAAAATGTCTTTTGAAAGCCTTCTACTTGACTGTCAGCGAAAGCTCTTGCAAGATTTGAGAAAATTGAGTACCGAAGAGCTGACTAAAATGGCTAATTCTCCATTTCTCCTTGATATTTGGATCAAAAAAGAGGAAAAAGTGAGTTTTTATGTAAAATACGATGATAAATTGTTGGACATTCAACCTAATTTTTATAAAAAAATTAATGATAATTTTAAGGTGACTTCTTTCCTAAAAAGCGTGGATTCCCATCGAAAAGTGACTGAAAATTACAGGGAGATCAATAGAAAGTTGAAGAATCAAATTGCCACCAAACACGACGCTCTGAGGGATAAGAGAATCAGTGTGAAGAAGCTGAAAAACAGTCTGGAAAGGTTGAAAAAGGAGAAGAACGAAGCCGAAGAGGCCCACTCCTTTTATGCTTTGATCAATGTCCTCGAAGTTATGGGGAGCGAAGCGGATGAGGAGAGCGAGGTAAGCGAGTCAGAATTTTGTCATCATTTTTGGCAGAGCCTGGGGCAAAAATACGATTAGAAATTTTAATGAGGTTCTTCATAAAATCCATTTTTTTCCATGCAAAATTTATACAGGGTGGTCCAGCTAAGTTCGCGGATGTAAAATGTTTATAACTTTTTATAGGATTGTTCAATTTTTATGAGCAATAGCTCATTTTATTCTCTAGTGGTTGCCATTTTGTTTAAAAAAAAGATCATTAAAAATGATCAATCCTGCGTCGAGTTATGACCCTTCAAAGTCAAACATGCTTTTTCACATAAATTTTTTAAAAAATTTAATTTTCAAAAATTTTTGAATTGCGGTGTCACCGCTCACTGGTACCGGGAATTGATGGTGAACAGAGCGATCCCAGCTATGCAAAATTGGCCCAATTTTGCCAGTCTTGTTTTTCAACAAGACGGCGCGCCACCTCATTTTGCCGTCAACTCCTTGACCAGGTTTTTTCCCGGTCGTTGGATGGGCCGGGGATCTGCGCGGCAACCAGCTCCAATTGCTTGGCCCCCGCGTTCACCTGATCTAACTCCGCTAGATTTCTCCATTTGGGGGTTCTTAAAACAGCGGATTTTCATCATGGATTGGCGCCCAAACACGTTAGAGGAATTGAAGCGCGTAATCGTAATCGAAGAAGAGATTTTGCATAGCTGGGATCAGAGATTGCCACGGTCAAAATTTTGGCTCCGGCTCCGGCTCTTAGCTCCCAGAGCCGGAGCCGAGGACAAATTTGCAGCTCCGGCTCCCGGCTCCCATGAAAAGTTTAAAAAGGTCTTCGGCTCCGAATCCCGGCTCCCATTCAAAAAAATTTTAAAAATATTTTTCCAAATAAAAAGTTATTAGTGCCAGAGATCACACTCCCAACGTTTTTGCAGTATGCATCACATCTTTACCAGTATTTTTTAAGCAATTTGGTTTAACAAGATTATGGAATTTTTACTTTTTTGAACGCTGAGAAGCCTGGCTCCGACTTTGGGCTCGTGAGCCGGAGCCGTACCCAAAATTACCGGCTCCGGCTCCCGGCTCGGAGCCGGAGCCGCTCCGAGCCGGAGCCGGAGCCGCTCCGAGCCGGAGCCAAGAGCCGGCTCCGGAGCCGTGGCAATCTCTGGCTGGGATCGCTCTGTTCACCATCAATTCCCGGTACCAGCGAGCGGTGACACCGCAATTCAAAAATTTTTGAAAATTAAATTTTTTTAAAAATTTACGTGAAAAAGCATGTTTGACTTTGAAGGGTCATAACTCGACGTAGGATTGATCATTTTTAATGATCTTTTTTCTAAACAAAATGGCAACCACTAAGGAATAAAATGAGCTATTGCTCATAAAAATTGAACAATCCTATAAAAAGTTATAAGCATTTTACATCCGCGAACTTAGCTGGACCACCCTGTAGATATAATGGTCAATCTTAATGGCCAAAAAGAGGGTTTAAAAGATTTCATATGTAATTTTATGTATTTCAGAAGCTTCTGGACAAATATCTAAAGACTCCTGGAGATATCTCAGAGCTCACTGACAAGTATACTGAGATGAGAATCAAGTCCCATTCCGCTAAAGAAAAGCAACGAAGACTAAAAGAGATCATCGTTGAGAATCGAAGAATCCTCCAGAAATGAGAACATAACTTGCTACTGAGTAAAATAAAAGTTACTTTGGAATTTTTTTGGCTGATTATTATTAATATTATGCTTATTAAACTCGATTACGCACAACCATAACAAAAGCGGTGATTGGAGAGCCTTTATTCGAGATCTGGAAGGTGATTTGAGACCGAAGCAAATCTCCATACAGCAAGTCCTTTTTTATAACGAATGTTTTTGCTCTCCGGTCAGCGATTGTACAGAGTGGTTCAGCCGAAGCTTCCATCCTTATTTCAAGTACTTCTCCGCCAGTAATGCGCCAATTTCTATAAATTTTTTATGAAATAGAAGCTGAGGTACCCCATTTTTTGCCCACTAAATATTACGGGCCCAAGTTCACGAAGGCTCATGTACTGACCCTGGGCATTTCAATTCCAAATTTTTGAGTCCGAAATCGGTGAAACTTACAGGGGAAGTACTCCAAGTCCGACGCTTAGATTTTCTTTAAATTTTGCACACACGTCGGGTATGGACTAAATATCAATTCCTGAAAGTTTTAGCTCGCGCTTTGCGGGCGCCGCCGAGATATCGAACGATTTTTGCCGCCGAGAGAGCACGCTAAACATGGAGATCGGTCAGAGAGAAAAGCGCTTTTTGGCCATAACTTTGCTAGTTTCATGCGGAAAAAATTGATTTTTTGTGGAACTATTATTGTTTACGGTAGAAGAAGGAAAAAAAACTTTTCGTGCCGTAATTTGGCAAAAAGTGTCAAATTTTCGCCGACTTTCGATTTAGAAATCTCGGTTGTTTCTGCAAAGCGCGATCTAGAATTCTCGCATATATTTTAGAAAAAGTTATTCTAAATTTGTGCCAAGTTTCATCAAAATCTGAGCGTCGCACTTGGAGTACTTCCCCTGTTAGAATTTTTTTTCAATGATTTTCAATTGGGCTTCTTGGGCTTGAAAAATATTTGACCGGCTGAACCACCCTTACAGAACTCCCACCGTATTTTTAATAGATCTTCAGTTTGTGTTGAAAATCATAATCAACGCAAACCGGACGTAGTTTGCACTGAGAGAACTGAATTTTCTTGAGCTTTCCACATCTTCCGAAACAAAAAGAGCGAAGATAAATGTCGGCGAAAAGACGGGAAAACAATGATGATGACTATGGGATCCACCAACGGGGACAAGCCCACTCCAAACACTCGATACAACGCGATGGCATCGCTCACGGCTGGTGACAAAAATCGAGAAAGCGCAAAGGCCAGTAAAGGGATGGCATTTAAAGTAAATGGCATTACTATCTAAAACATCGTTACTATCTAAAGACTGATATTCAAAAAAATGATATGATTGTGGTACCTGAACAAACTGCATCCTGTTCACCCGTCGGTTTAGGAGTTTTGTTCTCGGCGACATGGTCGAGGTCAACTTTTTCAACGAAGTGAAAGTGCTTGCGGCAATGTATAAAGCAGCTCCATAACAGACCGCAATATTGGCTGTTTGGAAGGTGAAATAGGTCTGCTTGTAGTCGTTTTGCTGAAAAGAACGGGGTATAAAACTGGTCAGCGGTATTCTTAATATTGTATTCAGAGAAAACTCTTCAAGATTTTGCGGCAATTAGCGCTCAAAGGGTTGGCATTCTGTTTCCGTTTATGAAAGTGTCCAAAAAATCCATCTCAATGACGGTTTTTTGGACGAGGTCAGACGAAAGGCGAAATATTGCGTAAAATGAAGAGATTTTCTATCTCGAAACTGGCTCATTTAATTTTTTTCGTTTTAGGCTCAAAAAATCCGCCTTGATTCAGACTATGTTTCCATCAAACTTCAAAAAAAGGGCGAGGGAAACTCTTGGAGAAATCGGCAAAATCGTAAAAATTTTTAGGCGTTGTTAGTTTAGGCTTCAAACAGATAGAAGACGACCGATTTTTTATATGAAACATATATGGCGAGGTTAAGCAGGAGTCCAGCTTCAAATTTATGTATGCAATAAAACCATTCTACACTATCTTCCATGTGTAATTAGGTTATCTTTGGAGCAAAAAATTATCTTTCAGCTAAAACAGAAGTAGCATGTCAGCAAAACCCCTTGAATATCTCGGCTGCTCCCCCAGCAAGGAACTGAAGTTTTCAAAGCCCCGTTTTTGCAAAATTCAAACAAAAAATCATATGTTCCACAAAAGCTCCCTATTTTATTTTCGAATAGTACCTTTACAAACACCAAGTGATTTCCGACCATCTTCATATCACATCCCGCTTTTATGAGCTCCATGTCAGTTGTGGGGTTGTTCACAATAACAAGTTGCATTACCCATATAGCATTAATGAAAATTTGGGAAACGGCAGCAAAAACAGCCGCATAAATTCTCCAATTCATCTCCAGACCAAGCAGGTTGTAATGTCGGTAGAAGAATTGGAAAGGTAAGGCGTTCAAAGACAGATTCGCAGCAATGTTGAAAGCAAAATCTGCGGCGATTAGCGTATTCTCATCTGCGGTTTTCAAGAACGATGCGAAGAAAACGTAATAGGTGTAGCTGATCCCGTTGAACATTGTCTAAAAATTGGTTTATTACAGTAGGGGACCGGATCCAGTGGCAAAAAAACGTAACATTTTGCATCCGGGAAGTATCAAAGATGTGGCAAAATGCTTCCTTCTCCAATTGAAAAAACTTCGTTTTGAAGGGCGCGCCCTTTCCCTCACAAAAAAAGCGGGCGCGGTTTTGAAATCGGAGTTTTTGAAATCGGAGGAAGCATTTTGCCACATTTTTGATGCTTCCCGGATGCAAAATAGTACGTTTTTTGCCACTGGATCAGTTCCGCCACTGTAAGCTCTGTGCTTTGACAATTTGTGAACATTTTCCCTGCATATGTACGTGCTGTATGTATGACTTACAAACTTCAACATTAACCGCACAACAGTGACATAGATGATGTTTACGGAGCTATGGAAGAAAATCAAATTAGTGCAGGGCTCCTGATCCTTCGGCTGTCTAAAACAAAACATCCACACGACGCAGTTTAATAGCAAAGATGGAATTCCAGTAGCATAAAACGAGACATTCACAATACTGTAGAATTCCGTGTCACATAGCAACATTGTGGAGGTAAACAGCTTCTGCTTCCTTATCTGTAATTGCAGCTTTCCATGAATATTAAGAGTGTTTTTATAAGGTTATTACCGTGGAAATAATTAATAATTCAGTTGCGGGGTAAACTAATTTAAACTGTTGGTTTCGGCAGGATCCTATGAATCATTAACAAATCAAAATTTCGCCAGGAACACTCCCATTATTTGCTCGATTTCGCATGTCTGTTTTTAATTTCTTTGGATTACTGTATGGAAATTATCATCATTGTTTTGGAGGTCTAACAAAATTTGGTGGCAACAAGGTTTATTGGAAGGAAATACAGGGAAAATAGAATAGAAAAAAGTGAGGAAAGAACTCAAGTGCGACCTACAGATTGTAATGAAATTTGGGACAAATTGAGATTAGCCTTTTTTTATGATGTATGCAAGATTACAGCTTGAGTTTTAAGCAAATCCACCGAGGCGTTCAGTCCAGAAGTTGGTGAAAACTTGACACTTTTTTTCTTGGCTATTTACAAACTTCCGCCTTATTTCTATAACAAATTTTTACATCGAAGGAAGAAAAAATAAACCCCGACGTTTTGTCTATAGTGGCCGTATTTTCTTAATATTGTAGAATATGGTATGACTGTATTTAATCTCTATGGCATCAAGACCAAATTTTCTACAGGGCAAGTCGAAAAATTTTATTGCCAAGCTAAAATTGAGCACTGACAAAAATTGGCCTTACAATCACAGTTATTAGAGGCACTAAGATATCACATTTTCTGGCATCTTAGAGTGTGAGTCTCTCCGCGTTTAGCGTACTCTCTCGGCGGCAAAGATCGTTCAATATCTCGGCGGCTCTTGCAAAGCGCGAGCTAAAACTTTCGGGAATTGATATTTATTCTATACCCGACGTGTGTGCAAAATTTAAAGAAAATCTGAGCGTCGCACTTGGGGTACTTCCCTTGATAGTGAGATATAGTATAATATAATGCTACAAGTGTTTTGTGGCCTTATCACGCATTTGTATGCATATGAATGATTGAAATTTTTTTGCACTTCATTTGCTTGCGAAATACGGCAAACTTTTGTCGGAATGACGGAAATACGACGACAATTGTAACTGCATCAATTAGTGGCATCAGTCCCAAACCGACGATTCGAAACAGCCCAGCCCAATCGCTGGTATTCGGTGACAAAAATCGAGAAAACCCAAAGCTTAAAGTGGGAACGGCATTCAATAAAAATGGCAGCATAATCTGAAATCATGAAAAAAATTTTGTTTCAAATACTGAGCACAGTACGATACCTGGACGCTCAACATTCTGCTGACTCGACGGTTCAGAAGTCTCGTTCGTGGTGTCATTGCAGAAGTGTGCTTTCTCAGCGAAAAGTAGGTCTTTGTCGCCAAATAAAACGCCGCCCCATAAACGACAACAACAGTTATGTAGTGGAAAATATGATAGCCATTGTGGTCTCGGTATTGCTGAAATTGGGAAGCGAAAATGGAAAGTCAGGACCTTAATTCGACTAGGCTTTACGACATTTACAAGGCACATCAACCACAAAAAAAAAAGTTTCAAATCGGGAAAACTGTTTGCATAACTTTGTTAGGGTGCCCAAGGGTAGCTCAAATTAAAAATTGGAAACGAGTCGGACTGACCAAAAAATAGTAGATTTGAAAACCTTATTTTAGACATCTTTTGCCACTAAATCGTTTCGTAACGAAGCAATTGCCTAAATTCTTTTTTCTATGAGTATAATTAGAGTAGTTTTAGAGAACAATAAGCAACCCTGTGTCATATACTAGCTTACTCACTCAAAATTCCAAAAAAAGTGATATTTAGGTGACTAAAATAATATTTTAAAAATCGGTAAATTTTGACTCAGCTAGGTCCACTATGATCTAAAAAAACAATAAGAGCATAATTAGTGGCATCCGCACCAGTTTAGAAGCTGTTCTAAGAACCTTGTTTTAGGTGATATTGGCCATTTTTGAAATTGGCGCAGCGAAGTTGAAACCAACTCCAAAAGCTCAGTATAGCCTTAGAAAGCCATCTCATTTCACATAGATAGTTTTAAAACTTTGACTTCAGTCATAAACTTTCATTATTTTTGGTATAAGATCAGGTATGGATCTATAAGGTAAAACTTTTTTTCGGCCTAAGAGTTAAGATTTTTGCAATTAATCTCCCTTAACAGGATGTTATGAGATAATATAGTTAATTAATTAGACTATTTAACGCTGTAGGACATTAAAAGTTGCCCAAAGTAATATAATCCATAAGGTAAAAAGCTTAAAATCGCATCTACTTTTTTATTATCTGTCCGATTTGCTTCAAACTTCGCATACTACCTTAGAATACAATATTCTGAAGATCGTTGCAATCACTTTCCGTGTTTCAATCGTTTTAGACAAGTTATTCGGCCGCAAAGTTTGCAAAAATTCGATTTTCTCCGGCCGTTTGTCGCTAACCTGGTGGCCGAAGAACGCCAAAATCAATTAATTTAAAAAATATGGGTCCTTGGCAATGTTTTAATCGCAGGTTCATGTTATTTTGTTCATTACCCACTGCACAGAAAGCTAAAACATTAGAGACCCTTAAAAAACCGAATGCCAAAAATCTTGGCATTCTGTTTGTGGTTGATGTGCAAGGGAGTTATCATAACTTGTGACGCTCAGATTTTTATTCAACTCTGCACACACCTTGTGTCTAGGCCGCAAATTAACCTCTGAAATTTTAGCTAGCGCTTTTAGAAGACGGTTGAGATTTTGAGCGATCTTTACGGCAGGGAGAAGAAGTCTGCTGAGAAATGCAGAGAATTGTGATAGAGAAAAAAGCTTTTTGGCTATATCTTTGGCATCTTTTCTTGGAAAAATGGATATTCAGTGTCTATAGGAACTCCAGTTTCTGCTACGTGCGATCAAAAAGTCCTAACAATTTTTGCGCCATGCGAAAGTTCGGGTTTTGGACGTCGCGGGAAATTGCGGCGACTTTCATACCAAAAATCTAAAATTTTCAAAACTTTTTAAAACTCAAATTCCTGGGTGTTTCTGCAAAGCGCGAGCTAGCAAATTTGCATAGTCCGTTCGCAAAGTCGCTGTGAAATTTTCGGATTTTTGGGCCGTACAAAATGTAGGCGTTTTTGGGCTGTCTCTCACACACTGACTTTTCATCCCAGTGACTTTACGAACGGACTAGTAAGCCAAACTTTGGAAAAATCTAACTCATCTTTTGCTATAAGACATTTACCCGGTTGTTGTATCTACAAGGTCTCCTTACCAGCGTCAAATACTCTCCAAGCTCAGTCAAGTCACATCCATCCATCTCCAATTCCCTGTCCGTCTCCATATTCCTTTCCACTAAAAGTGTTTTCGCCCAAACAGCATTAACAACCGTATGAAAAGCCGCCGCGCCGACAGTAACATTGAATTTCCAATCAAGCCTTGTCCCAAGCAGAGAGCAGTATCGATAAAAGAATTGAAACGGCAGTGCTATGAGGCATATACTGCTGACAAAGAAGGCAAGTGTCGCAAAATACTCTAACAAATCTGCTGTAAAAGATCCCGGTTTTCGGAGATACCATGCCAGGAATATGTAGGCATAGTGTTTGCCGTTGAACATTGCCTAAGAAATTCAAAATATGAGGTTGGTAAGACAAAACTTACCAGCCTCAGTGTGGATCTGGAAATCCCAACATGGGCTATGTTTAAAGAGCTGTGAAAGAAGATCAAATTAGTACAGTGCCTTTGGACTCTTGGCTGCCGAAAACAACGCAGCCACACGAATCCGTTAAGCAACAATGCGGGAATATCCGTGACGTAGAACAAAACGTCAATCATTTTGTGGAACGTTTGGTCACATAACAGCATGGTAAACAATGGCAATGTACATGTTCGTTACTTGACTTCTTGATGAACGTCGAGATTGTTTTTAGTGCAACGATGTTCTTTTTAGTCAACGCTGACATGGAATTCCATTTGCTGCAAAGAAAATGGAATTATAAAGAGGCACTTGGAGAACTCGGGGGTGTTTTATAAAACAGTACAGTGGGGGACCTGATCCAGTGGCAAAAAACGTGCCATTTTACATCCAAGCATTAAAAAATGTGGCAAAATACCTCCATCTCCAAGTGAAAAAAACTTTGTTTTGAAGGCTCTCCCTCACAAAAGAGCGGACGCTCTTTTGAATTCTGTGTCTTTTCACTTGGAGAGGGAGGTATTTTGACACATTTTTAATACTTCCCGGATGCGTCATATACAGTGACGGACCTGAGCCAGTGGCAAAAAAACGCATTTTTGCATCTTCGTTTTGAAGGGCGCGGCTTTTCCTTCACAAAAAGAGCGGGCGCGCTTTTGAAATCGGAATTTTCTCACTTGGAGAGGCAAACATTTTGTCACATTTTTTGATGTTTCCCGGATGCAAAATGATGCGTTTTTTGCCATTGGATCAGGTCCGTCACTGCAAAATCTAAAAGAGCTGAGATCTTTATTGTCAGACATCCCTCAAGAATTTATTTCATGGCTTACAAGAACTCGGCAAAACGTCGTCTCTGGTTTTTTCTTGATACTTACACCATTTGAAATAGTTTAAAAACTGGTCAAGAATCACTGTTAAATTAGCTACTAAGATTCGCATTTGCTTTTCTTGAAAGAAGCGTGAGACTAGCTCGGAATAAAAAAATGCTCGCTAGCTATCACATAAAAGAATCTTAGCAACTAATTAAAGGTGATTCTAGACCAGTTTTTTACGATCTTTCAAATGGTATATGTATGCTTCCAGAAAAAAACCAAAGGACGAGGTTTTGCCGAGCTTTTATAAGACATAACTTGTAAATTTAATTACTGCTTTGCTTCCAGTATACGAAATGTACGAGGTGAAAGGACCAAATAGTACAACATCTTTGGACTTTTGGCTGCCGAAAACACGATAAGATTATGGAAAAGTTAAGGGGCAATGATGGAATTACAGTCATGTAGAAGACGGTTCTGAAGAAAGAGTAGAAAGCGGGATCATAGCATTGTAATTTGCGGAACTACAGGGTGGCCCAAGAAAATGGAAACTTTTTTCCATGGGTCCTGCCGCGAAAACCTTGAGGTGTAGCCAAATAATTTTTTCACCAGTAAATTCTCTGTATTTTTCTGCTCTAGGCGTTTTATTTTCATGCCCATATCGCTTGGTTAACATGTCTTTTTTGAACGTCGAAACTAGGGGCCTCGATTTCCGACTTGTTTCGGCAAGAAAAAGGACAGTGTGAGGTTGATAAATTTCTGGCTGTAGCAAAATCTGTCATGCCAAAAGCCACCAAATAATTCAACGGAATACTCCGAGATAGTACGCGTCCGGGAAGTCGAAAAAAGTGCACCTTAAATTCTTCTGCCAACCTTGAGATCGTCAAAAAGCGAGTGAAGCGAAATCTGATGGTGTCCAAGAAAAAGATTGCCCGAGAGACCGTAATCAACAGGGCAGCTATCTGCGAAATGGCCAAAAATGTACAGCAGCTTAAGCCTTACAGGCTACAAAAAGTTCAGCGCCCTACGGAAGACCACACGTTAGTACGGCACAAAAGACTTTGAAAACTCAGGCGCCGCGCCGGTGCTCCGGGTATCAGAGGAGATCCTGTTCATGGATGAGACATAGCTCAACATTGAGCAGGTCCACAAACACCAGAATGACAGTAATTGGGCTGTTGAGCGTCATCAAGCAACCGCAATCTTCGAACCATGTCAAAACCTCTTCCGTCATGGCATGGGGCAAAATTTTGCGCCAGAGGCAAAACATCCCCGTTTTTCGTGGTTAAAGATGTCAAAATTAACCGAAACGTCTACCACCGGTATTCTGGAGGTTGTGGGCGCTTCCGTGGACTCAGTAGCAATTTGTGGATCAAAATTTAACGTTATAACAAGATTCAGCTCCGGCCGACAAGGCAAAAAGTGCTCGGCGGCTGATTTTTCCGATTTTTGCTACGTCTGCAAAATTGCCGCCGACTCGCCGGAGATGGATCGTATAATTTTTATTTTTTTTTCGATTGGAGGCGAACGCCTGTACTATACGTCACAAAAGTTTGGACCGGCAAAGTTATCGCTTCGCCAAGAACGGGGTCGATTTCCCCAAAAAAAGCTGCGGCGTATCGCCCAAAATTTTCAGTCACGTTTCGCGCTCTATATCGCCGCGAACGGCAGATATTTCGCAACTGGCCGAACATGTTATTAACAATGTTCCATGGTAATGATATCGATAATTACTTTGGCAAAATTTAGGTCGTGAACCGAAATATAGCTATAAATATGAGTTTCCATTTTTTTGGGCCACCCTGTATAAAACTCTATTAAAACAATAAATTCGTTTATTGTTTCGGATATCTTTCACTGTATTCAATCAGAATAAAAGGGCATTTTTTTATTATTAGATTTACGGTTCAAGTCAATAAATCTTTTATTCCATCAAACAGATGCAATCGATGGATTCATTTCTGTAGCAAACCCTCTTTCCAGTACTTGTTTATGTAATATTTGAGGTCGCCATTGTGATAGAACTCCTTTGATCCCTCGAAACACAGACAATCCTCATAATGTGTCGTCGAATCGAAGGGAAGATGAAAATGATCACAAATCCATCAAATAATGGCAATATTCCTAAGCCAAATGCTCTTCCCAAAGCAATCGTCTCGCCGGTCTTTCCAGCGACTGATCGTGAGAAAATGAAAGCCAACATTGGGCCGACGTTTAGGATGAATGGAATTGACAGCTAAAATGGCAGTGTTCATGAATAGTTAGGGCTGATGCAACGGTTGAAAATTCCCTATTTTTTTGATCGGTCCTAGCCGAAGCGGTCTACCAAAAAATATTTAAAAGGTCTTACAAGCCGTTGGATGGTCGGCGGACGCTCGGCGAAGGCTCGGCGGAGACTTGGCAAAGGCTTGAAATATAACTCACCTCTTTTAATTTTAGCTATGTATTACTAACGTTAGTTTCCTTTACCCCGAGTTATTGTAACATATAAAAGACCAAACCTTGCAGCAAAAAACGAAGACCCATAACTTTTATCTAGATATTATTGATGTAAGTACACGTAAAATACCTCAAAAATAGATAATAAGCTATCCTAGGATCCATTGTGCGCTAAGTTAAGGCAGTTCCACATACAATTCCTAGCACCCTTGACAATCCTTTACAACTTTTTGGCCAGCCACAAATGAAAATGCTTACCTGAAGCAGTATCATATGATTGAGCCGTCTGTTCATCACAACGGTCTTTCTTGACATCATCAGCGACTTCTTGTTTACATATGCATGCGTCTTCACTGAATAATACACAACAATGATAAATGCCATAACGATAAAAGATCGATGGAGGTTTGCGTAGATTGTCGCGTACTGTGCTGTCTAAAGGGGGTTGGGATAAAACTTTAGGGCATTGGAATTTACCCACCCTGTCATATACCAGATGATTACTTAGAACATTTGGATCACACTTCATTTCCAGCAATTCAGCATCAGATTTCTTGTTCTTTAGCTCCATTAAATACACAACGCTTCCAGAATCCCAAAGACTGTAGAAAAGCCCAATCAAGATTCCAATCGAAGTCTTGAAGCGAACACTTTCACTTTGAGATACCAAAATTTTGTAGCGACAAAAGGATTGGGTCGGAAAGACAGCCAGATAGAGGTATTGAGCGAATATTTCAATAAAGAAAGTTATTTTCAAGGTCGATTCCGAAGCCTGAGCGAGATAGAATGCATGGGTAAGGTAGTACACATACTTCTGGCCATTGCTGCTAGTCTTAATGTAAATATTTAGTTTGGCTAAACACTTTGATTTTTTTTAAAATTACCATGGTATAGTTTAGTAAGCATGATGGTATTTTTAGTACAGTAGGGCTCGAGTACCATCATTTACAATGGGGGGATCTGATCCAGTGGCAAAAAACGTACCATTTAGCATCCGGGAAGTATCTAAAATGTGGCAAAATACCTCCCTCCCCAAGCGAAAAAACACGGGTTTCAAAACGGCGCCCGCTCTTTTTTGTGAGGGACAGACCTTCAAAAGGATGCATGGCAACCCAAAATAGAACAAAAATGCCTCCCGCCCACTTTTGAATTTCGTCCAAACGAAGTGTCAAAATTCACAAAAGAAATAAAATAATTCCGATAAAAATATTTGGAGAGGGAGGCATTTTGCAACATTTTTTGATACTTCCCGGATGCAAAAAGGTACGTTTTTTGCCAGTGGATTAGGTCCGTCACTGTAGAGAGATAGCGATATCATACCCCTTGTTATGGTCTTATATTGGCATGTTGAACAAATCACAGTTTACGTGGGATTTGTCAACGGCTCCTATGAATTTCTGAGACCAAACAAGTCTAATCAAATGGATTTTACCAAGTGCTAACACCCTGTGGAAACTCACAAACTTAAAAGCAACACGTCCAATTGTGTAGAACATGTTGATAATCGTATGGATGCCTATGAAATACTTGAAGAGCCTTTGCTCGGCGTTATGACGCAGACATGCCGCCAAAACCAATCCGTTCAGCGCCAAGGCTGCAATGCCGGCAATGTAGACGGATCGCTCCAAATAATCGTAAAAGTCGGCATTGCACAACAACATGCTACGAATTCAGACGGGTTAATTGACTCATTCCGGCGCTGTTTACCACTGTGCATTCGAGATCTCATTACATGCATAATGATTTTAATTTGGTTTATGAAAATTACGGCGGTGTTTGGCAGACTTTAGACAAGGCCATTTTCAAATTGTCAAAAAATAAAGTTCTTCGACTCTGGATGCAATCGGTGTATTCATTTCTGTAGCAAACCCGCTTTCCAGCCAGTATGTATATTTATGTAATATTTGAGGTCGCCATTGTGACAGAACTCTTGTAATCCCTTGAAACGCAAATAATCCTCATAATGTGTCGTCGGATCGAAGGGAAGATGAAAATGATGACAAATCCATCAAATAATGGCAATATTCCTAAGCCGAATTCTCTTCCCAACGCAATCGTCTCCCCAGTCTTCCCAGCGATTGATCTCGAGAAAATAAACGCCATCATTGGGCCGACGTTTAGGATGAATGGGATTGATAGCTAAAATGGCAATGTTCACGAATCGGTTGCAAAATTTATAAAGGTCTCCGGCTTCTTAAAAGTTATCAGTGCCAGAGATGACACAGCCAACGTTTTTGAGCGAAGTCCCGATTATTTTTCTATTTTTCATGCAATTGGTTTAACAAGACCACAAAATTTTTACTTTTCTGAACGCTGAGAAGCCTGGCTCCGACTTTGGGCACGGGATATGGAGCCGGACCAAAAATTTCCGGCTCCGGCTCTGGCCCCTGCTCGGAGTCGGAGCCGCTCGAGCTGGAGCCAAGAGCCGGCTCCGAAGCTGTGGCAGTCACTGGTAACTACCTCAGAATACATTGTCGGTTAATTGTAAGTCAAAACAGTCGAGCGGATACAATCCTTAGCACCTTTGGCAATTCTTCTCGACTTTTTTGGCCAACCACGAGTAAAAACGCTTACCTGAAGCAGTATCATACGATTGAGCCGCCTGTTCATCACAATGGTCTTCCTTGAAATCATCATACACTTCTTGTTTACATATGCGTGCGTTTTGACTGAGTAATACACAACAATGATATACGATATAACGAAAAAAAGTCGATGGAGGTTTGAGTAGATTGTCGCATACTGTGCTGTCTAAAGGGCGCCGAAATAAGATTTCAAAAAGCGCCGAAATTTTACTTACCCTGTTAAATACCAAATGATTAGTGAAATTATTTAGATTATGCTTTAGATTACACTCCATTTCCGACAATTCAGCATCAGATTTTTCGTTGTTGGACTCCATTAAATATACAAGGCATACGGAATCCCAAAGACTGTAGATAAACCCTACCAAAATTCCAATCAAAATCTTGAAGCGGACACTTTCGCTTTGAGATAGCAAAATTTTATATCGACAAAAGAATTGGGTTGGAAAGGAGGCCAGGTAGAGGTATTGGGCGAAGATTTCAATAAAGAAAGTTATTTTCAACGTCGATTCCGAAGCCTGAGCGAGGTAGGAGGCTTCGGTAAGGTAATAGACATAATTGTGGCCGCTGCTGATAGCCTTAATTTAAACATTAGGATGGCTAAAAAATTTTAAAATTTTTTTTGTAAAATCACCGTGGGGCTGTTTATACATATTATGTAGTATGCATGATAAATATTTTTAGTTTACTAGGGCTGGAAATAAAATATTAGCCCTCGAGTACACCCAATTAGACATGCAACGATGTCATACCCTTTGTTATGGCCTTATACCTCGTATTTTGAACAAGTCACATTTTAGGTGATTTCGTCTACGACCTCTAAGATAATGAGTTTTAAGGCCCAGTAAGTGTGACCAAATAGGTTCACACCAAAAGCTAAGACCCTCAAAAAACTCACAAACTTAAACACAACCCTTCCAATCGTGTAGAACATGTTGATAATCGTATGGATGCCTATGAAATACTTGAAGAGCCTTTGTTCAGCGTTATGACGCAGACATGCCGCTAGAACCAGCCCGTTCAAGACCAAGGCTGCAATGCCGGCAAAATAGACGAATTGCTCCAAATAATCGTGAAATACCGAGCTGCACAACAACATTCTAAAAGTTCAGACGGGTTGAGTGGGGTTTTCAGGTGCTGCTTACCGCAGTGCATTTGATAGCTCATTATAATTATAATAGTTTTAATTTAGTTTGTGAAAATTCAGGGGGTGTTTTGCCAACTTTTGAGTAGGTTTTTTGAAAGCAACGTAATTTTTATTTTGGATGTATGTCTTTACCTATAATACATAGAACTACTTTCCTTGTCAATTAGGTCAAGAATGAGATTGTCCGAAGCGAGATAATGGAGGTCCTTCTATGTTTAGAGAGGCAGCGGTAGAAAAGCTGGCGTTGAAAAGATGGGAAGACCATTATGATGACAAGCGCATCAACAAGCGGGAAAATACCCAACCCAAAGGCTCTCGCGATTCCGATGATATTGCCAAGCAAAGTTGAGACCGAGTCTGTGAAGATGAAGCCGATCATTGGGAGGACATTGAGTCCAATCAGCATTATTAACTAAAAAAGGGTAAATAAATGTGATGTGGGTACCTGAACACAGAAGAGCCGGTTTAATCGGTGATTGAGAACGATCGCTTTTCTCGACATTGCATGATATACTTTTCGTATATGAAGAATAGTTATCGTCCCATAATAAAGCACTATAACAGACGAGCCAATGACATATGCTCGATGAAGTGTGGAGTAGGTTGAAGCTCCTGGAAGGCGCTGCAAAAAATTAAAATAAACATGAAATAAAACTCTCTAAGACTCCAATAAAATATGTTTTGCCACAGTACCTTTGAAAACACCACATGCTTATGAATCGAACTTGTATCACATCCACCTTGCAGCAACTCCTTGTCCGATTTGTCACCGTTGATTTCAACAAACGGCATTAACCATGTGGAGTCAACCAGACTGTAGCCGACAGCCAAAGCCATGGCGCCGAGCGTCTTGTACATTTTTGTGACGCCATTGGAAATAAGAACTTGATAGCGATAGAAAAATTGGACAGGCAACAAGGACAAGTACATGTATTTGATAAAGTTATGGAAGAACATTTCGCGGAAGAGTATTTCGTCATGGAAATTATAGAGGTACTCGGAGAATGTAATGTAATAAACATAGTCCTGGCCGTTGTGTACTGCCTGAAATTTTTTTTTTTCTGCCTGAAAAATTGTTGTTGTTGAAAGATATAAACATAGTTTTTCACCGCCGGCTGCAAAATTTACGATTAGTGTCAATGAATAATCAGTACGTGCGTGCTCAAAACAACTCAATTGGCCTTACAGATATACGTACGTGTATGTAATTCATACGTATATCTTCTCGTCTTGTTTTTTGCACTACCTCTTTTTCAACTGTATGGTGTTTTAACAATTTGTATTTTTGTAGCAATTGTACCGTAAAAAATGTGATGATGACATTGGATAAAAAATTCGTTTCATCATGTACTAGTCGCGACATAAAGTCCTGACACATTTTGCACCGTGCGAAAGTTCGGGGTTTGGACGTCGCGCCCCCAAATTCGGGTTTGTCGCGCGCGAAAGTGCACGTCTCTAGTGCAAAAACGGGAAATCGCGGCGACAAATGCGAAAAGATGCACAGTGCGGATGAAATGAAAGAAGAATGCACGGTGCAAAATGTGTCAGGACTTTATGTCGCGACTAGTAAGTTATGAAAGGTTTTTTGACTTTTTAGTGAATAAAAATCATCTTTTTTTGACAAAACCACTGTATCTTTTAGTATCAAATGTTTATAAATACTTACCATTTTAAACGCCAAATGATCGAGCGTAAACAACATATTCAAAACAGTTTGAATGATAATCAAATTAGTGCAAAATCGACTCTCCATTGGTTGTTTGAATATTAAGCAGAAAATCAGTAGATTCAATATCACCGCCGGGATTCCCATGAAATAAAAAGAGGCGTCGAAGTAATTGTAGAGGTCAGCGCGACAAAATAACATTATTCCTTGATAAATACAATATGCAAATAGCAATCTATTCCGTTTCTGGATAATCAAACCACTGTTGCTGACATAATTAAAAATTTAATGCATGCGGCAAGGTTAAAGGGTTAATTCTTGGCCGTTCTTGCAGCTACTTTAATAAGAAAGTAATTTTAATATTTAAAGTACGCGCTTCCGTATAACTACGTACACACTTGGCAAAAATGCAATAAGTCGCGTTGAGACTCAAAAAAAAAATAATTTTTGTACGGTAGAAAAATATTTTTTTTTTTTTTTGGCTGGAGCCGAGAATTTTGTTCTGCGGATGGAATCGACAATCTTGGAGCCTCGGCGTCGTTGTAAGTACATTTCATGTATAATAAATATATGTTTTTGTTTTTCGTGTATATTTTGCTTGATTTTAGCTTCTTTTCAAGAAAAATTTTGATTTTTTAGGTTGAATTTTTCTGACGCGTCAAGAAGCGTAGATTCGAGGTCATCTACATGAACCCATTGATGAGTACAACGATGTAGAACAACGGTTTCGTCGCGTACAATTCTTCAACGGTTGTATTGGAAGTGGAAAAGCAGAAGGTCGATGAAGGCAAGGTCAATATCGAAAAGCCTTTGCAAGGTCATGTAGAACATCCCTGACGAGAAGGTCCAGAAAAGTTGTGTTGAAAATAGTTTACTTTCAGCTTCTTTTTTTTTTCATTTTGCCACTTGAGATTTAGTTACAATAAAGAAAAATAGAATAATTGGTTCAACGTAAACTTTTATTTTGTATTCTTTTACGAATTCATAAACATGTTAGAGGAATGAAGCTAATATTCTTGGTGATCACGGACACGATCAACTAAATCTTGTCCCGGTTGAATCCAGAGATTGGAACGAAGGCAACGGCTTGGGTTCTTTCTATTCGGCGCCCTTGATGAAGTTCGAGACCTCGTTGACGACTTCAAGGAAAGGGATTTGTGAAAATCTGAAAGAAAAACATGCAATATTACGTCATTATGGATCAAACGTCAAAATTTTAGTACCTAAAACACCTAAAGCAAGCAATACAACATACCCCATTGATCTTTTGGCTTTTCAATCCTGACCTTATATTCGTTTCAAGGAGTTGAAGAGCTCTATCTTCAATTGCTGGACACCGTATTCATCAGTGGGTTCATGTGGACGACCTCGAATCCACGCTTCTTGACGCGTCAGAAAAATTCAACCTAAAAAATCAAAATTTTTCTTGAAAAGAAGCTAAAATTAAGAAAAATATTCACAAAAAACAAAAAAATACATTTATTATACATAAAATATACTTACAACGACGCCACGGCTCCAAAATTGCCCATTCCATCCGTAAAAAAACAAAATTCTCGGCACCAGCCACAAAAAAAATTATTTTTCTACCGTACAAAAATTATTTTTTTGAGTCTCAACGCGACTTATTGCATTTTTGCCAAGTGTGTACGTAGTTATACGGAAGCGCGTACTTTAACAAGGTCAATGACCGACCAGAGAAGTCAAGTGTAGAAACAGTGCAAATAGTAGTTTAGTGATGCAAGCAAAGCTTTAAATAGGCTCTGGTGTAACACGAAGATGTCACGATATTGAGAAAGGGTATTACGAAACTCTGAAAAAGGTTACAAAATCTTACAAAATCTCAAAAATATAGTCTTTACAACCAGCAGACGCTGTGGAAAGACATTACGTTCTGCTGGGGCACGCGTGTTCACATGAGAACTTTATATATGTGCATTAAACACTAGGTAGAATAATGCGTTAATCTGTTCGGGATAGTGAAAAAAACACAGTAAAAAAGTCTACCGTAAGGCAGAGAAAAGAACATTGCACTTGATGACATAATGGGGAAAGCATGAAAAGCGAGTTGCGAGTGAAAAAATGTAAATAGATTATAATAATTTTTCTTGAAATTGATATCAACAAAAAAAAAGCTTTGTGGTCAGACAGTCTAAGCATCTCATTGGGGTGTCTGTATGGTAGAAGAAGGTTTTTCTGTGTTCACCCGATTCACTACAAAAAGTCACATAGGGAACCTTCACCTGTTACAAAACCAATACAAAATTTTACGCCGCGCCGCCCCTAGCGGTGTTTCCCGTGAAGATACGTGAATTACACATGCATAATAATAGAAATGATTTGGTCCGAGCAGTGCACCTGGGAAACAATTTATTACACCTTGAAAAAATTGGAAATATTAAGAGAGGAGTGTATCAGCTATCCAATGTCAGATTGACTATCGAAGATGTTTGCTAATATTATTATCTATGAAATAATTCTAACAGTTTGGCTATCCAATCGAACTTTTTTGGCTAGCCAGGTTTTTGACCGTGATTTTAACTTATCCCCCATCTATCTCAAATAAAAATGAACCAAAAATTTCCTGAGTCCCCCTTGCCATATTTTTTTACAAACCAAAAAAAGTCATTCAAAAATTTACCTTGGTCGCCCCGCCACATCTATTTTGTAAACCGCACTGTTCGTCCAGGTGCTGTTTGTGTGAAATGCACTGTTTGGGACCAACCAACAAAAGTTGAACCGTAAACCAAGCAAATTACTATGTATGCGCATAAATAATCCATAATTATATAATTTATTCCAGCTTAGTTTTCAAAGTTTCAACTCTGATTTCAATTCAAAGTACATATTATTTCCAATCGGGCAACATACAGCTCTTGTGGTTGAACATGCTCTTGGCAACATCCCTAAACACTGGTTGTGAGTTTTGGATTGATCCCTACATTGTTGCAGCTATGATGACGTAGTCTTCCGCAATGGTATGTGCAATAACGAATGCAGTTTGCGTTTTCTGGTTTCGTAGCGCCGAATTTCGGAGAAGCTGACTAAAAAGTTCGGTAAGGTACAGTGAAAAAAACGTACCCTTTTGCATCCAGGAAGTATCAAAAATGTGGCAAAATGCTTCCTTCTCCAAGTGAAAAAACTTCATTTTGAAGGACGCGCCCTTTTTTCTCACAAAGAGAGCGGGCGCGCTTTTCTTCACTTGGAGAGGGAGGTGTTTTGCCACATTTTTTGATGCTTCCTGGATGCAAAATGGTGCATTTTTTGCCACTGGATCTGGTCCCCCACTGTAAGGCAAAGTATCCTGACAAAATACCTTGTTTATTGTTGAATTTGCAGAAGAATTGTTGCTGGCCAAGTTATCTTCATACTCGTCATCTGGAGTTTCTATAAGTTCAAGATCGTCGTCATCAATTTCAGCTACAAGAAATGAGAAGAATCTGCTCTGGAGTAACAAAAAAGTCAGCAATAATTCCTTGAACATAATAAAACAAAGTCTCCGAAATGTTCTTTCTCTCAACACCACTATCGACTTCTACGGTCATAAAGTTAATTTCTGCATAATAAACGCATCCTCATGACTCCGAAACTATGCAACCTTTCCGAAAGCCCGCAATCGCTTCCGGGTAGACGCATAAAAAATTTTGAACAATTCTAATTTACTTATTTTCCGCCCATCCGCTCCACCTCGACGTCATTAATTTTGGTGGTTTGTTTCCTCGAATCTAATTTCGACCGAGTTCTCAACCGAAAAATAATGCCATCCTTCCCTTCTCCCCGATGGCCACGAACACGCAAATGAGACATTGCCGTTGTTCGTTTGGAGATTCCTTTATTCTGCCCGGTTCCATGGGACCTTTGGGGTTACAGTAGAGCCGTTGTTTTCAATGTAAGAAGATATGGCTGCGGTAGAGTGGCAGTTGAAAATTGCGACTGCCGCTGTAAGGAGCACTAAGAAAAATTTTGAAACTGGGGTACTTTGTAGAGCGATGAGAATTGTAAGCTTGATGATTGGACCGCTGAATTCTAAGCATTTTTCTTTTGCATATCACCGCTGCTAGTGGCTCAATTTTACAGGGTGGGCCACCCGAAACTCCCAACCTCTTTTCAGGTATTTCTCCGCCAATAATGCACCAATTTTACTAAAATTTATATCAAATTAAAGCTGAGACACCCCATTTCTTGTCCACCAAATATGGCCTGTCTAAATTTATAGAGGTACCCGTACTGACCCTTGACCAAAACTGAAATACGGCACTGTTTAGCACGACAACCCGTTGCGAGATCACAATTCAAGACCCTGTCTTCGGTTCCTCCAATTCAAGCCCACAATCTTCATTTCGAAGCGGCCCCATGCATTTAGCCGAACACCCGCTTCCGCCATTACCATCCTCATTCCAGCCTCCATTGTTTTAGACCTCATCAATGGGATTTAAATGCCCAAATGTATCCATTCTTTGGCCCTCCAAATCCGTCTTCTGCCCTTCCTTTGGGGATTTGTCCGATGTTTTGTTGGAAGAAGGAAAAGCTCTCGTCATTCCGGGGGCCTGAAGTGCTTTCGTCGGATGATGACACTGGGACAAGTATTTTTGTTTTTGAGAACGCATTGAGTTCAGTTAAATGGATGATGATGTTTCAATACTGTATTAATTTGTTCGCTTTTGTGGTAGACAAGAACTTGCCGCCAGCGAATTTTTTGATTGTTTTGCGACATACTCGTCTTATTCAGGATTTTTTGTCTTTGTTCCTAAATATTTAATTCGCAAGGTCTGCAGGCCAGACGAAGCTTGTCCCAAATATACTTCCTTTGTTTTTTTAGGAAACCCCGTATTTGTCTCCGATACGGCCAAAGATGCCTCAAAAGATTTCCCTTGAAAACGAGCTAAATTTTGCTTACCGCAACTATAAAAAGCGCCTGCGGCAAGGAATAGTTTCTGTTTTTATAATTCGAAATAAAAACAAAATTATTGGTATAATATCAATGTTTTATACGCAGCTCATCGTATTAAAAATACGTCCGTTTTTTGCCTCTTTAATGTTGTTTTTTCTTCCACCGCTATTACTGTTGACGACAAATTTGTTTCATACATTTCTAATCCTATTAACGAGAGTATTATGCCTGTCGCCACATTCCCTTTGCATTATGCAATTTGTTTTTTTTTTTCGAAGGTGGCGTGCCGCGTGTCCCTTCAGCCCTAATGCTGGTGACATAACGGGAGAAGAAAGCAATAAAAATAGCATCCTCGAGGTCTGTGGCTTATCTGGCGTCCGTCGGATTCTGGAGGCTCTACTTATCTCCGTGCTTTGGGGTTGGGATTTGAAATGGCAGGGACGGCTTCGTAAAGAAATTATTTTAAAGTCTTACTGGTTTATTGAAGGACTAAATTTCTTGAAAATATATTAGTCATCGTTTTCAATAATAAATAGCTCTTATCGAGAGGCACGTGATAAATCTATCTCTGACAGATTACAATTCCTGCGATACTCGATTTTTCTTACTGTAGACTATTATTTTTTTCAAATTCAAAGTCCTCATATCAATTGCATTGTTTACCGTGACATCATATTTCTATTTTCATTTTGACCTCCGCCTTCCTTCCCATGTCAACGTCTCAAACTTCAAAGACCCTTGCCATCGTTCCACCTTACACTTTCCCCCCACAGACCCCAAATTTTTCATTCTCTTCTGGGTCCGCAAATTTTTTTATTCCGGAGATTTCACTACTTTCCCACTATGCTTTCTCCACGGCACCGTGAGGCCCTCTTTTCCCGTGGCCCTTTTTCCTCGTTCTCTCGCCGCCACAAAAGGGAAATGGAGAATTCGTCAGGACAGGACTGAATAAGAGCAAAGAAGGGACATAAAATACATGCCAGAAGAACAAAATGTAGTGCCATGACGGCGAGGTGCTTCACTCGGCGGTCCGCACTCTCTGCGCCCGCCTCTTTGCACTGTGCGGGCTCTGTGAGAGACGGGAATCCAACTTGCGGGTTGCTTTCCAAGATTTTTATCAGACGTTTTTTTCGGGTAATGTGACCGGAATGGGTTAAGGAGGCGCTGGCCAATGAATGCCGGAGGGTTTCGTGACGGTTCTGGGTTCGAATTTTTGAACACAAAGTGCAGTTTCTTTACCGATAATTGCAGCAATTGTCACGAGAAAGATGTCTTACAATTAGTTGACAACTTCCGTTACAAATATTACTTTTTGCTTCGAAAGACAATATCTTGATGTTATAACTTTCCGGGAAACCCTTTGATACGTGTAGAAGTTTACATAGAATATGCAAGTGTCCGCAGAATAGGCAAATAAGTTTGTGATAGACTGTAACCCCCACATGCATTTAGATTTTAATTTGTAACACTTTTACCCACATTTTCCATAACCAAACTTCTTCGTCTTCTTCTAATAAGTTCCCAAAGGTTTGAAAGCGAAGTGTGGCCTCGAATTTTATGCAAATCGCCTTCCGTTTTGGTCCATGCCCTAAATACTTCTTATACATCAAAAATAATCCCATTTTTCGGAGAAAAGGCGAATGAATTTGTCAGAAAACTGTTGATTCTGCTCTTTAAAGTTTAGACTTTTGGCTTATACGATGACTTTTTCGCAATAATTAAGTTTTTTGCAATTTGTATGTGAGATTTTTGCGTAAACTTTTACTAGTCATTTTAAAATTACTCCCAGGACGAAGCGACTACGAATACTCTGTGATTACCAATTTTAAACCAAACTATATATCATCATAATGATTTTTTGACGACATTCTCCTGGTTTACGTTCCCATCTTGTCCTACTCTAGTCTATATCCTAGCCGAATCCCTATCCTCGCCCTCCTTCAGTATCCTAAAGTCCAATGTTATTTTTCTTTTCGAAATATCCCCTGAATGTGTATGCGTGGGGTGAATGTAGTGCCGAGGGAGAAAGTCGACAAAAAAAACGGAGAGCTTTCAAGCCCTGACGTCGTCCGATATCTCGTCTTCGGCCGCAAAAAACAACGTTCTCCGGCTTCGTCCCATCCTCCCGTTTTTTCGGCGGAATAAATTTTTGTAATTGCGGGATTTCCAATGGAGGATTAGTGGGGAATTTGCAGGTTTACGTGTATTTGTCTATGAGATCGGAGAGTTAGAACGTATAACGCAAAATAATTTGGGTAATGAGTGTGTTTTTGACAGTACCAGCTGTTTTTATAGGCAAATTTGCAGGGATGAGAGTTGACTAAGAACTCGAGGGCAATAAGAACGGCTGGTTGTAGGATAACAAGGGATTGGAATATGAATAGACAAGGACTGCCCGATCGAAACTGTCTGTCCAATTGAACGTCATTTTGGACGTCCATAACTAGTAAAACCTTAAGAAACCTATGGCTTTTTTGATACAAACAGCCCTTAACTAACATAAAGTTTTCCCTTTACTATGCTCTCAACTAATTTTATGTTTTTTACCCTTTTATTTCAGCTAAAACGGTTCCGGGTTCGTTGACGTTTTTTTTATCGAACTTCCAATGAAGTCCCATTTTTCGAACCTTTTCCCCAAAGCTAGTCCTATTATCTCCCAAAAGGGAGGGTCCAAGATTCCCTCTATTTGCTTCCTTATCCCTCACCATTCAAAATAGCCTGAAGATACGTCAGAGTGACGAGTGAATTTTATTAGCCTACAGTTCATTAGAGAGGCTCCGTTATGGTGTCCATTTGGGGTTGGAATAACCTCCGTAAAAGGAGGTTATTCAAGTTCTTAACCAAGAACTTGGGGTTGCCCTGGACATTTTCTTCGCTATTTTACTCTTATCCGAAACTACAATCTGTTCTGTAATAATTATATTTCTCGCCTACTGCCCAATAGATCTCAAAAACCCTCGTTTTACGGTGCTTCTCATCCATCTTCATCCATTTATGTCCAATTGTTCGTGGATGCTCTTTTCCGTGGGAAAGAAGCAATAAATTTTAATTAATTTGTTCCAAAAATAATTGAAGTTTGTAGAAGAGAGTGACGAAAAACGGGTTCGGCAATATTTCCTGGTGTTCATCGCCTCGAGGCGTTGACATCAGCTGCATTGTCAACATAGAATCCCCTGACGCAGAAACCATTTTCGGTGTCGAATTACATTTTTTCCCTCTTCGGCCGCAGATATTGGAAATTTTACGGCCTTGGCCACACATTCGAGGATCGGAAATTGAGAATTCTGAGGAGAACGGAGACACAACAGAGGCCGAGAAAGCGAGAGAAGTATCAAGGAGTTGTTGCAATAGTAGGGATCGAAACTAGAAGGGAAAGAAGATGTCATCAGTCAAGGTAGCCGTTCGTGTACGGCCCTTTAACAACCGGGAGAAAGAATTTGGAGCAAAATGTGTCATCTCAATGACTGGCAAGACTACAAGTAAGTTTACACATTAGAGATGCAATAAAATTCTAATCAAATATAATAAAAAAATATTTTCAGCCATCAGTGGAGGTCCGGGAAACCAAGCTCACAATTTCAATTATGATTACTCATACTGGTCGATGAACAAACCCGATGCCAACTTTGTCAGCCAAGCTCAGGTCTATGCGGAACTCGGAGTAGAGATGTTGGAACATGCATTTCAAGGATACAACGTTTGTATTTTTGCCTATGGCCAGACGGGATCAGGAAAATCATACACAATGATGGGAAAGCCCAATGACCCAGATGAAATGGGAATCATCCCAAGATTATGCCGGGATCTTTACAACCGAGTCGAACAAACGACGGATCATAACCTGCAGTATAAAGTTGAGGTAAGTCCTCGTGCAGTACCGAAAGTAATGCTTTCTTTATAGGTGTCTTACATGGAGATCTACTGTGAGAAAGTCCGCGATCTTCTCAGTCGTACTCCCACCGACAACCTTCGAGTCCGAGAGCATCCATTATTCGGTCCGTATGTGGACAATCTCGAGAAAATGGCTGCTCCATCCTACGAGGATATCTTCGAACTTATGGACTCAGGAAACAAAGCAAGAACAGTCGCCGCGACAAACATGAATTCCACTTCATCCCGATCACACGCTGTATTCACAATTGTTCTGACTCAGAAATTCCACGACGAGGCCACAAACCTCGACTGCGAAAAGGTCTCCAAGATCTCTCTGGTCGATTTGGCTGGAAGTGAACGAGCAAATTCAACTGGAGCTGAAGGACAGAGACTCAAAGAAGGTGCCAACATCAACAAAAGTTTGACAACGCTCGGATTAGTCATCTCAAAATTGGCAGAGGAGGTGAGAAGAATAACAAGATTGATGACTTTTATTTTTTAGGCCAGCCGAAAGAAAGGGAAAGGTGGCCGAAGTGTGGTGCCTTATCGAGACTCGGTTCTCACCTGGCTTCTACGTGAAAATCTCGGTGGAAACAGTAAAACAGCCATGATCGCAGCACTCAGTCCCGCTGATATCAACTTTGACGAGACGTTGAGTACTCTGAGGTAAAAACTAAATAAAAAAAGTTAAAATAAACTTTACCTTCTAGGTATGCCGACCGAGCAAAGCAAATTGTGTGTCGTGCCAAAGTCAATGAAGATCCAAATGCTCGGCTGATCCGTGAACTTAAAGAAGAGGTCAATCGGCTCAAATCCATTCTTGTCCAACGAGGAATCGAGGTCAGCGAACAGGGCGCGGTCTCAGCCAATCCGCGTGCCTTATATTCGGAAGAGGATACGATCGAGCAGCTGAAAACGAGTGAAAAATTGATCGCGCAACTCAATGAACCATGGGAATCAAAGTTGAGAAAGACCGAAGGTTTCAAGAAAATGAGAGAAGAGGAGCTCCGGGAAATGGGATTGGCGACATCTGCCGATGGAAGTGCGTTGGGAGTGTTTTCACCCAAGAAGTCGCCGCATTTGGTCAATCTAAATGAAGATCCTCTCATGTCGGAGTGTTTGCTGTATTACCTAAAGGACGGAATAACAAGGTAAAGATCTTACCATGTAAAAAGTTTCAAAAAACATTTCCTTCCAAATGATCGAATCTTCTTTTAGAACTGGTCGACCAGAGGCCGATTCCCGTCCTGACATCCCATTGTCCGGCGAAGAAATCCTCGATCAGCACTGTCAATTTGTGAACGAAGATGGAGTTGTCACACTAGTCCCTGAACCCGGTGCCAAATGTTTTGTCAACGGGCAAGAAGTGACTGGCCCCACCAAACTTTCCACTGGATCTCGAGTGATCCTCGGACGGCATCACGTTTTCCGTTACAACGATCCAATGGAAGCACGACAATCCAGATATAATCTGGCCGGAGAAGCGAGCAAAGAGCAGCCAATTGATTGGAAATACGCCCAGATGGAGCTGTACGAGAAACAAGGCATTGATCTGAAAAAGGAGATGGAGAGAAAACTCTGCGACATGGAACAACAATTCAGAAAGGAGATGGAAGAATTGGAAAGACAACACAAGCGGAAGAACAACGAATACGAGTCAAGAATCGAGAGTCTTCAACGTCAGGTTGATCTAGCCCAAAGCATGATCAGCTCGGGATGCTCAACTTGGGATGGAGGCGGCGACTTGATCTTGACCAAGAGCTTGTTGGCTGAAGGTAAGATCAATAACTTTCTTTACCGGTAAATCTACGTAAATTTACCAGTAATTTCCCATTCTCGCGCAACCAGGGGTGGTCGGCAGACCCTATTTTTCCGATTTTCGGCCCGCGGCCCGGCCCGTCTAATCACCGGCCCGGCCCGGCCCGTCTAGTCTTTTTCCAGGCCCGGCCCGTGACGGGCCTGGCCCGGCCCGGCCCGGCCCGTGCAGGCCCGTCTATAGAGGGTTCTGCGAACTGCGCCCAGGCTCGGGATCTAAACTGAGGCAAAAAAGGCGTTGATCTAGCTAGTAAAGGATCAATGTGATAGTTTTGTGGTTTTATAATGGAACTATAGACTTGTAAACGTGTTAGAACTTGAGAAACAGCAACTATAACAACATCAATTAATTTTCCCGGCGCGAAAACAATGAATGCCAACGGTTTGGCATTTTAATTTAGACGGGCCGGGCCGGGCCGGAAAAACCCCAGGCCCGCGGCCCGGCCCGGCCCGGCCCGTGACGGGCCCGGCCCGTTTGTCAATTTCCATTTTTGAGCCCGGCCGGCCCGGCCCGGCCCGCCGACCACCCCTGCGCGCAACCTTCCGAGCAGAAGAAACAGTTGACACATTTTTCCGTCACAATTTGAGACAACTTTTCCTCTCCACGGAACTTTATCAAACTCTCGAATAACTTCTCAATTTTTAGTCAATGAGGAACGTTGGACTCCGGATCAAGAACGCATCGTCCGCCGCGCGGCTCTCAAATGGAGATACCATCAGTTTACGTCAGTTAGAGATGACCTCTGGGGCAATGCGATCTTCCTCAAGGAAGCCAACGCAATCGCCGTGGAATTGCGAAAACGGGTCCAGTTCCAGTTCTGTCTTCTGACTGATACCATGTACTCGCCATTGCCACCTGACTTGCTCCCACCTGGAGAAGATCTGACTCAACGGCCGCATCCGAAGACGGTAGTCGCCATTCAAGTGAAAGACCTGAAGAACGGAGCAGTTCATTATTGGAGTCTGGAGAAACTAAAGTGAGTCTTAAGCTTTTTCTAGGCTTGAAAAGGAGGATTCAACCTATTTGAGCTGAATGAAAACGTGGTTTCGTCCTCCGAAAAAATTAATGGTTTAGTTACCTAAAGTAATATTATTTTTGTGCTTCTCTTGTTAACACGTGCTTCCACCTGTATGATTACTTTTCCAATATGGTGATAGGAAACTGGCTTGGCTTGCTATGCTCCGTTTCGACTGTTCTGTCAACTAAAACAACTTATCCTTTTGATATCATTTGTATACCTAATTTTTAAAACCGTCCTCTCGCTTGCACTGCTCGGACTCTTGTAATCTCACTTGATTCTAGACAACGATTGGAGGATATGCGACGACTCTACAATTCGGATATTTCGGAAGCCGTCACGCCGGAGAATCGGTTCGCCAACGTGAATGAGATGATCGCCGCCATGGTCGTTCAACCCGAAGCTGTCGCCAATCAGTTGTCCGTCGCTGATCCAGCAAGGTATCGCACTTGTTTATCGAACTAAATGAATCGTAATGCATGTGTGTAGCATCCATAGTGTTTAGTTTTCACAACACTTCCACCTGAATGTTGTCTTTGTCCCACAATAATATTTATTGAAATAATTTGCTTTTATAACGTTTCTGCACGTCTAATGAACCTATTATTTCAGAAATCGTCTTCATGGTATGAGAGATGCCTATAATAATACAGATACCATTGACAGTCCGGACGACGACGTCTCCATGGATGTTTGGATGGGCACTGATCCGTTCTACGATCGTTTCCCATGGTTCCGACTGGTCGGAAGGTAGGTTTGGGTATTCATTGTTAGGTCTAGTAAATGAACAAGTACTCGTCGTTTTGGCTTGACAACCCTATTATTCCCCCTCCCACTTTCTCTCCACGCCCTCCTCTTTTCACCGCACTTTCCCCGCTTTGAGCGATTGATTGCTGTAATTGCGGGCGCCTTTTCAGAGCCTTCGTCTACATGTCCAACCTGCTGCACAACGTCCCACTGATCCACAAAGTGGCTGTTGTGAATGAGTCGGGTGATGTGAAGGGATATCTTCGAGTTTCCATTGAGCCCATCCTGAATGATGACAAGAAACCGACCAAATGCGGAGTGCGGCAGTCGGCGAGACTCAATTTCCGAAAAGAAGACTTTATGAAGTCGAAGCGACGACAAATCAGTGATAGTGTTGGCCCAGACGAATCGAATTCTGAGACCGATTCTGGGGTGGAGGATCTGGACGCCGAGTTCCCAAAACACATTTTGAAAGACAAAGAGTTCAGCTTCAAGGTTACGGTAATTGAAACCATCGACATCCCGGTTCATTATACCGATGTCTTCTGTCAGTTCAAGTAAGTTTCTTTTTGTTTGTGGCTCTTTTCTTTTAGGTTTTTATAGAATAAGCTCTTATTTTAGCTTCCTCCATCGTCACGATGAAGCCTTTTCCACCGAGCCAGTTCATCAAAAACCCACCAAGACCAGCGGAAATGCCCTGAAATTCGATCATGTTCAAGAACTCCGCACCACCGCTAACTCAGCGTTCGTTCATTACCTTCAGCATTTCCCAGTGATTTTCGAAATTTTCGGTCATCTGGATAAAGGAGCGACCGAATTGGAAGACGAGTTTGAGATTGACAGTCCACACATGCCTTTGTCGTAAGTTGTATTTGCTTATTATTTGAGTCCGTTTTTAGAAAGAAAGTGTCTTCCAAGTTGGCTTATCAACAGCCATCTTTGGCCATTTCAACTCCAGTCAAGTCTAATCGAAAACACGGAGGCAATGTTCACGCGTCGTAAGTCTTGACGTTTTTTTTTTTGTTTCTTGTTCTGTTTTTAGATGTCTATGAATTTCACGTCAGGAATGATCTTTTTCTTTTCCAGGCTAAACCAAGTCCGCCAAAAACACGATCTCCTTGTGTGGTTTGAGATTTGCGAACTCAACAGCAACGGCGAATATCTCCCCGCAGTGGTGGATCACAACAGTTTCCCAACTCATGGAATCTTCCTTCTCCATCAGGGAATCCAACGCCGCATTAAGATCACAATTTGCCAAGAGAAAGGAGATCTCCGTTGGCGAGATTGTCAAGAGCTGGTGGTTGGCCGGATCCGCACTCAAGTCGAATGGGCTGGAGAAGACTCGGACGTCTTGTCGCTGGGACTGTTCCCCGGAAACTATCTCGAGTTCTCAATGGATGATCGGGTCTTCTTCCAGTTCGAAGCCGCATGGGATTCCTCCTTGCATAACTCCCCGTTATTGAATCGGGTTTCCAATTATGGAGAGTATGTGTACATGACCTTGAGCGCTTATATGGAGGTGGAAAACAGCCCACATCCGGCTGTGATCACCAAAGATTTGTGCATGGTAATTTATGCCAGAGACTCAAAGATTTCAGCGGCGAGCAGGTCAGTGATTTAAAAGTTTTTAAGCGTTTGATATTTTTGTTGATCTCCTACCGTAATTTCAGGTTCTGTCGCTCGCTGATGGGAAGCATTTCGAAGAGCCCGGAGATGAATCGCGTACCCGGCATTTACATGTTGTCCATGAAGGAGCTGGGTGACACAGGTAGTCCAGGTTCGCCAACGCTGGTTTCTTTTTTCTTTGTTAGCGGCTGGAGTTGTATTTAACACTGATTTTCGGTTCCTTCTAACATCCGCTTGATCTTTTTTCCAAGCTAGACGGTTTGAAATGAATAGAAAGCTTGTATTAGGTCGTCCATAAAGTTCGTTCGTTTTTTCATTGCTTTGTTTTACAAGGATAGTTTGTTATTTAACAAATGGAATATATTTATTTGATACAGCTTTTTCTCCTCTACAAAACTGGCTGTATCAAATGGATATATACAATTTGCCAGACAAAAAACAATCCTCGTAAAACAAAGCGATGAAAAAAAACGAACGAACTTTCTGGACAACGTAATGATTGTAACTTTTGGCTGGTTGCGGTGACTAACAAGTGTATTAATGGGGCAATAGAAGCTTAACACCTTACCCTGTCCTTTCTCCTAACTCTGACTGTAACACTTTGATAATTTATTGCGAATTCGTCGCACAAAACCGCTTGTTTTAGGAGCTGTCCGACGTCAACGTCGAGTTCTGGACACGTCGTCGACTTATGTCCGTGGAGAAGAGAACCTAGGCCTCTGGCGACCGCGAGGAGACTCCTTGATCTTTGAGCATCAATGGGAATTGGAGAAACTGACCAAGTTGCAGCAGGTCGAAAGATTCCGACTTTTCCTCCGTCTTCGACACAAGTTGAAGTCCAAGTCGAAGAAGTCATCGGATCCACCGACTCCATTAAGCCCCACAGCTCCCAAATGCCCCATTCCGGATAAAGTGGTCCTAAATGAAACGGAGAAATCGATTGCGGAGAAGGTGATCAGACTTATCAAGTTGAAGATCCCGATGAATAAAGAGTCCCCAACTGGAAATGCCGTCGAATCTGTGGACTCTTCGTTGAGCAACAGCGCTGTTTCACCAACCAATGAACCGGTTAAAGTACATGCAGCTCCACTTGGAGATCTAACCAGATCGAAGTCGAGAAGTGACCATAATCTGGCGGGATTGTGCGTTGAGAACGATGGAATGAAACGATCGGTTAGTGGATCCCAGCTGAGCCAGATTTCAACCAGCATCCCGGATGTAAGTGGAAAAAAATGTACAGGGTGGGGCATCTTTGTGGCCCGATTTGAATTGGGTATAACTTCTTTAGTCTTTGGCCAAATCTTAAAATTCTTTTTTTCCCTGAATCCTCAGACAACCCCATTTTGTCTGATACCAAATATCTTATGCATAGGTAAGTGTCATTTTACAGCTATTGGATTTATTCTTGAAGTTCATTTTTTCGGTCGTTTTTGCGGTCTTTTCGGTGCACGTGCTTCATTTTAGAACACACCGAGAAGACCGAAAAAACAACCGAAAAAATGAACTCCAAGAATGAATCCAATAACTGTATATGAAACTTACCTATGTATAAGATGTTTGGTATCAAACAAAATGGGGATGTCTGAGGATTCAGGGGAAAAAAGAATTTTAAGATTTGGCCAAAAACTAAAGAAGTTATAGCCAATTCAAATCGGGCCACAAAGATGCCCACCCTGTAGATAAAGTTGCTTTTTATAGATGCTAGTCATCGGTCTCAATACGTTTTGTTTCAGGTAACTGAAGAACGCGTCAGCACAGTTGTCAGCAAAAAAGGAGAAATGAATTTCCTGGAGGAGAAGACGAACGGATGGATTAAGAGATATGTGGTGATCAGAAGACCATACATCTTGTTATACCGCGATAGCAAAGACTTGGTCATCCGAGGCGTCATCAACTTGGCCAACGCTCGAATCGAATACTCGGAGGATCAGCAGGCCATGCTGAAAGTGCCCAATACCTTCAGCGTTTGTACAAATCATCGCGCCTTCCTCATGCAAACCTTGCCCGAAGATGATGTGGGTTTTTTGTAGATTTTTTTGGTTGAAATTTAGGTTATGACGAAGTGAAAATCTAAATAATTTTAGATTCACGACTGGCTTTACGCGATCAACCCGTTGATGGCCGGCCAAATGCGCTGCATTCGCCAACCGGTTCCGGAGACCCCGGTGAATGGAAGCGCTAATGCATCGTCATAAACTCTGAATCTGATTTTAGCTTCTGCCATCTATCATTTACACATTTCCTGTACAAACTTGTACATTTTCCTGCTTTTCCCAACTCAATCTTTTTTTTTTTAATCTCAGAGTGTTACAGTAGTCAGCACCTACTTTCACTGCAATGCACTATATTTTTTACATTTACCAGTTCTTTTTAGGCATTACAATAGTTTGTTTTGCCATTTACAGCAGTCTCTTTTACTCTTCTCTATCCATGTTCGAATATATAGTATCTCAAGTTATAGTATTCATAGTGTAATCTCCACAATCCTTACTTTTTTCGCTTATTCAGCGCATCCAACAACGAGTTACTTACGTCTTTTTGTAGTCATTTTACAGTAATAGCCCTAGAATTTCTATTTTACTTCCCAGTGACCGATTAAACCCTGTTATTTATGCTGATAAACGCTTCAAAAACAATGTGTTTATATGTATTATTCTTTTTTTATTTATTCATTTTTATTGGGTAGGAATTGAAGGGCAAAAGTAATTGGCCAAAATTTCTTCGTAGGCATAGAACGAGTCGACTAGCTGTTGGACTTCCGGATTATTTGTCGAGTGTAATAAAGAGCCCGCTTTGGCGTTGGTGGATAGGGCTGGCTTTCGGTAGGCTGATAATTCATGACTGATAAAGCAAGGAAATAACACGAAACGGCGTATACAATCAATGAAACGAAGCATGAACTTACCATGAGTTGGCACTCTATTCGCTTGATTTGGAATGTTCTGAATCCCATTCGGCTTGTTGAAAAGTTGACGGCATTCCGGACGATGATATGGGCCCCTTGAATTCGGAGTGGCAGCAGGGAGCTCCTGATCGTATTGATGCGGGTTCGGTGGGTTTTGAACGAGCTCCTCGCTCAACGCAGCCTCATCCGGAAAGAAGTCAGGAACCGCGGCTTCTGTTGAACCCATATAAGAAGTTTCTGCGTTGTTCTAAAAATTGATCTTGATGCAGTGGCGGACCTGATCCAGCGGCAAAAAACATACCATTTTTCATCCAGGAAGTATCAAAAATGTGGCAAAATACATCCATTTCCAAGTGAAAGACTCCGATTTCAAAAGCGCGCTCGCTCTTTTAGTGAGGTAAAAGTCGCGCTCTTCAAAACGGAGTTTTTCCACTTGGAGAGGGAAGCATTTTGCCACATTTTTAATACTTCCCGGATGCAAAATGGTACGTTTTTTGCCACTGGATCAGGGCCTCTACTGTAAAACTTTAAAAAAAAATGACAAGCCGATTCGAGCACTGCCAAATCTTACCTCAATATCGTTCTGAATCGGTAGATCATCATATTCCGGCACTGGCTCCATTAATTGTTCTCTGGAAACATTGTTCGGTAGATCCTCCGGCACTGGCTCCATTAATTGTTCTCTGGAAACATTGTTCGGTAGATCCTGTGGAGCCACAGAAGCGGCTTGTCTCTGGGAATTTCTATGTCTCCGCGGTGTTAAGATGACCCTGGAGGAATCTGGCGCCCGACTTTTGACCAACTCATGTGTCTGATCAAACTTTTTCAAGTCTTCTTCGGTGCCAGTGTTGATCGTAATCAGGATGTCTTTGAGCTAAAAATTCGACACTAATATTGTCACCATAAAGACTAATAAATATTGCTCAAAAATTCTTACCATCTGGATCATCTTCTTGCATCCTTTTGATTCCTTCAGCATCGGCAGGTCATCCAGCATTCCCGGGGGCAAAGCTCCTCTGACTACAGCTCCATATCGCTCTTTCAAAGTAGTTCTTGTTGAGCGATTTGATTCCTCTGCAACACACGAACCCCCATTTTGATAAGCTCCATTCGCCGAGTCTCCAGAGTTTGGTCGACTAATATCGACTGGTTCAACGAGACTGTCAGACTCTTCGGTCATCTCCTGATCACTCATAGGCTCCTCTTTGACTTTGCTTGGAGATACTGTATGGAAATGGTCATAGATTACGGTCGTAGATTCCGACGGTTGAAGGGTAGTGTTCTCTTCTTCGCCTTCAGAACTGTCATCTCCAGAGCAAATTGAAGAAATATCGGATTCGCTAAAAACATTAAATTAGATATATCGAGACCGTATTAGTCAAAGTCAATTTGATTCCTTTACCTGGCACGTCTGGAAACGCCTTGTTTTCTCCTTCTCGCCATCGACTGTGCCCAAAGTTCGGCCGCTTCCTCAGGCCTCTCTCCATCGGCCAACACCCGCAGATGAAGTGGTTCTCCATTCTTGTCGTAAGCACTGGCCAATTCTCCATGCTCGTTTATCTTGACAGTGCATTCGTAGCGATCTTCCAGCCTGAAATCCAAGATTAAAATGATGATAGTCTTGAGGTGAAGCCACAAAAATTACTTACAATTTCTTTTGATCTGATGAGATGTTGAGATTGAAATGATAGGCCAGAATGAAGAAATCGTTAGCTGGCAGGTTCATGTCGTACATTTTCCTTCCAATCACACGTCTGCGGAAACTGAAAAACGAACCATAAACAAAGTCATCAATTTTACCGTAACCCCGTGCAAAAATGTAAACTTACTGAGACTCTACGGCAAGTGGCATTTGCTTCCATCCCTTGGCTTGAGTGTAAGGCTCAAACAGCTTCCGAGGCTGCTTCTTATGAGCCAGAGGATCGCCAGCACGATACCGCTCCAAAAAGTATTGGACCATTTCCATATCGTCCTTCTCCGTGTATACCATCCGACTTTTTCTCTCCGCGTTTGGGTTTTTCTTAACTCTCGGCATCTGAAATCGTATAAATACTCGAGTAAACTATTGATGTTTACAAGGAAAGTAGAGTTTATTTAACATAAACGCGAAGTATAAAATCATACGAAGTTTGTGCCAGTTCAATACTCTCTTAAATATGAACATGAGGCTGATACTGTTTCTCAAAAAGTGTGCAGAAAATTTTCAACAAAATAATTCTGTCATTCACGTTTGCGCAGAAAATAAAAACTTGTTTGCGTAACAGCTCATACATGATACAGAAAAAAGTCGGCAACGTTTAGTGACTTTCATGTCCCTTGCAACTATTATTAAATACATATATTGTAAACGGCCGAAATCATCAAAAAAGCCTGCAGAAGTCAAGAATTTGATTTTGTTACAGTACTATTTTAAAATAGCTTCTTAAAATGAGCTCTTTTTAAAAAACCACGGCAAATTTAAATTTTCAGTTTTGCTCTTTGCTCTTACGGATTGGAAGACAAAAAGTCACAGAATTTGTTGTTCCTCACGCCTTGCAAAACAAAGTAGAAATAAAATTGACCTTTGAAACCGTATTTTATATATTTTTGATTATTTTGAATTACTGTAAAATTATTCTTACCATGAGAGACCGCAAAAATTTTGTGACATTTCGTCTTCCAAGTCGTAAAAGCGAGGTTCAAACGAAGTTGTTTGGTTATCAAGGACAAAACTGATTGTCTGGGACGCCCTGGTTAGAGTGTCATTAATATATACTATGTATATATTTGAACAAAATTTATGATACCAATCGATAAATTTATTATTAAACTTTTCTAATTAACAAGTCTAAACAATCAGGAGATACGAGATGGAGTGTAATAGAAGTGTGACTCATTTATATGTAATGAAATTTCCGAAATTAAACAACTATCAACGAATCCTACTTGGTCTTCCGCGCCATTCTCCTCAGGAACTCAAGGACTTGATCTTCAGCTGGCCGTGGAAAGCTAAGGTGAGCCCTGGAAAGGCCGACGTCTGTTCTGCTTGAAGAATCCACTTCAGGGATTCTGTTCTCAATGGGTGTTGTAGGCAAAGTCTTTTGCAAAGGTTGATGAGATATACCCAAATTTGATGCAGGTTCTCCGACAATGACTTGTTCTTGAAATTGTTGCGGCTCAATTGCAGAATTATTTTTCTCAAACTCCTGTGGCTCTAATTCTTGATTTTTTTCTAAATATTCCTCGAATTCTTGCATCTCAACTGTTTGATTGTTTTCCGGAGATTCTTGTGGCCCTGGACTCTTTTCCATAAATTCTTGTGGCTCAGCGGTCCGATTAATATCATCGTTAACAATATTTCGATGTTCGTCTTGGTCGAAATCTTCCGGCAAACGATGAGCATGGACAGGGGAAGTCATACGGAGAGTTGCATCGGCATCATTCTGAAAGATTAGAAAATTTTATGCATAAATTTTTTTTCAAGGCTTAAAGATCACCTTCAAGTCTTTATTAGAAGTGATATGTCAATTTGAAACAGTACTTACCGTAACATCATTGAGAAAATGTCTCATGGAGGTCCGATCCCTGTTTAATGGAGTGGAAGTCATTTGAGGAGAGGCTGGCTCAATCTGCAGAGCTCCAAATCTCTCATCAAAGTTGTCCACGTCCTCTTCAGACCCATTGAAAATCGTCATCGTAATTTGTTTGAGCTAAAAATAGAACCCATAAGTTTTCGAAATAATATTAAAATAAGATACGAAAAACAGAGGAAATACAAAAAAAATGATAAAACTCAATCCTTACCATTTGAATCATCTCGGTGCACCCTTCAGCTTCCTGAAACAACGGCATGTCATCCAGCATTTCTGGCGCTAGATTTCCGTCAAAGATTGCTTCTAGTCGGTGCTGAAGAGACCTTCTGACACGCTCGTACACCGATGACTCGTCAATCTGAGCTCTCTGAGCTACTGCTGGACGAATTGGAAGATATCTTGGGACCGGAAATTCGTCATCAGAATTCTCATCAGCTGCGGCGAAACTTCTGAAGAAATTTTGAATTAAAATAATGAGCAAATTGTAGTGATAAGTCAGAAGAAAAAACTTACTCCGCCAGACTTCCTGGTGTCATCTCCCGAGTTGTTTGGTTAGGTTCTTCCTCGCCATGTTCAGAAGGAGGAGCATAGGTCTGGGCATTGTCATAATCATCAAGTCTTGGGCGCTTTGGATTAGTTGCGGCAGGACTGAAAGCATTACGTAAGGGATTGTAATATATACTAACAAAACATATGATTGCCGCCTCTAGAGCCAGTTTATTCAACAATCTTTGTTACCTTTGATCCAGGGATGCCTCTTTTTTTCTTCTTCTTGACGAAACTGATGACTCTCTTGATTCCCGGGGCGGATTCGGCTCCACAGTCGGTTCTCTTGGCTCTTCAACTTGTGGAAGGCGTACTTTCCGTATATGCAACGGTTTGCCACTCTTACAGTCATAGGCCTCAAGGAGCACTCCAGCCTCATTCGTTTTTATTTTGCAGTTGAACCTTTCCTCCAGTCTGAAAATTATTATAAAGAAAATAATCAAACTTGTTGTACATTTCATATATATATATAAAAAAAAAAAAAATAAACTTACGATTTTTTCTGGCCGTCAGTCAACGTGAGCTCAAACTGACGCGCAATAAGAAACATATCTTTGGCTTTTATATCAAACTTGAACAACTTTTTGAGAATTCGCTTTCGGAAACTGAAATTTTTCGATTAATAATGGAGAACTGTCATCCAAACTAATCATGGGATCAATGTAAATAAAAAACTCACTGAGACTCCACAGCCACCGACAATCGGTCCCAGTTCTTTTCCCTGACAAACAGATCCCATAACCGTAAGCTCTGTCTGACTTGGGCCGCCGGGTTACCAGCTTTATACTCTTTTATAAAAAACTTTATCATCATCATGTCCTCCTTCACCGTGTACCGCCGATAGCGGGTCTTATCCACCTCCGGGGCATAGATTTTCTTCGTTTTTGCGTTCTCTACTCCGGCCATCTAAAATTGGTATTCGTAAAACAGGATCGGAAAAAAATAGAGAGTACAATACGCAAGGCTGAGTTATAAGTTCCAATATGATGATCAATTCATCAAAAAATTAAACAAAAGCCCCTGCTAGGTTTGCTCGTCCTAATAATAGAGCTAAACCGAAGATTGACTGCACAAATTTTAAGCTTATACTCGGCAAGTACAGTTCATACGTTTTTCTGCGCTAAAAATGAACGCCATGGAAGGTTGCAGAGAAATCAATAGCTGATACCACAGTAAAATTATACTGCGCTCGCGGTAATCCAAGGGATACAGAAGATGAAAGTTGTCCGCCGATAAGCCCAATGTTGCAGAATTAGAAAAGAATAGCTCACTTTTGCCGGGCATACAAGTTAAGAGAAAATGTCGAAGTCAAGGCAAAAAGTTGGCAGAGATGAAAGGTTTATATTTACATAAAGGTTAGACAAAACGGTCTTCGAGGTGTTTATTAAAGCGGCAGATTTTACTTTAATTTTCGCATTCACGCTTCAATCCACTCTCGAAAAAGCTACAGTAAACCCTCGGCACCAAGAATCGCAAGGGAGCGAAAAAATTGAGGGTTATAAAAGGGTTTCGTTGTATGAGAGTAAATTTTATAACAGTCTCGCTGCAAATTTTAACTTGCAAGGACCTCCAAGTAATACATCTCGCTCATAGCCCATCATTTAGGCAGAGTAAGGATCGAGAAAATGAAACCTAATACTTAGTCCCATTTGTCTGTATAAAGTTCAATTTCACTCCTCCGAAAAGTCTTCGCGCAACATTCAACTCATTCCCAATTTTGTAGCAAAAATGAATTTATTATAATCAACCAGTATTAGCCTTAATACGTTTATCTATTGTACGGAATACAGTATGAGAATGATACGTCTTTCGATGCATGTAAAATCAAATCATGAGGTCAGAGTTGGAAACTTTGAATATATACAGAGCTATGAATGTAGAACAGACGTCAATGAACTTGAGAGGAATTGGATTTGGTTGACATGCCATGGAGAAGCCGGAGAAGGAGTTCCGCAGGGGGTCTTTGGGCATTGGAAGTTGGCGCTCGGACAAGAGCTTAAACAATAAAAAAAATTAAGAGAATTTCTAAAAAATCATCAAAAAAATTTTCACAATTTTTACAAGTCTTACACATCAAAATCGATTCAAAAAACCAGTAAAAACTTACCATTATTATCCAGGCTTGTCGGGTCCAATGAAAACCGAGTTTCTTCCAACTCCATAGAAACGAACAAGTCTTCGTTATCAAAAGTTATTTCCCGGCGGCTTTTCGATTCATCCACTGACTTTTTCTCAGAATCCTTCGGATGAGGATTGTCGTTTTCTTCAACTGGAGCTGCTGCAGCTGTTTCCATAGCTTCAGGTCCTTCATCAATGACAAGATCATTCAAATCCGTTGAAACATTCATCCGAACCTCCTCCGCAGAAGCATTTAGAGACACTTCTTGAGCATTCTGAAAAAAAATTCAAAAATTTAGATTATAAAAGTTTCAAAAATAAAAATTAATCCCATTATCCCCAAAAAAACCCAAAATCTCACCTTCATATCATTCAGAGTTATTTTATCTTGACGCTCCTGGCCATTTTCACTCCTCAGATCCACAAAAAGTCCGTCAACATTGATTCCGGGGCGTTCCACATCAAACAATTCATCCAATTGTCGCATCGCACTCTTGGGTCTTCGCAATGGAGTTGAAGTAACCGGGGATTTCCTCGGACTACTGCTGGATAGGCCATGCGTCTTGTCAAAGTTTTTTAGATCATCCTCGGACCCGGTGATTACTGTCGTCAAGATTTCTGTGAGCTAAAAATAAAAAATAATTTACAAATTTCAAAGAAGAGACTTTCTTTGCACTGTGCAATCGCAATTTCCCCTAACTTGCACCGTGCGAGCGGAACGGACGATTGGGGAAATCGAAAAGTATTATTTTTCTTCGATGCAAGTGTCGAAATTAGGGTAATCGAGTGTGGTGATTTCAAAAATGACATTCATTTTTTTGATAGTTACTTTTTTCCTTAAGTAGTACTGTAAAGTAGTACTTTTTTAAAATTTTTATCATGAATATTCGATTTGGGGGTTTTCGATGTTGATGCTTCCAAATCAGAACAAATGAATAAGATTTTCGAAATCATCACCATCTAAACCCCCCAAATCAAGTATTTATGAAAAAAAATCAAAAAATTACTACTTTACAGTACTACTTAAGGAAAAACGTAACTATCAAAAAAATGAATGTCATTTTCGAAATCAGCGCCTTCGATTATCCTACTTTCGACACTTGCACCGAAGAAAAATAATACTTTTCGGTTTCGTCCCAATTCCGCTCGCACGGTGCAATCAGGAAGAGGAAATTGCGATTGCACAGTGCACATAACACCTTTCGGTTTCCCATCGTACTTTTCCCCAATAGTCCAACTCCGCGTGCGAGTTCGAAAAAAATTTTTTTAAAATTTACCATTTTTATCATCCCACTGCATCCTTTAGCCTTCTGAAAGATTGGCAGATCATCCAACATTCCCGGCTGCAACCTTCCATTAACAACAGCTACAAGTCGATCATTCAACGCTCGTTTTGTTCTTTCATAAACTGATGATCCACCAATTGGAGTTTTCATAGGACCTGAGCGATCAAGAGGTTGCGTATCAAGATTTATCCGGTCCAAAACGTCCTTTATACTGCTGAAATTTAAAAAATAAATAACCAAAAACATCAATTTTTGCTCAAAAAATCTCAAAATTAATCGCTTACGCAAAAATTTCTTCTGTCGTCGCATTCTTTGAGGTTCCTTCGGCACCTTCTTCGACTTTAATTTCCGGAATTGAGACTACACTCACAATATCCGATGTATTTTCGGGTCTGGGACGTTTGGCTGTGATTTGTACTGAGCTGAAATTTAAAAATAAAATCGTTAATCACCAACTATCGTCTTTTAATTGTGATAAAGCGATTTCCCACCTGTCCAAATCCGGTTTTGGTCGTCTTCTTCTCACCGGGGCCCCCTTAATCTCCGAAGAAACGCCTTTATCTTGTAATCCATTCTGATGCAAAGGCTCTCCATTCTTACCAAAAGCTCCACAGAACACACCGAAGCTGTTTGTCTCTATTCTACAGTTGTATCTTGCTTCTAACCTAAAGAGATCTCATGTTAACACCAAAAATCAAGACAAACATCAAGTGTAATATAACTTCAATTAACTTACGAAGCCTTTTCCACTGATCCCATTGCAACGTCAAAATGATAGGCCAATAGAAACACATCTTCTGCGGGAAGATCAAAGTCGAACAACTTTTTGATTACATTCTTACGGAAGCTGAAAAAAACATTATAAACGACGGCTAAACTCACTGTGATTCGACGGCACTTGGCTGCCTAGTCCACTTTTTCTCCTCTATCAATGGCTCCCACAACTTTCGGCTTTGTTTTCGTTGAGCTTCGACATCGCCGGCTCGATGCTTCTCCAAAAAATATCGGATCAATTCCAAGTCATCTAGGACTGTGTAATGTCCGCGCCGTTTTTTCTCGCTTTGAGTGACTTCGGTGACCTCTTGGGCGTCCTGCGGCTCGATTTTGATCGGTTTCATCTGAAATTGCGACATTCTTGTTGTAGTTAAATAAATTTTCAAATAAAAATAAACGCGAATATCTATATTAAACAGGGTATTTCAATAAGAAAAAGAGTTCATAATAGGTTTATAAAACCAAAATTTTAGCTATCAATCTCTTCTACAAGCCTAGGATTGTATTTCCGACCGCCAAACCTACTAGAATATAAATTATTCTCGTTCTCAACATAACTGCCAGTATTCTATACATTTATAAACCACCCGCCTTACACTCTACCCCCCACAAAATGAAGGGAAAAGCGGACGCTAAGCCTACTCGCACTAAGCCTAAGCCCTCTCTGTTCTCCCTTCGCCCTGCGAAAAGCGCAGCCTCTCTCGCAGAAAGAAAGTGGTGGAGCGCCAAAAGTCGTTTGAGAGACCACAAATGTGTTGATATGTCGGATACACAGCACAATTGCGTGTCCTATATGTGACCGCAAAAGGGTGAATAAACGTCAGAAGTGCTGCAGAGATTGGGAATCGCCGGAAGATGACAGAAAAATGGATTTTTCTGCATTAAAGTTGGCAAAGGAGCTCCTTAATTTAAAGGATGATAATCTCTGTTTTGTGCCTTATCATTAAGCCTACACAGGACGTAAGGCTTGTACAAGGACCTCAGAATCCATGGACCATTAGATTCCATCGAAATCTGAAGGCTCCCCTTCATAACAACTAAATTTCTAACAAGAACATAGTGGAGCATGTTGAATATAAATTCTTCTCTTATTACAGTTCAAACAATCAAAACGCAAAACTATAATTGATCAAAGTCACCTAAAATGTAATTGCAATGGGCTGTTTGACGCAAATCTTTGTTCGAACGCTTCCAAAAAAAGTTCGACACAGTTTCGCACGGGTTCGAAAAATCTGTCACTGTGACGCATAAAAATCTCTCGGTATTCCTAAATCCTTACTTTCGATCTCATGTAGAACGTCACTATTCAGCCATGGCCGAAAGGTCTCACCGATTGAACAAAAATCCGTCGATAGAAATGAGGAAATCCAATCGAATTGACGGGTTTTTTGGACGAAAATAAAAATTTCCGAAAGGACAAGAAAATGTTTTTGCGTTGTTTCGGAAAACAAATGAAACTGACCTTTCACGTTATCCTTGGGCCGGAAATAACTACCTTTGCCAAGAGCTGAACGTTTTTTACTTTTTTCCATCAGGTTTCTTCTATTTCTGCGTGATTTTTAATGGATAAGATAAGGTTTTTGCATTGTTTTGTTGTTTCGTTTGAAGTTGTCGGAAGAACAAACATGTTTTTGGGATTTTGAGGAAAATCGAAATTTAGCGACTTATGGTTGCATTATTCCAGTGTAATTTTGTCGATTCTCTCGAGATTCTTTTGATTTTGTTCTTCAATACGTACGTTCTTACCGATTTATTTCAGTGGCTTGGTTAATGTTTTCCATGTAAAGCAGAATGACCGACAGTCCAGCGCCACCAGTCCAGGTGAAAGTCAATGAGCCCGTTTCGCCTTACCAGGTGATGGCCCTCAGAGTAAGTTGTTTTCGCTTCTTGTTATTCTGGGTTTAGGTACCAACGAAGAAGGAGTAAAAGAAATATTGAGTGTACAGGGGTGGGGAAGGAGTGAAGGCTTTCTTGGATATTATTTTCTTGGTTTGATGTCTGAAATTCACTTAAATTTAAGATGTCTTTGATAAAAGATGTTACACCAGTTGTCAGATGTCGCCCGAACAATTTTTCAAGAAGAGTTGCTAGTTTATCGTTTTAAAACTTTTTGGCAACCTAACATTTCGTTTATTATTCTTTTTTAGGGTGCCATCGTTGGCTGTGGAGTACTTGGTGCATATTTGTTTATCCGCCGATCAAAGCTTTTCACCTCACTCCGGAATGTCAACGAAATTCCCGAAGCGTTCATTCGCAAAGAAATGCAGCTAAAGGGATTTATTCGACAAGTCGATAGCAATGGTGTTTTTAAGGTCGAGCATCAACCGGTGATAGGACTTCCAAGATTTCTGCGTCCAAAGAAACAAAATGTAAGGTTTTAGTTTTTTTGTTTTAATGTTTTAGGTGGGACATGATGTATGTAATTGGGAAATAATTTCAGCAAGACCTTTTACGCCTGCGTTTGGCCGCTTTGGATGTCTCGCCTGCTGGAGTAACATATTTGAATAAGGATTTGAAGCTGAAGGATAGAAAAGTTTTCTTCCAACCGATTAAGCCATCTGCCGGCGATCCCAACTCTTTCGATTGTGATGTGACTGTCAAAAAGGTGGGTATTTCCAAACGTTTATGCTCGATTTTATGTTATAGTAGGTAATTATTGTGGATGTTTCAGAATATCCTCGGTCTTACAAACCTAAACGTCGACTTGGTCCGGAAGGGATATGCAAGAGTCTATACTCTAGACCATAAGACACATTATGATGCTCTTCAGTCCAACTCGGCATATTCGAGACTAGTTACGAAGCTGCTGACATCCGAGAAAGTAGCCGAAAGCCGAGGCGTTGGAGTGTGGAATCAAGCTGGATGGGTGGAGAAGGTGGAGTCTTTGCCTTCAGCTGCCGGTCAGATTGTCCGTTCAGCCGCTGTTTTCAAATTCTTTGTAAGTTTTTCTTTAATTATGGTAGGGGTATTGCTCTATGAAAATATTGAGAAATTAGGATGAAGGATAATTGAAAATTGCTCCAGAATCTTCTGTGGCGAATTACGGTAGACCTCTTCTACTTCACAGTACATCTACTTCGTCATCTCTATCACCTGACGGCAGCTACGGCCAGCTTGACCGCCGATGCGTATCGTCGTTTTGGCCGACGAGTCGACGAATGGATCAAGCTCTACGATCGGCTGAAACATCGTCTACTTGGCGCCAAAGCCATCAAAAAGGAGTAGAACGGCTAATTAGGTTCAAATTGCTTATTATTATTATCGTCACATTTAGAGGTTCAATGAATGTTAAAATGCTCATTGAAGGCGATTTTTAGTCTTTGAGGGGGTATGAAAACGTTGTAAACAGCCGTTAGAGAGCAGAACGATGGTATCTGAAAAGATTTATGAAAAATTTATGGTAAGATTGAACGGAAATTTACAATAGATACGATATAAGGGGGAATTTTGCAATGAAATTGTCTATGATTGCTGATTGTGTAGATTGAATGCGGTTAGTGATGGTTTCCCGCATTTTCGAACGCCTTGGCTCTGCTGGTCACAGCGAATCGATCACGGTTGTGTTATCCATGACGTCGCTGATTTGGGACCACAAATTCAACGACGCATCGGAGTTTTCTGGACCCAAAGTTGTCGTCGGCAACTCGGTTGTATTCCATTCGTCGTCACAGGTACAATTGCACTCGCTTCCAGTTGGGCCTTCGTCTTTCAGAAACTCCTCTCGCTGAACTCTCGGTAAATAGGTCAGCTTGACATCCGAGTCTTCATACGCTCTTCGACGTCGTGAAACATTGATATTAAGAGTTTCGGAAGTCGTCGTCATTGGGGTTGCTTGTGTTGTTGCCATGGTCGGGATCGAGGACGAGCAACAGTCACAGCAACCACCACCGCCGCCACAACATCCACAAGAGAAGGTGTAGTGGGCAAACAGGCCTATGGAGATTATTATGAAGCTGAAAGAGGATAAATTATATCTTTTTGATAGGAGAATAAGTTGGCTTGTAAATTTGAAAGGCTATTGGCAAATTGCCACCTAGAATTCCGAGATATCAGCGATAGAATAACCAATAGCTTTATTACGTCGAGAAATGAGGCACAAACCGTCGCTACCGTACCCATGAAGACAGCGTCAAACCCGAGACTTACCTTACCCGCAAGAACATTGTGTTCGGAATAAATAAGCGCGGCAGCCCGGCGGGGTCCACGCGTTCGCGCGCTGTGGACACAACTTATTACTTTTATACTCATCCGTGTTATGAAAGCGACGGGTTTTTGACGCGCCGCTAAGCTGGCTTCTGAACCCTTCAATGAAGGGCCACGCATTGCGCACGGACCGAAATAACGTCGTATAGAAGAACATGATAAAGTTAAAAAAGCAGGATTACGTTACGAGCAATAAGTTCAATTTTGGAGGTAAAAATTTATTTGGCCCTCTAAAGGTATGATACATGAAGATAAAGCTTTTTTAAAAAAGCGTTTTTAGAAGTGGAGCGTAAAAGAGATCGGGTAGTTATGCACGAGACTTGTCCTCAGAATTGATACTTTCGTCGTTTTTATCGGATTGGTCAGCTCGTTCGACCTCTTTCATCAAGCGTTTGAAGTTTTCTCGACCTAAAAACAACAATTATTAGCACACAAGATAACTCAAAAGTTATCTCAAGTCTGATACCTCTATCGTAGTCTTTCAGAGGTGACGGTTTCCCCTTTCCTTTTTTGACTTCGGTTCTGGCTCCGACATGAAGAACGGTATCATGCCCATCTTCGTATTTTTCGGATTTCATCGGCTTGGCTGAGGGACGCTTTTCAGGCTTCCCAGTTGAAGGCTTTTTCTTATTCGCAAACGTGTCAGAGACTAGAAACATTACTCTTAGAATGGGGGACCTGCCCCAGTGACAAAAAACGTACTATTTTGCATCCAGGAAGTATCAAAAATGTGGCAAAATACCTCCCTCTCCAAGTGAAAAAACTCCGATTTCAAAAGCGCGCACGTTTTTTTTGTGGGGAAAAAGGGCGCGCCCTTCAAAACGGAGTTTTTTCACTTGGAGAGGGAGGTATTTTGCTACCTTTTGTGATACTTCCCGGATGCAAAATGGTACGTTTTTTGCCACTGGATCAGGTCCCCTACTGTAAATGAAAACTGCTTACCGCTCGTGAAAGATGTTTCGCTTTCGATGCGGTCGCGATCTGAAATTCAAAGGCCGTTAGTTACGTAGTTGTTCTAATATTTCTCTAAAAACCTACTTTTCTTGTCGACCACACTTTCCCCGTTAATACCCGGAGGCGTTTTCTTTGCCTTCTTTTTGGATAGCTTCTTGGACTCCTTTGACTTCTTCGGCGTTTGTTTCGATAAGATTTCCTGAAAGTGGCCCATTACCACAGTGAAGGACCTGATCCAGTGGCAAAAAACATACCATTTTGCATCCGGGAAGTGTCAAAAATGTGGCGAAATGCATCCCCCTTCAAGTGAAAAAACTTCGTTTTGAAGGTCGCGCCCTTTCCCTCACAAAAAGAGCGGGCGCGTTTTTGAAATCGGAGTTTTTTTTCACTAGGAGAGCGAAGCATTTTGCCACATTTTTGATACTTCCCGGACGCAGATTGGTACGTTTTTTGCCACTGGATCAGGTCCCCCGCTGTCCCTTCGCAAAGTCGCTGGAGTGATTTCGGCGATTGCAAACACCAAAAATCACTCCAGCGACTTTACGAACGGAATACAACGTCAGAATTACTTGTCCAGATATGACAGCTCAGAACTTACTGTGGGTTTCTCGATATCTTTCTTCTTCGTATTCGACTCCTTCTTTTCCTTCTCCTCGACTTCGACGGATACTTCTCCAAAATCGTTTTGATTTGCATCCGCTTGCTTATATTCGGAGGTGGATTTCTTCTTGTCCTTCTCCTGTGCCTTTCCTTTATTGTTGTCCTTCTCAACCATTGATTTGATGTTTGATTTCTCTTCCGTTTTTGAAACGGACTTGTCTTCCTGGTTGCCTTGCATTTTAGCGACATATGCCTCGAACTCTTCATCGGGAGGTAGAGCTGGAAATTTGGCCTGAAAAGGAAGGTATAATATACTTTGTATAAAGGTATATACTACGTACAGAGGGACCTGATCCAGTGGCAAAAAACGTACCATTTTTTATCCGGGAAGTATCAAAAATGTGGCAAAATGCATCATTCCCCGAGGGAAAAAACTCCGATTTCAAAAGCGCGCCCGCTCTTTTCGTGAGGGAAAAGGCGCGCCCTTCAAAACGAAGTTTTTTCACTTGGAGGGGGAAACATTTTACCACATTTTTGATACTTCCCGAATGCAAAATGGTACGTTTTTTCCACTGGATTAGGTCCCCCGCTGTATAACATAACTCAAAGAAAGTCGACCCCGTCTAAACTTTTGTCCCGGGGTACAAACTTCATTCCGAAAAATGGATTAATTGCTCGGAGTGTGACTTGTTTACCTTTTGCTTTTTCCTGTAGATAATGATACATACGATGATGCCAATAATGGAAATCACAACGAAAATCGCGGCTGCGACCCCGGCAATAATGTAAATCGTCATATCGTCGGTTGGTCCCTGCTCCTTTTGAGGATCTTTATAGAGGAATCTGACATAGGTATTCTGAAGGATGGATGCTTGTGTGATTGGCAGGACACATTTATCGTCTTGTTTTGCTGCGTCCATGTATTCTATTGCTTTCAGAAAGGCCTAGAGTCTTGGATGAATAAAATAATATCGAAACTACCAGTGAAACCATCGTTGATTTGCCTTCAACAATGTCGATTGTGTGCGGTAGTTTACACTCTTGTAATCGATACTTTTTGAGTGATCCCAGTGCATACGACAGCTGCTTGCACTCCTTTCTGTCCCCATCATCTCTGTAAAAGTATATGTTCTGGCCGACCACCTCGACTCCCACGCGCACTTCATGTGCCGTTGTTATGCCTCTATATACTTCATTAAGACTCAGCGGCTGTGACACATCCCCGAACTCCAGGAGAGCAGTGACGTCACTCGGAACAAACATAAAGTTGTCTTTCGACGTCATGTAAGACGTTCCTGAGTTGTAGCAAAGCGTATGTGAGGAATTCAGAAACTTCACGCAGTCTTTGCCGCTAAACTTTGGTAAAAAGAAGGCATGCGCTTACCGTCGTCCTTGGTAGGACAGTTGCATAAACTGTTGGCCATTGTTGTCTTCAAATACTCGTAGATAAGTGGGTATACCGTCAGCTCCAAAATCGGCCTGGACTCTCACTTTATCGAACCTGTAATATTGACATCATCACCCTAATAACTCAAAAAATCAGATACAATGGGACCTGATCCAGTGGCAAAAAAACATACCATTTTGCATCCGGGAAGTATCAAAAATGTGGCAAAATGCTTCCCTCTCCAAGTGAAAAAACTTCGTTTTGAAGGCTTTTGAAATCGGAGTTTTTTCATTTAGAGAGGGAGGTATTTTGCCACATTTTTTGATACTTCCCGAATGCAAAATGGTACGTTTTTTGATACTAGATCATGTCCGCCACTATAACTCAAAAAAGTCATATACTTACAGAGTATCCTCATGGTCAGGTCCACGGAAAATGAATTTACTCTTGTACATGGCACTGACAAGATTGCTCCATTCATAAGTAACGATTTCGTAGGCGTTCGGCTTTATCTGGTTTTCTGTGAACATGTCCATAATCATCGAACAGCTTGCTAGGTAATAGCCAATCTGCAGGAACTTATCCCTCTCCATTTTTACAACCGGTCCTTTGGATTCTTGAACAGTGAACTGGCTGTGTTTTTTGAGATTCTTTTGAATTCTGCACTTTGTGGAAAGATGTTAGGAGGGCAAATTTCAAATGTGGTTTTCGAAAATTTTGGTGGCATTGTAACACTTCGTCTTGCATCATGACTTGCGTAATAAAATCAACAAAACAGTCACTTCACAATTATATCTCGCAACAGCTTTTTTTCTGTTTTATCAATAATAATTTCAAAATTTGTCTGCAGAGCTGCGGAAGTTCAGATTTTCTGTCAAGAAAGACGAAGCTAGTGCCACTGGACTGATCATTCCCAACTTGTGTCTCTTCCGGAACTAGTGATCTGCAAATCATCCGATTGTTAGGGATATTTCTTCTTGGAATTTTTTGTTGCATGTTTCCTCAAAAAGTTATCTCTTTGATGGCTGTCGATCAACGCCCTGGAAGAATTTGGGATCAGATTTTGTAAGTTATTAATATTTTTAGTCATCCAAATTTTTTAAAATTAGGAATTTGAAAAAAAATTAACACAAAAATATGTATTTTCTTTTGAATTATTGCTGATATTTTGTAAAAAATTTATGTATTATGAAGGTTACTTGGTTGCTTTCAGCTCGTATCTGCCTCGAGAAGACCTTCTAAAATGCCGATTATTGAACAGCAAGTTAAAGACAGCCGCTGAGAAGTCGCTTTCAGAGCTGCCAGAGAAAAGGAAATGTCATTTTACCATCACTGCGCTAAAGAAACAAGGCGGTGCTTATATGGTAAGAGACTTTACTTTCAATTGTTGCCTTTTCGAACATTTTTTTGATTACTTTTATTTTACATTTACATTTTTCAGTGTGAAATCGAAGACTCGTCACAAAACAAGTCCATTTTCAAGGTGGTTGAGCTGCCGATCCTCTTCAAAATCCACAACATTCACATAACTCAGCTGGATCTTCATCTTTTTGCCGACAAAATCGAAAACGGAGAAGTTGTCCGCACCATTGTGCGGAAACAAGGGTTCAGTGTGGACGGCTGTGTGGTCCGTTGCTACACAAACAACCCGGATTGGATTCGTCGCGTCAATTTGCGCGCCATGACCACTGGCTTCGCGAAATGGTCGATTTGGAATGAGGAGGACCCGGCCGATGAGAACAGAGTCCACCAGCACAATTATTTGAGACGAGCCCAGATCACAACCAACTTTTCCTTCAACCCCAAGTACTGGTATTCGACGCTGCTCATTTGGAGGGACTGTGTGAATTCGCGGATCGCCCCAGGACTTTATTTGGATGGGAATGGGCAACGGCAGAAGCTGCGATTCGCCGATAGGCTTTTTCGATTCCGAAAAGTTTTGCATCAACTGCGGCGGACCACAAGATGTAGTAGGCTGTAAAATGTCCCATCTTTATTTAATGTACCCGATAGCTTTGTTTGTATAATATATTTAAATAATAAATTTAAATTTGTAAGATTTGATATTCGAGAGAGCACGCTAAACGTGGGGAACGGTCAGAGAGAAAAACGCTTTTTGGCCATAATTTTGATTTTTTGTAGAAACATTATTCTTTACGGTAGAAATAGGCATGAAACTTTTCGTGCCGAAATTTGGCAAAAAGTCCTAAATTTTGGCCGACTTTCGATCTAAAAATCTCGGTTGTTTCTGCAAAGCGCGAGCTAGGATTCTCGCATATATCTTAGAAAAAATTATTCTAAATTTGTGCCAAGTTTCATCAAAATCTGAGCGTCGCATTTGGAGTACTTCCCCTGTTAGATGTTTTCTTCTGATATTTGCCCCAATTTTGCCACAATTTTATGCGTTTCCCCGGGTTTGTTTACCAAAATTCAAAGCAACCTCGAGCAGTTTTAGGGAGAGCCCAACAATTTCTTGATATCATTCTTATTTATCTTTTCCCCTCACTTCAAAAAAATGGCTAATTTCCGTCCTCGAACGCAAACCTCCATTGATGAATCAGAATTGCAAAAAAGAAATCAAAGACTCAGAATGGAGGGCTATTTTATGCAAAGATTGTGTTGGAGATTGTAAATTTTGATTGTTTTGAAACTTTGGGGGCCTGAAACTTTGCTTGACTTTGTTAAAGATTCCAAAAATTTGATGTGCTCCTTTGGAGTTCAGTAAAAAAAATTGTTGCCAAAGTTTCACTATTATAAAATGATATTGTCATCCCGAGATATGCGCCTCCTATATCTCTAAAATTCTTTGATAACCAAACCGAACCACACCTGAAGTTGATGTGTCTCTAGTTTGTGAATTTGAATAAACTTTTCATATTTGATTTTCGCGTGCCTCCCGGGACCTAAACCCTATTTTTGCGAATACAGTAGCTTAGCAACAATTCCTGGCAGAATCTTTGACTCTCTCGGGCAGATTTGTTGTTTGTGGCATGGCGTTATCCGAATTTCCAATGGTGTTACAGGAGCCATCACATTTCAAGAAAAATAAAATTGTCCTTTGCAGTTCAAGTTTTCTTTTCTTGTATTTTGATGCCGCTTAACATAATTTTACCAAGAAAAATTGTACGATGATGTTAGCTTGTAAATATCTTCTACCTTATAGTTTGACAGTTTGAGGACAAGTTTTTTTGAACGCTCAGCATCCCTTTCTTGGATAATATATGAATAAGCCTCGGGCTTTGGCCTCTAACATCATTCACTAATCATTAAACTATGCCATTGCATTGAACATCACCCTGTAAAATTTGTTTTTTCAATTATGTCTCTTTTTCTTCAAGTTCACGTTTTCGGCCGACTTAGTCCCAAAGGATATATATTTTTCCACTTATTAGGATATATTACTACCTTACTCGTTCGCGTTCTAAGCCTTCCTAATTGGGTAGGCTATAAATTGAAGATAATTGACGTGTTCTGGCTAAGGCAGTCGGAACGGGCTTCATTTGGCTTATAGTCGCAGTAAAATTTATACTTTTCCTGAAGTGTAGTTGCCTACAATTTGTTCAACATCAACGTTCCTCTTCATTTTGACTCTGCTAGGTCTAGCAACAAACTTTTTGTTGGTAATTTTTGCTACTTCTTTTATATCTTAACACTGTCAGTCGCACACTTTGCTTTTAAGAAGACGTTTTAGAGGTAATTACTCAAAAAAAGTCCCATTGCGGGTATTAAAGTGACGTCGTCAAGATGTACGGATTTAATGTTTCTGCTTCCATTATTTTTACCTCAAAGTTAATACATTTGTGGGTCGATCATAACAAAACTTTTCGATCTTTTTTTTCAACGCCCTCAGGGTGTGACTAAGCGGGCATTCTTGTGCTATATTTTGTTCGAAATTGGTGTTATTGTTACTTTTTAGGGTTGGGTTAAAGAGAGATTTAATTGTCTTGTGATGAAATTTAGCCATCACGTGATTTAAAGGGCGAGTTAAGATTTTTATTATTTAATTTTGCAATGTAGACTTGAGGTAAATCAATTCAGTTGTTGTTAATAACGTTCTGTAAATGCGGCTATCGCAATTATCGGATTATCGCGTGGGGTAATTTTAAAATTCGACTTGTTCGAGAGGTATTTGGAGCAAAACAAGATGAACACTTGTTTCTGGATGATATTTATTTTGCTTCTTATTACTGTTTCATTTATTGTAAAGCTCGCAATTTTTGATGATTTTTCTAATTTCGAACATACGAACACCTCACAACTTCGTCAATTGCCTTCTTACCCTCTTTTTATCACCTCGAAAACCTTCCGGATTAGACATTTACCCGACTTTTTTTGCCCTCTGTATGATATTATTTTATTCCGCTGTCTATTTAGAGGTACGCTTAAATGGGTAATTTCAGCTGTCTTGAATGTAAATATTAAGTTGAGAGGGGGGAACTTTCTTCTCCCCATTTCACCTGGCCTTCGAAATGGGGTTATTCTTCGAACGTAGACGCTAATTGTATGTAAGTTTGGAGAAGTGTGACTTTGTCGGATATGTTTGGGTGGTTTTAATGGCTTGCGTGGACGTAATAGACGTTCGAGTTTAGTGCAATGCGTATTGTTCGAACGCCCCGGCAACTGGATGTAATTTCGGTTGAAAATTGAGTTCATTAGTCTAAAATAACATTCACTAGGATGAAATGATTGAGTTTTTAGCCGTTGAAAAGCCTTAAAATTCATTTTAAAGCCCTAATCTCCTTCAAAGATCACTTTCTTATCATCCACCTCGCTCCAAATTGTAAGTGCACCCTTAATTCCGCTTAAAACTTCAAAATTCCCTTTGAATTTTACAAATTCCCCAATCGTTTTGTGCAACTAACTTTAAAACAGTCGAAAAAAGAACGTCTGTTCTGAACGGGTAAGTATATTTTTTGATTTGATCTTTCAACTTCTTTTTTTGATCCATCGGCTCTCCCTTTTTTGGGGTTTTCGAATTTCTCGTGGGCTTTTCCGGTCTGAATCATCGATGCGCAATGTTTTTATGAACAACTTTAATTTTCAAGGTGTTTTTTAAATAGTAATTTTGATAGTTCAGTTAATTTGATTTTGATTTCTGATCCTTTTTGTTGAGTCGTTTTATGGAGATAAACTCCTCTAAAAGTAATGTAAAATACGTCAGTTTTAACTCTCTTAACATAGAAAAAATGGCCATAAAAATAAAATTTTTTGTCATGTGTATGTAGATTACTGTCCACATGTTCGGAGAGACCGTTTCCTTCCAGCCGTCAGTTTGCGTGACTTCGCGTACTATGTAATTTATAGGTCTAATGACATGGGAAATACGCCGGGGTTCGGTGTAAATACCGAGTTCCTAAAGTTGGGAGTGAAGCCAATCTTTGAACTGAATGTGAAAATTTGAGGTATTGTATGTAAATGTAATCAAAAAAGTTTCAATTTTGAAACCCTCGCAAGTCTCATAAATCACTCTAATTTTAGTCTTAAACGCTCATTGATCCCCGATAACCCGCACTAATTATACTTGTAAATTGCTGAACTGCCCATCGTCTTTTCCCCACCACATACCCGCAGGCTGTTATCAGTTCAAAATCGATTTGTTTAAAAAATGCTGGAAGAAATCAAGCCTCTCGTTTTCTCGCTTTTATTCAGATGTGTTTTTGGTTATTACACGTTTCTTTTCATGGGGATTTTTTTGTACGATTGAGCTGTGGGAGTTCGCAAGTCAGTGTTGTGATATTTCCGACGGAAGCACGCGAAAAGTTACGTTGACGGGTTAATTCAAAGAATTGTATTTTTGGACTAGACAGAGTTCCAGTCTTTTTGTTCGAGGGGAATTTTCAGCATTCGTTTTGCTGCAGGATTTCGGGCTTGATCTTTTTAAATTGACTCATCATTGCGCTTTTAAAATTAAAATTTTTATGTTTAATCAGAAAACGTCATCAAAATCAAAGATACTTTGACTGTGAGTGTCTCAGAATCGGATTTTTTTGCATCATTTTTGCAATTGCGATCAATTGATCATGACTTTTTTTTATTTTTTTTTATAAAATGAACTCCAAGAATAAATCCAATAACTATAGATGACACTTACCTATGTATAACATATTTGGTATCAAACAAAATGGGGTTGTCTGAGGATTCAGGGAAAAAGAGAGTTTTAAGATTTGGCCAAAAACTAAAGAAGTTATAGCCAATTCAGATCGGGCCATAAAGATGCCCCATCCTGTACAAATAGAGCTCTCATATAAGAGATAACACTCGAGAAATTTTGAATAATCGTAACTTGGTATTCATAATATCAGTATGCCGGGAAAATAACGGCGGATCGTCGCGCCTCGGAATCGCCCATCATCGCTTTGTGACTGCAAGCCGCGGCTGGGTATTTGGCGCGCGACAGCGTCGAGGCGAGACATTTTGCTGCGACGATCCGCCGTTATTTTTCCGACAGACTGATAAGAAAACATATTTTTCTGACCAGTCTCCTCATAAAAAACTCTTTCCTCCGCAAAAATCATTGAATCTCCTTGCTAAAGTCTTGAAATGTCTGCACAGTGCGCCGTCGTGCACTCAATTTGTCGCACGGCGACGAATAAAATTCACGGTGCACTGCGACCCCGCACAGTGCAAAAAGATTGTTTTGAAAAGCGTGAACAACGCACAGTGCGCTCTTTTTTCGCACCCCGCCGATTTTCTATCGCGCGACAACTTGTCGCAACGCCGAATTCATGCACTCGCACGGTGCGAAAACATGTCAAGACGTTTCGGAACGCCTAGCGCGCGCGACAAATTTTTTTGATAAATTGATGTGTCGCAGTATGCTAATCGATGTAAAAATTTTCAGAAAATCTAGAACGCTAATATTTGCATGTGCAAAGTTTCATAAATACGCATATTCCGAATTTGACGTGTTTATTTTTTCGAAAATTACGTAACCGCCTTTAAGAAAGCTCTAAATTCCACCCCCTAATTCCGCAAACCCCCTCGAATTTCCGCACCTCATCGCTTATTTGGGCTTATCAAAGCACACCCAACATTTCCTGTGTCTTTTGCCTATTCGCCCCAACGTAATCGGATGTGGTCGCTTAATCTTCTCGCTTTTTTCAAAACATTTGCAAATACCCGCATTTTTCGAGAGTCCTTATATCCGTGGAGATTGCGTGTCTGATCGATCTTCGTTTTTTTCGTTGTTTTTGTTACTTTCGCTGGTTGAAGTGATGAGCAAGGTGGGAAGAATTGCGAGCGGATAATGGATAAACGTAGGCTTTCCGAGTTTTTTTACTGTTCCTTTTTTTTAAATTTGAAGGGAGGCGATCGAACTGGACCTTGGCAGGTCAAAGTCATTGTTGTTTACAGTTTTATTTTTTACTTTTTGACGTTTTCACTATTAAATATTCACATATAAGCTCATTTTGTGCGTTTCTGCGTAGATTAAGTAAGGAGAATCATTTTTCTAATGTTTGAACTCCACATTCTGATTTTTTATGGCCAATGTGACTAATAGTGCACGTAGAATCCATGATTTCATATTAATCACAGTAACATAGATCAAAACATCGTCATTTTTTGTCTGAGTTTCATTCATTTTGTCTTTGATATCATCATTTTCAGAATTTTTGTCCTTCCTTCTTTTCAAGCCAAATTTTCCTAGTAAACTCGAACAATGTAATTCCCTGTACCTTGACACTTGCTTAATATACAATTATCAAGTTTTGTGCAGCCGCCTTCCCAGAATGTATGCTCGCGCTTTCTTCACTATTTATAAGTTGTTTATCCGTGCCTTTCAAAACCTTAGATTTCCTTTTATTTGACGGCGCATAAGTGGTGTGCACGTTTGCACTTGCGTTTAATTTTGTTAGACTGTAGTTGGGGATTGGATTCTTTACGGCATATGGAGGTTAAATTCGAGATTTTTCTGCTGGAAACGACTCAAATTAACTCTTGCAGAACAAAGTCCAGTGCAAGGGAATCTGTATATAACGGACAATTTTAGGGTCTGCAATAGTGCAAAAATCAATCACCGTTCAGCAAAAACTTTCTTTAACGCATATTTTTTTTGCTTCTTGCGATTTGTTCTACAGAGACTTGACATATTTTTTATGGCCGTTTTTTAATGGGAAGTCTTGCCTAGGCTCGGTATGTACTATTGTGTTCCACCTGTTTCCCAACTTTATAGATCACCTGCAGACACTCATAAAATGTCGCGGCCATGACGCGACCAAGATTCAGGTGTTTTAACTTAAATTCTGGCCTTTCTTGTCCCGGTTTTCTAACGTTATTTCGCTTTTACTCACATATAAAATTTTTTTTATCAAACTTTTATTCCCTTTCTTAAGTTTCAGTGTTCCTCATCCCCCGCCCATATCGCCACGACGGCGGCATCTCGTCCGTAAATGAACGGCGTGACGCCGACCACCGAGGACGCGGTGCTCAGTTCGACCACAATCTCCTCGACCGCCTCTTCGGACAAGCACCATGGGATTACGGTAACCAAAGGGCCGCCGGTTCATCGACGCAACTCCTCGCAATGGATCCCGCCCAATGCGCCAATCTACGAAAGGGCATTGGATCTGACCTCATTGGTGGCGTCGAAGAGGTTTTGGAAAAGCGGAGTCAAGGCTAGACCGTAGGTTTGGGGACACTCCAGAGATTGCCAGGGATTTTTCGAAATTTTACCAGTGAAAAAGGCCTTTAGCAAGTTTATTTCCTTTTCCCCATTCTAGTCAGCGATTTGAATATTAAGTGAGATTTTTATTGTTATTGTTGGTATTCAAACCGCATGGCCACTTGAACTATCCGAAAATATTTGATCTTTTTAAAGCGCCGAGGTTTTATTGTTGATCTTTAATTCTATCAACAACCATAGTCAAATTCACTAAAATTCCCTGTAAAGTGATAAATATTAATCATTGAAAGGTTTTAACTCGTATTTTACAAATCTCAAATTTATTTTTCAGAGACCGAGTAATTGAACCCAATTGGTTGACCCCTCACATTCCTCGATATCATCTTCAAAATTACCGACTCTACAGTAGTAACAAAATCCGAACATCCAAGTACACATGGCTTACCTTTCTTCCCAAGAATCTGTTCGAACAGTTTCATCGATGGGCCAACATTTACTTCATCATCATCATGGGTAAGATGCGATAAAAATGTTTCGGCCTCCTCCTCTAATCATGTAGTGCAGTAGAGAATTAATTTCTCGAGGTTTTTGGCTCAAATGAATCAAATTTATTAACAATAAAAAAGACTTATCATTAATTTCAGCGATGAACTGGATCCCACAACTCCAAGCCTTCAGCAAATACCTGGGAATGATCCCCGTTGTAGCGGTCCTTTCGATGACCGCAATCAAAGATTTCCTGGAGGATTGGAGAAGGAAAAGGGCCGATAAAAGGCTGAATCACAATACTGTTCACGTCTGGGATAAGTAAGAATTTTTCTCTTCAAAATTTACAGACTTCTCGAAGTTGTCGTTTCATCTCATAATTTCAATTTTCAGTATCAAAAAACGATTCCGCAAGACCTTATGGGAACTGGTCATTGTCGGCGATCTTGTCCACATCTCGAGCGATGAGAAAATCCCCGCTGACATTGTTCTGATCCGCTCGTCCGATCCCCAAGGCTGTGCTTTCGTGGAGACCTCGAATCTGGATGGCGAAAACAACTTGAAGCAAAAAGTTGTTCCAAATCGATTCAAAAACTTGTGTTTGAAAGGTCATTTTGATCCCTCAAGTATGTACGTCAAAATTACTGTCAATCCTCCGGACAATCGGATGAATCATATCAATGGGAAGATTGAGTACGAGAACGGGGAAAACGAGAAGATCACGAAGGAAAATGTGATTCTGCGGGGCTGTCAGTTGAAGAATACGAGTTTTGCCGAAGGCATCGTGATCTATACTGGTAAGAGCTGGCCTTAAAATTGATTTTTGGTTACTGCACTGGCTTTATGATAGTATAATTTTCCAATATTTTGTTTGTTTCAGGAGCCGAGACCAAGTTGATGCTCTCGAACGGCCCAGTGCGCTACAAACGAAGTTCGATTGAACGAATGACCAATTATTTTATCCTATTCTGTGTCCTTCTCCTTATAATCATGCTGATTTCCTCCGGAATCTGCTCAATTTTCTGGCTGACTGCTACAAACGCCCATGAAAGGCACATCCCTTACGTTGTTCTCTTCACATCCAGTGCTGTTAATGACGGGTTAATCAACATGGCTGCTTATATTTTGGTCTATCAAGTAAGTGGCAGTTGGAAGACATGTTTTCAAAATTTTGAGAGCTTTGTTAAAAATCAAGTGCCTCAGGGTAAATAAGAAGTTTAAAAATTATTTTCAGACACTCATACCTCTCTCGCTTTACATATCCATTGAAATCATCAAACTTGGCCAAAATTATTTGATGACCCAAGATTTGGATCTGTACGATCAAGAAAGGGATAAGAAATTGCTTTGCCGATCGCTGAACATCCCTGAAGAACTTGGTCAAGTCAAATACATATTGTCCGACAAGACTGGTACTTTGACGGAAAACAAAATGGTCTTTAAGTGAGTTTGCCAAATTCTTTATTAGATATCACATCCAAGCTTTGGCAAGTGTCTGTATTAACAGTTGAGGGACGCTGACTTTTTGATAAAGCTTGGAAAAAATTATTTTCCAAAAATATCGCAGAGCGATTTTTTCAGGAGCTGCACAATTTCCGGTGAAATCTTTGAAGCCGAAAATGCCCGTCGTCGAACTCGGACCTTCTCCAATATGAACGAAGAGAAGATTGAAATCTCCCCCAAACTCCAAAAAGACCTTCAAACGTCCAACACTCGTGATGAAAAATTCTTCATGCTGATGAACATGGCTGTCTGCAATACGGTCATGGTCAGGAGACGTCAACAGTTGGATGATGTTGAGCTGGGATATTTCGAGAACAATATTTACAATGTTGGGAACAGCGCCTTCTATGTGCCGATTGAAACGATCCCGGCTGGACTCCCTGCGGCACCGTAAGAAAGATTTTGGAAAAAAAATATTTTTGAGTTGTAAAATAATAATAGGACAGAATAAAAATCTTTTTTTCAGTGAGGCCCCACTTGCCAACCCCATTCTTCGACAATTTACCTTCAGTCCAACCGATTTGTTGAAACGATTTGGTAGTCTGACTTCATTGTCCAAGTAAGTCATCATCATAAAGTCAAATGGTCACCCTCAAACTTGAGTTGTTTTGTTTCCAAATTTTGAGAAATTTCTTCAGAACTTGATTTCTAGTTAGCGTTTCCAGAAAATCCCATGATTTTTAAGCCAAAAAATTGGCTGTACTTGGGAAGTGAGAGCTAAGATCCTCGGAAATTAAATTAGAAGGATAGATAATTACACAAAGTTTCATAGAATTATGAATTTCACTGTCAACTTCTTCCCCTTCGAAAATAAACTTTAATTTTTTTCAGAATTTTCACTAAGCGCGAGACCATCCTCCGCCGATTGACACAAAAGGCCGATGAGCGGAATTACGACGCTGAAAGTCCTGACGAACTTGCTTTGGTCAAGGCCGCCGATGAATATGGCTTCACTTTGGTCAACAGAAGTGCCACCGACATTCGATTGGCTTTGCCGAGAATGGCGCCCAACGGCGACTTCTTTCAAGAAGAAGTCGATGTGAAAGTCCTGAAAGTCCTCGGATTCGACAGTAACCGAAAGAGAATGTCGATTGTGGTGAGGTCCGAAAACAAATTGCTCTTGTTGACCAAAGGAGCGGATGAGCAGATCTTCCCGAATCTGGAGTCTTCAGAGTCCCCCGAACTAATCGAGGAAACGAGGAAGATTCTTAACGATTACGGTAGAATTGGTCTTCGAACTTTGGTGATGGCGATGAAAGAGCTGGACGAAGAAGAGTTCGAGGATTGGCTGGCGACTCGAGAGTTCGTTGAGTCAATCGATGATGATGAAGCGGAACAACTTCTGTCCGAATCTTCGTCACAATTGGAGGTTGGACTCCATCTTCTGGGAGTCACAGCAATCGAGGATCGCCTTCAAATGGGAGTCACTGACACAATATCTGCCCTGCGAAATGCTGGGATTCAAATCTGGGTGCTGACCGGAGACAAATGCGAAACAGCGGTGAACATTGCAAAAAGTTGTCATTTGTTCAACAAAAAATTCAAAATCCATGTGTTCCGAGAGCTTCAAGACTTGAAGGATTTTACGGATACGGAGCGGAAGATCAATGCCGTCTTTTCCAGTGAGATTGTCAAGCTGATCAAGGAGGGAAACGACGAGGCGTTCAGGGTGATTGAACGCTGCGAAGCCATCGTTTGCTTCCGAATGACTCCGGCCGAAAAAGCGGACGTTGTAAATGCCGTCAAGATCAAACTGAAGGGCAAAACTTTGGCCATTGGAGATGGTGCCAATGATGTCCCGATGATTCTCGGAGCTGATGTTGGTATCGGCGTCTCCGGCCACGAAGGTCTGCAAGCCGTGATGGCCTCGGATTTTGCGATCTCTCGCTTTCGATTCCTACGAAAACTCCTGCTCGTCCATGGCCATTGGAATTACTATCGCTTGTCGAATGCGATCATGTACTTCCTGGAGAAGAATGCGGTCTTCGTGCTGGTCATCTTTTGGGGACAAATGTTCATGGGCTTCAGTTCGGGCTTCTTCATTGACCCCATTTATTCGATGCTCTATCCCATTTTGTTCACAAGGCAAGTATCTCTAATTAATGTCACAATTTGGGCCAGATTATAATCAAAATTTATATAATTTTAGTGTTCAGCCGATAGTCTACAGTATTTTCGACCAGGATTTGTCAAAAGAGACCCTTCTGAAGTACCCGAAACTTTATGAAACCGGTCGAGAAGCAAGGTTGTGCACTTATCGAAACTTTGGACTCAGCATGCTGGATGCGTTTTATCAGTCGGCAATTTTATTTTTCATCCCTTTCTTGGTAAGTATACTATCAGATTTTTTGAATAATTACATAACAGAGAACGTCAATCGAAAATAGAAGAAAAAATTTCCCGCCCCTTTTTGGTGATTCGTTCAAAACGAAATGTCACTATCCGATAAAACGCATTTTCTTATCTTTCTTCTTCCTTCTCGAGAAAAAGCAATTATTTCGGACGAGAAAAGGTGCCGATAATTTCGTCTCTCTTCTAAATCAATGAAAACGATACGAAGTTTCGAAACGGTTCAGGAAATGCGCTGGATTGACGTGCATAATCTAGACCATCAAATTTCACTCTATAATCCTAAATTTTTTCAGTGCTTCAGCGGCTCCGAGATTCGTTACTGGCAGTTTGCCTTTGTCCTTTCCACGTCCATGTTCCTAGTCAACAGTATTCATCTGGCCATTCTCATTCGCCGATGGACCTTCCCTTTGCTGATTGTTCAACTCCTATTCGTCGGAGTTCATTTCTCTTTCTTCATTATGTACACTTATTTTGTAAATTCGACCTTCAATACAAAGGATCCTCCGTTATTAGTGGCCTACTCGATGCTCAAGGAATTCCAATTTTGGTCGTGCGTTCTGCTGACTGTGATCATTGCGGTTATACCGAGGTAAGTTGGTTTAAAAAAGTGGTAATAAAGATATAGGAAAAAAAAATAAAAATTGCAAAATCTCTGCGAATTCCGCATAAAAAAATATTATTTTTTTCTTGTTGAATTCACTAATTCTAATCGAAATTTAGCCTGAATATCACCAAAATCACATCCAAATCCCTTCTCTAATACTCAATTTTTTCATTTTCAGGTTCATAATAACCGTTGTGCAGACCCAATTCTGGCCGGATTTGCACGAAATCACCCTGCGGCAAGAGCGCCATCTCCCCATTCCCATTCATCTTGAGGCTTCGAATGTGCACTCCAAAGCCGAACATTTCTGAAATCCCTCAAGCCACATTTAGTCATTACTAGTAATTTATTGTAACCTCTTTTCCAACCCTTATATCTCTCTACTTTTGCCAAATCCCCCGAAATCTTTATCAAAGTCCAAAAAACTTTATCAAATTCGAAAATTCTACGGTGTTATTTTTGTCATAGCTTTCAAACCAGTGTCTTAAAAACATTCCAAAGTGTCATACATATCAAGGTTCATGTAAAATTGTTGTTCTTTGATCTCAACAAAGTCGATTTACGCGTTGTGTTATATCAAATAAACAAACTTAAATTGAATTTTCTTTATTCACGGGTTTTATTGCGAGTAAATCAACAACAAAAAAAACAAAAAATTGGAGGGGAAAACGGCAGGTTTCTTCGGCAAAATTTCCAAAAAAGATAAAAAATTTAAAAAATGGTTACAAGTCTACCTAAAATTTCAAAAATATAGCGTATTGTCAATGGTAAGTGAGCATGGCGTGAGATAAAAGTAAAATACAAGTCTTTTACTGTGTATATCTTGCTTAGACGGAACGTTTACAATCGGTGATTATAGGATTATTGCGTGAGGAAAAGGGGTACCCGTTGGTTAAGTGAAAGTTTTACAGTAATACCAAAAGCAAAATTCTAAATTTCAGGCAAAAATTCAACACTTAAAAGGTCATAACCCTGACCTAGTATGTGTATTTGTCTATGATTTACATTTCAATCCACCTGGAACCGAACACAGCCATTTGGTTGTCGATTTCCCATGTCGCTGTTGGGTCGAGGTCGTTGCGTGGTCATGGCGGATTGGCGAGGCAAGGTGTTGGAGGAGAGATCCGGTAGTTGGGAGTTGGCACTTTCATCCAGAGAACTGTTTTCGCTGCCTGAAATATAGAATAATATAATAAATATTATTTTATATAACAATCTTCCATTTTCAGTTGAAACCTAAATTTTCAAAATCAAAAACTTCGAAAAAACTTACTGAGCCGACTTGGCCAATTTTCCAAGACCAATTTTAGCGAGGTTGAGGCTTGTCCAGCATCCAGTAGATCCACCTTTTTCAGCTGTTCTGGATCCGGTTTTCTCGTGATATTATTGGCATCATTTGTGCAGAAAATCAAAGGACCAAATATGGCACAGACCCGATTCAAAGTGAGACCATTATGAGGCTCGGAGGCTATTAGATTCCGGATATGATCAAGAAGTTGGATGAGGGTGGCCTGGAAAAAAAATAAATTGAAAATTTTCAAAAATCAAGACTTGTACCTAAATCAATATTTCAACAAAAAAACTGTCATACAATTATTGCTTTGCGACACGAAAAAACAAACAAAAATTACTATTATAATCATAAAACTAAAAAAAAACTCAATTTCCATCAAAATTCTCCTTACTTTATTTGCGGATGGTAAGCAATCCACAATCTTCAACAAGATCCCTTGATTCCCATCTTTATCCGCTGGTAATATCGCTGAGCTCGCATCGACCAACATGGCATATATATTCGGTGGAACTAGGGGCTCTGGCAACTCTTTTAGGAAGTCCTTTACCAAGCAGGTTAATAAATTAATATCCGGAACTGGTACTTGACTAATATCGGTCGTTACCGGATCTCGATTTATGAGCTCTTTGATATAATTCTTCCTTTCCAAAGCTCCAGATACTAAAAATGAAAAAATAAAAATGAAAAAAGGGAACTTACAATAGTATAAACCTGGAACATCAACTCCTCGTTTTTCGATCTCCGTTACTAACCGGAGGAATACCGTAGGGATCTCTTTCTCTTCTCGTTGACATAACTGGCCCAGTGGAGTGCCAAACGAAGCGTTATACCTGAAAATCATCAATGAAAATAACAAAATTTAAATAATTTATGTTGTAGTAGTTAATAAAAACAAAATTTTGACGATAGATCGCCCTCAAGCCCCTCAAAAATCCCAACAAGCCTCTAAAAACCCCATTCCAAGCCAATTGCATCCACATCTTACCTGACGTTGACCGCTCTTCGGTAAGAATGTGCCATATCACTGAACGCAACCCTGACCATCAGCTGTCCTTTTGGTTCCAAATTCAAAGCAAAAACCCTGACCCCGTTCAATTGATCGACAAAGAAAGCGTCGGCCAGCTTCATCGAGGCTTTATGACAAAACCTATGCCGATATTGAGGATGCCATGAGTACACAAAGAATTGTGCGTTGATTGCATTTTGTACATCAATCTCGAATCCCTCTCTCCATCGGAATTTCTGTTCCGGTGTTGAAATTCCAGTCCGAGCACGATGAACTTCGTCGATTTCTAGGACCACATACAGTTGATTCGACTGATTTTTATCCGGAATTCGGAGATTTCGCCCTTCCAATATCCAGACAGTAATAATTCCGGTCAACGACGAAAGCTGAACTTGATCCACGTCAAACCCAGGACCGGCAGCTCGAAGAGGAACGCGTCGATTGACCAGAGGGCTCAGATGGAGACGATCGAGGATCTGGATTTGTCTATCCATTGGATTCTGAGTTGGAAATTGAGCGGCAGGCTCTGGTTGATTAAAAGGACCTCTTTGACGACGGAGATCAAGGTTGTTGGAGGTGAGAGAATTCTAAAAATATTTTAGAATTGTCACTCATTCCAGATTCATTTCGACCTAAAAACCAAAACAAAATGTAAAAAAACATACCATAATCGTTCTGGAAGGCAATGATGTAGATCTCATTCCATAGCCCAGTCGAGTTGGTGTTCTTCCATAAACATTTGCGTCCGGTTGTTGGCCATAAGGATCAGCCCAGTTTCGGTATTCCTGAGCCGAGAAAATATCCATAATTGAACGGCCAGTCGGTGATCCTAAATCAATATATTACACATGGCCTAAATAAACGATTTTGAAAATTTTTTGATTCGAATACTTACTAGTGGTCCCGGGAGAAGAGATTGTAGACTGAGCTCTTCCTGCTTGCGCATAGTCCAGTCGTCGTTGCGTCAATGGTGATGCAATATCACTCATTGCAGATCTTCCTGCATAGATGCCCGCTCCGGGACTGATGACGTCATTCCTCCATTTGACGGAGCGAAGTTGTCCGGCAGGTCCTGCAACCTCCGACTGGATCCTTCTTCTCGGTAAGGAATTACTCTTATAATTATATCCAGGTGTCACCGGGTTCATCGATGGATGTATCGACGGGTTCATCGACGAACTCATTGGGCCCATCAACGGATTATATGGACTTGGTTGGCCTCCTGACATTCCATATCGACCGTATCGATCGCCATACTGATACGCACTCTCGTTGGGATATCCGGCGTTATAACGGGGCTGTCCATTCAACGGATCAGAATAAGGATCGGGCCAGATTTTTGGAGGAGGAACGAAGGCGGTTTGAGCGACGGTTGGAGGACTATATCCACTATAAGGCTGAGCGGGGATTCGTTTGAGCGTTGAGGTGGACGGAGGCGTGGATTGGGAAGACATGGGGGTCAAATCCTGACTATATTGTTGATGGAGGGTGTGGTTGTGCTTCTAGAATATTTTGATGGTATAAAATCGCCGGGAAATCTTATCTAAGCACCAAAAAATACAATTACAACACATACATCGCTCTCCTGCTGTTGCCGAGCCCGTTTTCCGAGCCAGGTACCAGCTGTTTTTGCGGGTTTCGTCAATATCCCTGGTTGAGGTTTCGGATTCATAAACATTGCTTGTCGATCTTTCTCGTACTTATCATCCACCGTTCGAATGATCACGGGCTTCTCCAGGTTCTTCATTTGAGGCTCTATCATATCTCGACGGTTCTCGAGGAACCTAAAACAAAAAACTATATTTTTAGATATCAAAATTAATAATTCAGTAAAAAATAACATACCTCGTTCTCAAAACAAGTCTCCGAGGTATAGAGAGTGCGTAGACCACATCATCGATGCTCATATCCCTGACTTCCACATTATTTACATTGAGGATTTCGTCGCCCGGCCGAATAATATTCCCCATCTTTTCCAGCTCCGATCCTTCGCCAAATCGCGAGGCAAACACTCCATAGCTACAGTCGAAGCCTGAAAAGGAATATTTTGAATGTAAAAATAATCAAGTATCAGTATACGTTTGAGTACTAGTACTCAAAACCTTCGAGAAACGACAAAAAAAAATTTCGGTTTCCCGAGCGGCGCCCGAGCTTGCCCAAGAGTTTCGCTAATTTGTAAAACGCAGAAAATATTTGGCTTCCTTCCCCGAAATCCGCTACGAAACGAGGTTGTTTAGGTGTTACAAGAACAGCGTATCTTTCCTATTTCAGTCAATTTTCGTTAAAATTTGGCTTTTTCACCTAAATTCGAACAAAGGTCTAAAAAGCTCTGAAAAACTTACCGTTTCCCTCCCTCAAATACAAACCGAGACTCTGTCCCGGCTTCTTTATGATCTCGATTAGCTGCACGACACTAATATCCTTTCCATCTGGCGTCGGGTATTCCGCGCGATCCAGAATGCGGGCCGAGAATCCGACCACTCCCTGATTGGTCAATGTTGAGGTTTGTTGGTCGACCTGTTGAATTCGTCGGAAGGCATCTTCAGTCAGCTGACTGTTTACCGGTACTGAAAGTTAGTAGTTAGAAGAGTGATTAGTTTGGGGATGATTTTTATTTTCTTTTTTGATGTTTATTTACTGCACAGTGCAATGAAAAAGAAATTTTTTCACAGTGCAAAATTCGCTGGTCTGCACTGTGCATGAATTGGGAATAATAATCAAAATTAGATCCTATCGCCTTATAAACTTCTATTTCGGTCAAATTGATACAGTAATCCAACTTTTTTTACAGTGAATTCAAAATAATTGGGATCAAAAAAAATTTCCTCCTTTTTGTTCGCACAGGATCCTTTCAAATTTTTCATTACCACAATTCGCGTCAAAATTTGCTATACGAATGGCGTAATATTTTCCCATGTCTCTTCTGGATCATTCAAAAATAAGCATAATTTAATGTAATTGTGCCCAGTGAAGTCGGGATTGATTTATTTTTTGGCAAGAGCCGGAAAAAACTTCACGAAAAAAACAACTCCAGCGTAGAGATGGTTCAAAGAGAGCGCTTCCAAGGAAGTGAATCTTTTGGTGAAATTGGAATTTTGCAATGTAAATATTGAACTTACTTTGCGCCTTTTCATTTGACCGGCCTTGACTGGCTTGAGGCCGCGGCATGAAACGATTGGCTCAGGCACTGAAATGTAAAGTTCATGGATCAAAAAGAGTCCGTAAAAAACAAATCCGAATAAAACGCGGTTTTTTCCAAATTTATGAGCAAAATTGCTCCTCAAATTCTATTCATAGCATATTTTATTAATATCAGATGTTATAAGTTATTAAAATAAGTAGCAAAAGTTATATAGACTTGCTTAAATTTGACGTCAGCCCCGAAAAATTTCCAATATTCGACAAAAAAAGTTTTAAAAAGTTTTTTTTTGCCTAAGAACCCCCAGAAGTTTACTTGTAGAGCTAATTATCCAATCAAATTTTTGGTCATCCAAAAGGGTCGGCAATATTTTTCGTCTGGAAGGCGTCTTTTCTCCCTGAAATAAGGTTACTTATGGTCAACTGAACGGATTTTCGGTTCAGCAACCAATTCCCAAACCCAAATCCCTCAAATCTTTTGCAGTTATCACTCGTAAATTGGCCCAAATTAGGGGAAAACCCTCGGTCAGCGGCGGTTTCGGAACCGCTGGCCTAACTTTTTTATGTAATCGGCGCAAAAATCTTGGAAAAATTTCATAAAAAACCGTTGAAAAAAGCCGAGTAAGATGGAAAACTCGGGCTTTTTTGGCGCGGTGGTTTCTTTGGCAGCGGCCGAAAACGCGGCCGCCAGCACCCCGAAAAAGGCGAGAGAAACGGCGGGATGAACGGGCCACTGAGCAGAGAGCGCCGAAAGGCGAGAGACGCGCCCGACAAAGCGCAAAGCATGGAAATAGTGGGAGCGCCGAAAATAGAATGCGCAAAGACGCCCTGAGGGCAGGGGCCGCTTTTTGGGTTCGATGCGAGCGAAGCCCGCAGGGAGAGCGGCCGTAAATGGCGCGCTAGCGCGCGTGCGCTGCGCCGCTCTCCCCCCTCCTCTCAACGCGCCGTAATTCACTGGGGGAGCGCGGCGATTTCGCGCATTTCCGGGATTTACGGTGGAATTAGGGAAATTAATTTATAAATTATAAATCAAATAGGTAAAATACGGTTTTTATACGCAATTCTTTAATGCAGTCAGATCCGAGAAAATGAGATTTTTTACCATTTTGATGACTATTCGAAAAGTTTTCAAATAATTACTACAAAGGAAATTTACAGGGGAAGTACCCCAAGCGCGATGCTCAGATTTTTATGAAATTTGGCACAAATTTAGAACAAATTTTCTAAGATATATGCGAGAATCCTAGCTCGCGCTTTGCAGAAACAACCGAGATTTTTAGATCGAAAGTCGGCGAAAATTTAGGACTTTTTGCCGAATTTCGGTGCGAAGAGTTTTGTGCCTATTTCTAATGTAAAGGGTAATGTTTCTACAAAAAAGCAAATTTTTCCGTACGAAACTGCCAAAGTTATGGCCAAAAAGCGCTTTTCTCTCTGACCGCTCTCCACGTTTAGCGTGCTCTCTCGGCGGCAAAAATCGTTCGATATCTCGGCGGCGCCCGCAAAGCGCGAGCTAAAACTTTCAGGAATTGATATTTAGTCCATGCCCGACGTGTGTGCAAAATTTTAAAAAAATATGAGCGTCGCACTTGTAGTACTTCCCCCGTTAGTTTTATAAATTTAGAGTCCAAGCTACATAGCGAATCTTTTGTCCGCTGGTATTTCCTCCCCAAAAATTCAATCCCAGGAGATTTTGCCAAAAAAATATGCCAAAAATGGTCTTTGATTTACTCTTCTCTCCCTTCCTGCCCTAAGGCAAACGCGTTTCCAACCTCTGCCGCCATTCGTTACATCCGGTTATACCCTTCCCCATTCCGAATCCATTACTCCCGGAGTCTTTTAATTCGAGCTCCCCCACAATATCTACTCCCCACACACCCTGCGGGCATATCAGTATAAAAATGTGGGCGCATTGTTCTTTTGGCAGTTTCGGCGCGAAAAATAACGGAATGGAAATGTCCCAGGCGGGATTTTTGAAAGCTCGGCACAACATCAAGACAAAGACCAACTCGACATTTCCAATTTTACATATGTATTTAGGGAAACGCGAAAAGCGAGGAGAGAACGGACGGCGCATGAAGTTTGATTCGTTGTGGTACGAGAGAATGTCGCTAATAAATGTTTTAGGAGCTAAAACGGGATTTTTGATCTGTCAGATTTTGGGATTTGCACTTGTGACAGAAAATTGAACAAGATCTCCCTTTTTTTCAAAGATAAAAAACTCCTTAACTGTACGGAAACATAGTCAAAAACGTTTTCTCTGACCGTCTCTCCTTATTTTACCTAGCCTCTAAAAATATTCTCGGCCCTGCCGTTAATCAGCAACTTGAAATTTTTAGCGCTAGGCGAGAGATGATTACTATTACAAGCTAGATTTCTCGTGCAAGATCTGGCCTTCACCAAAGACAAAAAGCCTTTAAAAAATGTTAAAAACCTCAAAGCTGTCCTAATAACCTCTACAAATCGAAAACGCCACCTTTTTGGCAACTCCTCCGAATCCGTATTTTTGGAGCCGGAACCTCTTGAAGCCGTCATTTTCACGCCGTTTTTACCCTATCTTCTTCCCTCCTTCGGCGCTCTTCTCCTTCACCGGCTAAATGTCCCGCTTAAGTAAAGATTTAATCCAAACCCGAGCTGGCAAAAAATTTACTCACTCCCCCAAAAAAAATAAAGGGCAGAGATGGTCGTATTGAATGAAGACAACCCAAGTAATATTCAATGACGATACAGGGCTTTGCGTATTCACGCGTGTGAAAGAATTGAAACTACCGACGGCCCGAAGATGTGGCCAAGCTTAATTGTGGTATGGAATAGAAGAGGGAGCCGTATGGCTAAAATAGGGCAAGGATTATTATTTGACAAGTAAATAACGGCCAAAAAATCTACACTTTGTTTTTAGTGGAAGATCCTTTAAGAAATCTTTCAAAAAACGTTAAGATGGCTAGCTAAACCCTCCAGACTCCTTGAACAAACCCCTCTACTCTAAACCCTCAATCTCCGAGTGACATTAGTCAAATGCGTTTCTCCAGCCAGAGTGCAAACGGACTCTTAATTTTACATTTTCCTCTTTTGAATTCAGGCTAAACGACTTTGGCAGGTCATGGTAATGGGCGTTGTGATGTCCACAAATATTTGGAATTTATTTTACAACGTAACAAATTTAATAATCACTGCGATTCGCCGAAATACCCGACCATTTCTTTGAGCGCGTCCAAAATCAGAGTCCTCATCATTTTTGAGTCCGTCGATGGGCTTGAGTGATAAGATGAGACATGAAGACCGATTGAGTGGCTGCCCAAGAACTTGTAGACAATTCCGTAGCCATTTTTGTCCACCGCGCCAAAGGCTCCACCCATCCAGGACTCGACTGGAACAGTATCTTCCCGGCAAAGTCCGGTAACATTTGGCGGCTGAAAAATTCAAATATTGATGGATTGAAGTACTTGTGAGACAACTGAAGGCCTCTAAAGTTTCTCAAAAAGCTCTACAGAACCTGTCAACCGCATTGCTCACCTGAGTAGTACTCAATGTCCATTTCTGTCCGATATATGTCTCCAAGAAGTCCGAGGTCATCCCCTTGTATTTGCTCAACACATACAGCACAAACAGATGTCGGTCCACTCCCTTTCCCACCATAATCCGCTTGTTTTTCATGGTGTGAGCTTCACACGCGGCCACGAGCTTCTTCTTTCGTTCGCAGATATCTTCATTGTTGATCACTGCTTCCACAAAGTCACAGGACTCGGTGCCCACCGTACGGAGAGTCTCTGTTCGAGAGTAATCGAAGAAATGAGAGGAAGCTGCTTCGTAGGTTGGGACAAATTTTTGGTGAGCTCGATAGTAGGCTAGCTGAAATTAGAAAAGTCGTATTTTACATTTTGACAGTAAAAGTTGAGTCGTATTTCACTTTACTCACCTGAATGGCCATTTGCATAAACCCGTCGGGACTGCACTTGAGCTTTTTAATCTGCTCCTTCCCAAAGTCCCTGAACAAAATAGAAGCCAAATCCATATCTTTTGTCCGTTCTACAGTCATGTCATAACATCGATTCACTTCTTCAAGCATGCCTGGCAACTCTTTGACCTTCATCCTTTCCGCATATTTTATCGTATGCTTTTTGTATTCAGGAAATTTGGCGTCGTCTTTGAAAAGATATTCCCCTTCGCAATGGAGGATGTTTTCACAAACTGTCCTGTATTCAGCGCCATCGCATACAGCATGCTCTAACGTTCCTCCAAGCCGGCCACAGCCAGTAACGTGATAGTTGAAGGGCTTGTCCATCCAGCGGTCATTGCCCTTGCCACAGGTCATAACCTGAAATATTGGGATAAACGTTGGTTATTTTGAGGAATTCGCTACACCCTTTGACGTCAAATTTTCTATTTACTAAAGGCAGTATAAATGAAGTTTCTTACTTTCATGTACTCGCTCGTGGCATCAGGATCATCGTCGACGTCTCCATATTCAGTTGGATCCAGAGTCATGGATAATAACGCCGTCTCAGCATCTCGCAGACACTCATAGTTGGCTGGGTCCTTCAAGAAGAACCGTTCTCGATTCTCGGCCCATTTATCGCGATAATCATGGGTCAATGAAGTCACTTTGCTTTCTACTTCAGATGGGACGTCGTTTCGGGCAATAATGTCTTCGAAAATCCTAAAATACGAATCTTAGTTCTTTATAAAATTTATCAAATGTCTTGTTTTTTTCCATGTTGTCCCTCAAACTTACGCCTCAAGTTCGGCGACGGTGTAAACTTTGTTTGTTTTGGGGTCGAACACATCCACCTTGTACATGCATCCATTATACAAAATTATGACATGTCGTGTAAGTCCGTGATCCAGGAATCTATCAACATGTTTGCCAGGGACTCTGTTGTACGTAAATATTCTATTGTGCCATTCGGTGTAGCACAAGCCGTCAGCAGTCGGTCTGATTTGCTCCTTATGAATGGCAATCACATTTAGAATCAAGAGGTGAAGCTAAAATGAATTTTAATGTAAAATACGGAGATTTTGATGGCGTACATGATGAGCTCCCCTTCTGGCCATGCTGCACTTCTTGGGCCGTTGACCATCTCCATAGCCGACACTGCTGTTGATCGAGAGGGGCTCCCTGTTGGCCAGGTAGACATATTTCTCCCAGAACTCGCTGATATAATTTCGTCGAGTCCAACTCAAGAAATTTGCGTAATTTTGTAGGTGTGGACCTTCCTTGGCCAGGAAATAGTCAGCCTTGGCCTTGATCTCATCGTATTCCGACTGAAAAGTGTCTTTGTTTAATCATCGTTGCATTAATACTTGTCAGACTATCCAAAACTCAAATTTACCTTGTCCACGATCGGTTTGATGGACTCCAAATATCCGTTGACGGTATTCCGCAACTCTGGAACCGGTTGTTTTGGCAACAAATGATTGCAAGTATTCAATTTCGGAGGATTCAGCTTTTTAAGAAGGTGGAAACTGAAGCCCCATATTTTTGTGAACAACGATGGCTTCTTTGGATTCTCAAAGAGCCAGGCCTTGTAGCGGAAGACAAATCCGTATAAATAGAGTTTGGCGAGCACTACCGGAGCCAACGTTGAAACAGTGGAAATGTAGAGGGAATGGAGTGTGTCAAGGGAGAATAGAGATGCGGGTTGTGTTTTGATGAGCTGATGGGCGAGGGATGAGACAAAAATTGTGGAACACAGCCAAGGCGGGATGGGGTAGACAATGCGGAAAATGGAGTTCTGAATAAAATCGTGGTGAGAAATAGATTTTCAAATTTTGGAATTTACGGATTTGCAAAGTTTTTCATGTGAATTGTGTAATTGAATTCACACTGGATTACAAAAATTTTTCGCTTTGCAGAGCTAGCCAAAGTAATAAACGATTTTGGAAACAAAAGAAAAAATGTGAAGTGAAGGTAGCGAGGCAGGCAATACAAATATTCTGGCCGTACCATGTTGGATTTTGATCCAAGAAGGATGTTTTATGTTATGAAAGCGTCGTATCGCCCCTATTGCAAATGATATTCATATTTTCGGGCAAAAAATTACAAAGAAAAATAATCTTTTTTGCTGTTTAGACTACTAATCTTACTGGACCGGAGTAAAACTTTGCGGATGTCTAACATGTGAATTTTGTTTGTATTTAATTCAACATCAATTTATGCTTCAAACAAATTCAAAGCTTACCTTCACATTCGTGAGTCTCTGCTCCAACTCCGATGGGAACTTTGGCGCCATGTCGAAAGGCGGACTCCTCTTTGTATTCTTACCCATAGCTGCAATAGACAACTGCAATAGATACGCTCAAGTTTATATACTCGCGACAAAGTTGGACTGAATGCTCTTCGAGATGCTTGAACAAATCTCTTACATACCGAATTACCGTTTAAGTTAACCTTAAATTAACTCTAATTCGATTACCTCCTGAGTTGAAGAATTCTTCTGAAACGTTTGGAGTTCACATTGAAACATTGAATACAAATGTTTCATGCGTTTTAAACAACGAACTGCGATCAAATAGCTATTTAGATACGGTGAATAGAAGAGGGTTTGTAGGCTGCAGCTATGCTTTTTTTGTATAAGTGTGCACTTATACAAAACAAGAATTTTCCATTGCGAAAACATCAAGGATGGTGATCAAAATAAAAGTGCTGGACTCTTGAAATAGATTTTAATTTTTTATTCGGAAAATCGCAAATATTTATTTTTTATTTTTGACCTTTTCGGAGCTGAAAACCTCTGAAATTCCTCCTTTGCACAAGCTAAAAATCAGCATCTATCTGTGAAGTTATAATTTAAATTTGCTTAAATTTTTATCAAGAACATGTGGTTATGTTTTGATCAACTCTATGAATGAGTGGCCAGATAATAAAAGCTACAGATAATAAAAGGTAGTATAGTAGAAATTTGATTCAACAAGAGTCATAAGTCATCAAGTCTTGCGCAAGGTCTATCAGGTATATTTTGGGTACCATAACCAAATGATAAGCACTAATCCAGCCTTCACTACCACGAATTAACACCGCCGCTAACGCAATGACTACCGTAATTCCGTTCTTTCCTCTCCGAAACTTTCCCCTTCCGCTACCAAATCGTTAGCGCAATGACCCATCAAGTCTTTACACTTTTGTTGTCACAATTTGATTCCGCTTGTTTTAAATATGGATGCCGCGGGGAGAAGGGCCCTTTTCCCCTTCTAGAAGAGAAAAGGTGGGCCTCCTGACGACCACACAAGCGCTGGGCCCACTATGACGATATAGCATGATAAATCGATCAGTTTTATCAATCACAAAGCATAGCGTTCCCCATATGTTTTACAGGACCGCCCACATTGGGATTAGAAGAAAAAATTTGGCAGAGTTTCAGGGTGACCACTCGCTCAGAGCTAAAATTATGCTGACTTTTTGTGTAAAATATGACTTAAAAATTTCAATTTGCAATTTTCCCAACTTTTTTTTATGTTTTTCCAACATCTTTTTTATCAGCAACAAAATTTTACACTTCAAAAAAACCCGAACCCTTCAAAATCACTTAAGAGTGCAACCTTTTTTTATACCAACAAAAAAATCCAAAATCAGTGCAAAAGTTTGATGGATGACTAGTAGACTGCATGTCGAGAATTTGGAGAACGTATTCCTTCAATAAAAGTACATCAGCGATAATAATAATCGCGGCCGACAAACGGGAAATTCATTTCCTGGGTGGTCGAAAAACCCCAGACAGAAGGTGGGGAAAAAGAGAGGGGAGTTGGAGAAAAAAAGGGGAGAAGGCAAAGTACGGGAGGACGAAAAAGTTGGTCGAACGAACGTATCATGTCCATTGATCAGTGTTTATGCTGTTTTTGACAGTGTTGTAAACAATAGTGCACTGTATTTACCAGTTTATTATTGTTTTTTGCAGAGTGCTGAATGCGAACGGATTATCTCCGAAACATTCAAATTTTGGAAGTTCGTTTTCTAAAAGGGTGCAATTTTTTCACCTTGGTGGGAAAAATTGTTTCACAAGAGAAGTACATCAAGCGCGACGCTCAGATCTTTATGAAACTTGGCACAATTACAATTTCATTTTTTTCGTTTTTCGAAATCGAGAGTTGCCACAATTTTGACACTTTTTTTCTTTCGGCATTAGAACCTGCGGTCTCTGCTGCCGAGATAAAAACTTTTACCGAAATCAAAAATTCCACTCCAAATTTGCAAACCCCTGGCCAAAGAACGGTAGCAATTCTCGCGACAATAATTTTTTCACTTTTGATCTTTTTGTTTTGCTTTCTTTATGTACGCGTGTTGCTGGGCAACAATTCATGACATAACAATCTTTACTTTTTGTCGCATAGAAAAAAAATCACACAAAGCCAGTTTTTTATAAACCCTAAATGAGAAAAGAAGTAGTAAAAAAGTTGCAAAAAATTTTGCCTAGTATCTTCCTGTACAAAAATAATTATAATTGTGATTCAATAGAAGAAGCGGAAATCTGAAAACCTCTAAAAACGTCAAGAGCGATTTGATTGAACTTGAACAAATTAGAGCTCGCATTTGCTTTCGAAATTAGTCATCTAATGATCACTGAAAAACCCGTTCTGGATATTTGTTTTTTAGTTGTAAAAACAGAAGGCATTCAAATCACGTAATCAGCTGTTTTTCAACTTTTTACTTTACATCTTTCCCGAGTATTAGACTGACCTTGGATTCGAATATCACTGTAATAGTACTGAACATTGACCCGAACTTTTCTTTCTGCAAAAGTTTTCGCTGGAGATGGGAAAATACGGGAAATATTTCTCTCTCCAGAGGCGGTTTATCAAAAGGTCTGTTCAAATGAAATCTCAAAAATTTTAGCCTCTGATTTACAATGGTAGCCGAGATTTTTTTTATCGACTATGCACGATAGAAAAAAGTTTCTTTTTCAATGTGCGAAGATCAAAGATTACTATGTTTTTAAATCTTTTTTATCATACAAAAAATAACTGTCATCAACCGGTCATAAATTTCACAACAACAAACTGTGGTTCCCTATCGCGACGGATGATACCTCTGGTCATTTGCTTTTGACTTCTTCCTGATGTCTTTGCTCCATTGAGAAATACGACGCCATTTCCCGCAGGGCATCTAAGATTGCTTCACGCATCTTTTTTGAGTCAGTTTGTGGACTTGAATGATATGAAGAGACATGAAGAGCGATTGAATGGTTGCCCATGAACCGATACGTGATTCCGTAGCCATCCTTGTCCACGGCTCCGAAGGACCCGGCCATAAAACACATGTCATGATGAGCGTCTTCGTCACAGATTTGAGCGAGATTTGGGACCTGGAAAAGTTCAAGTTTTTGGCGGTTTATGAACTGGGAGGTCATCAAACGATGAGAACATCCAAGACAATGAATATATTATAATATAGAGTCTGTAATTTTCTCAAAAAGCTCAGTTGAAAGTTCAGAAATCGGTTACAGCTACAGTGATTTTAAAACCGAAGATAAGTCTAAATCTAAGGCAGTATGTACAGCCTAGAGTGTGATAAAAACTTCTGAAAATATCCTTGACCACTTTTCTTATTCCCCCACTCACCTGTGATGTGCTCAGTGTCCATTTCTGGCCAATGTATGTATCCAAGAACTCGGATTTCACATTCTTATACTTGCTCATAGCATAGAGCACAAACAAATGCCGATCAATCCCTTTTCCAACCAGCGCATTCTTGCTTCTCAAGACATGTTCTCGGCAAGCCTTCAACAAGCTTTTTCTCCTCAAATGAATTGGAGATCCGTTGATGACGTCGTTTATAAATTCGCAGGACTCTTCGGAGACTGTCCTAATCGTCTCGGTTCGTCCGTTGTTGTAAAAAAGAGAGCCGCTGGCTTCGTAAGTTAGGGGGAAATGCGAGTGGAGCCGGTAATAAGCGAGCTGAAAAGGGATGAGTAAAATTTTCCCCTGGAAATTGTCGAAATTCCTAAGGATTGGTATTTTTGAACGTTTAAAAAATGTGGAATACAGTGGGGGACCCCATCCAGTGGCAAAAAACGTATCATTTTGCATACGGGAAGTGTCAAAAATGTGGCAAAATGCTTCCTTCTCCAATTAAAAAAACTCCGATTTCAAAAGAGCGCTTGCTTTTTTGTGACGGAAAGGGCGCGCCCTTCAAACCCAAGTTTTTTCACTTGGAGAGGGAAGCATTTTGCCGCATTTTTGATGTTTCCCGGACGCAAAATGGAACGTTTTTTGCGACTGGATAGGGTCCGTCACGGTAGTAAGATTTAAATCCAAATTATGGTACTTAAACGCACCCCTATATGGACGTGCTACTAGCCATATTCATTTAAGAACGTCTGAGAAACAATAAAAAAAATTTGGATGACTTAGTTGCCAATCTAATATTTACTACGCTCCATTACCTGATAAGCCATCTGAAGAAAGGCATCTGGACTGCATTCGCACTTCTTGATCTCCCCTTTCCCAAACTCCTGGAACATAATCGAGGCCAAATCAAAATCAGCATTCCTTTTGACTTGCTCCTCATAGCATCTCAGAGTCTCCTTTTTCATCCCTGGAATTTCTTCGATTTCCATTTTCTCGGCATATTTCAGCGTTTTTCGTTGACTTTCAGATAACTGGTCAGTGTTGTCAATCACGTATTTGCTTTCGTGATAGAGCACATACTCGCAAAACGTCCGATATTCCACGCCATCGCAAACGCCATGTTCAAATGTGCCGCCAATCCGGCCACAGCCAGTAACGTGGTAATTCAGAGGCTTGTCGGTCCAACGGTCATTGCCTTTGCCATGCGTCATCACCTGAAAATGTGAGAAATTTATCGGCGGAGAGCTTAATGTTTTTTTGAATTTACAAGTATGGAAAGCTATATACCATACTCGTAAGAAAAATGCATAATAAAACTCACCTTGATATAATGGCTGGTAACATCTTTATCATTAGCCACATCTCCAAAGTCTTCAGGGTCTAATATTAAAAAGAATAGTGCAGTCTCAATGTCATTCAAAAACTTCAGATTGACTTTATTTTTCAAGAAGAATACCTCTCGATTTTCAGCCCATTTATCTCGTCGATCAGCTGTTAGAGCAGCCAAATTTTTCTCAACATCAGACGGAACGTCATCACGGTTCATAATCTCGTCAAGGATCCTGAAAAATTATGCTTCACAGCTGGTCTTAACTTACGCCTGTAGTTGTGCTGGTTGATAAAGCTTTCTGGTTTGTGGGTCGAAGACTTCAACTCGATAGAAACATCCGTTGAATTGGACAACAATATGACTTGTTAGGCCATGATCAATGTAGGAATCAATATCCTTTTGTGGGATGCGAGAGTGGGTGAAGACTTTATTATGTCGGTCTGTAAAGCAGAAACCTTCACCTGGTGGATCAACGTCTTCTTTGTAGAAAGCAATGGCTGCAGCGGTGAGAAGATTCACCTGGAAAATAAAAAGGATATCGGGTTCAATCAAGCCTCAAATGGTGGTTTTATAAAAGCATAAATAAAGCCAAACATCTTTTGCATTCAAGCCTAACATATTGCGTTTTAAAACTTACATGATTGGCGGCTCTTCTCGCCAATGATCTCTTCTTCACCTTCCACCCATCCGCGAATCCCACGCTAAAGTTGATCAGAAGAGGCTCTCTGCTGGACAAATAAACGTATTTCTCCCACAGATCTGTCACATAATTATTGCTGGTCCAGCTGACGAGATGAGCATAGTTTTGCAAAGTTGGCCCATGAATTCGCAAAAACTCTTCGGCCTGGCTCTTGATCTCTTCAAACTTCATCTAAAAAACAAATTTCAGGTCATCTTTTTGATGACTAAGGTATTTTTAAAAATATTTTTAAAAAATATTTTACAGTGCTATGCAGAGGTTTGACTGACTGCAAATAGCCGCTGACGGTATCCTCAAGTCGTGGAACGGGTTGTCGTGGCAGTAAATGGTTACAAGTATTCAAATTTGGAGGGCTAAATCGTTGGAGAAGCTTGTAACTGACTCCCCAAAGTTTTGTTGCCAACGATTTTTGTTTCCTCTCTTCAAACATGAAATTTTTGTAGCGAAGAACGAAGAAGTACATGTAGAGCTTGCCAACAAGTATCGTGGCAAAAATATAGGACAAAGACTGAATAAAAAATGATATAGGCTCTTCGGATCTCCAGCATCGTCCGATGAGGAGAGGGATGAGAAAACCTGTGAGCAGAGTGAACAGAAATGGAGGCATTGGGTAGATAGCGTGGAGAAAGCCATTCTGAAAGTATTGGTGGAATTACGTTAGGATTTTTTGGATGTTTTGGATTGATTTTTTATGCCATAAGATAGTCAAACCAGAAATTATGGGGTCCCTTTGAGCCCCCCTTATTTCTGGAACTTGTACTTGTGCTTTTTACTTTTGCTTTTGATTTTTTTTGTATTTTTTCGAAAGGCTCGGAGCCTGCGGTCCCTCGCATGCAGTATCATACCTTATTCTACTACACATGTTCACAATGATTTCATAAAATTTTACCTAATTTATAAGCATATAAGCAAAAAAGGCCGAAACCCTACAAGCCTTATTGTTAGAGATCCCAAACCCAATATAGTGATGTTTACATTGAGCGAAGAGTTCTCAAAGATAAAAATGTTGCTTTAAAAATGAATTGTCAAATAATTCTCAGACTGATAAGGGCAAAGCGTTTTTTGACCGTCTGGAATAATTTTCTCAAGGATCCGAACGTCAGTCCTAGGCTACAAGACATAAACGGTTGTTTTCCCGGCTGTTCTTTGGGCCGAAAATTTTACAGACAGCACTCAAAAAAGCAACAATCCTACATGCAAAAAGGCCTTATATATTTATGCTTACTTTTAGTTTTATCCATCTTTTTTCACGATCAGTAGGAAGTTTTGGCTCCAGAGGCAGCGGTCGAACGTTCTTTGGCATGGCAGCTATCTCTACTAACTATAAACAGCAATTTAAGACAAACATTGCGGAAAGGAGGGGCTTTTATAATAAATACAATAAAGATTGGGCAACAAAGTACAGAATATAAATTACAGCCATAAGTTGTAAAGAATAGAAGTTTGTGAACAAAAAAATGCTGTTTACAAATTTTACCGGAAATGAACTTAGTCAACATTAGCAATCTTTTACTACTAACAATCTTTGCAAAATGTTTCGAAAAAGCACCCATAAGTCCGCAGACTTAAAAGTGCGTCTTTCCAAAATAAAAAATAAAACTCTCCCTGCTTTTTTGAACTTTTTCGAACAAGAGACGTCGGAAAAAAATTTTCCAAAAGTCGCATAAAGTGATGACAACATAACTTTGAACAAAGTACAACACCACAAAAAGTGTGCAGTTTACGGTGGAACAAATGATATGGGTGCAAAATTTTCAAAATGTTGGTAAGACTTACGGAAAAAAGAAGCTTTTCAAGTGTCCGGAGTTGCTTAGAATTTTGCACACGGGTTCTGAGCTATATAGTCGGTCAGTAGTCCCTCATAAAGAACCCCAACCTTAGAGCAGTGTCGGAGCTATTCATCGGCATGTTTTGCAATTTCAAGAGGGTCAACCCAAGTTCCGATAGTGACAAAATCGCAGTTCCTTTGTTTGACATTTAAAAAAACCATGTTAGTTAATCGATATGAACACAAAACTGAAATGACTAGGACAGAAAAACACGGAGATTTTAGTAGTATAAAAATCTTTTGGCCTGACCTAGACATTTTCGTGTCAGGACCCATGGAAAAAATATGCATTTTTTGGGACACCCTGTATTATCCACGAACCATCAGCTCAATTCCGCGACAAATTCTTTTATCGTTCTCATACTTTCTCTTAATTACCCTGATAAACAGTTTCACTTTTCACAATGCCACATTTTTTAATTCAATTTCGATAGCACTGTTGTGATTAGTGTCAATAATTGAAACTGAGCACTCTTTATGACGAAAATAAAAAATCAAAAAAAAATATAGCCATTCACAGTAAAACTGCAATTTTCCCTTATAAAAAATCCAAAAAAAAATAAAAATTCAAAAAAATATTAAAATTCTGTTTATTAATAATATTAAATACTGAACTATAGGTCATCACAGTGATATGGCATTTGAGAAATGATAAGTAAAAGGTCACAAAAAATAAAAACAAAATCTCTAACCGTCTCTCTCTTTCAAGAGTTCGCGTAATCTCTCATTCTTCTGGCATTCTTGTTGGAAATCAGCAATAGTTTTTATGTACAATCTCTTCTGTTTCCTGAGGTCTTGAAGTGTTCGGAATGAGGAGTCTTTGGCTTGCTGGGTTTGGGCCTTCTTCTTCATGATTTTGTCCAAACTTTCGTCGACTCCGGAGACGATTTTTCGGAGGTTCTCGACAAATGAAGACTTGTAGGCTTCTTTCAGGGCTCTGAAAATGAATTCAGAATTAATTTTGGAGACAATTCGGCGAAAAGGCTTAATTTTACTTCTGTTTTTTACCGACCATCAAAAAAAATTGTCCATGCCAAAAGCCTCCTCAAAAAATCCCAATGAAATCAGCATATAATCAGCTAAAATCTCCCAAAAAAATTTAAAAATTTTTGGTCTACTATATCCCGAATTCCTTCACAATCAATCCTCACACTTTTACAATTTCCTCATGAAACCAACAACTGAACTTACAACTCTTTTTGATCATCAATCGACATCAACAAATCAATCTCTTTCTTGGTGAATTTACATGCATCGATTAGATGATTGTTCAACATGTACAGTCTCCGGGCTTCCAAATGTTTCGCTGTCACCAAATTATACAACTCCACAAACCTCCGTTGATATTGATTTAGTTCAATTTGAGTGGGAGTGGAGTCCAATTTTTTGGAAAGATAGAAAATCTCCTGATTAATTTGGGCCAGTTCCTCCTCGAGTTGCGAATTTTCCTCTCGTAATTCTTTGATCTTCTCAGGATCCGGGCCGGCGAGTTGTTGTAGTCGTTCGATTTCGGCTTCGGCCTCCTCAATTTGCCTGCGGCATTCTCGTTTGAACTCGGATTCTCCGGTTCGAAGCTCTTGGCATTGGTCGAGCAGATCGCTGACTTGTTTGATGATCTCTGCAAGGAAGTCATAAGGGATGAAAAAAAAAACAATTTGACCCTTTGTTTTTGATCATAGAGCACGCAAAATGAGGAGAGTCGGTCAGACAAAAAATTGGTTTTTCGTCACACTTTTTGATGCCTACCCGGAAAAAAAATTTTTTTTGTTGAAACTTTTTGCTCCTCAGAAACTAATTCAATTTTTCATCTCAAAAATTGTAAAAAAATTTGGTAGATTTCCGATTCCATGATCGCCATAAATTTGGCAAATTTTTGACTAAAAATCTCGCAATTTCTTTCAAAAATTTTTATCGAAATTTATGCCAAATTTCATCAAAATTTTTCCAATCCAATATCATCAAAAACAACCTCAAAAAACCACCATTTCTTACCTGGATCCGTATTGGTCAACAAATCGTCCAAGTACTGCTGTTTCTCGCTGATTTGTTGGACCTTATTCTCCTCTTCCTCCACAACTTTTTCCATTTCTTCATTTTCTTTCTTCAACTTTTCCAAATCCCCCAATAATTTCTTTTCCATTTCTGCCAAATCCTCTTCCGTTTCTTCGACTTTTCCCAGCTTCAAACCCTCCGAATCTTTGGCAACTTTCTCCAGGGCACTTGAGTCGATCATTGAATTCACTTTCCTCGCTGACACTCGTTTTTGCTGGAGTGGATCGGCTTCAACCAGCTCGTTCCGCAACTGCTCGGTGATTTGGAGATCCCGGAGGAAACTTTCTTCAAGTTCTTTGCGCTTCTCTCGGCCCAAATCATCGTCAAATTGGGTGTCCTTTTTCACGACGTCCTCAACTTCTCTAAAAATGGAGAATATTTTTTGAGATTAAAAATCTCAAAGCTCCAAAAACTCAAAAACTTACAATCCGAACTCCAACAAAGTACTTCTCACATCGTCTTTGATGTTCTTGAAGCCCTCTTTATTTGCCCTTGCCATTCTTCGCACTGGCTTTGCTCGCTCCACCTCTGAACTGATTGAACTGGTCGGTTGTTCATTATCAATTGCCCACCCAGTATTCTTGAATTGAGAACTTGCATATCGAAGGATTTCATCGCCATATTTTTCCTTCGCTTCGATCGCCTCTTTGACTAGCCACTAAATTTTCAACAATAAATAAAAAATAATGTTTTTCTTACTTTCACAACAGGATAAATGTTGATACAGTCAAGTCCTTGGATTTGATGGGGCTCAATCGAGTGGGGACACTTGAAATTGGGCAGAACTTTGACAATATTTTGGGTCAGAGCACTAAAATAAGTTAAATTATTACCTAAAAGATGTAAACACATAAGAAAAAAAGCGGGATCTTACATTTTCTGTCCAATTGAAGAGTTCTCAGAATAAAGAAGATCAACATCAACCACTTCGGCACACAGTTGTATACACCAAACCATTCCTCCAACGATCTAAATGTCAAAATATAAAATATAAAAGCAATAATATTTACTTTGTCAAACGCGCTGAGTCCATCTATTTTAGCTCGAAAATAGCCGGCGGAAACGAGGAGTTCCAAGATTTGAGACATTTTTGCATATTGCTCTTCATCTTGTTGGACAGTGAACTGAAAATGCAATTATAAGCCTAATAAAATGATTCCATCGAGCTAACAGCATATTAAAACGCTCAAAGATGTTCTTTTAAACGAGAATTGTAAAATAATTCTTTGGAAATTCGCTTTTTCTCCTAAAACTTACTTGTCCATCCCATCCATGAGATTCAATAGTTGATTCCATTATTCTTATACTCAAAACTATGTAGAAATGTGGAGATTATAGAGCATTTATGACGAGTTTACAACATGTTTTTTGTTTATTATCGGATGCGGAGAAGAAAAATATTTTTTATTTTTTTGATTCGGAGCTGCGCCCTGGAAACGCGCAGTGTGCAAAAGAAAACTGTGTAAGAGAGATTTTTTGAAAACGGAATGTTCTCTAGTGGCATTAATTTCTGATAAATCCAATTTTTTACTTGTAAATCTAGTCTGTCAACGTCCAGTGGCTATTCAAACAGTTGGATCGGCTCAAAAATCTAAATTGGACAGGCTAGAAAGCCATCTAAAGCTCAATCAAGAGTTGGACTCGCCTAAAAGCTCATAAGGGAAGTACCCCAAGTGCGACGCTCAGATTTTCTTTAAATCTTGCACACACGTCGTTCAATAACTAAGTATCAATTCCTGAAAGTTTTAGCCCGCGCTTTGTAAGCGCCGCCGAGATATTGAACGCCGAGAGAGTACGCTAAACGCTGAGGGCGGTTAGAGAGAAAAACTCTTTTTGATCATAACTTTGCTAGTTTTTTGCGGAAAAAATTCATTTTTTGTGGAGACTACACCCACTATGGTAGAAATAGGCATGAAACTTTTCGTGCCGAAATTCGGCAAAAAAATTTCAAATTTTTGCCGATTTCCAATCTAAAAATCTCGGTTGTTTCTGCAAAGCGCGAGCTAGGATTCTCGCATATTGTTTTAGAAAAAATTATTCTAAATTTGTGCCAAGTTTCATCAAAATCTGAGCGTCGCAGATTTTGATGATCAAGATTTTGATGATTTTGATCATTAAAATCTGCGACTGACTTCCCTGTCAGCTAGAGGATTTGGCGGCCGGTCCAATACTCCAGCCAGCCAGCCAGCCAGCCAGCCAGCCAGCCAGCCAGCCAGCCAGCCAGCCAGCCAGCCAGCCAGCCAGCCAGCCAGCCAGCCAGCCAGCCAGCCAGCCAGCCAGCCAGCCAGCCAGCCAGCCAGCCAGCCAGCCAGCCAGCCAGCCAGCCAGCCAGCCAGCCAGCCAGCCAGCCAGCCAGCCAGCCAGCCAGCCAGCCAGCCAGCCAGCCAGCCAGCCAGCCAGCCAGCCAGCCAGCCAGCCAGCCAGCCAGCCAGCCAGCCAGCCAGCCAGCCAGCCAGCCGTTTCTGACATTTCTCGCCCAATCCAACCGTTTAGCTTGTCATTTTCTGGACTACAAGCAACGTATTCACCCTACATCTTCTCTCATTGCTCCAAAGTGATCGTTCGATAAGAGTATAAGGCTCGGAGCATTTTTCTCTCATGATGTCGTCTGGTGTACAAAAGACCAAGTGAACAAATTTAATTAGCCTCCCCGATAACACTGTTTACGCGGGTTTTTTCGCGCTAACCTCAGAGTTGTTGTAGTGTTATCATTGGGATTCCTGCTGAATGGGCAAATGCCACCAACGATGCTCTATCTTGTGGAGCAGAAAGGATAATGAATATGGGCAGATGAGGAGTGAAGATCAAGGTGCAATCATGGGTGGTATGTTGGGTATATAAAGGCATTTGATGGATTGTAATGTTCAAAAATAACGCCATGTTTACTCCTATTTCATTAGATGTATGGTAGACGTATAAAACATGATTTGTTTTCAGATATATGGTGGTATATTTCAGACATTTTGATATGTCCGACGTTCCGAAAACTCAGAAAGCCGCTGTCTACGATGGGTACAACTTGCCAGTTGAAGTGAAGGAAATTCCAGTGCCAGAACTTGGCCCTGACGACATTTTGGTCAAGATTTTGTATTCAGGTAAAGGCTGACTCTGTAGGTGCAAAAATAGGGCGCTTTAGGTGTCTGCCGAACCGACGTTCATGCGTGGCAAGGGGATTTCCCCGTTCCGATCAAGAGCCCACCAATTGTTGGAGGTCATGAGGGAGCCGGAGTTGTTGTGAAATTGGGCTCCAATGTCAGCAATTGGAGGATCGGGGATCGAGCGGGTGTTAAGGTAATTTTGTAAGTCGCTAAAGCGAACTTTCCAGTGGATGAACTCGTCTTGTTTGACCTGTGAGTACTGCAAACGGGGCTATGAGACGAACTGTCCCAACCTCGTCCTTTCTGGATATCATAGAGACGGTTCTTTCCAACAATATGCCGCTTGTAAGGCGTCGGAGGCGGCTCCAATCCCGGAGAGTTGTGACATGAAGACCGTGGCGCCAGTCATGTGCGCTGGATTGACGGTTTATAAGGCGTTGAAGGAGGCGGATGTGAAGCCGGGTCAAATCGTTGCAATTAATGGAGCTGGCGGGGGTTTGGGCTCTATGGCCATTCAATATGCCAAAGCTATGGGAATGAGGGTTCTGGCTATTACTAGCAAGGAGAAGGAGAGGCATTGCAAGGAGTTGGGTGAGAAGCTCTTTTAATAAAATTTTTTTATGTGTATTTTACCATAACTACCATTGTGATCTACGCTATCTAGCAAGACTTCCAATAAGGTCTTTTTTAGGAGCCGAATGGTTCGTTGATGCCTACGGCAAGACTGATGTGGCCTCGGAAGTTCAACGCCTCACCAACGGAGGTCCTCATGGGGTTCTCAACCTGGCCACAACGCCAGCCGCCGCCGAGACCGCAGTGGATTACGTTCGAACGAGAGGAACGATCGTCCTCGTTGCCCTTCCCAGGGATGCCACGGTCACATTGAAGGTATTCTGGGCAATTCTACGGTCCATCACGGTGAAAGGATCGCATGTGGGCACTCGTCAGGATATGGATGAGGCCTTGGACTTCTTTGCCAGAGGTCTGATCAAGATCCCGGTGGAGATGCAACCCTTGAAGAACATCGCCAGCGTTTTTAAGAGGCTCATCAACAACGAGGTTCAAGGGAGAATTGTTCTGGACATGTGGAACTAACAGAAACTAGGAGATTATACTTTTTTTTTTGACTTTCATAGCTAAAGTAAATATAAAATGATATTTAAAGCGTTCTACGTGTATGCTCTGAAAGACTATTACAGAATAGAACGCCTGCTTTGATCTTTCAAAAAACGAAAGAAAAATACTTTGCTTATATGACTGATGACGTACATACAAGTAGGCTTGTTTTTTTCTATGGAAAAAAAATCATTTTTTCTAAAAATAAGTTTTCTAACGATAAGAAAAAGCATTTTATTTCTATGCGAAAAACATTTTTTTAATTATTATAGCAAACTATAAAATACATACGCCTACGATTACGCATAGAAATACTCTTATCAGCTTTAATTTAATTGCCATCGGAACGTTATATTAAGGTACTCGTGTAACACTACTTTTAATTTGATGTTTTTGGTAATAAACCAGGAAACTGATTGATAAGAAAGTCTCATTTCTTTTAATCATAATTTTAGTATGCATTCTGCACCGAGATTCAAACTGAATGATGTGGCGTCTCGTTTTTCTGGTAATACTTTTCACGAGATTGGAAGTTAATGTAAGTTGAATAGGGAAATTTAGACGGTAAGGAATGTTTTGCTTTGTCTCCGACTTTAGGCATCATAAAGACAAATATTTAATTTCAGGCTAGACTTCAAATCGGTCCGTATTTGGAGCCAACGGTTAGGCCGAGTTTCGGAAGTAATTTTGTGTGGGCGAAGGTGGACAACTTCGACCCGGATAATAACCAGACATGGAAACAGGTAGGAAAAGTCAATCCGAAAGAGTTAAATTAGCATAGCTTCTAATTTCAGTATTACTACGAAAGATCCCGCAGCGATTCCAATGTAAACATTTTGTATATTGGAGGAGAAGGCCCAAACAGCCTTCAAAAACTTGACGCCGCTGTTTCCCCCTCGTATCCAGGACTTGTGGAGGATCTACGGCAAGCATTCGGTGCAGCTGTTTACACCCTCGAACATCGATATTATCAGTCAAGCTACCCTGTTAAGTGAGCAAAGTTTTCAAAGTTTTGAACCTGGCAAACCCATGTGATTTTTTATTTATTTAACAGGGGAAGTAATCCAAGTGCGACGCTCAGATTTTGATGAAACTTGGCACGAATATAGAGTAATTTTTTCTAAGATATATGCGAGAATCCTAGCTCGCGCTTTGCAGAAACAACCGAGATTTTTAAATCGAAAGTCGGCCAAAATTTAAGACTTTTTGCCGAATTTTAGTACGAAAAGTTTCATGCCTATTTCAATCGTAAAGGGTAATGTTTCTACAAAAAAATAAAATTTTTCCGCACGAAACTGCCAAAGCTATGGCCAAAAAGCGCTTTTCTCTCCGACCGCTCTCCACGTTTAGCGTGCTCTCTCGGCGGCAAAGATCGTTCGATATCTCGGCGGCGCCCGCAAAGGGCGAGCTAAAACTTTCAGGAATTGATATTTAATCCATACCCGACGTGTGTGCAAAATTTAAAGAAAATCTGAGCGTGGCACTTGGAAGACTTGGAAGACTTCCCCTGTAAATTGAATTTTTTTCTGCAGACATCCAAGAACTGCTGAAGATTTCAAATATCTCTCCAGTCAACAAGCTCTCGCTGACATTGAGAACTTTATTAAAGCCATGAACAAAGGAAGAAGAAACCAGAAATGGATTACAATCGGAGGATCTTATGCAGGTTCGACCTTTTGGCATCTTCGCAATTCTTTTTCCAGGCATGCTGGCAATTTGGCATCGTCAGTTGTACCCTCAATCGACTGTGGGGACCATTGGATCTTCAGGTCCGGTTCATGCCGTGGCAAACTTTACCAGTAAGTCCAACTTTTTTTTTGCACAAATTTTGAAGAAACTGGATGCAAGTTTAGATGATGACGTATGTACATATACCTTCATAACCGTAAAAAATTATAATAAAAAATCGGAAAAAATTTTTGGTTCTCCCTAATAACATTTTCCCTAAACTTGCAGGCTTCTTTATGGTTGCCCAAATCGGCTACAAACAACAATATCCCAAGTGTTACGAATGGCTGAAGAAAGCGTTCGCCGAGTTCAAAGTGCTCTTGGAGAATAAGGACGACAAGTTGAAGAAGCTTTATCCGGTGTTAGCAGAACGCTACGACATCGAAAAAGAGGAAGATGCGCATTACTTTGCCTACCACGTCGTTTCTGATGCCTATACTCAAATTCAATTTCGCATCTGGGGAATTGTAGGTTGAAAACGGCGAAATGGATGTTTCTAATGTATAATCACACTTGCCATACCACTTTTAGTGCGGCCACTATAGCCCGACGCCCAATGAAACCCCGGTCCAAACATTGGCCCGGTTGTTCGGCCACACTGCTGATGATATTGAAAGCGTTTATTGGAGGTCATGGATGTGGCAAGTCTGCAATGAATTCGGTTTCTTTTACTCTCCGGACGACGCGAATTGCCTTGCCAATGGAATTTATGACATCAAGAAGGTCTATGGAGTGTAAGGATCCTTAAAAAAATCGCAGTTTGAATGATTTTCAGTCAATGCAAACGATTCTTTGGGCCTAAATTCACTTACGAGTACATGGAGAAGCAGATTCAGAAGACCCTCGATTTCTATCAAATGGACAAGCCCTATCCCGCCACAAATGCCATCATCACCAACTCCGTCTATGATCCTTGGAGCGGGCAGGGTTTGAAGAAAGCAACCAGTGATACGGTCAAGTTCTTCTGGATCCGAAACGGAACCCATTGCCATGATTTGTATAGCGGAAGCAATCCGGATGTATACGAGTCTAGGAAGGTCATAAAACAAGAAGTTGCCCGATGGATCAGAGAGTCAAGAAATTAAGAAAACGGGGCGGGCGGCAATTATTATGAAAATAAAACGCTGAGTACGATTTATGAATTGTTTATCCATTATAAAGGCACGAAATACAGTCTTATTAGGGTGAATCAAAAATTTTTTCTTTTTTTTTATTAAAACTTTAAACCTAATTTTACAACGCTTCAAAATATCACTTTTAAATCAATAGCCATTGGAAATGTTACGGCTTTTGAAGTATAAGCACCAAGATTGGACAAACTCGCAGCATTTGGATGAAAATTGTCAGAAAATGTATTCAGCATCATAAAATTACCAGTCTTATGACAAACAGTGACTAAAGGGCCCGTTTTGTGGCACATAAACCCCGCGTCTTGATGCCGGGCAATGGCTCCCTAAAACTCGGAAAATTTTTGTAGATTGTGTCTAGGGCCCTTCACTGTAAGCTTGACTATGTTTCTTGATAATTTCCATCCCAACAGATCTCTCAAATGGTCAGGTAAGTCCAACGATTAAAAACTTCACTTTCAATTGTCGCCCAAAAATTTTTTAAACGCCCGTTGCACAATGCGTTTAAAGTGCACCACTCTACATTGGCGTAGGGTACCACAGAGGCCAAGGGGAACATCTTCTGCCCCATATCGGGCTCAGAATCGAGACTGCACTTTGAATTGTCGGGAACTATAGACAATAGATCGGTTTCTTTGGAATTTAAAAAAATATGTATTGAAACGAAAAGAGTATGCCGCAGTTTTGTCAATTAGCGCTAAATTATGTAAACTTTTCAAATACAAGAACCGTTTTGTTCAAAAGCAATGTGTTTAATATCAAATTCAAGTTTTGATAGGGGAATGCCAATATATATGATGACAATTCATTCATTTACTCCGAAACGCTTGGCTACAGAATGAGGCAACTTTTGGAGGCGTTGTTATTCTTGGTAGTAATTTGGCGTGGCAGTGTAAGTTTGGAAGGTTAGCTATAATTCATTTATTTGCAGGCTCAATCTTTTGTTTGGGCAAAGGTTGACAATTTTGATCCGAGCAACAATAAGACGTATAAACAGGTAAGACACACATAAAAGTTTTATAACTCACAGGGGAAGTACTCCAAGTGCGACGCTCAAATTTTCTTTAAATTTTGCACACACGTCGGGTATGGACTAAATATCAATTCCTGAAAGTTTTAGCTCGCGCTTTGCGGGCGCCGCCGAGATATCGAACGATTTTTGCCGCCGAGAGAGCACGCTAAACGTGGAGAGCGGTTAGAGAGAAGAAACCCGCTTTTTGGTCATAACTTTAGCAGTTTCGTGCGGAAAAATTTGATTTTTTTTTGTAGAAAAATTATTTTTTACGATAGAAATAGGCTTGAAACTTTTCGTGCCGAAATTCGGCAAAAAGTCTTAAATTTTGGCCGACTTTCGAGCTAAAAACCTCGGTTGTTTCTGCAAAGCGCGAGCTAGGATTCTCGCATATATCTTTTAAAAAATTATTCTAAATTTGTGCCAAGTTTCATCAAAATCTGAGCGTCGCACTTGGAGTACTTCCCCCGTCAGTATCAAAAAGTGATGGTGTTAAAGTATACAAGGATAAATTAATATCTGTTTAGTACTACGACACATATGCTGTCAGAGGTTCCAATGTGAACATCTTGTACATCGGGGGAGAAGAGCCGAACAGAGTTAGGAATCGGACTAAAGCAGCTTTTACTTCATACCAGACACTGATCATGGATCTTATAAACTCATTCAATGCTACGGTTTACAGTCTAGAGCATCGGTACTATGCCAACAGCTATCCGGTTGAGTAAGGCTTCAAATATATATTAATACAATAGTATATTATAATAATATAATATATATTTACACATGTCTTTAATTAATTTACAGCTACCCAGAAACCCCGGAGGATTTCAAGTATCTCTCCAGTCAGCAAGCCCTTGCTGATGTTGAGAACTTTATCAAGTTTATAAATAAAGGAAAGAAGAATCAGAAGTGGATCACGGTCGGGGGCTCGTATCCAGGCAAGATAACGAACACAGGGAAAGTTATATCCGTTTTGTAGGTATGCTGGCGATCTGGCATCGTCAACTATACTCTAATTCGACGGTTGGAACGATCGGATCTTCAGGTCCAGTTCATGCTGTGGCTAACTTTACCAGTAAGTGAAATAGAACGATTTCGAACATTTACAGTGGCGAAACTGATCCATTGGCCAAAAACGTATCATTTTGCGTCCGGGAATTATAAAAAATGCAGGAAAACACCTCCCTCTGCAAGTGAAAAAAACTCCGATTTCAAAAGCGCGCCCACTCTTTTTGTGAGGGAAAGGCCGCGCAGTTCAAAACAGAGTTTTTTTTTAGTTGGAGAGGGAGGCATTTTGCCACATTTTTGATACTTCCAGCATGCAAAATGATACGATTTTTGCCAATGGATCAGGTCACTGTAATTAATAAAACTTTGTCCAACTCTAAAAATTGGTGCTTGCGCTCTGCATACACTATAATCCTCTGAACTTTGTGAATGTCCCTCCTATTGTCAGTCGCAGAAACTATAGCAAAATTTAGCAGCTTAAGCCATAAACGTGATCACTGACAATAAAAAGATACCCTCAAAGAAGAAGCATCTGTTTATTTTCAGGTTTCTTCATGGTCGCCCAAAACGGCTACAAACAACAATACCCCAAGTGCTACGACTGGTTGAAAGAAGCGTTTTCTGGGTTCAAAACCTTGCTTGATAAAAAGGACAATACCCTAAGCACACTATGGCCGGATTTGGCCAAGCGATACGACATCAACGACGATATTGAGGCCAATTTCTTTGCCTATCATGTGGTTTCCGATGCTTATACCCAAATCCAGATGGATATTTCGGGAATTGTAAGTTTTTAGAGTATTAGAAGTTAACATCGACGTTCAGTGTGGCAAATATGACCCCTCGACCGAGGGATCGGCAGTCCAAAAATTAGCCAGACTTTATGCGCGCGCTGAAGATGACATTGAAGACCCACACTGGAAGTCGTGGCTTTGGCAGGTCTGCAATGAATTCGGCTTTTTCTATTCGCCGGACGATGAGAATTGCCTGGCCAATGGGATTTATGATATTAAAAAAGTCTATGAAGTGTAAGCCCATTAAAAAAAACCTCAAGCTTTATTCATTTTAGCCAATGCAAGCGCTACTTTGGACCTAAATTTACCTACGAATACACGGAGAAGCAGATCAAAAAGACGCTTGATTTTTACAAGCTAGACAAGCCTTATCCCGCTACAAATGCCATCATCACCAACTCCGTCTATGATCCTTGGAGCAAGCAAGGATTAAAGAAGGCGACCAGTGATACGGTCAAGTTCTTCTGGATCCGAAATGGAACCCATTGCTCTGATTTAGGTGGCGGAAGCAATCCGGATGTATACGAGTCGAGGAAAGTTGTAAAGCAAGAAATCAAACGGTGGATAAGCGAATCTATGAGTTAAAATAATGAGAGAAGTTTGCAAAAATAAAGATTTCTTGAAGTTTTTATGAAAGCAATGCTTTTGAAAGGAAGACCTAACATTTGCCAAAGAGGGAGTCTCTAAGTTTCGCTAAAATTATCGGGTTAGAAGGTTGAATTAGGCCATTTCATTAGCTACCCAATAAATTGGGCTGGTAGCTAAATAATCAAAATGGCTCATCAACGTGGATAAACCCTATTTTTTGCAAAAAAATCAGATAATGTCACCACCATTCGTCCTTTTTAGTCATGTATGGGATTTCTACAGGGTTCTGTCATGTTTCAAGGACATTTTGATGTTCCGATTGGCTGGAGAAACAAAACTAAAGAATATTGAAAAATTTTTTATTATTACTTTTTTTCAAAAAATTAGTTTTTTTATCGAACCGGTCAAATTGGTGAGTGATGATAAGAAGCCGCTTGTTTCCCGATTTTCAACAATAATTTGATTAGTACACTTCCAAAAAGGCCTCTGGAAATGGAGCGAATTTTCTTGTTGTTAATTCTATTAACATCCGTGAAGGCAAGTAAATATTTTTAGTATTTTTACAATTGTTCTGTTTTTTTGTCATACTGTATCTCCCCATATTTCAGGCCACTTTTTCCTGGCCAATCCCCGACGAATCCCCTCTGGGGAACGATACAATTGGGACTTATATTTGGGCCAGAGTCGATAATTTTGATAACGAAAATAATCAAACTTATAAGCAGGTAAAGCACTCATTTTCAAAGCGACCCTTTTAGTACTACAAAACACTGTTCGAGGGCAACTCCGAGCTCCGTATTTTATATGTTGGAGGGGAGAGTGAAAATGAAGTAAAACCCCCCTCAGAATTGCTGCTGGCGGCCGACTCAAAATATAAAAAATTGTTGGAGGAACTTCATGGAGAATTCGACGCTACAGTCTACTCCCTTGAACACCGGTATTACGATCACAGCTACCCTGTTCAGTAAGTTATTGGATTTTTTTTGAAGTCATATTGAATTTTTCCCGTTATTTTTGAAACTCTTGGAAAAAGTTTCTCTAAATCTTCAAGGAAAAAATTTCTGGGGCTTTAAAACTGTTTGTTATACAGTTTTCTTACGCAGGGTTTCACTGCGATTTTTCCAGCTTCCCAGAGAAAGCTGAAGATTTCAAATACTTGACGAGTCAACAAGCCCTAGCCGACGTTGCTAATTTTATCAACGTCCAGAACAGTTTGAATGAAGGGAAATGGATTACAATTGGTGGATCTTATCCGGGTAAATTCTAAAAGTATATGAAAAATTAAATTAAAAAAAAAACTAAAAACACAGTTTTATAGAGGAGAAAAAGCTTTATTATATATTCCCTTTGCCAAACAGCAAACAATCCTTGTATTATGAAACAAACCAATGAAAAAAACGAACAAACTCTCTGGACGACCCAATAAATTGCAATTTTTTGGAAAGCGATTGATATTTTTTGATGATTGCAGGAATGTTATCGCTGTGGTTCCGCCAATTGTATCCTAAGCTAACCGTGGGAGCAATCGGATCGTCATCGCCAGTCAACGCAGTCGTCAACTTTACCAGTAAGTCCTATGGGTTTTTTCACAAGCAAAAATTGAGAAATATAACAATATTTTTACAGGCTTCTTCTTGGTTTCACAAAATGGCTACAAAAGAAGACACCCGGAATGCCATGAAAAGTTGAAGCTGGCTTTCGATGAATTCAGGGGGATTTTGGAGAAGAAAACCGATCTCTCAATATTGGATCAGCTTTACCCCAACTTAACAAGCGTTTTCGACTACAACACCGCATACGGCCTTAACAATATTGCCTATCAGGTGGTCTCCGATGCTTATACTCAAATTCAAACCAATATTGATGGAATTGTAAGCGATTTGAATGTGATATCTTCAAGTCATCTAATGTTTTCAGTGCTCCACATACAACGTCTCCACTGAAGAACCACTTGTTGAATTGGCCGCGAATTTTAAACAGACCGCGGACCATATCCAAGACAAGCATTGGGGGTCGTGGCTGTGGCAGGTTTGCAACGAATTCGGGTTCTTTTATTCGCCAAGCCATGAGGAATTCCAGGCCAAGGGCACCTATGACATCAAGGAGGTCTTCCAAAAGTGAGTGATGATTTTGCACAAAAAAATATTTTTTGTGTCCTTCCTTTACAGTGAGGGACCTGATCCAATGGCAAAAAACGTCTCACTTTGCATCCCGGAAGGGACCAAACTGACTCCAAATCCTTCCCTTCTCTAAGCTAAAAAACTCCGCTTTGAAAAGCGCGCCCTTTCCTTCAATAAGAGAGCGCTAGCTCCCATTCCTTCCAACAATATTCGCAATCAAAAAGCGCGCGCCTTTTGCGCTTCTCTCTTTCTTTTGGCCTTCTGTATTTGCCGAATTTTTTTGTTCTTTTCCCAGAGAAGGAGAATGCCAGAAAAGAAAAAAGCGCGCGCTTTTTGATTGCGAATATTGTTGGAAGGAATGGGAGCTAGCGCTCTCTTATTGAAGGAAAGGGCGCGCTTTTCAAAGCGGAGTTTTTTAGCTTACAAGGGAATGGACTTTATGTGTAAATCGATTTTGGCTTGGGACCTAGTCAGATCGAAAGGTGTGTGGGAGTCGGTTATTCACTTGGGGGGAAATCTCTGCGCGGGGCTTCAAAGCCGAGAAAATCGGCTTCAAAGTTTGGACGAAAGTCAAAGGATAAGGATCCCGGAAAAGGAGCGATAAAAAGTGTGAAGCAGTGGCCGAGTGGTCAGTGCGCTCGCTTTTTGCGCAAAAGGTCGCAAGTTCGAATCTGCTTCCATTCATAACTTTTTTAGACAAAAACTTCTATTAATTTTTTTCCCCTGAACTCGATTATCGATACAAGAAGTATATTTTAAACGGAACTTTTCCATTTTCAACGGCTTCGCAGCTTCCCTTTACAGTTTTAGAGCGCAGGGCACACCATCAACCTGATGTATTCAAAAACAACTTTCCATTATGTTAACTTTTTTATCTATACCCCTTTTTTAAATGTACAGCCGGATTAGCACGAAGAAAGCAAAAGTAAAAACGATAAATGATGACTTGGGCTTGGAAAGATTCGAACCTGCAACCTTTTGCGCAAAAAGCGAGCGCACTGACCACTCGGCCACTGCTTCACACTTTTTATCGCTCCTTTTCCGGGATCCTTATCCTTTGACTTTCGTCCAAACTTTGAAGCCGATTTTCTCGGCTTTGAAGCCCCGCGCAGAGATTTCCCCCCAAGTGAATAACCGACTCCCACACACCTTTCGATCTGACTAGGTCCCAAGCCAAAATCGATTTACACATAAAGTCCATTCCCTTGTTAGAGAAGGGAAGGATTTGGAGTCAGTTTGGTCCCTTCCGGGATGCAAAGTGAGACGTTTTTTGTCATTGGATCCGGTCCCTCACTGTATTTGTCATTTTTTTAGAGAATGTGAACTTCGATTTGGCAAGGATTACACGTACGAACAGATTGAAGAAAATGTCAAGAAATCGCTCGAATACTATGGAGGAGACAAGCCTTACAAGGGATCCAATGCCATCATCTCAAACTCCGACCTCGACCCATGGAGTGGCCAGGGAGTCGAGAAAGCGGAGAGCGACACTGTTAAGATCTTCATCATCCGAAATGCCACCCATTGCGATGATCTGAGAGCCGGAAACAACGCGGATGTCTTGGAAGCGAGGCCACTTTACATTGCGGAGATTCGGAAATGGCTCAAAGGCTCAAGTCACAGGCAAAGTATCAGCGTTTTCACTATTATATTGACGTGCATTACGCTTGTCGCTAAATTATTTTAATTTTTTTATTTAATAATAGGCGACAACTTTCAATTGTAGGCGAAAAAATCTTGAGTTATATTTATTAATAATTACAGCCTTATCTTTGATATAAAAATTCTGCATAGACACCTTTGGAATGATTAGAAAATAAAATATTATATTATATCTTGGATACAATTGAGATGGATTTTAGAATCGAATCGAAATAGCAATAAACGAAAGATTATTTGAGCGTCTCTTAGAAAGTGGAGGGCAACAGCGTAGGATAATGATCAATAAACTGTCTTCAGTAATGCCGGTAATACGAGGGAGGAGGCATTCGGGCGTCGGGAGTCATCGTGTAGTAGCCGGCGGGCTGTTCCGAGGGGTAGCTGACGTAGACCGGCGACGGTCCGCCATTCGTGATCGCCAATCTGGCCGGAGGAGTCTGGTAGACACTCTCCTGATGATGGGCGGGCGTCTCTTTGGACGCGACTTTGTGATACCACTCCTGATAGGTGGCTTCGCCGATTCCCTTCGGCACGTCGCTGTGTTGAGATTCTGAGCGACGAATCAGCGTCCCGGGATGCTGTTGTAGACCGCTGAGTTTGCTGACTTCAGTGCCCTTCTGACTGTCGAAGGTGGCGGTTGAGGCGGCACCCAGGTTCGAGGCGTAGTTGGCGGTGTATGGCTGATACGCAGCCGAGGATGGAGGTCCAAAGGAAAGGGGTTCTGACTGAAAAGAAGTCGTTCAGAAACCTTTATTTTACAGTTGAAATATTACATCTGATACCTCTGTAATGAATGATCAACGTAGATAGGGATTGAGAATAGACACAAGTTAGAATAGGGTTTTATCGACACCGCACACAAAGAAAAGAGAAAATGAGATTATTTTTATGTAATTGGTGACGATACGTTGCTTTTATATGAGTCAGTTTATGCTAATTTGTCTGGGAATTGTGGAGGCCTTTGAGGCTCCACAACACCTTAAAATCTCGACTTACATGAACCTTTCTTCTCCTAAAGCAAGTGCAACAGATGAACAATGAGATCACGGCGATGGTGGCCAAAATAATCGCGGCAATAATTGCAATATTTCGAATATTCTTCAGCGGTCCCCATCGTTCGTCCGTCCCTAAAATTGCATTAATTTCCCCAAGTGGACCACCTACTTTTGTCGGCCAAAATGACTTGAACAGCCTGCGGGTCAATAACAAGGCTGGGGGAGTCGGCGTTCACAACCGCTTCTTGGATGTAGGAGCGGAGCTCATCGGCCGATGGAGTGTCTTTTCCTCCGCCGAATTTCATTCGAACCAGCGCCAGAATCGAAGACTTGTCACCGCCGTCGGCTTCGGTGACTCCGATCGAAGCTGAGGTAGAGTAGGCGTAGTTGGTGACGTTGAATGATTCCAGGGATTTCCAGCGTTTCTCCACAATGGGTTTTAGCTGAAAATCAAAATTTCAGAGGATAAAAGAACTCTCATATAACAAAACCTGTTTAAAACAAAAAAATTTGAACATACCAAGAGTTATTTTTATATCTAAATGAAACTCTAAACCTCTGTACAACAAAACCTCACTATAACGAATAATTTTTGGTCGCTTACGATTTGTTTTACATAGAGTTAACTTCAAATTACTTACATATTGCGTGATATCCTTTGTCAATGCGACCGCACTGTCGCTGTGAAGTCGTGCCATTTCCAGTTGATAATCCCTGTTCATGATCCTCAACGCCGTATCGAACGACTTCTCCTTGGCCGGCATCAACTCGATTTCCGGCCGGGGATTGAAATCAACGTCCGCCACCTCGACCTTGGCCACTGTTGTGGGTTCGGGCGCTTTGCTAGTGGTCTCCGCCGGTGCTCCACACTTGCTGGGGCAGACGCGAGTCTTCGACCTGTCCGGGGTCTCTCTGTGCTTTCGGATTTCGCCGGATCCGGCTTCCAACGCGCCTCCTTGATGGACAAAGACAAAGTAATGACAGTCGTTGAGATCGTGGTCGTCATCGGTGTCGGCTGTTTTGAGGTCGCGCACAAACGACGCTAACAAATGGCCATCCACGTACTTTGCAGTTACATCTCTGAAAACAGCATTTTAATCCGGTTCACTTCGTATCCTTTTCATTGATTTAAAAGAGAGACGAAATGTCGCGAAACTATCGGAACTTTTGTCGCCTGAAATAATTGCTTTTTCTCGAAAAGAAAGAAGAAAGATAAGAAAATGCGTTTTATCGGATAGTGACATTTCGTTTTGAACGAATCACCAAAAACGAGCGGGAAATTTTTTCTTCTATTTTGGACGTGGTTTAGACATGGCTCCCGGGCCGGGCCGGCCCGGGCCGAAAGTTCGGCCCGGCCCGAAATAGTTAAAATTCAGAATCTCGAAGCGAAAATTGGGTTTGATAATGAAAATAAACGAAATGTCAAGACTCAATTGTTTTTTTAAAGGTATTTTTGTTTTTAGATAGCTATGGAACACAGTATTTATCCATTTACATGATGATAGAAAAAAAATTTGGTCGTAAGGTGTTAGACTTAGGGAGACTTCCGTTTCAATGGGCCGACGGAAAATTTGAAACGGGCCGACCGGAACCCTTCAGGCCGACGGGCCGGGCCGAGATTTTCGGCCCGGGCCGGCCGACGAGCCATGTCTAACGTGGTTGCGTGTTTTCCAATTGGAAATTTGGCATTTCCTAACCTCAAATCCTGCTTTTTGTCGACTCTCGGCCGGCCATACGATGGACTGAATTGATCGGACACATTCACTCTTCCATCATCCAATACCGACACAATAACTGCATCCATATCAGCCATGGCTCCGTCTTTTGTGAATCCAATGCTCGTATATTCGGCGGGCTTCAGATGAGCGTGAAGCGTGAACTTGAACGCGTTCTTGTCCTCATTCAGCGCCCATTCCGCCGAGAATTTGCAATTGTTGGTGCAACCCTTGGGATACGAGTAGACCGAAGCGCAGTTCGCATCGCCCGAATCGCCGAACCAGCTCTCTGAAGGCAGGGAGAGCTCGACCTTTTCTGTGGTCGTGGCTTCAGTTGCGGCAGTGAGCTTCTTCTCCTCGACGTCTGGCAGACCCGTGGCTTCGAACGGAGAGTCCGTCGGGCCTTCGGTGGTCGTTGGGACCGTCGTGGCTTCAGTCGTGGTTGTTGCCTTAGTAGTCTTGGTTGTTGGCTTGGGAGTTGTTGTGGGAGCTTCGGTGGACGTCTCCTCAACCGTTGTGGGTTCTGGTTTGGAAGTTGTGGTTGTGGTCGAAGAAGACGTAGTCGTAGGTTTGGATGGTGTGCTGAGCACTTCATTCGGCTCTAAAGTTAACAAAATTTATTGACCGACTCAACGACAAACTCACTCAAGAAGTTCACTGGGAATGACTGAACAAACGATGCCTCAGGCAAGGTTGTTCCACCTTTTCCGGAGGCCACCACAAAGGTTCCAGGCTCGTCGCTCAATGTGAAATCGCTGATATCTTCAGCTAAAATTCAGAAAACATAAAATCCGAGGAAAAAGTGGCACTTACACTTGACCTTCCTCTTGATGACAATCTTGGCTGTATCTTTCTTGTCGGATGGGACAACAGCGACATCGACAAAGGACTGAGAGCCACCGAAAGTTTCGTCGGAATGAAGATTGGCTGTGGACAAGGCGAAGCCGTCGAACACTCGGAGTTTGTAATTCTTGGAGACTTCGATCAGAGCGACGTCCGCGCAGGCAAATGGATCTTCTGAAAAAGCAAAGCAAACTATGAAAAGCCCTTCAAAATCAATCAGTTCAGCCAAAAATGCCGCTCACCGTTGTTGACTCCCTTCTTATCCGCAGCTTTCAACAATTTTCCCAATTCCCCGGCACTCTGCTCTGTCTGGCGTCGTCTTCTAACTTGAGGCGGGGCTGGCGTCTCTCCGATTGGCTGGTTATTTTCGCAGATACAGACGGGCACAGCTGATCGTTCCGGTGCCTGCCGATCATGATAGGCGATCGGCGTCTTGGGATTCTCGTATTGGCTGTTGGTTTGGGCTAGGATACGGCCACCGCCAACTGGGAACACGAAATAATAGCACTTGTCCAGCGGGAAGTCGGTCTTTTTGTCGGCGGTGACGAGTTTTCGTTGGAAGGAAATGGTCTGAAATTTCGGTAGGTATAGAAAAATCTCGAAATTCCGTATTTTTTTTTGAAACTTTTTATTTACTGCATGCCAAAATAGCAATAAAAATTTTTATCTCCAAAAATCCGCCCCTCCTACCTGCACATCATCCACCACTTTTCCGCTGATATTGTACAAGTCCTGACGGTCGGCCGGATCAATAGCCGGGCTCTGTCGCCCATACGCGAATCTGTCCGTAACATAGGCCTTCTTGTTGAAGTACCAGCCAGTCACAATGTCCGAGTTGGTCATCTGCCCATCGCGAGAGAGCCCAATCCCGGTCCAGCGGCCGATTCCTTTCGCCGAAATTTCGAATTGCACCGATTTGTCTTTGGGAATGTAATCCCATTTCGCGACGTATTCGCAGTCAGCGTCGGTGCAGTTGCTTGGGTAGCGGTATTCGTTTTGGCAGGAGTAGAGGGCTGGAATAGGATGCGATTAATTTCTAATTTTTGATAAAGTCTTGGACAATTTATTTGGGAAAAGTTCAAATTAACGGCTTCGTTTCCTGGACCTCCTTTCCCCACCTCTCTAAACTTACGTAAGCTCTGAGCTGGTGTCGCAACCTCCTCCACAGTCTGCCCAACGCAACTTCTGATGCAAACCTTCTTCGCCGAGACCAATGGAGTCACCGAATGATAAGCCAGACCTCCCTCCTGAAAAAAACAAAAATTTCAAAAAACAAAAAAAATTCTGTTTAATGCTCCAAAAAATCAACAAAAAAAACTTACATCAGTCAAGTTTCCGCCGCCAACCGGGAACAAGAAGTAATAGCATTGTTCATCCGAGTTTCCGAACGCAACGTCTTCATCATTCGAGCTGGCGCGTTTCCGTGAGAATGAGGCCTTCAGGACTCCGTCAGCGTGGGTTGCAGCTGCTGATTCGACATTTTTTAGTTTGTCTTCCAATGGAGGATCTGGAAAATATTACAATTAAAAATAAGATGGGTCAGGCAAATAAATGGCTCACGTCAATCCAGCGCATTTCCTGAACCGTTTCGAAACTTCGTATCGTTTTCATTGATTTTTAAAAAAGAGAGACGAAATTGAAATTATCGACACTTTTTCTCGCCCGAAATAAATGCTTTTTCTCGAAAAGAAAGAAGATAAGAAAATGCGTTTTATCGGATTGTGACATTTCGTTTTGAACGAATCACCAAAAAGGGGCGGGAAATTTTTTCTTCTATTTTGGATTGACGTGAAAGGCCCTTATAATTTCTTCAGTAAAAGATCCGGCTTACTGTAGCCATCAGTGTGCATGTTGTGGACAGAAATCTGTTTCCCATCCGATTTGACCAACAAGAAATCAGCATCCTGCATATTGCCGACCTTGCTGAATCCCACGCCACTCCATCCATTGCCAATCAGCCTTGTTTCCAACGAAAACTCAATGTTATCCTTTTCGGGGATGTAGGCCCAGGACAGCCGATAACTGCACTTGTCGCCCTCGCATTTACTGGGATACGAGAATTCGCCGAAGCAGAGCATCTCCGGATCGGCGGGAGGAAGTTCAACGACGAGTTCGGGAGAAACAGCCGGGCCAGACTGAGTGTTCGGGGGCTGAGGAGCGGACGAAGTGGATAGGAGGTTGGAGTTCTCGGCAAGATTTCCTTCCAATGGACAGTCTCCCCAATAGACACAGACGCCATTAGAACGGGCGAATCCCTGAAAAAACAACGGATTAGATTTGAACTTCGCAACTGTCCACCAATACAAGAAATAAAGTAAGGCTTACCTGTTGACAAGAACATTCCGGGTTGGAACAGGCTTGACATTCCTCTCGAGTGAAGATGGAGACACAATCGGCCTCGCAAATGCGTCCACACTCATTCCAAGTCTCATTGACGGCGCATTTCTTCTCAACCTTGGAAACAGAAGATGATACTGTTGAAAGAGCATTTGGAGTTGTGGAAGGAACAGGCTCTGCGGGGATCAAATGTTTTTCCTCGAGATCTGAAAAAGGTCATGGATGTAAGGATAAGAGTATACTCGAATAACAGCAAAAATCAACTTTTAAGAGGCTTACTTGGACAATCTCCCCAGAAAATGCATTCCCCGTTGAAACGGACGTAATTATCGGCGCAAGTGCATTGAGCTTCTTTGCAAGTGGAAGTGCACGGGTCAGTGTTGTACATAGTCTCACAAGACGGCTCACAGGCCGTTCCACATTTGGCCCAGGTCTCATTGTGCTTGCATTGACCTTGCCCAACCTGAAAACGAAATTCAGAAGAGCTTATTTATTGATTTTGGATATTTTCATTAAAAAAAACGTCCTAGCCGGATTGTTTTGGACGTCAAGAAATTCTTGGCATTGTTTTCGGGGGCCAATGCCCTAAATGAAAGTTTGCTGGAAATCATAGGGCGCGGCTCGGAGAACTTGCACGGGCGCAGCTCGCGTCTTGGGCGCAGCTCGGAAAAAAAACTGAAACTTAGCTCCGGCGAGCTGCGAAACGTTGTTTCCGAGATGCGCCCTACCATTTTCAGCTAACTTTCAGCAAACTTTCAGTTAGCGCATTGGCCCCTGGAAAAACCCACATAATTTCCCTTTGAAATTTTTGGTTAAAAGACCCTTTCTCACCTGAACTTGAGCGCAGAAATCGAAAGGTTTGCATTCATCGGACTCCGCGCTGACTCTAACAAATCCCTCAGCACATATGCATCTTGGCTCTCCGCAAGTTCTGGGACAGGTTGGGACAGACTCCGGGAACAAGGTCCATTCGCAACTTGGCTCGCATTCTCTGGAGAACTCGGGGCATTCGCTGTAGACTTGATTCGCCCCGCATTTGCCTGAAAATTAATATTGTAGGTGTTAACTTGAATTTAGCCACCTCAAATGTAATTTAAAACCCCAAAATCTCAATAAACCTCTTACCATTAACGGGTTTCTCCTTCGGCTTTTCATTTTCATCCAATTTTTTGATATTCAAAACTGGCGCGATCGTATTGCCCAAAGAATCATCGGTCAGAGTATTGTCCTTGAAACTCTTATCAACAGTGGCACTACATTTGTTCGCAGCTTCCTTGTTTTTCAGCCCTAAGGCAACCCAGGAGTCCGCGGTCATTTCCACGACCATTTCGAGTTCCTCGTTCTTGTCATCGTATCTCCAGCTCACTTCGTTCATCTTCTTGTTGTCGGTGGGAAGAGTTTTAAACTTGAGATCCTTGGAGAGGACCTTGAGACTTGAGGCTGAAATTATTTTTGATTATAAAAGAAAAAATTGTCGAGTTCGGCGTTATTTGATTCAAGATACTGTTTTGCACTTACATCTTTCGCAATTCCTTCCGAACTTTCCGATCGCACAATAGCAGACATTGGCTTCGCACGACCCCTCTTTACCACATTGCTCATCAGTTGTGCATTCTACAAAAAAGCCGACCATTACTTACCCCAAATCACCGTTTTTACTTACCAGTGGAATTGTCATTACTAGCCAGCGGCAACAAGTCAATGTCAGCACAAGAAATGACTTGAACATCGCTAGAATCCGTGAATTGAGTCAGCCGCAAGGTGCATCCTTTACATTCAAAGTCTGGCAATTTGACGCTCTTAATTGAGCGATTGCCCTTCAACGCGGGTGGGGAATTATCAACGACGATTCGTTGAATGATCTCTTCTCCGCTGAGAATTTCAAACCTCGATTCTCCATGCAGTTTGGATGGGTTCTCCCAACTGATCTCAACGATTCCTCCGGCCGCCAAAGTTGTTATGGGGTCTGAAAAAGTAGTTGAAATTATGTCATAGACCGCAAACGAAGTACTGACAATGCAATGCCGACTTATCGAAGTTTATAAAAGGCCAAAATAAAGCCTTGAAATGCCTTGAAAGCTTCCGAAAAGCTCTTTACTTTAGCCAAATTGATTTCAGAATTAATCTACAGTGACGGACTTGATCCTGTGGCAAAAAAACGTGTCATTTTACATCTGGAAAGTATCAAAAAATGTGGGAAAATGCATCCATCTCCAAGTAAAAAAACTCCGAATTCAAAAGCGCGCTCTCTCTTTTTGTGAGAGAAAGTGTGCGTTTTTGAAATTGGATTTTTTCACTTGGAGAGGGAGGTGTTTTGCTATATTTTTTGATACTTCCTGGATGCAAAATGGTACGTTTTTTGCCACTGGATAAGGTCCCCCACTGTTTATTCTTTCCCTCTCAATTATTCTTTAAAAAACCCACCCTTATCACTCCTTGGAATGGGACACTTGACCTCTGTTAGGCGTGTCGCATTTGCATCATGTTCTCGTAGCCGTGAGGCTGGTTGGATCAGCCAAACCGTCAGCGACGACTCAGCGTTCAGCAGGCCGAATAGGCTCAAAGATAGAATGGCTTTCGCCAGCAGATGAGCCATAGCGCGAGTACCCTAATTGAAAATTCGATCTACTTTTCCCAGCCACTTCTGTTGATGATTCTGGAACTTTAATTTGAAAAAAGTAAGGATAAAATTGAAAAAAAATTAAATTGCTACACGAAAAAATATAGACAAAAATGACGACAAACAGTGTCAAAAAAATAATGTTTGTGAAAATTGCCCTCAGGGTATGTTTTTAGGGTAAAATACAAAGATTTTTTCATTTTCTCTCCAAATTCTTTTTTGTTTCTTTTCCACGCTTACAAAAAAATAGGAAAAACATTGTTGAACTGCCCCTTCCTTTCTTCGCTTCTCCTCCTCAAAGAAACAGCGAAGAAATGGTGTTCCGGAACAAGGGGGAAACTTATGAGAAACGATATAATAAACGCTCGAGTCATTAAAAGCGACGCGACATTACTTTCTCCTGTTCCTCGGAGCACTGAAACAAATACAGCGCGATTCCATTGATGGTCAACAAGAATGGGATGGGTGCGTACAAGGTTGGGAGGAAATGGCGCACGTCAAAAGAGGATGGCGAGGGCACGGTAAAAATTATTGGAAAGACGGGGGGTTTACAGGGAAGGCATCAAAATTCCCTATACAACAAAGACCTTCTATAACGAACAAATTTTTTTGACCTCTTACGGAGAGGGTTGATTGATTTGAGAGTTTAATACCAAGAGTTAGATTATTTTCGTTGTCATTTTCTTTCAAGGACTCAAAAAATCGTAAAAAAAAGTTCTTACAAGACAAGAACTCTTCAACATCGAATATAATGAGCAAATCATTCCATTCAACCACCTGTCCCCCAATCTATTATACCTTGTTCAAACCTCATTTCGAGAAGAGTAAAATGATGAAAATTGCAAAAGCGAGACCATGTCATTCCGCCGGTTAATGGGCTCAACTTGCTCCTCAGCGCAAGCGGATTTACGACATTATGCGACTTATCAAGATTAGGGTCAAAAGCCAATAAAAGAAGTCGAATAAAAACGTAACCTTGACGTATAATTTGGAGTCATCAAACAGCAATAAGATGTTCGATGAAAACGAAAAGAAGAAAGTGGTTTGGATAAACGAAAATCCGGTATTCATAAAACGAATTGCGTCGCAAATTCGAGGAGTGAATCTTTGGAAAAACAAATCAAAAATTTGAAAAAAAAACATGATTAAATACGAAAGAAACGTGATAAAAAAATTACTCTGCTATAGAGAAAGCGCTGAAGAGGATTCTCAGATCTTGATGAAAATTTTAACAAATTTAAGTTAAATACCTATAAGATAAATGCGAGATTTCTAGCCCGCGCTTTGCAGAAACAACGGAGATTTTTAGTCCAAAAGTTTGTGAAATATCGACAATTTTTTGACAGCTTGTTTATAAAAATTTTCAGCCTCATTTCTAACGAAGAAACTGCCCTGGGCCACTCGAAACTCCAAAATTTGGAACGAAAATGTTAAGGGTCAGTACAGGCGCCCCTGTGAATTTAGGCGGGCAATGTTTGGTGGACAAGAAATGGGGTGTCTCAGCTTTAATTTGATATAAATTTTTTAGCAACATCTCTACAAAAATCACTGTTTTTAGCATAAATACGCCAGAACTATGGGAAAAAGAGGTTTACTTCTTTGTCTGCTCTCTGAATTTTGCGAGCTGCCTCGTCGGTTGAATACCGCGGCCTTAAAAAAAATTTCTATTAGAATTTTGACAACGCCCCTGTGGCCCCCTTTGCAAACTTTGTTCAAAAATGTTCTCCCGAAGCCTCCAAACGTTGTTTGAATCACTCGAAAAATTCGATTTATCAGCAATCGCCCATGCGCGCCTCCTCGAAATCCCCACTGCTATCCGGTGCTGAGAGATGAGGTCGAAGCAAATTAATGGATCCGAAATCAAGGACGACGGTACGGAAGGAGCGCGAAAAAAACTTGGTCAGAACGAAACGGCTTCTTCCCCTTCTCCTTCCCAACCCCGTAACCCCGAAACAGCGAAGTGTCGCCCCAAATTTGGAGCAAAGTTCCAACCGTCTGTTCTGCCGCAGGTTACGAAGTCAACGCTGCCGCCCGCGGTGGCTTATTTGCACGATGGAGAAACGGATTGTGGAATCGGAACAGAGGGCTGTGACAGTTAATGGGAAAGGAATCAAAATTGATAGATAAGGTGAAATTAAACTTTTTTACGGAATGTTAAAGCGTGCTGTTCTACATGGCATTGCGGTTCTAAGAGTGCAACCGAAAATTTGGCGGATCGGAGGCATCGGATCAGGGGTTGTCGATGAAAATGTGACTTTAAAACCATCACAAAGAATAGTCAAGTGGCCCAGGGTGGGCCACTCAAAACTCCAAAATTTGGAATGAAAATGTCAAGGGTCAGTACAGGTACCTCGGTGAACTTAGGCGGGCCATGACTGATGGAGAAGAAACTGGATGTCTCAGCTTTAATTTGATATAAATTTTATGGAAATTGGAGCATTATTGGCGGAGAAATCCCTGAAAAGAGGTTGGGAGCTTCGAGTGGCCCACTCTGTCGTTGAACACACTGGCCAATTCCGTTATGGTCTATGCAAAAAACATCAAAGTCATCGCGCAACTTCAGCATTCCAAAGCTCTCTCATCCTATCCTCTACGTAGTTAAAAATTTGTAAATTTTGTTCAGTAATTACAGTAAAGATTCAAGTCCACGATACAAAAAACAGGCTTTGAGAAAAGTTGAATTTGGGCGGCAGTTGCCACTAAAACCATTGTAAACCGACTCTTGGAGGATTACAATAAACCCCTTGTAAAAGAAAACCCATTAGTTCAGGAGTAGTAGCTTGTGAGTCAATTTTAAAAATCGGAAAAACAACTAGAGCTGCGAATTTTTAAGAGACAACTGAAAGATATCTGACGGCGTTCTTCGCGGGTAATTTGTCAAATCGTCCTATTTTGTAATCAATGGTTATTAAAAAACGTCTCTGAAAATGTGGATTTTCGATACCAAAAGTCGAGGAAATGCGGATAATTTCGACCCTCAAATTGGGATGAATTGAGATTTACGAAAAGAAAAAACTTTGGGGATCTGACAATTACGGGCGAAAAATAAATACAACAGGTGAAATCCCCTCCCTTTTCCGTCGAAATCCAATTTCATGGAGACTCTCTCCGTATGCACTAATTAGGTGCGAGATTTTCCTCGGTGAATTTTTCTTTCGACAATTCGTTCAAAAGGAAGGAAAAGCGCGTTTTTGTCAAGGCGAAAGGCGAATGGGATTCTTCACTTTCCCGGATGCGTTTAATTAGATATGCTTATTTAAATTTGGGGGTGACCGAAGCCAGCGGAAGGAAGGTGGATAAGATACGGTCTGATTTAAGGGTCGGTCGAATCTCGGGGAGGAAAAATTGAAAAATTATTTGGAAAGATAAGGCAAAAAATGGAGAAGAAGAAAAAAATTATAGTTTATATCATACTTGAGCGAAATCCCGCTGATTTTGAAAGAAATTTGGACAAATTAAGAAGCGCAAAAGTTCAATGTGAGACGCTGAAATTTTTGACCAGCTTTGCTCACATGTTGGGCCTGGGCCCCTTACGAGTCCCTGAAAATCTTAGCTTGGGCTTTGCGGAGCCAGCGAAGACATTCAATTGAAAAAGATATCTTTAATAAAAAAGATATCTTAAGAGCAGTATAACCAAAAAATTTAGCTCCAAAAATATACAAAAAATGTCATACTTTTCGCAATTTTTGACATAAAAGTTTCAACTTCATATCTCAGCCGCTATATCATCCCTCAAGAATTCATCCCTGCCCCCATTTTCTCATTACAATACCGACTACAACAAATGGCTTTTAAACTAAATAGTCATCATTTCTCGCGCGCTTACAACTCCTCAACATATCCTCCAGGTAATCCCTAACAAAAGCCAAATTTATTCAAGACAACCCATCGCGCACGGAGCTAATTTGTGCGCGCCGATTTCCAAAAATAAAGTGGAATGTCGTCGGATCGTTTTCGGACCGTTGGAGGCCCACCGAAGAACCTTTCTCGCCCCGCCGCCAACCGCCAACATCGCCGCCGCGACCTTGATCCGCCAAGAAAATTTAGGTGCAAGCGAGAAGTCGCCATTCCAAATCACCACCGCGAATTCAAATATTAAACTTTAAATCCTCGTGTAGGAATAATTCGATGGCTCGGGCGGGTTCGGAAGCCGAGACGAGCAAAAAAAATGTGCGGAAATCCATCGGGTTTGAACCGAAATTTCATAAATTACCAAAATATCAAAGATCGTATTAATATTTATTGCCATATATGGTATAAAAAGAGCGAAGGAATCCTAATCATCACCCAGTTTCCAATTGCACACAAGACCTAATTTGATGAGATGTTGAGATTCGAGACGTCGCAGCATGCCCAAGGTACTATCAAATCGAGAGGCAAAGAGCTGAAAGTAATGGTTAAAGACGTCTAAAGTGATAAGCAAATCGTTCAAAAAGCTAGCATATATCTCATTCAAAAAGAAGAGTAAAATCTCACTTGACTGTCACCACAATAATTCACAAAAATCTTGGTTGCATTGGGGAAGACCGTCAGCAAACGCTGAATCGTTCTCATGACCACAAGTTCATAAGCGATGATGTCTGAGATAGTCAGCATAATGAATTGTACATGTCGATTGATAAAGTGTCTGGAAAAACAACTTTTTAGGGCTCATTGTGCCTACCCTTCAATTCTCATCGCTTTCACAATATTTTCGCTCGAAATAAGATCAATTTCCAAGAATCTGGCATTACAAGAGATCAGATCCACTTTCTGGAGATCGATGACTTTCAGGAGCTTTACAGTAGCACTACAAGGAATGAGGTTGGCCAGAAATTGAGGGAGAGCAAGGTAATCAGCGGAAAAAATCGATTCCAATAAGGTAGAAAGAGCGAGAATTGGGAGGTCAGAGTTGACTCGCTTTTCTTCCAAGTGGGTCGTCTTGTTCAGTTCTACAACCAGAACAGTGACTTTGCCTCGAAACCATAGAAGATCACAGGAGTCTCGAGTAGTCGCAGAGATATTCAAGCAAGTATCATGGAGAATAAACGTGAATTCAATATAAAATTCGGTCCGGAAAACTTTGATTTTGCATTGCCGAATAAAATCTTTAAGAAATCCTTGAATTCTAGAGCCAATCCGCTAAAAAACAAAATTTTTATTTGAAAAAGAAATCATGGGACTTTCTTACCATCAACCGGATGATCGGATTGCTAATTCCGGTGCCTGTGCCATCGTTTTTGAAGCAATGGTAGTACCAAACAAACGATTCTAGAGCCCTTTCCTGAAGACAGGACATTCTTGAACCACCGGATTGCAAGAGAGATTTTTTTACATTGAAAAAATGAAAATAAATTTTTTTTTTAAATACGGATTATTTTAGTCTTCTTTTTGAATGCGTTTGCCCTTTGAACGATTTGCTTATCACTTTAGAGGTCTTTGACCATTACTTTCAGCTTTTTGCCTCTCGATTTGAGAGTACCTTGGGCATGCTGCGACGTCTCGAATCTCAACATCTCATCAAATTAGGTCTTGTGTGCAATTGGAAACTGGGTGATGATTAGGATTCCTTCGCTCTTTTCATACCATATATGGCAATAAATATTAATGCGATTTTTGATTTTGGCAATTTATAAAACTCCGGTTCAAATCCGAAAAAAATGTTTTTGAAAATGAAGCATTATAAAACATATGACTAGCGGAGACTCACTGAACCCTCACTGTATTGTGGGATCGGTCTGGCCGAGAATGTCGGAGACTTATGTTAGCGAAATCTCACAGGTGAGATGCTCGAAGAGCCACACGGATATTTTAATGAAGCTTGGCACAAGTTTAGGATGGTCATTTTTAAGACATGAGATTTTTCACCTAAAACTGACAGTGATATTGCTAAACCCATATATCCAACTGCCGCTAAAAAAACGCAAGCTAAAATTTCTCGGAATTGATATATGACCTAAACCTGTTCGTATTGTACAATGCAAATTTTTTCCTTTGTCCCTTATATACCCGAAGATTTCTGCCGAAATTTTTCAATATTTTTTAAAGACCTTCATCGAGCATTTCTCTCGTTTCCAGCCCGAAAATATTGTTTTCAATTTCACAATTATTTTAAAATAAACTTTGCCATTCCTCGTAAAAAAAGTCTTCTTCCTCGACATTGTGTAATAAAGCGTTTCAAAATTCTTGTTTAACGAAAAAATAACGGAACCCCCAAACGCAATCTAACTTTTAGTTAGACGATGTCTTTATTGTTCAGCTTGCTTTTTGTTTTTTGCATTTTTTCCCCAACTTTGGCGGATTTGGATGACTCGAAGATTGAGTCGATTCCGTGTGGCGGGAAGAAACGTTCGTTGAGCAAACCTGAAGCGTAAGTGGTGACGATGACAATGTCTAAAGTTAAGGGATTTTGTAGAGGTGTTGGCTGGGGAAGTGGTCAAAGTTCAGGTTTCAGATTTTGATAAAACTGGGCCATATTTGGACATCATGTTTTCTAAGGCGAGATTCTCAACTTGCGGAGGCAACCAAGAGTATTAGGACCGAAATTGGCGAGAAATTGGCAGTTTTAGCAAATTTTAGCATAAGAATCTTCAGTCTAAATTCTATTACAGTGATCCAGTGGCAAAAAACATACCATTTTGCATCCGGGAAGTATCAAAAATGTGCCAAAATGCTTCCTTCTCCAAGTGAAAAAAACTCCGATTTCAAAAGCGCGCCCACTCCTTTTTGTGGGGGAAAGGGACCTTCAAAATGAAGTTTTTTCACTTGGAGAGGGAAGCATTTTGCTACATTTTTGGTACTTCCCGGATGCAAAATGGAACGTTTTTTGCCACTGGATCGGGTCCGTCACTGTAGAGACGAAAGCCTCTCTTCAAAAGACTATTTTTTCCATGTCAAATTGGCTGAGATATTGAACTCTTCTCCTGGCTACTTCGAAAAAAATGACAAGAATTTCCACTCCCCCCTCTTTCAGATTGGACCATATAAACAAATGCGTGAAAGGCGAGATCGACGAAGAGCAATGTTTGAATGCGACAAAACCCGAGGTCTTATTGCACAAGATTTTCAAGCTGATCAACACCCGATACGAGAAGGACAACAACATTGAAAAGTTCGAAGAGTGTGCCGCCAAAATCCATGAGAGTGTGCCATGGGAATACGTTCGTGTAATGCACAGACACAACCAATATTCGACCGGTAGGAATAAGCACCGATGCATTTCAATCGACCAGATCTGCAGGTAAGTCGGAATTTTTCTTATTATTTCAATACTTAGTGTAATATTTATGTCTTATACAAGTGATTTTTTAGAGACAACTCAAAGTATTTGATTCCATTTGCTTGTTTTGTTAAGAAGAATTGCGACAGATCAATTGCCGACCTGGGATATGCAATGCAGTACGCTTTTCAGCAAATCAGTTTGGAACAGGAAGGCCCGATTCGGTAAGCATTTTTCTAGTAGGGTCGGCAGTCTTTGAGGATTACATAATATGCTTTAATATAGAATTTTTGAGCAAGATATTGAGAATATTTCAATACCAAACCCAAAAAATTTGATCTTTGACCTCTTCCGAATTACTTTTTTTCAACTTCACCCTACCCTTTTGTCTTTTTCACAAAGCAAACTACAGGGTGGGCCAAAAAAAATGGACATTAATTTTTCTTCGATTTTTCATGCCATGAAACAGTTTGTGAAAAAAGGTATATATGGCATGAAAGTACTGTGTTAAGGTAACATATTAACTGTAGAATTTTTGTCCTGTCTGCAGAAGTTTCTAACATACGGTTGCAGGAAGGTCGCCGGGTCAGCGCGCCAATTCCCGCGGCAAAAATTTCAAAAGTTCTTACCCCAAAATTTTTTAGTGTCGCTGTAAAGACATACCAAGCAGTCTACGCAAATCTAGGAGACATGCCCCCTTATGCTTTAAAAGGATTTAACCCAAGCTTTTCGGAAAATGAAGAACCAGTGACCAGAAGTTAGACACTCGGCCGGGGAAAATCGAGCTTTATTTGCGCACTTTCGGAAAATCGATGCTCTACCAAACATAGTGAACATTTTGAAACTAATTACGCCCATACGGTGTTTACTACTCTACGATGAATATACTAAGCGCATTTTTGACAATAGTACCCCTCAATCAGCAAGATGGCAAGCAAAAAATCGATTTTTTTGACTTTTTGATGGGTCATCTCAATAATACATGGATTCTGAAGGCTAGCTGCATCCTCATTTTATGAAACTGACTTAAAATGGAAGAAAGAGGTCGTATCACCTTGATATAAAAGTATCCCGTCATAGTTATCTGGCATGTTGGAGAACGCCAACAAAAAAGAAAAAAATTTCTGATCAAAAAATATCAGCGTCTCTGGGTATAGCCGGCTGAAATTTTTTAAGGTCTGCGTACGGCTGATGCAAGCTATTATCAAATCAACAGCTGGCCCATGTAAAGCAATGTTAGATGTCTTACAGTGACCACTTTTTGCTATCAAAAGCATGAGCCGGGCTCCCTGCGACTCTTGAATGTCAATTATCTCAAAAATCTAGAATTATCTAGATGGACCTCTTGTGGATCACGTTGAGAACTGCTGGAGCAAAATTAATAGAATACTATCAGCTTTTTTGCTTCTGTGGGCTCCCCTTAGTATCATGATAAACAGTCAACCACCAGTTTTGGGCTGGTCATAGACGTTCAGGTCATTGAAGATTTTTGGACCCATAAAATTTTCGGAAAACGAAGTCAGAATATGGACTGGTCTAGCATTTTGGCTTGTATCATCGGTTCAACAAAAGTATATAAAAAATTTAAATAGTTGTGATAAAGTAGGATAGTTGACAATTATAAAACTATTTTCCTTTCCGTTGATTACGGTATTCGTGCCGGGATACACCGACTTTTAATTTTGTCCATTTTTTTGGCCCACCCTGTACTCTATTTTTAGATGTTCTCAAGGCTCCGATGACTCTCAATTTGACCTAAATCCAGAAGCTTATGATCCGGAAGTTTCTCTAAAATCCATCGAGATTGTCAACGAAAACTTATGTAACGGAGTGGCCAAGCTGAACGAGACCTTGGAAAGCAACCACAAGCACACTTTGCCCTTGTCCGTGTATGAACGGCTCTTATCCAAAAAAGGAAAAAAACATTAGTTTTCGAACTTTAAAGTAGTTTTTAAACATGTCTACAGCAATCCAAATTGCTGTAGACAATAATTTTATGACTTGTTTTTCAAAACACTTGTATTTACGGATTGTAAAACGCAGTCAATTTGAAGGTACCAATAAATGCTATAGTTGTGATGGAAGCCCTTTCATTTCTGGTTTTTGCTCTCTATGAGTGGCGTTGATAATTATGTCTAATATATTTTTGATAGTTCTTCTTGGAGCACTCTTAGTGGAAGCATATGGAAGAAAGGATCCAGTGATGAGAACTGTAGATTGCGGTGGGCCAGATGCCGAGTTTGACAAGGATTTTGCGTAAGGAAAAATGGTCAAAGTTTGCTATATAAGACTTTGATATATTACAAAAATTAAAGGTTCAACTGTCTGCTGCAAATTTTTTTGTTTCTGCAAAGCGCCAGCTATAGTAAAAGAGTGGTCTTTAAAATCCAAAGAAACGCGAAATGACTGTGCTGCCTTCCAACTTTTATCGAAGTGGTAGAGCATAATATGGCGAATATGACTACGGTTTTCGACACGCATTTTTATTAACAAATAGAAAAGATTATTTTTATGAAAAAAAATTTACAAAACGCCTATTTTCACTAGTAAAAAAAGGGGCCAATATGAACGCCGGATAATTATGCATCAACCTGATAAAAAATTGAAAAACTCTTCAGTTTGTCGCGCCTAAATCGTTGCGTAAAGTCGCCGGATTTACCCGAATGTTCCAATGTCACCAAGCCCGAAATCCTGCTCCAAAAACTGTACTGGCACATCAACCATCCCCGGAAGAATGGCATCAAATACTTTGAGGACTGCTCTCAAATTGTCTACAAAACTCTGCCTCGAAAATACACCAAACTTCTCGACCAATACAATACTTTGGGGTTTGGAAGGAACAAAAAACGATGCATTTCTATTGATGCACTTTGCGGGTAAGTGTAATTTCAAGTTTAATTTTTAATTTTGAGCAACATTTTGCAGCGATCTCACGCAGTATTTGAGGCCGTTCGTGTGCTTTATGATGAGGAATTGCGAACGGAGGATGAGCGAGATGACTTACGCGCTGGCTTATGGGTTTCAGCAACTCACTCTGGAACAGGAAGGACCGATACGGTAGGAGTTTTGGGGGTTCTAACAAGACTTTTTTCGGTATATCTAACAAGCAGCAAAACTTTGAAACAAGAAGAGAAAGACAATTTTTTGACAAGGAAAGTACTTTTACAGGGGCTCCTACTTTTCGACGGGAGATATCTCAAAAATTCCGAAAAATTGTGCTGATCAAGAATTTATAAAAATTAGCTACCCAGTTGTGGGTTTAAGGGTCGAAAATGCCCAAAAACTGGCTTAATTCCCCTACAAAAGGAGCAGGGATTTGAAAAGCGCGTTCGGTCTCTCTTTCCGGGAGAGAGCGGTGTGGCCGAGTGGCTAAAGCCGTAGTCTGGAAATCCAGAGGGGAGCCGGACGGGTTCGACACCCTTTTCGGGCCGAGTCAACTTTTTTTTGAAATTGAAGGTATTTTTACCTACGTATTCCTAATCATCACAATTTTTCGGATTTTTTGAGATATCTCCCGTCGAAAAGTAGGAGCCCCCATAAAAGCACTTTCCTTGTGAAATTCAGGGATGATCCGACACCTTGAGAAACATCCTGTGGAAATTTTGCATTCCTCTTTCAGCTGCTCTTCCAATCCGTCGGATTCACAATTCGATTTGAAGCCAGAAGTGTATAAAATTGGCCGGTCCATAGAAGGAGTTCGCCTCGTCAAGGACGAAATATGCAATGGAGTTGGGGAAGTGGAAGTGCTCACGGAGACCGATCCGGAACACGTGTTCTCGGCCGCACTTTATAAGCGAGTTCTCGCGTATAAAGGGGATTCGGAATAAACTTTGATGCACTTTGTTGGTGCAGTATCGGCGATTTGAAAATAAAAGTAGTTTGGGGGAAAATAGACACAAATATTTTGACCAATCTCTTGATAAATTTTGTCGAACGATTTTTGGATTTTTATGGGATAAATTCACAGGTAGTTTGTGGTCTTTCTCATAATGTTTTTGGCAAAAAATCTGCTCCAAATCAATGCCTTTCCCCGAACCAATCACTCATCCCCGTTTGAAGCCCATCCCTTGCAATAAACCACTGGTTATGATGCAAATCCTCGAATGATCACACGTTTTTGTCCCGACCAAACTTCCGTTAGACGTTTTTTTCGCTACCTCCGTCCCTGTCCTGTCCCCGCGTCGAGTCCAAGGGAAAGGACTCTTCAAGTTTCAACGTTTTTTTGGCCGCAAAATTAAGTTAAAGATTTTTCCCTCGCTCGGTCATTAAAATTTTATAAAGCTTTTTGAAAAAAGTTTGGACCTCGTTTCCGACGTTCCGTGCCGGATTATGAACAGAAAGCGAAGAAGAAAGAAAAAAAGAGTCTTTTCGTTTCATTTGGGCCAGTAATTGAACCAGATGGCCCACAGGGTTCGGACCTGCTGTTGACGTGGAGTTTTAATGGGAGAAAATAGGGCGCTGAAGGGTTGGGAAGTGTCAAATTTTAGGCTTGATCAAGATAACGTGATGATTGAAAGCTAAAGTATGTTGTCAGAAAAGCGTTTCATTTGGGACGCTTAGATTTTTATTCAATTTTGCGCCAATTTACGTTAATCCACAAATGAATTCTAAAAAACTTGAGATCGCGTGTCGCAGAGGTAGCCCAAAAGTTCAACAACAATTTTCGACTAGAGAGCGCGCAAAATGCGAAGAGCCAGAAAGAGAAGCACCTTTTTGGAAGTGTCAAAGTCGAGGAATTTTGTTGTTGTCCATGTTTCCTTTAAGCTACAGTGAGGGACCTGATCCATTGGCAAAAAACGTATAATTTTGCATCCGGGAAGTATCAAAAATGAGGCAAAATGCTTCCCTCTCCAACTGAAAAAGCTTCGTTTTGAAGGGCGCGCCCTTTCCCTCACAAAAAGAGCGGGCGCGTTTTTGAAATCGGAGTTTTTTCACTATGAGAGGGAGGTATTTTGCCACATTTTTTGGTACTTCCTGGATGCAAAATGGTACGTTTTTTGCCACTGGATCAGGTCCCAAACTGTATTGATGAAATTTGAATGTGAAACAGACTAAGCCAAATTTTTTTTTCCGCCGAGCTCTCCTCGTTTTAACTGTCTTTCGTTTACAAAGTTGTTATCTACGAATCACCCATATCGCAGCCTAAAGTTTCAGTATTTTTTTATCTGACGCTAGTTTGAAGATTTATCCAAAATTTAAGTGAATCTGAGAGTGTCTCGAATAATTTGCCTTTCACAACTTTTTGGCCAAGAATAGCCAGAATACTGAACCTTTTACTTCTTTTGTTTTTACTCCCAGAATTCACCAAATACTCATTTAATAAACCGAACTGTGCAAATTGTACTCTCCTTCCCACTTGTTGCCCAATTCCAAACCCATTCCAAAGCACCTGCCTCGAACTTAATTTTCGAATAATCCCCCACTAAACAATGATTAGCCTCCCCGCAAATAATTAATGCAATTCCGGGGCCCCACACCCGTTCCAAGTCTCCGAAATTGTTCATCAAAATTCGTGGCGGCCGTTCCGCGGTCTGTAGCGTTTCGCAAAGTCAAAAGCCTTTGGCCCTGAGGGCTTCTTCTTCCTGCGTCGTTTAGTGGCTTCGTTCCACAAAAAAAAACATTTTTTTATGACTAAGAACTTCTCATATCTTGACGAGCCGGGGATAACGCCAAAAACATTCCAAACGGCGTCGGGAACTCGGCTCCGGCAATTTTCAGATTATTTGTTTTTTATGGCCGAACGGCCGGCCCTCCTCTCAATTCCAATGGCTTCTTATTCTTAAGGGGGAAGAATGACCTTACACGTGGGGTCTAGACCCACTCCATTGTGCAAATTACAAGTTTTTCTATGCATTTTCCCGACTGTTCTGCATAGTAATGCGAGTTTTGTTTTTTTCTATCAAGGAATTCCCTCCTTTATTCTTTGTTTTTTTTTCTATTTGAGAGCCTTGACTTTGAAATTTTATACATTTGTAGCGGAAACGCACTCGCCCCTTCTGTGTAGAAGGCCTCGAGGCGGTTTTAAATGCTTTTAAAAAATTTTTTTTCTTATTATCGGTTTTTTTAGAGGACAAAGTAATCAAATTAAAATTATCTTTTTGAAAATAACTCTGCAAAAAGAGGGGATATTTCGGAGAACGGCTCTTTCGATTTGGATGACTTTCAATGAAAACTTGCGGAAATTTGATTTTGTCTGGTTGTGAGGAAAAGAGATGGCCATAAAAATTTTTTCTGTATACATGTTCTCGAACATAGCCAAGAAAAATTTAAAATTTGTGAAATTTTTGAGATTTTATTGACAGGGGAAGTACCCCAAGTGCGACGCTTAGATTTCGATGAAACTTGGCACAAATTTAGAATAATTTTTTTGCAAAATATATGCGAGAATCCTAACTCGCGCTTTGCAGAAACAACCGAGATTTTTAAATCAAAAGTCGGCCAAAATTTGAGACTTTTTGTCGAATTTTGGCACAAAAAGTTGCATGCCTATTTCTACCATAGAGGGTAATGTTTCCACAAAAAATCTTTTTTTTCCGTACGAAACTAACAAAGTTATGGCCAAAAAGCGTTTTCCTTTCTGACCGCTCTCCGCGATTAGCATGCTCTCTCGGCGGCAAAGATGGTTCAATATCTCGGCGGCGCCTGCAAAGCGCAAGCTAAAACTTTCAGGAAGCGATATTTAGTAAATTTGTGCCAAGTTTCATCAAAATCTGAGCGTCGCACTTGGGGTACTTCCCTTGTAAGAAAAAAATTTAAAATAAATTTTTGAGATTTTTTGAGCTAAAGGTCGCGGCAAAAAACGTACCGTTTTGTATCCGGGAAGTATCAAAAATGTGGCGAAATGCTTCCCTCTCCAAGTGAAAAAAAACTTTGTTTTGAAGGGCCCTTTCCTTCATTAATTCGTCTGCCCGACTCTCCTTATTTTGCGCGCTCTCTCGTCAAGAAGGCGGTTCTTTCGCCGTAATAAATCGCGAGCTAATCCTTTCTCAATTCGGGGATTGCCCGGACTACACAGGCAATTTTTTTCAAATATCGGTAGATTTTGCCCTTTTTTTCGAGACTTTTTAAGACTCTATTTTAACATATTACCTATAATTTTTACCAATTTTTCTTCCAGGTTAACATACCGACTCCCCTGCCTTACCATGATCAATATGTTCCTTGTGCATTCATCTTTCCTCGCCGTTCTCTTCTCTCCCGCAAATTGAGCGCTTTAAAACCGCCAGTCATCCATCATCTCCATGTCCCGAAAACCTCGGCCGCCCTCGTTGGCGGAAATTAACGCCAACTCCCTGAGTTTGCAGAAGAAAAACAAGCCGGAGAATCTCGACCTCCGCGCAACTTCCAATTTCAACGTTCTGCACGAGAGGGATGAGGAGGATTTTGATGACATTCGACCGTTCCTGAATCGAGTCCGAGCTTGCAAAAGTTCGGCGGAGAGTTCGCTGGATTCGCCGTTGTTTCGGCTGAGGACTTCGTCGCGGTGCTCTGGGAAGTTTGTGAGTTTTTTTTACGGGGAATTTGGCCAAGAAAAAAAATAAAAAAAAAAATTCAATTTTTGCTTAAATTTTGTTTTGATTTACATATGACGACGGCCATTTTGGAAATTGAGTATGTAGTCAAAAAAATATTTTTAAATTTTTAAATTTTTGAGCTAGCTCAAAAATCAGTGCTACTTTGATGACTTTCTACCAAATCTGCCTTAATTTTTTCTCTGACGCTCACTAGGCTGTAAAATATTATGCGATTTAGACATGATATTCTAAGCTTATGGATGACTAGAAAACAAAAGGGACTCGTCTGGCCATAAGAAAATAAAAACAGCCCGGGCACCATATTTTTACAGGTCCTAGGACACCTTGTTTTTACAGATGAAATTCTCAAAGTTATAGGCTCGCGCTGCTGAGGTTTTAAATCAGAAAATTTGCCGAAAAATTGGTACTTTTGCTGGCTTATGTATAAAGAAATTCATCATTGTTTTTACCGGAGAAGTTGACGCATTTCGATGCTTCCCTTGTTATTTCCGAACACTGTATAATAACCCTTAAAATTTCAGAATGTAAGCTCCCCTTTGACCAGGAGTTTCAATTGCGAGTCGCCCCACTCATTGCCGCAGACCTATTGCAATGAAGCAATGGTAAGTATATATCTGTATTTTCAAAGCCTCCCAAAAAATCCATCGAGGCCAACTAAGGGTTCGACAAAGAGAATTCATTCAGGGAAGACTCGAGACGAATCTTGCATGCCAAACTCCCCTCATAGTGCTCTTATTATTCCTTCTCTCGGAACCATTTATTATTTTTTGCTAGACGTGAGGATGGAGTTTAATAAATAATAATGAGATTTCACAAAAACCGACAGACAAGCATGGAGTAAATGGGAAAATATTTTTGCGGGATGGCTGTTTGTTCTGTTCAGGGAACTTTAATATAGGGTACTGTAATTGTCGGGTTGGGTGGTCGATTTGCTGACAAGGCGAGCCTTGAATTAAAGCCGGCTTGGACTTGAACGCTTAAAATCAAAAAAATGACAGTATTTTTTCTAATTTTTGGCAAATTTTTGGTCAAGAAATCTTGATGACTTAAAAAAACCTCCCCCAGAAATCTCGTAGACCTCGTAAAACATCATACTCTGATTTGTGCCAATTTTTGTCAAAATCTCCGTCTTATGTGCGTGCCAACTATAATCCTTTTTGGCAACATCTCAACCCTACACATGGCGTTCTTCGCCAGCCCCCATCAGCCCCAATTTTCATCAAAATCCCCTTACATTTCCCTCAAAAACCGAGATTAATGGCAAAGAAATGCCATAAAAGTCCCGTCTCATATCCCCGTTACATAACTCCCCATCCATTACATAATTTCTCAACAAGGAAATGGCGAAAAAACCGGTGCGAATTTATTGCGGATAAATTTAAATACACTTTGGCAGTTGTGCCCTGAAGGCATTTTATTCATTTGGGTTGATTAAATTTGGTGAAAGACGAGCCCAAGATGGGAAATGTTAAATTTAGCGGAAGGGGGAATCTTTACCAACCCCCTTTTGGTTGGCGGATTACGGACGCTGGGGGTGTTTTCAGGGCTCTCCGGACGAGATTTTTTGTATTCTTAAATACAAAAAATCAAATTTAGATTTAAAAATTTTTTACTTAAAGATCGAACAAGTTCCGGGTTTCGCTGTAAAAAGGGCCAGGGCCCCATTACAATGCCCTTTTTACAGCAAAACTGCAGGGTTACGTGCGTCTTGCACCAAATTTAATTTGAAAATGCCATTTTTATAATTGTCAAACCTTCTTTAGTACTGACATTTAAAATGAATTTATGAAAGTGCTCAAGGTTTGTATGGCTTTCAGATTTTGATGAAACCACGTACTTAGGCTAGGTTTTCCTAACCGGGATTTTATCGTGTGCTTTGAAATTTTTACTATGCAATTCGGTCAAAATTTTTCGCTTTTTTGTATCTTTACTCATCAAAAATTTAGGCTTAATTTCTACTTAAACAGCCACTGTTTTTACAAAAAATTTTTTTTTCAATCAAGATTTTTTTTGTCTCACTGCTCTCCGTAATTCGCATACTCTTTCGTCGAAAAAATCGTTGGACATCTCGGCCAGAGAAAAAAATTATTTCTCTCTGTAAAACGCAAGCTAAAATTTTTAGGAATTCGTACTAAAAAGTATCTAAAATTTTTCAAAAATTCGCTTGCCCCATTTTCCACTTTACATGGGAAGTACTCCAAGTGCGACCCTCAGATTTTCTTTGAATTTTGCACACACGTCGGGTATGGACTAAATATCAATTCCTGAAAGTTTTAGCTTGCGCTTTGCGGGCGCTGCCGAGATATCGAACGATTTTTGCCGCCGAGAGAGCACGCTAAACGTGGAGCGCGGTCAGAGAGAAAAGCGCTTTTTGGCCATAACTTTGGCAGTTTCGTGCGGAAAAATTTGATTTTTCGTAGAAACATTATCCTTTACGCTAGAAATAGGCATGAAACTTTTCGTCCCGAAATTCGACAAAAAGTCCTAAATTTTTGCCGAAATTCGATCTAAAAATCTAGGTTGTTTCTGCAACGCGCGAGCTAGGATTCTCGCATGTATCTTAGAAAAAATTATTCTAAATTTGTGCCAAGTTTCATCAAAATCTGAGCGTCGCACTTGGAGTACTTCCCCTGTTAGTGCTGGCATTTAAGGTTGCATTTAGTATATACGATTACTGTTCATCGATTACGCAAATGTTTTTATCTTCTGTTTATCCATTCGGAACCTTGAAGCCCGCCGATTTGTGGGTGGAATTCTCTATGAGGTAATTGAAATTCAATACCAACTTTCTGGTAAAAAAAAAGATGGCGTTCCTCATCCATTTACTTTTTACGACAAAAACAATTCCAACTTTTTGAGGCTTAATTTGACCGGGAAAGGAGTGCATGTACTGCTAGTTACTTTTTTTAGGTTTTAGAGTGGTCAATGAAGTAAATAGATCGCATTATAATTTTTTGTACATTTTAAAAAATGACCGTAAGCATCTTATGGCAAAATTTAGGTCGTATTTTGCAGAAAAACGATGATTTTAAGATAAAAACGTAGCAAAAATTCAACGAATCGTATTGAAATTTGGCGCAAATTAGCTTCATTTTTTAAGACTTTGATTCAAAATTCGCGCTTTGCAGAAACACCCAATATTTTTGGTCGGAAAGCTGTTCAACATTGGATTAATTGCTATGACGTCCAAGGCAATTTTAAGGCATGGATTACACATCGGAAAGCGCTGGAAAATGTAAATATTTTTATGGAATTTGCGGGTCTTAGTTAATCCCCTCGAGCGCAGTTTCGCGATGCCAGAAAAAGACGGTTAGATTGAGGGGAAGCGGAGAAGTCTAGGGGTTTTTGTTCGCAAAAAAAAAGCGTTCTGCATAGTTAGTTGAATCGGCAAGTGGAACGCTAGCGTTTAGTGTTGAATTTTTCTAGCTTTGAGGTTCCTATGGGTTCAAAAAATATTAAAAACAAAAAATCTTTTTAAGAAAGAAAAGTACTTCTACAGGGTGCGCCAAAAATATTGGGACAAAAATCAATTCCGTGTAGCTTTTTTCGGCTGGCCTTGGAATCAAAACTTTTGGCCGTTTTAGCAAGGGTAACAGTCTTGCTATACGGCAACGGTAATGCCAGGGTTGAGGCCTATTGCAAACTTGAAAAAATATTCAAAAGTTTTTGGGGGACCAAAATTTTCTTTTCAAGTGGATGACCGGGAAATCAATTTGGCCATTATTTCCGCTAAGGGAAAGTAAGATCCTTCAAATTTATTGTGTTTAAAGCACATGCTATTCACTTCGTAACAACGTATGTAATCATGGTTGACGACCGATATAGCGACGCTGGTCGAAAAAACAAAAAAAATCCCGAAAGTTCGGATTTTTATGTTTTTAACGATCTCAATACCACAGTATCGCCCGTGTTGCTCTAAAATTTTGTGGTTATAGAGTGTGTACATAGGGAATTGTCATATTGTAAAAGAAAATCTACACCTACAAGGGGGCAGTTTCTGTATGGAAAAAACTTTATGGTGCGGATTGGAGGCACGGTCCTTCGAAGCTTGATATATTTTGGCAGTTTACTACAAGTTGAAAAGTACTTGAGCGTAAAAATCGACGTAACGCTATACTCGGGAAACATGCTGACACAACTGATTTATTTTTAGCGATCTTCAGTCCAAGCTCACTTGACGAGCAACCTTAGAGTAAATTCTACCGCTGTAGTCACTATTTCATGCCCCAGAGGCAGCAGATAAAAAAATAATTTTTCAAAGACGACTAGTCAGACTCTCGTTGTCCTTATAAAAGTATCACTGATGCCTAATACGCTGGGAACCTTACATGGAAACTTCTACATAAAAATCGTTGATCTTACGGAAGTTTTCTGGAAAACGGCGCGTTTTTAGGTCGACTTTGACGGGCTGTAAAATATGTAATCGTCATTATAAGTAAAAATCATTTTTAGTGTACAAAAAGCGACCGCTACTCTGTCATATAAAGTGAATTTCTGCCATAGCATGCAACGGTAAAACTAGTGTTTCCAATTTTTATCCATTTTGGGGTCCGTGTCTCAGGGGCCTTAGTTGTGAGCACTTATAATGGCAGAACAGGTGTCGTATACGACTACTCTGTCTGAAACTTTGAAGATAGATTCTTGGGAGCATTGCACGTTTGCACAAGCGACCACTTTGCTCTTGTACCATTGCAGCCCGCAGGGCAAGTAAAAATATGAGTCCCAATATTTTTGGCGCACCCTGTATGGGTATGGAGTTACAGGCATTATTTTGCGAATTTTTTATGTATATCTCGACCTGTAACTCCATACCACATAGAAGCACTTTTCTTGTATTTAAAAACTTCTCGACGCGTGGTGTCATAATTTTTGTAAATTTGCATAAATTTTACGCTTATGGCACATTTTAGACCCCTCAAATTTTAGCTTCTGTTTTAGAGAGGCCGCATATACATTCAATGATTTTGAATACATAGGCGCTATTTAGTTCCCATTCACTTTTGGACTAAAAATCACGTTTTGTTTTGCAAAGCGCGATCTTAAAAGATTTACAGTAGGCGACCTGACCCAGTGCCAAAAAACGTATCATTTTGCATCCGGGAAGTATAAAAAATGTGGCAAAATGCTTCCCTCTCCAAGTGAGAAAATTTCGTTTTGAAGGGTTCCCTCACAAAAAGAGCGGGCGCGCTTTTGAAATCGGAGTTTTTTCACTTGGAGAGGGAGGTATTTTGCCACATTTTCTTTACTTCTTGAATGCAAAATGGTACGTTTTTTGCCACTGGATCAGGTCTCCCACTGGATTAAAAATTTGCGAAAAGTTTCATCAAAACTTTTCTGATTACTTGGCCGTAAAATCTTCGAGGATTGATACACATCTACCCAATGTAAATCCAACCAGTTCTACTTTGCAAGCTTGCCACAGAATACTTGGCGCTCGTACTTTCTTTGTCAACAAGCTTTTCAATAATTATAATTCTGTTTGGCATGTCAACAGATACCTCTACAGCATCCAATTTTCATACCCCATCCCATTTTTACTCACCTTTGTCGAAGACCTGCGTTGTAAGCAAAGATGTGAGAGGATTATCCGCAAAGTGTTGGCCTCTTGCATACATTTTTTCGTCCACGGCCGAAAATTTTATCTCCCAAAAATTGTAAAGCCATCTAAGTGGTCTGTTTTTCATCACTCAATTTTTATATTCCTGTCCGAATAATTCTCGCCACACGCTTACAAACGAATTGTCATATCCTCGGCTGCTTTGCTTGGTGGACGAATTTATCCTCACTCCACTACTGTTTTACATTTTTCTTCGAATTCCGAGGTCGTCAAAGAAAGCCGGAAACGGCCTCGGAATTCGAAATAATATGTTCTTCCAGCCCTCAATCTGTTTGGCGTTTTTAGGGGGGCCCTTGTTTTAGGTTGCTTGGCCAAATTTTTACGATTTCTTTGCCTCATCAAGCAGTTCTTGCTTTGAAATTTTACACACAAAATGGTCGAACTGCAACGCTTAGATTTTGATGAAATTTTGGGAACAGAACGAATGCAATTTTTTAAAGCGTATGCTAAATTTTAAGCGCAAATTTGGCAGCAAAGTTCTTCGAAAATCATTGAGATTTTGTGGCCAAAAAATGGAGAAAGGTAGATATTTCCATGCTAATGATAATATCTACCTTCTGCTTTCTTTGTGGTAGACAATATTTTTAGCAAAAACCATGAAAAATTTTTTAAAAAATTTTGCTATATTTTCTCTCCCGAACAACTTTGTTTACAGTTTTTACAGTTTCGAGGTCTCTCGTAATACGAATGTTTCTCTATTCCATGACTAGTCATCATAATTTAGAAGGCCCCGCAGAGGGTCCAAGTTTGCAATAATGGACGGTTTTTGGGTCTGCTTTTAAATTGAGATTCTTCCACATATTCCATAAGAAATCTGCTCTCTACAAGAAAGAAATGCCACGACAAAGCCTGTGATCAACGTCGATGACAGTTAACCCATCGATCTCTACCGTGACCGCCGTCAAACTCCCATATCATCGCTTGTTCTCGACCAATCATATCGTCTGAAATGCCGCAAGTTCGTCGGAACTCGCGGATGCGCCGACTAGCCTCGCATTTGTCCGTAATTCGAATTTTTCTCAACCCGCCAAGTCCTCCGAACAGCGATTATGAGAATCCGGACTCGCCGGAGATTCCGATTTCCCCAAATTCGAATTACAAATCGTCCACCTCGACGCTGGTGATCAATACTCCAACGCCAGAGCCGACGGTCCTGAATCCGTGGATGAGGAGTGCTTCGCCCAGTCATTTCTTGCAGGTAAGCCCTTTTAAATTTTAAAAAAATTCATCTATTTACTGTTTTTTTATTCATCTATTTACTCAAGAAAAAAGTCGGAGGCTATAACTTCCGGCGGAGGCAACGCAGAGACTTTGTTTTTGGAATATGTATTTTTAAGTGACATTAATTTTTGCCTATGAAATAACAAGATTTTTAAGTGCAAACTGAGGTTGCTGCGACCTTTTGAAGTAGGGCACTTTTACCCCGAAAACCAGTGTTTTTTCGGCTGGAAATGATCTCGAAATTTGTGACTTTTTTCGGTTGAAACCTACCAAGCAATGTCGGATTTTTTCGGGTGTTTCGATATCACCACTTCCCACGAATTAAACAAACTTTTGCCAAATTTAATCAAAACTTTGCAAATTACTTGCAAATTTTTTGCAACTTTTAGGAACGAGCGGAAAGAGTTGTAATGTCCCGATAATAACTGTTCCTCGTAAAGGTTGTTTCTTCATTATACACGCAAACAAGATTAGGTGGCAATTCTGATAGGCCGGCCATTATTTCACCTTTTTATTTTCGACACTTACAGCCATTTCTATTTTTTGTTTTGGATACAAAATTTTCGTTTGAATGAGGGACAAATTTGGGGTGCATTTGAGTTCAAAATTAAGCTCAAAATTTTCGTTTTGTATTCGCAAGGTAAGCCGAGATTTTTCGAAGTTTTCGGTCGGCTTACTAGACGGAATAAATTTTTGCTCTTGCCTGTAGATAACCTAATGTTTTTCGGTACTAATTTTCGTAGCCTTTAGCCCAAACTTTTCTCAAATTTCAATTCATTTTTTCCAGGTACCCCGAGACGATTTTGCCCCAGAGGACGTCCCTCGCCTCTGCTCTCCGCCTCCGCGACGAGCCAGCAACACTTCAGCGCATTCGGCGCTCTCCGAGGCATCGTCCAGCACCATGCTTTCGCCTGGAATGCTGAGTGCGGGCGTTAGTTCGAGGTCCTACTCATTTGCCAGCTATTCCGATGACAATGAGACCCCGCCAAATGAACTTCAAATCCCGTGTCTACGGCCACATAGCACTCAGGTTGGGGCTGGGGAAATATCAATTTGAAAAAGACCAAAAAAGTCTTATTACAGTGGAAAAAAGTCTTATTGAGGGAGAAAAATGCATGCAAGATTCTAAAGAGTCCAAAAATACAAAGGATTTTTACTTTGGAAGACATTCTCATCTGTTGGTTGTAATTTAGAATACATTTTTTATAGCTAACAATACAAAATTTTAGTCAACGCCGGGCGGAAACATCTCCCCGACCATCCTGCTCTCGCCCGTTCTTTCTCGGCCGGTCCGCTCTCAAAGCGCCCACTCGCCGCCGTTCCAGCGATCCTCCTTGATGATGCTGCAAGGAATGGGACAAAGCTTCACCAATGGCTCAGACTCCGACAACGAATCGGTCAAATTCCGTCCAATTTCCCGCCAATCCTCCCTCTTTCCTCAACGGGCGCCAAGTCGAAGCGGCTCAATTTTGGGTGCCCACATCTGCACGCTAGCAACGCCAACCGGGAACAGCGACAGTCTCAGCGGATCCCACAGCGGCGCCCAGACGCCGAGTGGACTGCACATGTCCGGCGGATCGTTTTCGTTTAATTCGGCGGCTGCGCAGAGGTTTGGCACTTCCAGTTATTCGCTGCAACGACACGGGAGCAGTGCATCAGGTGGGTAAAAAATTTGATGACTAATTTATGGGGTAATGTAAGCCTCCGAGGAGCGGAAATCCTCAAAGTGCGACGAGTAATTTTGGTGAAAATTGAAATCAAAATTAGAATTTTCTGACTCGTATGGGAGGTTTTATTTTTTCCAGTGGTTTCCACGAGATATCGAGATTTTGCGCCCCAAAATATCCAATTTTTTTCTACTTTCTTTTCTCATTTTTTATCGTCTTTTGTCCACAAAGATCATTGAATATCTTGACTACCTCTGTAAAGCAAGACCTAAAGATTTCAGCGATTAAAACATGGTTTATTTAGAGCAAATTACAAAAAAATTTAATTATTTTTAAGCTTATTTTGATATCTTAATTCTGCCAACTGTTGTGTACCCATATCTCTTTCGCTACTGAGTTGTAAACATTGTGAAAACGATTAGTAACAAGGATTTGCCGAGTTCCACGAAAAAGTCATGGGACGATAAATGAGGACTCCGATTATTACACAATAAGCGATAATCCGAGGGGTCTTTGGGGCGAACTTTTGGAAAGTAATTTACATAGACGTATACGCAATAAGAATTCATCCAAAATTCCGAGTTCTTGCTGTTCGAACTGTCTCTTTTTGCATAAATGTGTAGCAATTCTTTTCGCCTTTCCGGGCCAGAAGTTGGTTTCCGTCAAAAAAAAGAGAGGAGAGAGGGAACGTCGACTCTGGTAAGAATACTTTGCCCTAAGGGTGTAAGGATGCTTTGGCTTACACCTCGGCTTCTTTTAAGTGCGTGTTCGCCCTTGGAAGGAGGCGTTTTTTTGAGTGACAAGTATTATCTTTTATTTTCGCAAAACATGCGTGAATCGTGACGTACTTGTTTTGCGGAAAGTAATAAAGAACCGAGAGGGTTTCCAGCGACATTTGCAATTTAGCTCCTCGAAAAGCGAAAATATTGGGAAAATTTCTGGTAATCAAGAATTATACTTCTTTAGCCAGCGTGTTTTTTTTGTCATAAATGTTATACGGAGCCTAGTAATTGAGCACTTTTAAATCAAAATCCACAGAAAAGTGTTGGCTCCAAATTTCATTAGAATTTATTTCTCCTAACAGGGGAAGTACCCCAAGTGCGACGCTTAGATTTTGATGAAACTTGCTTCAAATTTAGAATAATTTTATCTAAAATATATGCGAGAATCCTAGCTCGCGCTTTGCAGAAACAGCCGAGATTTTTGGATAGAAAGTCGGCGAAAATTTGAGACTTTTTTGTCAAATTTCGGCACGAAAAGTTTCATGCCTATTTCTACCATAGAGGGTAATATTTCAAAAAAAAATTAATTTTTTCCGCGCGAAACTAGCAAAGTTATGGCAAAAAGCGCTTTTCTCTCTGACCGCTCTGCACGCTTAGTGTGCTCTCTCGGCGACAAAGATCGTAGATTTTCTCGGCGGCGCTTGCAAAGCACGAGCTAAAACTTTCAGGAATTGATATCTAGTCTATGCCTGAAGTGAATGCAAAATTTAAAGAAAATCTGAGCGTCGCACTTGGAGTACTTCACTTGTTAGCTAAAAAATTTTCCATAATTTTCCGGACCTGAACATTTTCAATTTTTTATGCAGAAATATTCCCCTTTGACCACTTGCAAACACACAAAATTTGAATTCTGCATTCCCCCAGGATGCTCGTCGAAAATGTTAATTTATAAATATGGTCGGTTAGGGGATTACTTTCAAATTTGGCCCCGAACACTGGCCACTAATGAGATCTCATTTCGGAGTTATTGTCTCCCCCTCATTTCCTTGACATTTCAACCCACTGAATTTGCCTCAAAGCATTTTGTTGAGTTGAAAATTCGAGGGATTTCGAATCCAACCGGGTTGTGGCCATTTTTAGAAATCGGATAATTTGTTGGCAAGAAACAACCGAGCCTAATTTCGGGTCCGACTTTTCTCCCATTCAAATGGCGCCCGGAATTCGTTAAAAAGGGCGGAAAGTCATCCATTCGAAATTGGGCGGAATTCGCGATTTTTAACAATCGAGTTAGATGAGGTTTCGAAAAGAATGCGGTTGTTTTGATAGCACTTCCTTGCCACCATTTTCTGGAACTGACAAGGGATGTACCCCAAGTGCGACGTTCAGATTTTTTTTAAATTTTGCACGCACGTCTGGAATAGACTAAATATCAATTCCTGAAAGTTTTAGCTCGCGCTTTGCGGGTAGATATTGAACGATTTTTGCCGCCGAGAGAGCACACAAAACGTGGAGAGCGGTCAAAGAGAAAAACACTTTTTTTGGCCATAACTGCGCTAGTTTCGGCGGAAAAAAATTGATTTTTTGTGGAAACGTTACCCTTTACGGTAGAAATAAGCATGAAACTTTTTGTGTCGAAGTTCGGTAAAAATTGTCAAATTTTCGCCGACTTTCGATCTAAAAATCTCGGTTGTTTCTGCAGAGCGCGAGCTACGATTCTCGCATATATTTTAGCAAAAATTATTCTAAATTTGTCTCAAGTTTCATCAAAATCTGAGAGTCACACTTGGGGTAATTCCCCTGTTTAGCCGATACGTTCTCATTAGGCTAGTTTTGATTTCTATGAGTTTTAGCTTATGCTTTGCAAGTGCAGCTGAGGTATTCAACGAGTACACAAAAACGAAAAAATAAATGCAGGCTGAAAATATCGATAACCTCTTAAAAAATTAGTCACTGAAATTTGCATTAGATTTTTAACACTTGCTTTTTCCAACCAATCAAAATTTCAGAGCCGAAAAAATCATTATTTTTGGGTTTTATTTTTATTTTCCAAAACTCCTTTCCTTCCTTGAAAACTCATAAACGACGTTGTCTTCCTGAAAATTTACAGCTGAAATATTGCCATTGAATTGGGGGGAAAAAACAACTCTCCTATAGCTATTTACGGGCCGTTTCTTGTCCGCTAGTAATTTCGGAGGCCGGGACTTATTGCCAATGCCGGGCGCAAAATAATTGGTGCTTGCGGCGGGAAGTCCTTGCCCATTGTTAGGCGAGCATCAGAAGAAGCTGCATTTCGAATTTCAGAGAGACAATGAACGTGAAGTTTGGGCTGTTTCTCATTTATTCGATGGTGTTGTTTTTGGCAAGGCACGTACATATTGCTAAATTAAACACATAGGTTTTGATGAGACTTGACATAGATTTATTTTTGCCCCTCTAACCCTTAGGCAACGCTTTTAATTTGCGCTTCACAGAAACCATAGAAACTTGAAAATCAAAAAAAAAACGGCGGAAAATCCATAATTTATGAGCGATTTTTGATTTTCAAGATGATGGTAGTTCTCAATGGGCAATGTTGCAGCCAAACAAAATTTTTCAAGCTTAGAAATTTACGTTTCAGGAAGATTTTCTCTGACCCTCTCTCATTGCTTACAATGGTCTTGCTAAATATTGTTTATCTCGGTTGTCCCTGCAAAGTACAGCTACAATTTTCAGGAATTTATTTTTGCCCAACAAGTAGCGTTTCCGCCAAATTTGCAAAAATTCTGTATTCTACGCTTTGAGAATTTCCAGGTTAACTTCAAACCAAGATTTCTTCAGTGTCTGCGAAAAAATGCCGTCCAAAATTTTTTCATAGCCTTAAAAACTTTTAATCTTTTTCTATTCTTGATCCTACGCAAAATCCACATGCCACGGTTGTCATACTTGCCCTCTAAGATTACGTTTTGACACATACAAAACCCTCGTCTTAACGCAACAAACATACATATAAAAACGGATAATCTTATCCTTTCGCTTTTCGTATTCAATTAAATTCTCTTCCCATAACTCGTTGCTGGCGCGGTCCCGGCCTTCGAATACGTGTTATTTTTGGTGTTCATTGGAAGGGAGGGGAACGTACGCACCCCAATTTGTGCACCCCCTGAGTGGGTGCCGCATTTACCCGGGACGGGCGGTAATAACTGAGATATTTATATTCCGCGGTTCTCGAAAACATTGGCCCGAGACTTGTCAGTACTTATTAGTCCATTTTGTTGTACTATTTTAATAAAAAATGTCTTCATAATAGGTTATTGGCTTGTTTGTCTACCAAGAAGCCCTGCAATATTTTTGCGGTTGTTAAGATGCATAGTTAAGATATTACTTAGCAAATGCCGGGATAGATGGGAACGGAATGGTCTAAAGATTTAATAATTTATGTCCATCAGCCCCACGGCCAGCGGGGCCGAATAAACAATTGTCGTTCCGAGTTCGTTTATGTGTTTTTTTATATCTCTAGTTGTTTTTGTTCCAAGAAAACTTTTATTAGAATTTTTGAACGATTTCCACTCTTTTTTGCCCTTAATTCAAAACGTTTTCTTAGGACAACACACGAGTTTTATAAGTTCTTTAATCATCAACCCTTAGGGACTTTTCTTTAGCCACAATTCTCAACCTAAAGCTTATTAAAAGAGGACTTTCTTTATGTCGTTTTAGATTCCGGAAGTACCTGCGGATTCTTCGGCCGTCAGCGCTCTTTGCGGGCTCAACGTTCGGTTTGTGGCAGTGGATCCTCGCCGTCAGTGCAGCCGCAAAAGCAGACAAGTATCGACGAGCACAAGCTGAGGCATGGCTACGGCAAGGTAGGGGTTTTTAACTCAAAAGATCTTAAAACTTGGAAATTTTGAACGGCCTAAACCCTAGTTTTTTAAAACTCGGATTTTTAATTTAAAAATTAAAAATCCAATTTTCGAAAATCTTGCTGATACTGAATAACTAATTAATTTGTCATATTACGGAATTTCAGGCACCCTTCTCCCCATCGGAACCCCAAGCCCTTGGCTTGAAACGCAAGAATTTGAACCCTCAGCCGTTCCCACTTCAGCGTTCCAGCTCCGAAGCGCAGTCGGACTCGATGAACGCCAAGCATTTGTTGGCGGTTTCCACCGCTACGGACGTTCGAAGCCGTCGCAACAATCGCCGACCGTCCTCGTATGCGGTAGCGTTCCGTGGCTCTCAACAGAGTGGGAGTGAGTTTGGTTTTGGCATTTTCTATTAATAAAAGAGGCAAGGCTTAAAGGGCAACAGGCAGATTTTGTTTATATCTATAGCATATGTACTTTACATGACCAGAAATCCTTTCCTCAAAGCTTAGGTCTTCGGTAAGCATAGCTAATCATAGATCTGGACGAGGGACTCCGGGAAATTAGGAGAGACGAGAGAAAAAAAGTTTTTTGGCTCTATCTTTGCAAATTTTCCGTGGGAATTTTTGATAGTTTGTATCTTCCACACAATGCCAATTTCTCAACATCAAAATCACAAAAAAATTTAGATGTCATCAAATTTTTTGTATCCAAAAATTTCGGCCGTTCATAAGACAAAATGCAAACTAGACTTCCTCAAAATGTTTTCAAAGATTTTAATTTATTCCAAACACCATAAACCTCAAACCATTACATTTCCATATTTCAACTTTCAAAGCCAAATACTTTACCGTCGCCATGTTTCTTTCACAAGTATAATCTTCCTGTTGGCTTGTTGTCAACCCGTGTTTCGATTTCTCCCTTTGTTTGAAGACCTGATAAGAATGCTCATCGGCGTTAAATTTAGCCGTTGTGATAACAATAACAATGTATTTTTGCAAAACAACCCGAAAACAGGAAAAGCATATGATTTGATAGGGAGAAGGATAGTATGTTTACTGAGTCATTACAATGGTATTACTACTCATGACGGGTGTTTTCACTAATTGTAAGAATTCTCAACAATATTTAGTTTAAAATTTTGGAGGTGTCTTGAAAATTAAACTTGATTTGATGACGAATATTTTACCATTCAAATTTTGCGGCCTAGCGAGGATTTGCCCATTTTATTTCTGCTCAAATAAACGCCGCTTTCTGGCTTTCCTTTATAAACCACCCAAACTTCACTCATTTCACCTTGGCGAAAACGCGAAAACAAAAGAGGTTTTTTGGGGGCGACCACGTGTTCCCAAACGCCATAAAACTCTTCACTTCTCCAATGGAGAAACGAGAAATTTTGAGGGAATTCTTGTAATAATCGAGGGTTTTTGACACATTATATTTTTTTCCTCCGGTACTCTTCTCGGATCCCCGCGCACGCAGCGATTTTTCATGGATATTCAAAGAAGATTCCCATGGAACAAAAGGGATATGACTGCACAAAATTCTCTCGTTTTGAATTGTAAAATTTGCTCTCTATAATAACTAGCTCAGTAAGTTTCATTTTGTCTATTGGTCAGCTTTGTTACCACAACCCTTTGACTTGAAAATTTGGAAAGATATCAAAACCTCAACGACCAGATGACCCCAATTTTTTCTTGTTTTTACGAATGGTCTATGCCCCCGGGGCAATCTAATTCCGGTCCCGAGAATCCCGAATCAATGCGAATTTAAATAAGGCCAAGGAAGGAAGACGAAAGACCCTCTGGGGATGCGGGGGAAGGGAAAAATGTCCTCATGAAATCCGGAAATCCCAAGTTTTAAACCCGCAGAAATCTTGCTTTTATTTTATCCGTATCAAAACATGCTTTTTGGATCTAAAGTCTTCAAAGCCTCTGGCATTTTTATTCTATTAAAGACTTCAAAAATCATTGTTTCTCTGCTTACTAGTTTTCCCGATTTGGTCCCTCTTCACCTATTTTTGGCATGTCCCTCTTAGTAATTTCTCCTCTCCCTAAACCTTTTCTGATCTCTCAAGCAACATTTTATATTATTTTTCAACTTCCCACTTCATCTTGTCAATCAAACCAATTATACTTACACACCTTCCCAAAAATCAATTGCCTCCTCTCGCCATCCTTCATTTCTCCAGTTATCCCGGCAAATTCATACATTTGGCCCTCTTTTTTTCTGTAAGCCATTCCGTTTTTCTCGCTCGATTAACTCAAAAAGTCTTGGGCGAAATGCAAACTCCATTATTGGAGTAGTTGCGAAGTGTCAAACGTTTTCAACCCATAATAATTTTCGTGAGTGTATCGGAAAATTCGGGTCTTATTCACGAAGTCGGGGGGCTCGGATGCGTCGAATTTGGGTTGAGTATTCGGTATTCAGTCGTTTTTCACTTCTCCGTTCCATATAACCTAGAGCAATATAAAACCGAGGGGATTTTTCTACTTCAGTATTTCCAATAAGTTCATTTAATCTTGCAAGAGTTGTAGCATCTTTGCACTCCGCTCATTTGCCAAGAATAGCTATTGTAGGAAGAATGACGAGTTTTTGAAGCCACGAATTATTAATGTGGATATTGTTTTTCCCTAGCGATTCTGCTTTTCCATGGATATGCCACTCAAAAACAAAATAGATAAATTGGCATTTCGAAGTCCCATTGTTTACTGTCTGCCTCTCTTTCAATTGCGTTCCCTTTTAATAATTACCAGGCCAAGATATTGTAGTACAAAGTAATACGTCAACATATCACAATGACTTGATATATCTAAAACTCATTTTAATTGCAGACTTCCTACACCCGCCCAACCAGTTCGATTTTGGCCCTTCGGCCCCATCGGCTGGCGGTTTTGGCCACTCCGGCTCGAACATGCACCGAATCCGCAACCAGCTGGGTCATTCCGACCCACAACTTTACACTTACACACAGAATTCGGGTAGACGATCCGTCTCCGGCGGACGGACGTCGGCACTGCACTCGAGTCCGGCGTCGGCTGTACGGTTTCGCGTAAGTATCCTTATTTTTTTGTCGAAGTTTAGATGAGTTTATTTGAAGACAAATGGGCACTTGAACGAGCAAGGTTGTGAAGCCTTAATTCGCTAGATTTCAAATTCTTTAATAACAAAATTTTCGTTTGCAGAAAGCTTCTGTATTCTTGGATCACAACCGATCTCATCGTGCCTCTATTCTCTCTGCTCACAATGTAGAGACCTCACTCTCCGAAGAGCCAACTTCTGGATTCCAGTCGACTTCGAACCCGTCTTCAACTATAGGACTTCCGAAACTCCCATCAATAAGAAGGAGACGTCGACCATTGGCACCGGTCAGCTCCGGAGACGGCAGTGGGAATCATGGAGGAGTTGGGAAACCAAGGAGTGGATCCAGTTTGGCAGCACCTTATCTCTTACATCATGGTGATAATCGACGCTGGTCGTTGGCTTCGCTGCCCAGTTCAAGTGGATATGGGACGCCTGGGAGTGTTTCGGCATTATCTGTAAGTTCTTTTGTCATTAATATCTAAAAGCAATCAATTCTACAAAAAAAAAAATATTTTTTGGAGGTATTAGTATGCATTTTTTGCATTTTAAAATTAATTTTTGTTTTTCAGAGCGAATATTCATCACAAGAGCAACTCCCGCAATTGCTGGGAGATATCAAATTACAACATCGGTATGACAGTAATGATTCTTACCCATCAATGGAGGAGTCTTCCCTTTTGGCTGGAATGCGGCCTCGATCCCGATCCCTCTCAAGTCCAGTCCGTTTTGGGTCAGAGTCAGGTGGATTTGATCCCAATCCGAATGCCATGTCTCAAGTCTACAAAGAACGATTCCCCAAGGCAAAAACTCAAATGGAGTCCCGGCTTCAAAACTTTTTACAATTTAACGCGCCCTTGAGTGGGTTCACATCTCCGATCTCTCTGGACCGTCCGGCCAGCCCGCTACACCTTACGGACCCCGTTGGAACCCAACAACGCGCCTCTTTAGCGCGTCAGCCATCTTATCATCGGCCAAGCAGTCCGTGTCGGCCATCTTCGCCCATCCCGAGACCAATAAGTCCGCTGGCGATGGTTGATGCAACTGCAGCACAAGACGGGAAGGTCGTGTTCCGCTCGGCGTCCGGTCACAGTAGTCAAAATCTCCAGTGTACGACGCCGTACGGGAACAGTAGTAGTGCGTATTACTTCCCAGGGACTCTGAGTCAGCAAAACCCGCAACCCAGTTTTCAAGCTTTCCCCGGATTGGCTCAACAGTCAAGTCAATTCGGATCCTTGGCCAGTAATGTTGGATCGATTTGTCTTGGACCGAATGACAGTCAGACAACCAATACGACGAATTCCACATCCAGAAGGTCAACCATGGCCCAATGTGACGCGCCACTTACGAATCCAACGCTGTTGAGAGTGCTGGCAGAAGGCGCCACCAGATTCATTCATCATCAAATTTGTGAGATAGCTGCGGACTGTCTACAGAAATCAAGGGATGATCAACTTACTTCCAGTTATTTTTGTCAAATGTCGATTCGTTTGGAGGAAAGTTTAGCGGAAGCTCAGCAAAAAACGAGTGCCGAAAGTTTTAAATTCCTGGCCAGTATTTGCAAACAACTCCTGATGATTGTTTCGAGGACGGCGAGGCTTTTGGAGAGTTTGGAGTTTGATCCTGATGAGTTTTACAGGTAAAATCTTGGGATTTTTTTTAAATATTTTTTCTGGGTTGAGAAATAAGTTATCAACCTTTTTGCAGGCTGCTGGAAGAAACAGAAGGCGCTCTTCGCTATCAGCTCGGGGCCGGAAATGCAAGAGTCCCAGATCTTCCACAATACATCATTGACAAGCTCGGGCTCAACAAAAATCTGATAAACGATCGATCTTCTCCGCCCGACCTAACTGAGCCCGAAATCTCATATCCGATCGAACCCGCAGTCGCTGATCTACAACAAAGCGAAGTGATTCCAAGAAAAGGCTCCACAGCCATCACGGAAGACCAGTTGAGAGCGTTAACGGCAAATGCTCCCAAGGAAGAGGATTTTGAGACAATTCGACTGATTTCGAATGGAGCTTATGGAGCCGTATACCTGGTTCGTCATCACCGAACTCGGCAGAGATTTGCGTTAAAGAAAATGAAAAAACAAACGCTGCTTTTGCGGAATCAAGTGGACCAAGTTTACGCTGAACGGGATATCCTCACTTTCACCGACAATCCATTTGTTGTTTCGTTCTACGGCTCCTTCGAAACCAAACAACATCTCTGCATGTTGATGGAGTACGTGGAAGGTGGAGATTGCGCCAGCCTGTTGAAGAGTGCTGGAGTCCTTCCCATCGAGGTTGCCAGGCTTTATGTGGCCGAGACTGTCCTTGCGATCGAGTATTTGCACTCTTGTGGGATTGTCCATCGAGACCTCAAGCCGGACAATCTTCTGATCACCTCGATTGGCCATATTAAACTGACAGATTTTGGGTTATCCAAAATCGGACTCATGAACAGAACTACTCTGGTGTCGGAAGGTTTCCTCGATGATACGCAACAATTCCGCGACAACCAACTTTGCGGAACTCCGGAATACATTGCGCCGGAAGTGATTCTGCGACAGGGTTATGGAAAGCCAGTCGATTGGTGGGCTCTGGGAATCATTCTCTACGAATTCTTGGTTGGAATCGTTCCATTCCTTGGTGGATCTCCGGAAGAATTGTTTACGAACATCATCAATGAAGAAGTGGAATATCCGGATGGTGAGGAAGCCTTGGATCCGAATGCCGAGAACTTGATTCAAATGCTGTTGGAGAAGAATCCAGTCGACCGATTGGGGACGTTAGGAGGTGCACCGGATGTTGCAAGCCACCCCTTCTTCAACGCCTTGGACTTTAACAGCTTGTTGAGACAGAAGGCTGAATTCGTCCCAAATTTGGAGAATGAAGAGGACACCAGTTACTTTGACTCAAGAACCGATCGTTACAATCATGATGCAGAATCGGGAGATGACGAAAGTGTCCCGATGTTCTGGAGCTTCTCAACGGCCAGTCCAAGGCATTCGATCACAGCGATTGATATCAGCATGGCCCAATTGGCGCAGCTTAATGCTGCTGCAAGTCCCACTCTTCAGGCAACAACAGAAGAACCAAGGGAAGAGAGCGCTACGAAAAAACCTTGGACGGATGAGAAAGCCGAGAAAGAAGAGGCGGAATACATAACGCAAGAAAAACGACCGGTCGGAAAGACATTGTCTCAAAGAACGGCGGATTCGAGTAATTCCGGGCAGAGAGACTCCGGAGATCTTGGAACGATCAATTCATCCTCTTCAACGGCCGCGCAAACGCCCAATTCCGCCCGCTGGGATGATCCGTCAAGTCCGAGCGCTATTCTGCTTCGTCAACGATTCTCGGCGACAAGACAAGCGAATCTAAGTACGAGTAGTTCTGGGACAACTGGAACAGGCCCTCTGAATACGTGCTCTTCGACGGACTCATCGATGGACGCGTCTTTCTTTGCTGGGGACCATTCTCATTTACCATCGAGAAGACAAACGACCAACTTTTCTCCCCTCCCCAGATTCGCTATATCGTCATGTGAGCAGCCAAACAACGCTGCGCCAAATACGACACAATCCCAGCATCGTCGGGCAACTCTCAGTGCAGAGCCCGAACCGCGAGAGCGATCGAAAACAACAACCGCAACCCCAGTTACGAAACGAACGGAAAGCTTACGAGTAGTCATTCCCGGCTCTAGTCACGCGCTCGCACATGAAAAATCAGCTAGTCAGACCTCGATTTATTATCACGCAGCTCCACCAAATGCTAGTCCAGATCGCCAGAGCCAGTCCAGTCTAAGCAGCTTCGAACCGAACTCTCCGAGAGTTGCGGCCAAGTCAGAAAACGCAACACCGCTACCTCAGTTAAGGTCGGGATTACTGGGAAGCGACAAAACTTTCACCACCGACCGACCCACTCTCACAGATCGAGCCAGCTTTTCCGGCGTCTCAACCAGCGATAAACAAGTCGCCTCTTCCGCGCAACCCCTCCAAACTGGTCAAATTGTCGGCCGACCGGTCGTAATCCGGAAAGGAGTAAAAGGATTCGGCTTTACCATCAGATCAGTTCGAGTCTACCTGAGCGCCGACTCCGATTACTACACGATTGAACATATTGTGGCAGCAGTGCGGGAGGGCAGTCCGGCGGATGACGCGGGCCTAAAAGAAAATGATCTCATTACCCATGTACATACACAGCCAGTTCACAACATGACTCATCCTCAACTAATGCATCGATTACTGTCCGGAGCGCCCGAAATCACACTGCACGTGGTCCCGTTGAATTCGACGAGTATTCGCGAAGGAGAAGCCCGGAGAAATGTGGGCAAATTGCTGAGGAAGAAGCCGCGGAGGCCCCAAAGAAGAGTGCCGTTGGAGAAAAAGACGAGGAAAACTTCGGCGTTGTTCAGGCAAGGGGATTTTTGCGATTTGATGAGAGAATGATTTGAAATAATCCTATAATATTTCTTTTCAGACGGCTCAGTGGAAAACGAGGAAATGGCGAGATTGTTCCCGGTGCCTCGACTCAAAAACAGTCGTTCATGCCGAGATCTGCCTCCAGCCAGGACGGAGTTGCTCTCAGTCTGAGTCCAGCGCCAATGTCTCACCTCTTAAATGAGAAGAGAGTCGACGATCAAGAGCCATGTACAAGCTCCAACCTCCCGAAGCCTCAATCGCAACATCGGCGAAGCTCCGGCCATCAACTTCTCCATCCTCATACGAATAGCAATCCAGTTCCGTCGGCGGGTGAAAGCTCGCGAAGGAAGCACACAACAGGCAGCATTGACATCCGAGAACCGCATGGGAGCATAACGGTTCCCTTACCTCCTCATTTACAAGGCCCAAGGACCGTCATAAAGCCGCGCACACAGGAACCGCTGAGCACAGTTGTAAGTTTTGTATTATTTTTTGACTTTCTTTTAATTATCGATTTCACAAGGGATTATTTCAGCCATCCATGCCGTCAACTCCCTCGCCAGCCCCACAAGCATCAACTATAAATCCTCTGGCGATCGAAGCGCCGGTCTCAACGCCGAAAGGAGCGCCCACACCAAAGCCCTCGACCATTCGACGTCCCTCAACTCTGATCGAACAAAAGCCAAGTTCCGGACCGCGTATGGAAGAACAACCGATCCAACGACCGCGTCCCACCGAGCTCAGAAAGTCGAGTGCTCCGGTGGCAACGATACCACCGACTGTGGCAACAGCCAGTAGTGTGCCAACTCAGCCACCAAGTCAAGTTGAAGAGGCGAAAAAGGTGGACAAGACGGAAAAGGTTGAGAAAGAAACGAGCGAGGTTCGACCAAAGAGAGAGTCGATTAAAAGGTGAGTTGGAAGGGTGGTTTGATGGTGGTTGTTGCTAATGATAAAATACAAGGCACGTCAATCCAGCGCATTTCCTCAACCGTTTCGAAAATTACAGACGAAATGTTGGGAAATTATCGGCACTTTTTTCGCCCGAAATAATTGCTTTTTCTCGAAAAGGAAGAAAAAATACACGAAAATGCGTTTTATCGGATAGTGACATTTCGTTTTGAACGAATCACCAAAAAGGGGCGGGAAGTTTTTTCTTTTATTTTGGATTGACGTGCAAGAGCCATTGATTATATCGGGAGCATAATTTGCAATCATTTTCGATTTCTAAGACTTTATTTTCATACAAATTCATCAAAATATTATTTTAGGCCACCAGTTCCAACCCGAAAACTTTCACCGTCTCGCCTGGTCCAACGCCTCTTCCGCGCCGCCTCCTCGGCCTCCTCCTCCGCTGCCGCCCAATCCGCACTACCCAGGCAAAAATCCACCGAGGAAAACAAATGAATTTGCATAATTTGGTCCAAACTTGTCTCCCCCTAATACTTAGTCTATTGTTGATTGTTTAGTTGTTATAACGTTGTAAAATACGGTAGTCCTATCGTAATCGCATGTGTTTTTATTTGAATGCATATTACTTTTCTCTTCGAATACGTCTAACGGGATGTTTAGATTGTTAAAAAAACAATATTTTTTGTGCTTACTTTGTATCCGGGATCTTTTCTTATGAACAATTTTTGCCACACCAAACGTCTAGAAAATTTCCATTTTACTTTGAAACAGTATTTAATTGCGTGCAGCGTCTGGTTTTGTAATTTCGAAGACAAATTACAGTATCTATTCGAACGGCGATTGTGGCGGGTATTCCAAGTCGGCTTATGAAATAATAAACCTGCTCTTAATGGTGGATATTGGGAATGAAAAAAAAATAATAACTAGAGAAAACTTGTGACAAAGAAAAGACAATTTGAAGGTCTAAGATTCACCAAGTTGTTGAGGATTCCATAGATTCATTTATTTTGGGAGAAGGGCTGAAATTTTTTATGCGAAAAACTGGCAGAACAATGTCAAATTTTAACAGCGTTTTTACTAAAAATTTTGGACGTTTCTACAAGGCATGAGCCAGGAATCTACCTTGGAAAAATTGACCGAAATTTGCAGCAAATTTCATCAAAATCTGGGTGTTGCACTTGCATCATTCCCCTGTCAATATTATCATCCTTACAGGGGAAGTACTCCAAGTCCGACGCTCAGATTTTCTTTAAATTTTACACACACGTCGGGTGTGGACTAAATATCAATTACTGAAAGTTTTAGCAAGCGCTTTGCTGGCGCCGCCGAGATATCGAACGATTTTTGCCGCCGAGATAGCACGCTAAACGTGGAGAGCGGTCAGAGAGAAAAACGCTTTTTGGCCATAACTTTGGCAGTTTCGTGCGGCAAATTTTGGTTTTTTGTAGAAACATTCTCCTTTACGGTAGAAATAGGCATGAAAATTTTCGTGCCGAAATTCGGCAAAAAGTCCTAAATTTTGGCCGACTTTCGATCCAAAAATCTCGGTTGTTTCTGCAAAGCGCGAGCTAGAATTCTCGCATATATCTTAGAAAAAATTATTCTAAATTTGTGCCAAGTTTCATCAAAATCTGAGCGTCGCACTTGGAGTACTTCCCCTGTTAGTTCTAATTTTAATGCCAACCCCTTCCATTACCAATTTTATACCGTAATTTACATTATGCATTCGACAAATCCTCCAATTTTCACAAACCCCATATTCGTTCCCATAAATCTCGCGCCGCTACTGCCTAATAAAGTGTTTTTGTAAATTTTGCGAACACCAGGCGAGCGCAGATCATGGAGAAGATCAACGAGCTGAAGCCGGTTTTTCGTCGTCTTTGCGCCGAGAAAATCCCTCAAATTCCGGCTGAGGGAAATGATTTTTTCGTCGTGTTCGCTTTTTGTTTCATTGACTCATCCCCACCAAGAACACTTTTTTTCGATTTTTATCACTTTTTCTTTATTCTCGGCGAATTTTTAATGGGAAGATTGAGGGCTTTCGCTGGGATTGAGGTAGCCGAAGGGAGGGAAAAGTGAGATTTGTCGATTTGGGAGGGCGGAGAAGTTGTTGACGAGGGAATTTTCGAACCGAAAATAAAATTTACTTTGGGTAACGGTCAATATTTGGTCTTCGAAAGTTGTCAAAAATTTTTGATGATTTTTTATTTTTTTGAAATATCACTTGAATGCTTTGTCAAGGTCATACTTTATTTTGTATTGTAATGGCATTACTCAGAAGTTGCAACAAGACGATCTGGTATTTGTTCCTTAAAATCAGAAAAAAATCAAAATTTTTGCAATTTTTGTCGTTGAAATCTTGATGAATTTTGATCAAGCCGAAAAAGTTGTCTTTGTTTACGCTAAATTTCAAACTCTGACCAAGTGAAAAAATATTGTTTGATTTTAAAGCGTAATCTTTTAATTTATAGTTTTTGATGATTTTTCTAACTATTGGCTCAATTTCTTTTTTGTGGGCCCTCCTAATCCTTAGCCTTGATTTATGTCAAAGTTTAGCAAAAATTCTTTTGTTTCTGAAGCTGAACGTACATCGGAAACTCATTTTTGCTTCAATTTCGATTTCTCAAAAATTCATCAAAATATGCCCCATGATTCCGCCACAGTTCAAGACTATCCCCCCATCTTTTTACTACCTTTTCGGTGCGCAAAAACAATAAAAGAGCATATGAAAGTAGTGGGGGACATTATCAGAAAAGAAACTTGTTTTTGGCGGGTCGCAAAAAACTTACAATTTTGATTACTCGTCTCAACTCTTCATCCTCCAAGGTCGACGGCTAAATTAATTCTCATTAATCTGTTGTTTCTTTCGTTTGAGAATCGAAACCAAACAAAGGGAGAAGGGGAGAAGTAATGCCCTGTATTACAAGTAGGCATTATTATGCGAGGAACGCTTTTTGCGACTTTCAAAGCGTTTTTTTTTTTGGGATTCTTCTTTTTGGTGATTCTTTTTGGACCAACTTTTTCTTTTTGGTTCATAGGCAATTCTTGATACAGAAGTTCCATAAAAAATCATCGAAATGAAAAAATTGACTTTAAAAAATGTCTAGTTTTTTTTGATAAATTAATGTAAAAGCATAAATTTTTTAGGTTTTTTTTGATTTCCCGGATGAAATTTTATCATCTTTTTTTACTTTTTTTTACAAGAAAATTAATTTTTTACGCAAGATTCACAACCATAATGCCTAAGAAATAAATTTCTCTGACCATCTCTCCTCATTTGCCATAGTTTCTCGGCTGCAATGATCGTTGAAAATCTGAGCTGCACTTTCAAACTGTAGGGTCCATTTTCCGGTAATTGAAATGTGCCATTTAGAGCAAGCATACTAAATTTGAAAAGGATCGAAGAAATATTTTTTTACAGCCGTTCCTCCCGATTTGCTTTACGTCTGACTTGACTGTTATGTAATATTCCATTGATTGCGACACAAGTTTCCCTCCTCATTCCGTGGACCGTTTCTCATTTCGGACCCCGGCTCTTATCGATGTCTTTTCCGTTCCTCTTCTTTTTTTTTTGATTTTATCACAAGTCAAATATTGTGACCCTTTTTTCCGAACTTACAGATGGTCTAAAATCCACGGTCTGTTTTTATGAATGCTCGATTTTGGTTTTGAAACTGATCTTAATGAAATACATGTATGGAATCTATTTTTAATGATTTACTGTAGGAAAGGCTGATGGAATTGATCAAAATTAGACGGTCAAATATCAGTCTGTCGGAAAAATAACGGCGGATCGTCGCGCCTCGGAATCGCCCATCATCGCTTTGCGACTGCAAGCCGCGGCTTGGGATTTGGTGCGCGGCAGCGGCGAGGCGAGACATTTTTCCGCCGTTATTTTTCCGACAGACTGATATTGATGAAAATTGGCAATTTTGATTAGACCAAGGCCTGTGCCAGATTTTTAACTCGCTTTTTGCAGGAACGCTAGAGATTTTTCAGGTTTCAAATTAAAAAAAATTAGCGATTTTCCAGCAAAAATTTTTATTTTTTCCAAGCTTGGAGTTCAATATCTCCCAAAAAAATTGCCCTCCCCCTCTAGGATTCAATGATAATGTGGAAAGCCTTTTTTATCTGACCATCTCTCTTCATGTACTATGTTCTTACATTTGTAAACATCCTTAATATCCCTACGCTGCAAATCAAAATCATTTTTTCCATCGATTAATTTATGACCCACATAGGTCAGGTTGACAAAATCTGAAGCAAAAGCATTAAGCAAGCCTCGAGAATTTTGCTTGTAAAATGCTTTAGAGCCCGTTGTAAAGTCATCCCGATTTTTTGCCGCCAAAAGCAACGTCTCGCCCCCTCCATTCCCCCACTCATTTTTGCGTCGAACCAATTCTATTTTTGTACGAATTGGACACCAAAAAATTTCCCACCCAGTAATCTCTCCCCGGTTTCTCGGACCATTCACCGTGCAGTAGATTCATTCCCGACAAAGAAGGCGGATAAATCACTGCTCTTCGAGGCAAATCAGGCGGCCGAAGTGCATCCGAAAACGGGAAAAGGCGAAGGAAGGGACTGATTGCGGCGGCTGATTCATTCCATCCAAACAAAAAAACTCGTCCAACTGGCCGTTATGCAGCCCCATTCCAGCGGAGATGGGCGTCTTAATCGAGGGGGGCTACGTTGGGTTCCCATTATTGGCTTTAATGGCTAAATTAACCCTAGGGGTTCATAGCCGAAATTCGGCTTTGATTCAAGAATTTTCAGCCTCAAGATATTCGAAAATCTTATTATTTAAAAATTCTTGGCTTTTTCAAACTGTGAAGATCATTGTCTTTATATTCCCTTAGGTCCTCTAAATATTCCAAATATCAATTTCCAAAAATTTTAAACTCTGCTTTGCAGAAGCAGCCGAGAAATTCAGCATCTTTTCCAGATGCGAGATCATGGAGAACGAGGAGAGACGGCCAGAGAAAAAAATTTCAGACTTATCAGTACGATCCTTGGTCGAAAAGAAGTCTATAGAGATGTCAACTTCAAGCAGCCAAAAAGATTATATTTTTCAAATTTTCTACCTAAAGAATCTCAGCAATTTGCCGTATGCGATCAAAAATTCTAGCCAAATTTGTTGCCGGGTTTTCTAAACATGTTGGCCGTCTTATCTTTTGTGTCTCGCTCGACAATTCTCGAATGTTTCTGTTGCTGCTTTTTTTGAGTCATCCCCGATCTATTCAAAGATCTGATGGTCGTAGTAAATTTCAATTTCATTTTCAAATCACGTCACATTTGTCGAAAAGAAACAAGCGAAACCAGTGTCTGCGCTAACTGCCCTTTTTCGGAACGTTGTGTAAGAATTACAGAGAGTCACGGTGCGAAGATTGATGACGGTTATGAGATGAGCGTTTTATTCGAGTCCTTTTTTTCTTTGATTTTCCTATTATTCGTTTATTTCTTGTTGCGCCTCGAGACGGCCTATCCCTTATGAGAACCAAAATTTTTCCCTTGATTTCCGTGTTGCGAGGAGAAGAGTAATAAGCTTTCATTTGCGTTGATTTAGGGAGACCTTCCTTGTTTTTCAGAGAGGATTCCCTTGGTCGCTAGTTTTGGGGATCTCAGAAATTTTTGGGGGAATTTCCATCGATCCAAAAATCGAGATTTTTGGATCGGGTGTTGCCAAAGAATGGACAATTTACTGCGATTTTCGGTATAAAAATTCCTGCCTGTTGAGCATACTATATTCTTCAAAAAATCGAATTTTTCGAGTAGAAGTTATTAATGAAAAGCGTTGTGGCCGACTCTCCTCATTTCGTGTTTTCTCTCGCAAAGCAGGCAGTCGAATAGCTTGTCTTCCGCTATAAATAACTAACTAAAATTTTCAAGTTTTAATTATAAGCTGCTTAGGAAACCGTAGTCTATTTTTTTTAAAATCTGAATTAAAATTTTACCTCTAGGAACATTTAACGACGAGTGAAAAATTGGACAAAAAACAGATTTTGCCCCCAATAAATTTATGCAATTCAGAAACCATCGGCTGGAACTAACTGTATAATTGAAATTGATCCTCTTCATTCCAAACAGTTTCTTTTTCAGTTTGAAACTCTTCTTCTTTCCGAAATCTCCCCTACATTTGAGACCTTGTAAACCGCGGGCATCTGGCCCGTTTTAAAACTTGGGCCTAATCGCGAAAGGGGGTTGGACAGCCGAAGAAATCAATCCGGCATTCGGTTGGGATCACTGGGACAAAGAGAGCGAAAACGGGGCAAACTGGCCGAACGGGACACACACCCAGTTTGAATCCATATTTCTTCGATTCTTATGAACGAAGAGCTTTGTGCCGGCCGATTTTTTTGCGGGCTGTAGGGTTTTCGTAATGCAACTTGTCGGATTTTATATTTACAAGGGAAGTACTCCAAGTGCGACGCTCAGATTTTCCTTAAATTTTGCACACACGTCGGGCATAGGATAGATACCAATTCCCGAAAGTTTTAGCTCGGGCTTTTCAGGCGCCGCCGAGATATTGAGCGATCTTTGCGGCCGAGAGAGTACGCTAAACGCGGAGAGCGGTCAGAGTGAACAGCACTTTTTTGCCATAACTTTGCTAGTTTCGCGTGGAAAAAATTGATTTTTTCTGGAAAGATTACCCTCTATGGTAGAAATAGCCATGAAACTTTTCGTGCCGAAATTCGGTAAAAAGTCTCAAATTTTCGCCGACTTTCGACCTAAAAATCTCGGTTGTTTCTGCAAAGCGGGAGCTAGGATTCTCGCGTATATTTTAGAAACAATTATTCAAAATTTGTGCCAAGTTTCATCAAAATCTAAGCGTCGCACTTGAGGCTACGGAATTTTGATAAAAACCTCCCTCTTACTATCCGAAATAATAATTTCCCTCGAGTCCACAGTAACCTCGAACCGGCTTAAAACAATTTACAGACCATCCCCGCTCCCCAAATGTTTATTTGCTCGCTTATAAACAAAGAATGGGCATTGCCTCGGGCAACGGTCGTATTAATATTCGATATTAAAACTTGGTTATGTAAAAATTCTTTTCGTCTTCCGGCCTTCCATTGGACACAAAATTGCCCTTTATTTGCATAATTTTCGCGCCGACCGACAAAACTTTTTTCAAAACGGCGCTAAACGTCGGTTCGAAGGGACGCAAGACGAGTGTTATCAACAAGTCCGGTTGATAACCGAAACGTCGGTCAGGGGTTTCTTTGAAGTTGAGGGAAAGATTAGAACTTGATTGATTGAAAGGCAGTAAAGTAATAAGTGGGGGTTGTAAGGTCAAGAATTGGCTTTTGTATGGTATATAATAGGCATAACTGTGTGCGATTTTCCAAAATTAATACTACAGTATGGATATCGGACTCTAAAAATTTTATTTTGCGATTTGCCGGATTGAATATCCAAAGACCTTTGCGGACTCAGGAGGATGGGCCAAGAAGAGATTTTACTGCAATGTCCTCGTATATCCGAAATTTTGTAGTATTAAGCCCGGACAGAATGTCAAAAGTCTACCTAAAAATATCTAACCTCAATATGTAATGAACATTTGGGGAGCGGGGATGGTCTGTAAATTGTTTTAAGCCGATCTGAGGTTACTGTGGACTCGATGGAGATTATTTTTTCGAATAGTAAGGGGGAGATTTTTATGAAAATTCCATAGCATCCGCACAAACAAGGGAAGTACCCCAAGTGCGACGCTCAGATTTTGATGAAACTTGACACAAATTTATGATAATTTTTTCTAGGATATATGCGAGACTCCTAGCTCGCGCTTTGCAGAAACAACCGAGATTTTTAGATCGAAAGTCGGCGAAAATTTGACACTTCTTACCGAATTTCGGCACCAAAAGTCATTCCTTATCTTCCCCAGTAAACCGTTTATCTCCCATAATGTATATTCGCCATTTTACTCCCAATAAACTGATCTATCATCACCTTATACCCCTCTTTTTCCAGACTGTGCCATGACAGAAGCCGAGACCTCCGAACATTCCCTCAATCCGTCCGACGCCCCCACCAGATACACGGATGAGGACTCTACGCTAAAACCGGATCCAGACACCATCAAAATGTTCGTCGGGCAGATTCCCCGTCATTGGGTGGAGAAGGACTGTCTGGAGCTGTTCACCGAGTTCGGCAAGGTCTACGAGCTCAACGTGCTCCGGGATAAGGCCTCGCAACAAAGCCGGGGCTGTTGTTTCGTTACGTTTTATAAGCGGCAAGACGCAATTAATGCCCAGAATGCATTGCACAATATAAGGATATTGCCGCAAATGAATCATCCCGTCCAAATGAAGCCGGCGGATGTGGAGAATCGAAATGGTAAGAACCGTAAAAATTTTATACTGCGGAGATTAATAGCAGGCGCAAATAACATTTTAGACCCCAAAAATCGCAAGTTTTTATACAACGAAACTTTTTCAGAACGAAAACTCTTCATTGGAATGCTCTCAAAGACGATGACAGAAGACGAAGTCCGTGAAATGTTCAAGGAATTCGGCCAGATCGAAGAATGCACAGTGCTACGCGAAGACGGGAAGAGTCGAGGTAAGCGAAAAACTCCCTCAGTTCACGTTCCGTACGCGTCTATACATGTACAAACACTGTTGTAGCATTCCTTTTTTATGCTTTTTTCCGTTCGATTTTCGTATGTAGTCCCTTTTCGTACTCCTGCTTAAAAACGACCGGTCCGGGATTAGTTCAATGTGCTCCTTGAGCATCTAGTCTAATAATTAAGGTTAGTCTGATGGTATGGATGTTGTTTAACATTACCACAAACCGCTAAATTCAATTGGCTGATTTCCGCACTTTGCCTGCATTCGTACTCATTTTTTAGGGGGGATTTTTCAGGCCCGACGCAAACATTTGCACGAATTCAGATTAAACTTTTGTAAGACAACCTCTACTACAGTGACGGACCTGATCCAGTGGCAGAAAACGTACCATTTTGCATCTGGGAAGCATCAAAAATGTGGCAAAATGCTTCCCTCTACAAGTGAAAAAACTTCGTTTTGAAGGGCCCTTTTCCTCACAAAAAGCGCGGGCGCGCACTCTTGAAAATCGAAGTTTTTTCACTTGGAGAGGAAAGCGTTTTGCCACATTTTTTGATACTTCCCGGATGCAAAATGGTACGTTTTCTGCCACTGGATCAGGTCCCCCACTGTATTGGCCTGAACTAAATACTTTCATGTCTCTACTCTTCCCTCCCATTTCGTTTGAATTTGCCCGTTTTACTGAAAACCGTTTATCTGTTTTTTTAGGATGTGCTTTTGTGACGTTTGTGAGTCGTTCTTTTGCCCATCAGGCGATCAAAGCTATGCACCAGTCGATGACATGCGAGGTTCGTCAATGTGTTTGGATTATATTCTTATGTTTCGATTAACCTGGCCCTCGCTTCCAGTTTACTTTTACTAACCATGTTTTGGGGATCATTTACCAGCCTTGCTGGCAACTAAAACTTGACAAAAAGTGCTCCAAATGTAATGGCAAGGTTTGTACAGCTTTAACAGAACTTGGCCATCACATTTGGAGAGGATTTTTTTTTTGTTTCAACACTTCCAAAGTAGAAAAATATATGTAAACTTCGGATGTTTTCCTTAGGCTTTACGTTGTTTTCCTCTAAACCCCCTAAAACAGTAATTGCTTTTTAGTTATACACCTGTTTTCATAAAGATCTTTATTCGGTTATAGGGATGCAACAAGCCGATCGTAGTGAAATTCGCGGATACGCAAAGAGACAAGGAGAACAAAACCAAACAGCCAAGTTCAACCTCGCCGCCTGCGGTGGCTGATCAGAACGCGCTGTTAGCTCAGGTAATCAACGATCTAAAGCTTTTCAACAACGAAAATCATCAAACGAACCGAAATATTTTTCCGTTTTCAGCTTCTAAAATCGTCACAGAATGGGCAAAACAACAATATAGCCACACAATTGATGGGAATTAACACTCTCCTTCAACAGCCTGGGATCTTGAATCTTATTGGAACAGGTAATAAATTTACCATAGAACCAGCGGCATTACTTTATACATAAATCAGGATTTAAAAATTTTAAGTCATCTCGAGCTTGGCCAATGTCCAAACCCCCGCGACATCCGAAGGGCCCTCGAGCTCCCAAACACAGCCCTCTAAAAGTTCAGAAGGTATTTACAGTGTAGTTGCGAGTCATTACAGAACCTTGCAATGCAGTTGACTAACATTTTAATCAATCGTTTGAAATTTTAACCTACTACAAAATGAAGTGACCCCTTACGACTCTGCGAATTATAATAATACTCGCTTTTCCATCTAACCCGCCAATTTCAGCTCCAGCCGCTCAACTTCAACTCAACGCCATGATTCAACAACAGAAAGTCCTCGAACTTCTCAGACAGAATCAACAAACCAAGGAGCAGAATCTGAATTTGCAACAAGTCTTGATGTCTCAAACACAACAACAGTATGCCCAGTTACCTTCTATTAGTCCCCAACCAGGAATCTTCAACGGGTCAAGTAAGTTTTCAGTGTTTTCGCATATCCCTTATTGTCATGTATTATTTAACAAATGACCTCTATTTGGTAAAAATATTGCAACCTTAAACGCTAATAAATTTCAGCGTCAAGTTCCACTTCTCCCCAACCTCAGTACCAACCGTCAAGTTACGATGAAGCGGCATTGTTGCTGCAACAACAAAAGATCAACGCCTACCAACAGCTCAGTTACAATACAACGGCTGCCATTAATCCAATGACCGCCGTTCCCGCCGCCGTCAGCTCCCCTCTTGCCGCAACAGCCATGACCGCCTCCATTCAGCCTCAATTGAACTTAATCGCGCAACAACAACAAGCCCAGAAGGCGTTAATCGCCGCCGCCGGAGCTGTCAATAACGGACAAAGCAAAGGGCCGGATGGAGCGAATTTGTTCATCTACCATTTGCCTCAAGATTTTACGGATGCGAATCTGTATCAACTGTTCCACCACTTCGGGACGATCATCTCCGCCAAAGTTTTCATTGACAAACAAACGAATTTGAGCAAATGTTTCGGTAAGTCGAAACACACAAGTTGGAATCCGTTTTCAAACGTGAATCAGAGTAATTCAAACCCAAAAGATCAACAAAAATAAATCTGTGATATCTAACCATCTGTTTTCAGGCTTTATAAGCTACGACAACGCCCTCTCCGCCCAGAATGCCATCTCCGCCATGAATGGATTCCAGATCAATCAGAAGCGCCTAAAAGTCCAACTGAAACGCAGTAAAGGAGGCCAACCTTATCCCACACAGAGCGGCGGTCAGCTCACCTCCACCTCCTAAGCCATAAATGGGTTCAGTATTCCGAGAATTACAAACAACGCCTTTCTAGTCATTACGATCACGTAGAACAATATTAGATCTGATTGTATTTTTTCTCTAATAAAATTTTATGTTTGTTGATGTACAATAAGGGGTAAAACAATAACGAAGAGCGAATTTTCGAGAAGTAAAACATTCGAACACACTAAAATTTCACTCCCCGCATATATAGGTATCAATAGCAAAAAAAAACTCTGTTGCAGTGTCAAACATCCATTTTGCAAAGCACGAACTCATTGCGAAGCTTGGTAAACTCAAAACGCAACAAGATTTCGTCGACTCCAGAAAATTCATAAGGAATTACACATTTTCTGAACGAAATTTCTTAACAATGACACATTTTTTAGACAAATTTTCTTTCGTTGCAAAAATCTGTCTTCCACGTTTTTTAGGGCGAGGTTGAGTACTAATTGGCGTCGAATTACAGTGTTCTGATAGAAAGTTGAGTTTGTTGTTAGTTTCATGCAACATTTTCATCAGTTTTTTATTTTTGTATCGCGTTTCAAATTTTAGCTTGAACGTTATTTAGGTAACTCGACTAACTAAAATCGTCCTTCAACAGCCTGGGATCTTGAATCTTATTGGAACAGGTAATAAATTTACCATAGAACCAGCGGCATTACTTTATACATAAATCAGGATTTAAAAATTTTAAGTCATCTCGAGCTTGGCCAATGTCCAAACCCCCGCGACATCCGAAGGGCCCTCGAGCTCCCAAACACAGCCCTCTAAAAGTTCAGAAGGTATTTACAGTGTAGTTGCGAGTCATTACAGAACCTTGCAATGCAGTTGACTAACATTTTAATCAATCGTTTGAAATTTTAACCTACTACAAAATGAAGTGACCCCTTACGACTCTGCGAATTATAATAATACTCGCTTTTCCATCTAACCCGCCAATTTCAGCTCCAGCCGCTCAACTTCAACTCAACGCCATGATTCAACAACAGAAAGTCCTCGAACTTCTCAGACAGAATCAACAAACCAAGGAGCAGAATCTGAATTTGCAACAAGTCTTGATGTCTCAAACACAACAACAGTATGCCCAGTTACCTTCTATTAGTCCCCAACCAGGAATCTTCAACGGGTCAAGTAAGTTTTCAGTGTTTTCGCATATCCCTTATTGTCATGTATTATTTAACAAATGACCTCTATTTGGTAAAAATATTGCAACCTTAAACGCTAATAAATTTCAGCGTCAAGTTCCACTTCTCCCCAACCTCAGTACCAACCGTCAAGTTACGATGAAGCGGCATTGTTGCTGCAACAACAAAAGATCAACGCCTACCAACAGCTCAGTTACAATACAACGGCTGCCATTAATCCAATGACCGCCGTTCCCGCCGCCGTCAGCTCCCCTCTTGCCGCAACAGCCATGACCGCCTCCATTCAGCCTCAATTGAACTTAATCGCGCAACAACAACAAGCCCAGAAGGCGTTAATCGCCGCCGCCGGAGCTGTCAATAACGGACAAAGCAAAGGGCCGGATGGAGCGAATTTGTTCATCTACCATTTGCCTCAAGATTTTACGGATGCGAATCTGTATCAACTGTTCCACCACTTCGGGACGATCATCTCCGCCAAAGTTTTCATTGACAAACAAACGAATTTGAGCAAATGTTTCGGTAAGTCGAAACACACAAGTTGGAATCCGTTTTCAAACGTGAATCAGAGTAATTCAAACCCAAAAGATCAACAAAAATAAATCTGTGATATCTAACCATCTGTTTTCAGGCTTTATAAGCTACGACAACGCCCTCTCCGCCCAGAATGCCATCTCCGCCATGAATGGATTCCAGATCAATCAGAAGCGCCTAAAAGTCCAACTGAAACGCAGTAAAGGAGGCCAACCTTATCCCACACAGAGCGGCGGTCAGCTCACCTCCACCTCCTAAGCCATAAATGGGTTCAGTATTCCGAGAATTACAAACAACGCCTTTCTAGTCATTACGATCACGTAGAACAATATTAGATCTGATTGTATTTTTTCTCTAATAAAATTTTATGTTTGTTGATGTACAATAAGGGGTAAAACAATAACGAAGAGCGAATTTTCGAGAAGTAAAACATTCGAACACACTAAAATTTCACTCCCCGCATATATAGGTATCAATAGCAAAAAAAACTCTGTTGCAGTGTCAAACATCCATTTTGCAAAGCACGAACTCATTGCGAAGCTTGGTAAACTCAAAACGCAACAAGATTTCGTCGACTCCAGAAAATTCATAAGGAATTACACATTTTCTGAACGAAATTTCTTAACAATGACACATTTTTTAGACAAATTTTCTTTCGTTGCAAAAATCTGTCTTCCACGTTTTTTAGGGCGAGGTTGAGTACTAATTGGCGTCGAATTACAGTGTTCTGATAGAAAGTTGAGTTTGTTGTTAGTTTCATGCAACATTTTCATCAGTTTTTTATTTTTGTATCGCGTTTCAAATTTTAGCTTGAACGTTATTTAGGTAACTCGACTAACTAAAATCGTAAGTCTTGCTAAAATAGCGGTTATGAAACATCCGGATAACGTTTCGCACTATTATTCAACGTGGTCTTGGAGCTACTGATTTCCGGATATTGTTTTAGGCATATTTGTGGTTTCTTTAAAATTTGTATGTGTTTCAAACGCGCCAATTTATATCGATTTTTTCTGAGACGGTATTTCATAATTTTAGCCACAAGATGGTTGCGCAAAACGGGCAGAAGGAGCCGGAGAAATCTTTGAAGACTCCAAGTCTCCGCTCCAACATCATGAAGGAATTGCCGAAAAACCTTCCTATCCAAAGTCAGCTCCACATGATCTACAGAATGGACCCGGCCTCTCCGAACTCTCCAAAAATTTTCGGGAGAAATGTTGTCGATTGGGCCCAGATCTTGGAGTCACAAAAAGATGGGACACTCTCGGAATACATGAGCCAAAACGCTCATAGTTCGGTAAGATTTCGTTCAGGTTTACGTTTGTCAGGCTTGAAAAATTGTTCGTGCATACGCGTTGTATGTTTTGCTCCTAAAAATACGAGAGGAATTTTGTGTCATGCTTTACATTTTTTCAGCCCGCCGCAATGTCCTCGAGTAGTTCGATGGTTCCACAACTAATTAAAAGACCGCCAAAATTCCCAAACCTTACGAATCTGCAAGAATCCCCGACCTTTGAGCAGATTCATCAACTGTATGAAACGGACATGGAGAAGTATGAGAAGTCGATCCATCCGGATGAAGGGTAAGATCTTTATTTCGTTTCATTTGTTTTTTAGGAAGATCTTTGTTGGTGGATTGAGTTGGGACACCACTGACCAATCATTGCGCAACTATTTCCGCCAATTTGGGGAGCTGACCGAGTGCCAGATCATGAGAGACAAAAACACTGGCGCAACTCGGTAAGAACATTTAACATTGTGTTTCTATATATTTAGGGGCTTCGGATTTGTGACGTTCCTTAATCCTAAAGACTCCAAGAAGGTCTTCGCAAAGGGGGAACACATTTTGGACAGGAAAAAGATTGATCCTCAACCGGCCATCAAGGAAATTTCGCCTGCTAGATCTTCGCGCAACATCAAAAGAAAAGTCTTTGTGGGCGGGCTGTCTCGAAGTGCCACTTTGGAGGACCTGAAGAATTACTTCTCTCAATTTGGAAAAGTGGAAGATGCTGTGTTGAAATACGATTACAATAAACATCGGCATCGAGGTAAGCGATGATTGGTAACATAAAAAGTTGAACTGTTTTAGGCTTTGGGTTTGTCACCTTTCAAAGCGAAGAGGAAGCGCAAGCTGTTGTGGAGAGGAGACATCATATAATTTGTGGGAAGAAAACCGAGTGCAAGGAAGCACAGCTCAAGGCAGAACTCGACAAGAGCGTGACGTCCCCACAAGCGGTGTTGAACATGCTGAATGCCTATAATTTGACGACGGACGAGTTCTCGCGTAAGTTTTTATTGTTTTCGGATGAAAAAGCATGGTTTACGTTTATTTCTGATATTGTACTTGACGTTTTCAGAGCTGGCCCAGCGTTTTGCTTCGATGAAGGCAGCTCCTGCTGATTTCCAGCCGAATTGTAGTCGCTTCCCACCTCCAAGCACTCCACTCACCCACAATGACGTCATGAGGACGTTGGTGAGGCCACCTTATCTTCAGCCCCCACCTTCTCAACCGATCTCCATCCAGAATACTTTTCCCAATTTCTTCCAAACCGAGACCCCTCCCAATCTTCTCCTTCAGTTACCATATATGAGACAGTAATAGGAATCGTATGTCTTTATATGCCCCCAAATATCGCTAATCAAATATTAATCAATTTTCATATATCATGCCTCGATGTTCACATTGTTTTTCTCACTTTGTATCATTTTATTCATCATATTTAACCTCCTAAAATAGTTGCAGAATATTGTTTATAACGGTTTCAATTATTTTTGCACTATTTACTATTGCTTGGCCCATCAGAATCAACGTGAGCATCGTTGGGTTAAATGTTTTAACTAACTTGTTTTTTTGTTGACCTCCTCATGTTGATCTTTATCTTTCATTTTTGATATTTTTTGTTGTTAAATAAATTTTAATTTTGTTTACCGAGTTTGGCCAACTAGTTTGGAGCTAGATTTATGTTATTTACAGGAAATTCGTAACAAACGGAACAATAGAAATATTATGTCGCTAAAATAACATTCTAATCGAAACGATTACGAAAAACGAAACCTTGTACGTGCAGAAAACCCGTAAAGTCTGCATAAATATAATTTTGGGGCTGTGAAGATAAAACGAAATGGTCTAAAGACTGTCTATGTTTTTGTTGTGTATGGCTGTGAAGACAAGATTGAAATGGCAGAAAATGCGCGACAAATATTATTCGAAAACGATGTGGATTACAAGAATAGACCGATATATCAGTGTTTCTTTTTGATATTACAGGAAAAGAGGAGGATTTTACAGTCGATTGGACTACAGGAGAAGGGCGGCGGCGACTACTTGACGCCCGCCTTTTTGGTGCTGATATCGTTGACTGGCGCGTCTTTGGAGGTGGGCGACTGCTTGTATTCCTCGTCTTCCTCCTCTTCTTCGTGGATCACCGAGTTCCGACGAATCCCACCCGTGCATTTGTAGGAGTTGTTGTTCTTCAACATGGTCACCGCGTCCTGAAAAGGTATGATAAAGTAATTTTTTTTATTTGCTATGATTTGAATCAAGGATAAGGCTCATAGAACTGCCCCGAACACTCTCGGATCATAAGAGTAAAACGCAATGTTAAAATACGACTTACCCACATGGTGTCGGGCAAAGGCAAGTCCCTGGTTTCAGGCAAGAAATAGATGAGAACACCGGCGAATAACGAAAAAATACAAAATATTCCCATGGGGACCACTGGCAACGTCACATCGGACAAGATGGCAATGTAGCCGGATGCACCAGCACCAATCCGAGCCACCATTGAGCACATCCCCACTGCACTATTCCGAATGACGGTGGGATAAAGTTCGGAGGTGAAGATGTACAAGATGTTGAAGGCACCTTGGATACAAGCTTTCCCGGCCAACATGAAGATCAAGGAGAACTGAAAAGACATTCAATATAAAAATGGAGACGGTACTGCTTTTAATTAGCTTTTTAGTTTTTTCTAGATACTTACAGTCATCTCTTCCTTGAGACTAGCACACATGGCAATGAAAATAAGGGTACCCGCACTAATCAATGTGATGACTTGAGACCGTTTACGGCCAAATTGGAGAAGATAAACGCATGCCAACAGAGTGGGCAATTCGATAGCACCAGCGATGGCATTGTTCAGGAAGAAGTTACCAACAAACATCGATCTGCCGGGCGAACTCTGGAAAGTAAAGGTGAGGTTTTAACGTAAATTGGGTTTAGGATACTCAGGCTACATGGTGGACAAATTAAATCAGTCAGAAGTTGAAAGCTGGCTTTAAAAAAATTATAAGACCTTACTTGATCCGACAACGCGATGACAATTCCATAGTACACTAAAGCGGTCGCGATCCAGACGATAAAGATGATCAGGTTCCGGAAAGTCATTGCCTGCGATTTGAAGGTGTGTAAAAAGTGTGGTCGCTGCATTGTCTTGGTCCATTTCCTCATCTCCGCATGTCTGACCAGCTCTAGATCAGATGGCAAAGAACTGTTGTTCAAATGGCATGCTTTTCGGATAATCTTCTCGGCTTCATCAACTCGATTCATAACAATCAACCATCGAGGACTTTCTGGCAGATGATGGATAAGGAAGAGCGCTAGGAAATGGAGAACTGTTGTCACCATCTGGAAATTGTATATTGTACAAGAACGAATGATTGAAAAAATACGGGAATGACAAGCTTACCTGGATTCCAACCCATGACTTGCAGATGTAAGCGACCAGCGCCAAGAAGGCGTATCCACAAGCCCAAGGGGCTTGGAGAAGAGAACCCACAATCGATCTGTACTTTACACCCGTAATTTCCATACACATAACATAAGCGGCAAGATCGGCGGCTTCGTTGCTAAAATAAGGAACAATACAATAAAGATGGAAATAGGAAAACGGATGGGAGATCAGACAAAGTCTGGATTTCAATAATGAGAGAATAAGACGTCCCGGCCAAAGGAAAAGAGATCAATGACTATGAGTAGACCAACATGACGGAAGGGTGAAGGCAAAAAGCTTACCATACAGCCAGCAAGAATCGAACAACCAGAAACACCTCGAATTCTCGACTGAATGGCAACAGAAAACCGAAGATTGTGGATAGAACACTGAACCCATAAATGGCGCTCTTTCTTCCATAACGGTCCGAGACAAAGCCTCCGGCAATACAACCAACCAGGTAGCCCAATGAGTAGGACAAGTGGACGTGCGCTCGACTCCAATTATCATCACAAACACGATGCCATTGCATTACAACGGTGTCTTTCATTACTGATTTGTCGTAATCCCAGGCCTGAAAACGTGAAATTGTAATTGTTGAACAGAACAAGAGTCATCGGGGAAACTTTTTGAGATTTTTAAACGGCTTTTCTCACCTTGCATCTGTCAATCTTCAATGTTCGATTGCGACTGGCCGCCAGCTTCCTGGCCGATTCAAAATCCATCCTGAGGTACTTTCGATACTCGGAATTCGGCAGTCTATAGTAATTACATTGATCATGCCAGATCTTCCCCCTTCTTTGTCGATTCGAAACCATCGGAAATGCAATCCCGCTGTCAATGGCCTTCTCCCAAGTCCAACCGGGCCCAATGTCATTCCGATGGGATTCGATGTAGGCCTTGGAAAAGGATGGGATTTTACACCAATGATCGGGTTGGTAGGTCAAGTAGACCACCGACAAATTGAACATGGCATGTGGAACTTGATGTGCCGAGATCATGATGTAGATTATAATCTGCCACATATTACAGCCGCCAATTATTTTGAGGATTCCTTCGAAGTCGATATCCGTGAGATTTCGGGACCGCTTCGTCTTGTATTGCTTTTGCATTCGATAGTGTTGCGCGTTGATTTCCAGTTCACTTTGGTTGCGAACTCGGTTTCTAAAAGATGGTATGGTAAAAGTACTGTTTTTTAGATATGATGACCTTTCAAAAATACGACCTTTTTACCGGCGTCTTAACACAACTCCTTACCCTGTTTTCGGATCATTCACTTTCTCCTCCTGAACTGTTTGTTGCGACTCTGTCTCGGGTTGTGGACCATCGAAAAACAGGATCGGTTCGGTTAGCGTTGGATCCGATTGGACGAAGTTTTGTCCCAGGCTCATTGGAATTTTAGCGGATCGAAGATCAACCTCACTCTGGACATACACTGGAGGTGGATGAACGTATTCCGCGTTGGCTGAACCAACACTCTCCGTTGAGACGGCAGTTGTTGGGAAGACATTATTGGCAGCCGGACCTCCATTCACAACAACAAAATCATTCAAAGAGACCTGACTGATGGGCGCGGTAATGCCGGGAACCGAATCTACTGGCTTTGTGGGGTTGAGGATTCCAAAGGACGCTGAGTGGTTTTGCTAAAAGATGAGGTTTTTATATTATTTCTTGAATTTTAGATTACCAAAAGCCCTGAGATCTCTTAAATACCACCCAGTGGATCCTGCAGGTATTTCACATCATAATTTAAAGCCCTAAACTCCAATAAAGAAGACTTGAAGGCACTTACAAAAGGTTGTTCTGCCGGTGCCGGTGATACTGGAGTCACTCCAGCCGAGGAGGTTGAAGTCGATGGAGTGGAGAAGGGACCACCAACTGACGAGGAACGTCTTCTCTCCAGTCCAATTGGTGCCGCATCCTCCAGAAGACGCTGCGTGGACTCCGTGACCTCATTCGGAGCGGGCGGAGGGCGATCTGATCGCATTTCGAGTTCAAAAACTTCGCGACGTCTCGGTGAAACTCATAGATGGAGCTGCAAACAATTTAAAATTTTTTTATCGACTGTTCGCTATGAAAACCCGATAGAAACTTTTGTAACACACTACAAAATGGCAATAAGTTTCTTGCTGACCAAAATAAAAAACGTTCGCGAAAACAAATCAAGTCCAGCATTAACCCGACGCTCCCGACTTCCGACCCCAGCCAATTGGTCTGGAGATTGGGTCTCATAAAATCGATAACAATCCGGGGGGAAATAATAACCGAAAAGACGCCAAACGTAATGAAAATGTTTTGGGCATTTTGTTTAGGAAAAAGCTGTTAGGTTCTTTAAACAATTTTTTCGCTTTTTTTCTCTCCGTCGCCCTTTCTTTCTTCCCTTTCTCCGAAGACAAAGATTTATATTATCGAAGAGACGACCCTTTTCTGTGCCCTTTTTTTTGGCCGGTCATCGTTTAAGGCGCATGTGACATTGTGTCGGAATTCTGGGATTTCTTGGATTAGAACAACTAAAGAAACCTTAAGTGGACAAAAATGGGAAAATATTTGGCCGCGACACTCGTGAGCACATCGGAAGAGACTTTGGACTCGTAAAGCCCTAAGGGCATTTGGTCAGAGGGTCTTCAACGATAGGGGTGTAATCAAATTTTGGAACAGGCACTTATGATGACAAAAGGAGTTCGTAAAGTGCAAATCTATAAGGCTGAAGTTAGTTTCTCTGACGAGGGAATGGTCCCAGTCATCTGTGGGATCCACAAATGAGATCACGATTTTCTGAAAGAGAACGTAAGGTTTAGTAAAAATCCGTTTTTACTTTCTGCTGTGGAGCCTTGAGCGACGAGAAATGTCGACCGAAAGTTTTTACAAAATTTCCCTCTTCATCGAAATCGAAAGTAAAAACGGGTTCTACCAAAATTTACGTTCTCTTTAAGAATCTTGTGGTCTCATTTGTGGGTCCCACAGATCGTTGGGACCGCTCCCTTGCCAGGAGCTTAGCGCATTAGGCACAAAAAATATTTTTTTGGTTGCTGAATAAAAGACCGCGTTCTTCAGGGACCTCAAGATTTTTATCTAGAAATTGCAGAGAAATTCGGCATTTCCTTCGAATTCTCGTTGACAGAATCCACTTACACTTTAGCAGATCAAACAAGAGCATTCTTTATCGGCGACTCATTACTCGGCGATTTACAACCTTTCTATTTTTGGAAACGAAAATCAGCAGATTCCCCATCCAATTATTTGTCCAAAAGAGTCGCAAAATCGGAAAACTCAACGTTGACCTTCTCTCCGTAGGATGTTCGGACAAACAAGAGCTCCCGGCCCCTACTCATAAGGTATTGTTTAGGTCGAAAACATTCGAATCCCTAATGCTGTCGCATGTTTCGAACCCAGCCGTAAATGTATTCACAAAAGAGTTAAAAGTGCAAGGTGAGAAATGCGATATTTCCCTTCCCCCAAAAGATTCAATTCGACCAAATTTAGAAATGCGATGTACGAGGAAATTAATACAAAAAAATGCCCGTCAATCACACGACAAAACAGCATTAAACTATAACAAAAGTAGGCGCGGTTATTGTCTGAAAATAGGATCGGAAAACGAGCCCTTCGCCCAACGGGTTATACTAATTAAAAAAGAAAAGTGCAACTGTTCCTGATGTCTCGTAAAGTGGAATAAAGATCATGGCCAATAATGTTCGTCTCACAAAAACGAGTAGCTGGAACGAGTGCCCAAACGATATGCAGAGATTTTGATGAAAATCGGCATAAAATTAGGTTAAAGTTTTGCAAAGACCTCGTTAGGAAGGATGATTGAACATCTTGGACGTTCTGACAAATAACGAACTAAGTTCCTAGAAAATGAAAACTTGGCCAAGAACACGGTCGGAAAATTTTAATGAACTTGCAAGTGCTTTGAAAAAGTTCCTTGCCGATAGCAATGTCCAAAAAGTTGCTTTAACCATCTTCCCGATACCTAGAAAAATGCCAATCGTTTTACAAAAATCCAAAGAATCGAGACGTTAACCCCGAAACACAGACTAATTCTATTGTTTACAACGTCCAAGGAGATCTGTTTTTGTCTAAAACGCAAATAGTCGGAGACGGAAAAATTTGGGCGCAAAAAGTCAAACAAACAACGAATTTGGAGGCCAAAACAATGTGTTCAGAAATTTCGAATAATATCGGGACACTTCCAGGATGTTATGCGGAGCTGCGGACGGCAAATAAAGCCGATCCCAGATAAGCGAAGACGTTGGGAGAAGGGAAACTGGATATTGTTTATGTCCGAAGGCGTCTGGACCACGAGGACGACGCGAAAAACAATTGAATGGGAGAATTCCGATTAGATTGGGCTGAAATTTCAGGATAACACGAGTTCAAAAGTTATTACGGTGCTAGTGTGTCCGTCAAGTCGCTGGACGAATAACATTTTGTATATGAGGTATTAAAATTTCCATAAGAAATACAGGGGCAGAGCTTTTTTGGAGGAAAAATAAGAAGACAATTCTCAAGGAATACATTCAGATTTGCTTCCAACTCAACACGAAATTTTTGACTAATTTCGTGTTTGATTGCCTGAAATATCTAAATTTTCCGTTTCAACGGCATTCGAGATGTTCAACGGTCTGACGAGAGAACATTCGAAATGAGGAGAGTGGGCCAGACAAAATGGGTTTTCCTAAATCATGGTTTCCATTATGGGCTAAAAATTTCTTCTTTGTGGAACCGTCCGAATCAAAAAGTTACAGACTAACAAGGAACGACCCCAAGTGCGACGCTCAGATTTTCTTTAGATTTTCCACACATGTTGGACATGAACTAAATATCAATTCCTGAAAGTTTTAGCTCGCGCTTTGCAAGCGCCGTCGAGATACTGAACGATATTTGCCGCCGAGGGAATACACTAAACGCGGAGAGCGGTCAGAGAGAAAAACCGTTTTTGGCCATAACTTTGGTAGTTTCGTGCGGAAAAAATTATTTTTTTTTGTGGAAACATTACCCTTTACGTTAGAAATAGGTACAAAAGTTTCAGTGCCGAAATTCGGTAAAAAGTCTCAAATTTTCGCCGACTTTCGGCCTAAAAATCTCGGCGGTTTCTGCGAGGCGCGAGCTAGGATACTCGCATATATTCTAGAAAAAATCATTCTAAATTTGTGCCAAGTTTCATCAAAATCTGAGCGTTACACTTGAGGTACTTCCCCTGTAAGTTAAATTTGCCTATGGGCTTCCTCACTCCTTCTTATTGGAATAGGTCAATTTGAAACTCGGGTTTTCAGGTTTTCAAACAAAATAGTCCTTATAAAATTTTCTATCTCGCCAAACCCAAAACAGCGGACCTGCAACAAATTTCAACTCGAAACCATATCAAACCCTTTCCAGAGCACCAAGCTCTCCGTATGTTCAAATAAACGGATCGGAGCGATAAAAAATTTCAAAAATCAAACTTTCCCTTTCCCTCTTAATTCGCTGATAAAGTTGGAAGAATTTGAGGGGAAATGGAAAGGAAGAGACTTGATAAGAAATTAAGCGGACATGCAATTGGCCCTGGGCAGAGGAGGAGGAAAGGGCATGTGAGAAACGACATGAGGGAGAACAATGCGATGCTCATTCCAACCGAAAAAATAAACCATGTTTACTCGAGACTCGGCGTAGCTGGAAAGGAAGCACGAACTAGTTTAACCGAATTTGAAACGACGTACTGAGCAAAAAAGCAAAAACTAGAATTTAAGGTTTCAATGAAAATTGCCACACCCTTTGATGATTAAAAAAATTTTTAAGAAATATATGGCTTGAAGAGGAGTTCCACGTACATTTTCATAAATTTAGAACAAAGATTTTATGTAGCGCTTGCCATGTGATGACAATTTTTCTCGGCTTGCAAAATGAAAACATCTTTCGATTCAAATGGGATCATAATATTTACAGATAATTGGATCAAAACAAATAATTCACTGGCATGAGCCCAATAAATCTAAGGGCCGATCTGAAGCGATAAATCTCACAAAAACCCCGAGAAAATACACTTGGACCAGCTGTTGGGAAAAATAGAAAATTAAGATTGCTGAATTCACAACCACCCCGTTTATTGATCTCTGTGTATTTGAATATCATGCAAAGAAACTTTAGTCCTCTCGACTTCCAAATGACAAAAAGCTGGAGGTGTTGTTCTTGAAGCTCCGTTCTCCAAACAGATCAGTGAATGGGGCTTGTTCTCGAGTTGCCGAGTCTTCTGATTCCTCTTGTTTTGTGCGTGTGAACTTAGCGATGACAATGCTGAACACACCGGTGAATAATACGATAATCAATCCGACAGTGAACAAAGGAATTGGGAGACCAATTTCTCGAATGATTTTGCAGTCGGCTAAAAATAGGGGCCAATACTTATTTCGAGACGAATTTATGTAAATCTCAAACATCGGAAAAAAGAATTACAGTTTTATAAACTAAATATTTAGCAATATTTAACCACTCTGCAGGCTTACAATTCCAAAAAAAATATGTCAAAACTCCCAGTCCACTGGCTCCAATCAACGAGCCAAAAATATTCACAATTCCAATATTAATGAAGCCCTCAGGGCTGTTGCGACGAACCGAAAAAGGCAGCGCAATCGTCGACAAAATGATCCCAGCAATTCCAACGAAAACGGCAAACGTACCGATCCAGCGATTATTAGAGTGGGAGAATTCCTGGAAAATGAAATAAATGTTCATTGTCTTGTGCTGAACGAAGTTGTTCAAAGATTTTGAAACTTTTCAATGACAAAAACTGTCGATGTATTGTTGGTCAATTTACCTTGACGCACTCGCAGTCTCCATCGCAATACAGTGCGAACAATGAACTGTAAGAGCCCGGGCTGGTTGTAAACCACTTTGGCAAGGCGACTGCGACAAGAATGATGACTAATCCAAGCAAATGAAGAAATACGAACATGAATTTTAGACACTTTAGTGTGCTCATTTTTGAGAGGAAAATCGACCGGTCATGAGATGAAAAACCAATGAAATTGTTCGTCGAATCATTCTGTCTGCCGTTTGCCGATGATGAAATTTCGATGGAAAAATCTTTGGTAGATATCACCACTGAGCTTCTAGAGGAGGTCTTTCGCTACCTCGCTTGTTGAATCATCACCGTTGAAACTCGCCTTCATAGCACTTTAACATCAGCACGTGCGGAAATTTTATGCTCTCCATATTCCCTTTCTCTTCGATGTAAACAAAAACGGACCGAGCGAACGTGAAAAAGGCTAAGTTGGGTGCAAGAGAATCCCAGTGTTTTCCTGGTCTTCAACAAAAAAACAAAATAGAGATTAGAGAACATTGGAGCAGAGAACAGTGCAACCCCTTCGAAATGAGGGCTATTTTGGACGAAAAGACCGGAGTAAGTGTTTCAACTGACAAAAAGAATATCCCATGTGCATTTGACGACTTCATATTGCGTGTTGAATGTTGATGACCTCCGGCAAAAATGGAAAAATCACCTTTCACGTCCCAGTTTTGGCCTGCAATGCCTCCAATTTGTCATCATTACTTGAAAATTTCCAAAGGACACGTGCACAAGTTGAAATGGAATTTGTTTTCATGATCCTAAGACGTTTGGGAACTTGCTCATGTGTCTATTATGATGTTAATCTTTTGTGATGCAATCTTGCACCTTCCCAGTCCAACTTGTTTATTTTCTCCTCCAAAACATTCTGGAAACCTCTTTTCGCGAAAAATGATATGCAAAGAGGAAAGTCTTTTGATCTACGGCCTACTCAAGCGTTCCAGAACAAACTCTAGATCCAAACTTACAGCAGAACTGAGCTTTGCAAAAAAATTAAACTGTAGGATAAAGCACGTAATGATAATAAAAATATTTTAATTCAACGAACATTTATGTCGGTGCCGGAATCATTGGTAACAACATATTGCGAAGGGAACGTTCGCTTTTCTCTGCCACTCTCTCGCTCTACCGTTCTCTATCTTCATCCGAGTTGTTTACGCCGTTCTTTCTCGAAGCTCCGCCCCAAATTCAACGGGATGTTTCCTGAAGTTTCGGTGGCCCTATAAAAGGGCACAGTGCTGCGAGTCGTCACAGGAAAAACTTCCGCGTTTTAGAGTACAACACTTCATGCCTTTGGGTGGCGCCAATCCGTCGCTCCTATTACGGCCATGACCCCTTCCATGAGTTGGACCGAGTGATGGGCACCGTCCTCGACACGATCCAGCCCGCCCTGAACGAGGCCGGACGTTTGATTCCGGCGAATGTGGCCGGCTCCAGCCTCACCTACAGCAAGGAGGGAGATCTGACGTTCGCCTGCGACACCCAGGGCTTCAAGCCGGACGAGTTGAAGGTGGACATTCAGGGCCAGACCTTGCTGGTGTCGGGAAAACATCAGGAGGAGAAGGAAGGCGAGAAGTTGGAACGTCATTTCCAACGCGCGATCCGTTTGCCGAAGCACGTGGACTTGGCTCAGATCAAGTCGGAGCTGGACGAACAGGGCAAGTTGACGGTGTTGGTGCCGAAAGTGGTTCAGCCCGACCCGAAGCCGACCAGCATCCCAATCCAGGTGAAGAAGGCTGTCGAGGACAAAAAATAAATGAGGTAAGATTCTAAGATGTGACAATTTTAGTTTAAGTTTAAAGTTAACATTGTAATTTCTTTGAATTAGTTAAGCTGAGAAAATTTTATTTACACAGTATTAAACTATCTCATTTTAGCCCTTCATGGATCAAAGTTCAGCCGGTTCTCTTATTTCCCTCAATCTTCGGTAACTGCAATTCTCCAATTCTCTGCTACTTTTCTACAGGCTTACTTTGATATTTATTGCTGTATGTATTATCTATTTTCCCGTAAAATAAATGATATTTCGCCTAATAAGATGGTTTGTATGGATGATCCTAGGCAGAAATAGGGGTCCACTTCGTTTGAAAGGAAATTGGCAACCGGCAGATTTGACAGTAGAAACGAGGACAGGCAGTAAGAGGGGGCACGGGGAAGCCCTTGCTGATCAGTTCGTTAATTTTTTGCTTGCTTCCTATAAATAGTTTCGTTTATCCATTTTAAAAACCCACCACTAAAGAATGAATTTTTTCCATTATACGTCCTTCCGGAAAGTCGCCGGACTGATTTTTGATGTTTGCACTGTGCGAAAAAAGTCTGGGTGCGAGCGACAGCCGAAAAAAGCTTATTGCACGGTGCGAAAAGCAAGAAATTGCACAGTGCACTGCAGTGCAAAGTGAACTTTCGTTTTCTCACAGTGCGTGTCGCGGATTTCAGTCCGGCGACTTTCCGGACGGACTCTGAAAAACAACTTCCCACCCGCATCGTACAACATTTGTTCAACAATTCTGAAAACGCCGGGCGCAGTTTGCTAGAATAATTTTTTATCCAAAAAATTGTTTTTTATTTTGTGAATGTCAATTGCAAAGCAAAACTCGTTAATTAGAAGGTTTGCATCATGATTATCAGTGAAATTGATAGGGTCCGCCTTCTTTCGACGGAAAATACAGTTCTGGCGATTATCATTCTTCCTTTCTAGCGTATTTTTAGAATTCTTATCGCGTCCGTCAAAAACTTGCTCGAATTATTATACTTCAAAGGTTATTTTCCGCGTGTTTTTCAGCGAGATGTTTCCAATTTTTGGTCTGGCTTCGAGGGGAATGCCTTTATTCTTCAGAGGGCAATGGAGTTTACACGTGAGGATCTACTCTTTTTTTATTTGGTCTTTAGGTAGTGAACTAAATCAGTGCAAACTAAGCTGAATAGTTGCCTCTGCATTCCATATGATATTTGAATCACTCAGAAGGTTTAGTTCGTGTTTCTCGTGTTATCCTTCAAGTAAAACGTTTTTTAACATGTAATTAAGTTTTGTCTTTCAGCTTCCTCTGCAGTATTCGTCGTTCTTGTCCACTATGGCGCAGAATGAATTCACTCGCTTCTTGGACCAATCTCCAACTCCCTATCATGGTAAATTTTAATCCAGCTTTTATTGTTCTTGGTTTAGCTGTGAACTCCTGTGCAAAATACCTGCGGAAGAATGGATTCCAAGAGCTGTCGTTGGCGAATGAATGGAATTTACAGAAAGGAGGGCGGTATTATACCGTGAAGTGAGTATCAAGTTTTTTGAAGGATCCATTTTTTCTTTTAGGTACAAGTGAAATAAAAAATTTCAGAGCCCATTCGACCATAATCGCATTCGTTCTGGGAGGCAAGTACGAGCCGCAGAATGGATTTGTTGTCGTTGGAGCTCATACAGACAGTCCCTGTCTCCGCGTCCGTCCTGTTTCAAAACTTTCAAAGGAGAAGTTCAAACAAGTGGCGGTTTCCACCTACGGAGGAGGCATCTGGAGGACCTGGTTTGACAGAGGACTTGGGCTAGCCGGACTCGTGACTGTGAAGCGAGCTGATGGAAAGATTGAGCATTGCCATGTTGATCTGGGCAGAAAGCCCCTGTTGTTTATCCCGAATCTGGCCATCCATCTGGAGACTGACCGATTGACTCCCAAGGTCGATACCGAAGAACATTTGCAACCCATTTTTTGTCTAGATGATGGTGAAGAGGGCGCGGAGAAATGTAGGGTGCTATTTTTATTATTTTTTTTATTGTTTAGATGATCATCACGTCGAACTTTTGAATCTGATCGCACAGGAGTGCGGATGCAAGGTGGAAGACGTAATCGACTTCGATCTTCGCACCTTCCCCACCGAAAATGCCGAACTCGGTGGGCTGAAAAATGAGTTCGTCTTCAGTGCTCGACTTGATAATCTGCTTGGTGTGTACACCACGATTCATGGTCTTGTGGAGGGATCAAAGAAGGATGTGGAATTGGCTGAGGATACTGTAGCCAGAGTCGCCGTTTGCTTCGACCACGAAGAAGTCGGATCGGGATCGGCTGCCGGCGCCAAGTCGGCTGTTTTCGAACAAGTCTTGAGAAGATTGGTATTGAAGGGTATGTCTTTTCAATTCCTTGTTTCTGTTTTAGGTACCTCTTCTATTCTCGTCTTTCCAGATGAACCCACACCGAACGATTCGTTTGCACGAGCAATGGCGAAATCGTTTATCATCTCAGCTGATCAGGCTCACGCCGCCCATCCCAACTACGCCGACCGCCACGAAAGAAACCACCGTCCCCGATTCGATGGCTCAGTTGTTGTAAAGATCAACGCCGACCAGAGATATGCGACAACAACCACTTCTTTTACTGTCTTGAATGAACTCGCCCGTCTTGCCGAAGTGAAATTAACTGTAAGAGTTGTAAAATTGCTGTTTCTGTCAGGTTTTTGACAGTTTTTGATGGAATATTTGCAGAAGTTCGTGGTCAAGAACACATCTCCTTGTGGATCGACGATTGGACCATTCATCTCGGCCAATTTGGGATGCTTGACCATCGATGTGGGCTGCGCTCAGCTGGGAATGCATTCGGCCAGGGAATGCGGAGATACTCAATCCGTTGAGAATGCAATTAGGCTGTATTCGGTAAGGGAAATACATGATTTTATTGTGTTTTGTGTCTTGGAAAGGTTTCTGAAGGTAACTGAAATTTTTTCAGACCACCTACAACAACTATGGCAAGCTCATCGGCAAAATCGACCTCTAGTCTACTTACTGAAAAGTTATCGAAAATTAAATATATCTTAACAAGTGACAAACAATAAATATGGGTATCATGCAACCTATTTTCTTGGTTCCTTTTTGGTTTATTTTCATTTTTTCATCTCGAGAGAAGAGCTTTGTCCACTGCACAGTGCAAACCTCTAAAATCTGCACTGTGCTGGAAATTTCTCACTCCGGTAAAAGTCGCCGACAGAAGCCGGAAAAGCAGCGCGACAACAATTTTTGTTGCAAAAGTCAAACTTGAACGTAAACTCTCTCCAAGAGCGAGACAATTTACATGGGAGGAGACTTGGATTGCACAGTGCAGATGAAACGGAAGGCTTGCGAAGATTGAAGGATTTTTACCGTAATAGATAACTGACTGAGGGGACCGTCTTTTTTATACATTTATCAATTTATATTACAAGCTTGTGAAAAAAAAATTAAGGAGGTGATACAAAGAACGGAATCACGTCATCTTCCGCTTGAGCTAAGACATCTTCCAGTTTGAGATCGTGTAAGTCTGAGTCGGGACCGGGAACGATTGTTGTGGGAAGATTTCGGAAATCGTAGGTTCCTGATTGTCTAAAAAAAATCATCAAAAATTTTACAATACAATTATCCATCATACACAAAGTAAAGGACAATATTAACCACTTACTTCGTTGTCTTCTTCAAAGGCAATCGTCCACAGAGTTTTTGAAGAACATCAATTAGTGTCCGTTGATCTTCTTGCTTCTTCAGATCCAATGATAAGACTTCAAAGCCAGGAGCACTCAGACTGAGGGATGAGATTGTCTCTAAAGGTGGGAGAAGATATGGAGTGTGGGCATGAAGGATCGGGGTGTTCTCGTCCTGAAAAAAACGTGTATGTATCTTATATCAAGTGATCCCTGATACAGTGAGGGACCTGATCCAATGGCAAAAAACGTATCATTTTGAATCCGGGAAGCATCAAAAATGTGGTAAAATGCTTCCCTCTCCAAGTGAAAAAAAACTTCGGTTTGAAGGGCTTTTGAGCTCGAAGTTTTTTCACTTGGAGAGGGAAGCATTTTGCCACATTTTTAATACTTACCGGATGCAAAAAGATACGTTTTTATCCACTAGATCAGCCCCCCCCCCCAATCCTAATTTCCCAACCTACTTTATACTTAATCTCTAGTTTGGCTTCAATCGCATGATGAGATCCATCGGCTACCGTAACCAGAAACCTGGGTTCTATGGCGAGGGTCCATAGGAACCGGAAGGCTTGGAAATAACATCGATTGTCGTATATCGCGTGCCCATAAATGGGAAGGAACGAGATGTACAAGGAAGCAATCGACATATTCGACATGCTGAGGCCATAGCGTCCGTGCCCCAGGAACAGCATTCCAATGCACATGTTGGAGACGACCTGAGTGGAGAACAGATGCGACTCCTTGGGGGCCGTCAGGAAGTTCGTGTTCTGATTGCGGCATTTGCGAAAAGCTCGGATCAAGGAGACGTCTCCACTGCCCGCATTCACCTGAAACAAAAGGCTTCAAGTCAAGATCAGGCGTCTTTCAAGACAAAGTCAAACCCACAGGGGAAGTACTCCAAGTGCGACGCTCAGATTTTCTTTAAATTTTGCACACACTTCGGGTATGGACTAAATATCAATTCCTGAAAGGTTTAGCTCGCGCTTTGCGGGCGCCGCCGAGATATCGAACGATTTTTTTTGCCGCCGAGAGAGCACGCTAAACGTGGAGAGCGGTCAGAAAGAAAAGCGCTTTTTGGCCACAACTTTGGCAGTTTCGTGCGGAAAAATTTGATTTTTTGTCGAAACATTATCCTTTATGGCAGAAATAGGCATCAAACTTTTCGTGCCGAAATTCGGCAAAAAGTCCTAAATTTTCGCCGACTTTCGATCTAAAAATCTCGGTTGTTTCTGCAAAGCGCGAGCTAGGATTCTCGCATATATCTTTTAAAAAATTATTCTAAATTTGTGCCAAGTTTCATCAAAATCTGAGCGTCGCACTTGGAGTACTTCCAATGTCAGAAAAGATCATCAATACTTTCAAAGCAACTTACAATCGCCAAAGCGCTCATGATCACATTCTTGCACGCCTCCACGGCGTTCAATCCGGCCTTTGAAAGCATGAACGCAAAGCTGTAGCTGGGTTCGTTGGACAGCTGATCGAATGCATCTTTCTGAAAGAATACAGGCAAGTTATTTGAGTCACTGGAGCAGCCATGGACATAGGAAAAAACCGATTTTGAGTTTTAGATTTTAAAATGACTGTAGGCATCCTATGAACATAATCCTGAAATATTTTTGCCCAATTCCTGGATTAACCTACTGTAATTTACAATTTAATGATTTTACAGTAATCGACCATTACAAGAAAAATACTGATTATAAATGTCTGAAATTGGTAATACTTATGTTTTAGGCCATGCCCGTCATAACAAACACAGAATTTCGGCAGTCGGGTTACTGTAACATAGCGTAACGTGGGTTCGGCCGCACAAATTCGGCCCTAAAAAAGTTATTTTTCAAATGCAGTCTTTTTGTTTCACCATTCTCTCTAATGCTTGCCCATCAACTTACCAAGGTCCTGGTAACTTTCTCATTCCATGTGCTTGGATGTTTCAGTGCCATTGCGAAGCAGGCTCCCGCTTTGGCGTATAAATAGGCCCTGGCCAGCATTCCCAAGTCCTCCGTGCGCTTGGCCGGCTTCTTGGTCAACTTGAAGTACTCTCTGAGAGTCGGTGGAATCTGGGAGTCGATCCATTCATTCGTTTGGCCCACCGAATCATACATGACGAGGCATTTGGCGACGGTTCTCAGCAAAATAATGTCCGGTCTGATCAGTCCCAATTGATGAAGTTCCTCGGGGATGCCCAACTTCCGCGCAATGTTCTTGTTGTTTGTTCGGAGGTAGATCAAGGTGAAAGCGGCGCATGCCGCGGGTGCACTCAGATGAACGTTGACATTTCTGAGTTCAGCGACGTGTGAAGATGCGGCCGAGACGGAGGTCGATCCGGTTCCGCCATTAGCGCCTGCTCCTTCTGCAAAAGAGATAACCAATAAAACGATACAGAAAAGAAATTTTTGAATAAGATAAACAACAAATACTAATCGCTTACCATCTCCCACTCTATCCGATCTTTGTCGATGATGATGTTGATGGAGTTGTGGTTGATATCGTTGATCTGCTCGACTCATTCCACACGAACAGCATCCATGTTGTGCGAGCGTACAGGGATCCTTTTGATACGAGACGATGACCAGGTCCCGGAGTCCTCCGTTCAACAACAACAACAGCCTCTCATGGATCCGTAAATGGCTGACTTGGACGGGAAGTTCGAGCTGGGCCAATTCGTCGCCCTTGCACAAATTTATGAGACCAACCGCCAGACCGGCGGCCAGCACATATGAGTAGCGTTCGGAGCCCGGATCCGTCTCGAAGAAGGTCTCTTTGGACATTTGGTTTATCAAGTCGTTGGTGAGTTGGGCATGCATTGACTCGGCGAAGAGGTAGCCCAGCGAGAGAAGGGAGACGGTTTGGATGCTCGGTTCGATTCGGAAATCGCAGACTGTTGGCTGAAGAAGGAATGGCAGATGCGTGTAAAGGATTTTGTTCATCTGAAAAAAAGAAATGAATCTCTGTTTACAATTGCATCAAGGAGAAGACTAACACTGTAAAACATTCTCACTTACATAGACATTGGCCGTTCCTCGATACGCAACTGATGTTCCCAGCAGAAGGGCGACTACAACCATCTTATCGTAAAGGGAGAGGAACTCATGGAGATCATAGGGGTTGACACTCATCGACTGGCCCGAGAGCCCGGCTGCCAGAAGGAATCCCGCCAACACAGGGCTGCATTCCTTGTCCTCGCGGATCTTGTGGAAGACCCATTCCCAATCCACGACTCGCGGGCCGTCGTCTTCATTGTTGGGGCGCTGGAGATGATCGCGGCGTTGGAATTCCTGGATCTCGTCTTGAACACGGCCGAACGCCTGAAAATTGAAGGGTGAGGACATGACGAAGACGGGTATAAGTCGTCGAGATTGATACCATTAAGAAGTATCACTCTCCACTAAAGACTGTCTTCGAAGATAACGCCAATTACACTACTCTGATCCCACTTACTTCTGCATCCGCATCCAACACATTGGCCTTAGGCCGTCCGTACAAATGAAAGTGATGGTCCATCAGCTCCTCCTGCACATTTTTATTTCTCTCCGCATCTGCTCCGAGAATGGTGGACAAGCCTCTGGAGACGCCGTTATAAAAGTTGGCCCATTCCAGCATCTGTTTTTGGGCGGCTTTTGTCTGCGGGTTGTCCGGATTCGGGAATTCCAGCTTCATGTTGGATGGGGCCAGTTTGCCATTCAGATTCACCTTCTCGATCACGGCCGTTTCCATTGCTTCCGATTGTTGCGACTGGAAATGCAAAAGTGCGTAGCCGAAGGCTCGGGTAATGGTGCGGTAGGCCGCATTCTGAAGGAATTTCTCCTGGGCTTCGCGCAATTGCGACTCGGCAACGTTCTGTCCTTGGCGAAGGTCCTGAAACAATGAATTTGAGCAAAGGTTACCATCCACTATACAATATCAACAATATCAATCTTCAACCGCAAAATTCGAAACAAAAACTTCAATTTCTTACAGGAATAAGCACAGGTTTGGACGAATCCAACATGGTTGACACATTGCTGACCCGAATGTCCGTCGGCCACCGCATTCTCTCCCATTTCGCGATTTCTTCGCTTGTCGGTAAAAGCCTAAACACCCACAAGTCAATACAAAAATCATCTTCATCTATGCACACCTTAGTTTATTCCGCTGTGACGAGCTGAGAAAAGGTCCAGGCTCGGTTCGTTTCTCCGGGATAATCAATGATTGCTCCATCTGTTCGGTCAATTTCACAACCGGGTCTATCTTCGGTATGTCGATGTCCGCTTTCATGGTGAATTGAGCGATAAAGCGGGTGTTGCGCAGTTCGGGGCAATGTCGTTCGAAGAAATCGGTGAAATTGGGAAGGCCGAGGACCTCCGAGAGGACTCTTCCGACTTCACAAACACATCTGACCAGTCGCGAATTGTCCTTGTTCAGCTTCTCATAGGCCAGAAACTCCATAATTGATTTGAGAATGCGAGCCAAGTCTTCTGGAGTGAGATCGTCTTGTGGATTTTGATCGATTACAATTTCGGCGGACTCTTCCAAGGCATCCGAGTGATCCCGTCTATATTCGAGGAGTCTTCTGAGGCTCTAAAAATCATCAATTTCTTGTCAATTTCTACTGTGGGGGACCTGATCCATTGGCAAAAAACGTATCATTTTGCATCCGGGAAGTATCAAAAATGTGGCAAAATCCTCTTTTTGTGAGGGAAAAGGCGCGCCCTTCAAAACGAAGTTTTTTTCACTTGGAGAGGGAAGCATTTTGCCACATTTTTGGCACTTCCCGGATAAAAAATAGTACGTTTTTTGCCACTGGATCAGGTCCCCCACTGTATAAAACTTCATTCGGCAACTCATAAAAAATATTGGAGAACTTACATCCCCAAGTTCCTCCGTCTGCTCCTCCGTTCTCGATCTTTTCTCGTCAAAAAATGGTGTATTCCGTCCATGTTGGAGCCAGTCGCGACGTCGATTCACCTAAACAGGGCTTCTTTATTCTACGCCCTCTACTATCATTATCCATTAAGAAAATAGCTCACCAGACGCATGAAAGGCATTTCCTCCGGGTTAATCCCCGCCGTTTCCAGCAAACACTCAAACACGAGTCCCGCTTCGATCTCCATAATAACGTCCATGTTGCTTCTTGTGATTCGGAAGTTATTCTTTATCACCCAATTCCTCAGAAACTTTATCTTCCGTTCTTGTGACTCGATATTGGACAGGATCATATTAAAAAATTCATTGGCCACATTCGTCGTTGGTTCCACCTCTAGCAACACCCGGAACTGGAAGAATTCCGATTCGGGAGTGGACTGGCTAGTAGACGCTAAATAAAAACTTATATCGCTGCTTCGGAACCAACCCCTTCGTTGCCCATCCGATCCTTCCTTCGCCGGGCTCTGGGTTACCTGACCGAAAGAGAAATGAGCCTCGGAAGCCAAGCATCTCTTTCTGGGTGAAGTGAAGCCGCTTCGAGGCTTCTTGTACATCGGCTCCGAAGGCGTTTCACTCGAGGTTGTGGTCATTTCAACAATCTGCAATCAAAAAACAATTGATTTATTCTATTAGGGTGAACCAAAAAATTTTTCCGATTTTAATATATCTTTTTGTCCAATAATAATATTACCTAAACTGAATCTAAAATAAATAAAAAACTCACGGCTTCAAAGTCGAATCCTCCTCTTGTTATCAACTGCACAACCCTAAGCAGTTGATGATGAGGTCGGTCGGGTAAAAGAAATGAAGTCGCAATATCAGCGACCTTCTCCATGCCCGAATACATGATGAGGCCAATGGGGGTGCTGGTTGCCATTATCCACAACTCTCTTCCCGGTATTTGAAAAGCCTGGCAACCTTGCAGGGTTGTCATTTTAGTCAAAGAAGTTCCCGTTTTTGGATTTATCTCCACCACTTGCACATTATTCGCCCTTGAAATGACCAAATACGTTTTCTTGTCAAAGTCGGTCGTCAGGAATGCAGATTTAGCTTTCTTTGATTGATGAAGATCCTAAAAAAGATTTGTCAAACTAACAATAGAATAATCAGTCTACCTTATTCAGCTGCTCGATCAGATCTCTGTCCACCTTCGATCTACCTTTGGTCGCTCGTTTCAGAACGGAGCCGGGGATTTGGGGAGACTGCATGACTGGCAATCTGGACGGGCTTCTTGGTGCTTGCACTGACTTTTGCGCTTCATCTGTCCAAACGCATTCCAACGCGAATTCCACCGAATTTTCGTCGAATTCAACTTCCGGCTGTCCTGTGATTGCGCTCAGAACAGACGTGGCCGAGGTGTAATCCAACGGCTGTTGATATGAATTGTAGTTGCCTAAACATGACGAACAATAATATGGATAAAAGCTGAACTTACTAAAGGAAGAGAGCATGCGCATGGTCACCGCGTTTTCAGTGAGCTTCGGCTTTTCGTTGGTCTTTGGAATGAAAGGAATTGGAGATCCAGCCACTCCCGGGGTCTTGAGTCTCTTCAAAATGCTGTATCCAAGAGGTGTCGAAGAGCTCACGTCCTTCGACTGATTCGGCGTGCCGTACTCTGAATCTGGAAAGAATTCGAAAGTTTTGGCCTAGAGCCTTCAAAACCTACGAATACCAGAAGTCCCGGCCGAAAAGGGGAAAAAGGAGCGGTTTGCGGCCATGCTCAGATCATGCCGAGCAATGCGTTTCTCGTCGTCGGAACATCTTCTTATCGCGAATAAGCAGTTTAATCCTTTCTGATTGTCGAATCCAAACAAAAACTTTGTCTTTCCAAAGTCGGAGACAAATTCGAGCCGTTTTTGCGAGAACTGGGCGACAAGATCATCGTCTTTGAACCGGCATAGCACTGGCAAAAGCTCGCCATTAGGATGGGTAATTGAATAGATTGTGGCAGGTCCTCGGTTCCTAAACAATGAAGACATAAATTAACAAACTAAACTTACTCTTCATCACTCCGGCTGCGTACTAGCAAAAGACCTTCCTCGCAGCGAAAGCAGGCTTCGAACTAAAAAATAATATAAAATAAAACATTCTTCACTTACTTTCATGGGTAATGATAAGGAATGACATTCGTTCGTTTGTAAAGAGATCATCTTCAATTCATCTTCTGAACAGACAACAAGATGAATTCGGGGTCGTTCTTCTGTGCCAAAGTCATGGTAAAAGACCTGGAACATGAATAAAAGAAGTAATCAAGATAAATCCAACGACCAGTCCATAAAAAAGTTGCAGACCAATGTACTTACACTGTGAATCGGACCCGCAGTGAAATGTGTCCGCAGAAGGACATTCGTGACACCTCTGTAAACAATTGCTTTACTGCCGGACCAGTACACCCGTTCCTTGACTTTACCCGACTTCTCCAGTAACGCAACCTTCTGGCATCCCTAAAATAAAAACGAATAATGAATAACAAGTACAACATACCTCAACATGCTTTTGGAGCTGAGTCTTACGAGGTATTAGCATCTTCTCCTCATTCATGAAATTGCACAAGGAATCAACGGGTTATTTTCAACTTGGTAAGAAACTGAAATTTCATGGAGAATTAAAATTTCCTGTTGTTAACGGCATAGTCAAATGCAAATGTTACTGTTAACTCAAAATTATTAAATGAAAGAGAACAAACATTGTTTCAAACAACTGTAGTCTGGTTAGACTTTAAAAAACCTTTCGCTCGAAAATATTTCTGAAAAAAATTATTTTATTCGTCGCGCTGAGAGATTTTTTGCTGACGCCTTTTCGAGACGGCTTTCTTTTTTGTGTTCTTCTGACGTTCGCTTTCGTTTCCCTCTTCTTGCCTGCACCATGTTATGATAGGTTGTTTCTTTTTTCATTTCTCGTATTTTAGAATGTTGGTATTGAAAAGGATATGCTTTCACAATTCTTGCATCTTTCGTCGAACTGATGGGGAATATTTTATTCTAAATTTCATTGACGTGAGATTTGGACAACATGCTGACCGTCGTTTTGGTTCTTGTACTGTTTGAGATTGCCTTATCCTTTCTGTTTGTGACCATTAGCACTTTGTCGACCTTGACCAAAGCGCTCCACCAAGACCTTTCCCGAGGCTGGAAAGGATTGGGTAAGACGAAGAGCGTTGTGCAAAAACCCCTCTCGCCTCGTTTCCTCGGCCTTCTGACCCAAAGGAAAAGTGAGCAGCGATCGGTTTTGGGGTTGCGAGTATAGAGCATTCGCCCGGACGGAGACCCCGAATACAGACAAACAAAGGCTTTTTCCATCGCTTTTTGAGCCCGTTCCCCCCACTTCCCTCCATCCGTCCATCCGCAAGAGACCCACTGGGGACCAACGGGTGTCGCGATTGATCCCTGCCACAAGCGAATCTTCCGTTTTGGCTCCACGTTCCGAGTCTTTGACATTCCTTTTGATCTCCTTTGGATTTAGCTGCGTGAGATGGAAAGAATCGTCTAGTTTTTTTATATTTGGCAATAGCGACGTTTGTTTTATTTTTTATTTTCTTATTGGGGGTTTGAAGTTATCTTTTTTACATTCATTTAAAAATTTTTTTTTGGACTGTCTGACATTATCCATGATCAGTTCTTTTCCGTTTTCAATTTTGCAAAGTTTGGAAATTTGAGCTGTCGAAATTTACTCAATCACGCTGAAAGACGATCCGAAAAGTACTCCACAAGATTTGACGGATATTGATAACTTCTTGATTGATTTTTTGAATCCTTTCCCTCATTTTGTGTGTAAGGCCTTGTTGTTTCGTCTGTTGTTAAGTTTTTCCAAATTTTTGGTTTTTTTCGCGTGAAATCAGTATGACTCACTGAATTCGTTTACGTGAAATCGAGAAAGGATTCTTTTATCTTGTTCCGAAAACGTGGTTCTTCTCAGAACGATCTTCCAGTATAACTTTTTGAATGTATGTTTTTATTCTGGAAAGTCTCTTCCAAGTTTATTTTTAAATCCTTGATGACGAACTAGGTGTGTCTCTGGGATAGGTGGAAACAAATATTCTTCAAAGTTTGATATGTTATGAAGAGATTGAACGACGAATTGCTCTGTTTCCCAGCACCTTTGCGGGTTTATATTTACAAGCCGTGATGTCTAATCGTTACCTCCGCCCTTACAGATCTTTTCTCTCTTGTCTACCGAAGTAGCAGCAACGTCTCGGAGTCTGATTTTGAACCCAATTTATCCGCAGTCTGTCTTGCACACCCAAAATCAATGTCTTCTTACCGGCCATCCAATCGGCAAGACTCGTATATGTCGCGCGGTCCGAATCCTGTTGATAGGCCTCTAAAACAATTGTTTTCAAGCACCCAACGCCCCACACGACGCCCGATGCAGACCCTCAAATGTGTTGTGGTGGGGGACGGAGCGGTCGGTAAGACCTGTCTGCTCATTTCCTATACCACCAACAAGTTTCCCAGCGAATATGTGCCAACGGTGTTCGATAATTATGCGGTAAGTTTGTTTTGTTTCTTTGTTTCGGCTTTTAGGTGATGAAGAGAAAGGAATTAACCTTCACTTGTTTTAGGTGACGGTAATGATTGGAGGGGAGCCATATACTCTTGGGCTGTTTGATACGGCTGGACAGGAAGATTACGACCGCCTTCGACCTCTTTCATATCCACAGACAGACGTATTCCTCGTCTGTTTTTCGGTGGTAGCACCCGCATCGTTTGAGAATGTCAAAGAGAAGGTCAGTAGTTTTCTTTGGCTGTTTTCTCGTTTTTAGAGCATAAATGTAACACGAAATATGGTTAATTTGTCAACTACTCTTTTCTTGATGATTACTTATCTATTTTTCTTCGTTTTAATTAGATTTTTTAGTGGGTACCCGAAATTGCACATCACTGCGCGAAGACGCCCTTCCTTCTAGTTGGGACACAAGTGGATTTACGGGACGATATCTCCATCATGGAGAAACTGGCCAAGAACAAACAACGACCGATCACAACAGAGATGGGAGAGAAGTTGGCGAAGGAATTGAAGGCCGTGAAATATGTTGAGTGCTCGGCTTTAACACAGGTAAAATACAGTAACCCGCGACCTTCTTGTCTTTCGAATAAGATTCTCCGATTTGATATCATGCATGACGATTTCAGAAAGGTCTCAAAAATGTATTCGACGAAGCCATCCTGGCCGCATTGGAGCCGCCACCACCGGAGAAGAAACGTCGCTGTAACCTGTTATAGATGAAGATCACAGCCAGTGGGTGGTTTCTCGCATGTTTCAACGGTCCAACGTCTAAATTCATTTGCCTTACAAACGCCATCCAGCCTTCCCATGTTCCGATGTCTGTCCGAAGAGCGAACTGGGATTCCCTTCGAGGAACATCTAACAAAACTCTTTGAATTCGCCCTATGATTTGTAAATTTATAAAACAGGAATATGTGATGTACTCAAGTCCCGCGAAGACACGCCTCTTTTGTTGTTATAACACCCAAATATTTATTTTGTTTTAGATGTCGTTATGAACCAGCATCTTAGCTATTTATCAATAAATTTGTGTCTAGTGTCTTCGTGGCTCTTTTCTCTTTTTATCGGACCGTTGTACAAAGTGATCCACCTGCCCCACCGACTAATTATCTCTCCCTCTATCTGTCTTGTTTCCTTATTATATTACATGTTTTCTTGTTTGAAATCAACAATAAATCTATAAAAATCGAGGAGCATTTTTTTGTAAAACTCATTTCCAATACATAAATAACACAAATACAGGGTGGGCCACTCGAAACGGGTAAGTTTTTTCCTTGGATTTCTCCGCGGAGACTTCGCCGATTTTCCCGAAATTTAGATTTTTCTGTAGCTGAGACCCGCCATTTTTAACCGGTTGAATTTGAAAAAAATATATTTTGAATTGACCTTTCTGTGCCTTCCCAAAGTTTTGAAGAATTATTTTCGAGCCGAAACCGCTAAAACTTTGAAAATTTTTGGAATGATTTTCAATTGACTTTCTCGGACTTGGAAAATTTTTGGCTTTTTTTGGGGGAAATCGCGGAGTAAAAAGTTGCTAGTGCTCGCCTTAAACTTGTTTAAAGCAAGTTGAAAGCCACAGGAGGGTTGTTTGTATTACCATTAGGGCACGAACATTCAAAAAAAAAAATTCAAAAAGATTGCAAAAGTCCACACAATTGGCAACGAGCCCCAGCTCCAAGTCATTGAAGCTTGGAGCCCAGCCCGATTAAAGATAGACGATGTTCACGATCTGCAATTCGAGCTGTTCACGACTCTCATGACTCTCAAAGCTCCTACAAGTTTGTGCTGCGAGAGGAAATGGGCATTTCGAACTCAGATAGAAATATTAATAATCAGGCCGTTAAATAAAATTGTTTTTACGACAATATTTTATGGTTATCTGAGGTAAAACTTACCAAATTTCACCCAAAAACTCGAAAAAATGACCAAGTTTTCGAAATCATTCCAAAAATTTTCCAAGTTTTAGCGGTTTCGGCCCGAAAATAATTCTTCGAAACTTTGGGAAGGCACAGAAAGGTCAATTCAAAATATATTTTTTTCAAATTCAACCGGTTAAAAATGGCGGGTCTCGGCTACAGAAAAATCTAAATTTCGGGAAAATCGGCGGAGTCTCCGCGGAGAAATCCAAGGAAAAAACTTACCCGTTTCGAGTGGCCCACCCTGTATAATAAATAAATAGTTCGTGAACCCGTCGTCAGCTAACACGTAAAAGAATATTCGTCCATAAGGATGAGATGCGAATGAACGCACCATCCTTGACGTTGAAGCTTCTGTTGGAACTCGATGGGATCGTATTTGGACCTGAAATCATAAGACTATACCTTAAAATCTTCCATAATAGCCGCATTAAAAAGAACCTTACAAATTTCTGATTTCAAATTCCAATTGGAAGGCAGCTAAAATGATGTCGTTTGGAGTGGCGTCCTTCATAAAAGCGATAGCACCACTGGATCCGTTATGCCCAATCTTGCCGACAATCTTATTCTGTGCGTTTCGAGCATCAGCATCTTGATCGAATTGCAGAAGTTGCCTCAAGGGGCAGCCGTAGAAACGGTCTCGTCGTGTGAACTTGAAGATGTGGGTGTTTTCACGTGCATTCGCCTCCTTGATCGACAAGATACGTCCTGATTCAACATACTCGCTGTAAATCAAGTCGTTTAATAACTCAAAACGGGCGAAGAAACTAGCTGGAAAATGTATTACTTGGCTACAATCTTAAGTCGATTTTCATTGAACACATCGAATTCCAGGACCGACACAGCTTTGTAATTAGCGATCAAATGGGTTATTGTCAACAAAACAAACAAGATCCAGACCAAGGCCTTGTTGTTCTCGACCATCGGCAACATCAACAAGCTAAGAACCAGAGAGAAGAGGCCGACCAACGTTTCCTGGGACCCATCTTTGGCAGCCACATCGGCCAAGTTTTCTCGTCTCGCCTGAAAGAACAATTTCCAAGATTATAAATCAACTCAATACAGGACGGTATCGCTCGATACACATCTCAAACAGTAAAGAAAGATCCTACCTGATGTCTGATAATGGCCATTCGAGTGGCACCTCCGGCCACACCTACAATCGAGCGCATCAGCGAGGACAAACACACGATGACTACGAAATAAGACGGAGGAAACGTTCCGGCAAGGATGTCGACAAAGAAGGAGACATCGTTCAGGAGATCGGCCATTAACCGCCATCTCTTGCTGTCTGAAATGGGCGAAGGATCAAGCTGATAAAAAGGGTGACATCAATAGAATTCAAAAAGGAAATGATCATCGACAAGTTAACGAAAATAAAGAGACTGTTCGCACATTCGTCAAGAAATTTTTTTTTTCATACCAACATAATGAAAAAAAAATCTGTTGCAATCTTTTCAGTTCCTCTCCTCTCCTGACCGAAGAATTTGGAAGAGAATTTCTCTTCAAGTTTTCTTACAACAGCTCTTTGTCTTTTGCCGCGCTTACAGACTCCGCCCCTTTCCTTTAAACAGAACGGCTTAAACCAATAAGTTTTGATAAACAAATTAAAGCTTCTTTTTTCGATGAGACACACACAAAACAAGCAAGGGAGAACATACCCGAGTCCAAGAACGTGCCATAACTCCATGCAAAAATGATCCGTCCAATCATTCCAGCCCCATCCTTCAAGATCCATGAGAGCGCAGCCGACAAAACAGTGGCTGACTGAAGCGACACAGTGTTAGCCATGAACAAAACATATCAACAAACATCTAACAGGTAAGTTATAACATACCTGATCCCCGACTCCCGCACCCTTCAGAATAGCGGCGGTTGACAAGACTCCGGTCAATGAGGAAGCCATTGCTTGTACCGTATCCCAAAATTGATAGGCCAAGTAGTCATCGGTGACACTGCTTGGGTATCCACTGGGCAGGAAGATTTCGTGTAGCAGTGTTTTGTAGTTGGATCGTTTTGCCTTGGCGGAAATTGGCTTTCCATTGTAGTACTCGACTAGGCTCTGAAAACATTAAATTATGACAGGGGAAGTACTCCAAGTGCGACGCTCAGATTTTTAAAAATTTTTCATACACGTCGGGTATGGACTAAATATCAATTCCTGAAAGTTTTAGCTCGCGCTTTGCGGGAGCTGCCGAGATATTTAACGATTTTTGCCGCCGAGAGAGTACGCTAAACGTGGAGAGCAGTCAAAGAGAAAAACAATTTTTGGCTATAACTTCGCTAGTTTTTCGCGGAAAAAATTTATTTTTTGTGGAAACATTATCCTTTATGGTAGAAATAGGCATGAAACTTTTCGTCCCGAAATTCGGCAAAAAATCTCAAATTTTCGCCCACTTTCGGTCTAAAAATCTCGGTAGTTTCTGCAAAGCGCGAGCTAGGATTCTCGCTTATATCCTAGAAAAAATTATTCTAAATTTGTGCCAAGTTTCATCAAAATCTTCGCACTTCGGGTACTTCCCCTGTAAGTTTCAAATTTGGGTTAACTCTATTTGAACGGTTTTGGTTGACCAATACCTAGTTGAGCGCGCCGGAGCGAGTAAACATGTCGGGATTTCCCGTGGGAGGAGAATGAACACGATAAGACTTTGGAATTCATGTCTTCGTATCCGGCGGAGAACTGGCATTGGGGGATTCATTTCTCTTTTGGGGTAAAGGGAAGGGCCGGGTCCCGGTTCCGCCCGCGTAGGTCAGTGGAAGGAGGAGGACGAGGAAAAACATACACATTCCCAATTATTTCCTCCAATTTCTTTGCGGGCGTGGTCCGTTGTCTTAGGCGGGATTCGCGACCGGGCCCCGCAGCCCGGAAACGGGCTTGGAACGTTCGAATTTGAGGAGTCGAAAGTCGGTATGACTTGAAGGGGCAGGGATAAGGGGAGGGCCCTATTAGCATTTTCACAAAGTGCCTGGACATCGTTGCGCTTTCGCACAGTGCATCTTGGACTTTTGTCGCCAACGCACTGTGGATTTTTTCCTTTGCGCACCGTGCAAACCTCAAAAAGGCCGATTGCACTGTGCGCATTTTTGATCAAAATCGCAGCGGCGCAGTTGAGAAAAGCTTACGCCGCAGCGATATTTCAAATGCACAGTGCAAAATCAAAAAAAAGGTGAGTGCACGGTGCAAAAAAATGGGGGATTTTTGTGCACGGTGCGGACCGCGACAAATGTCCAGGCACTTTGTGAAAATGCTAATAGTACAAGCAATTGGTCCCATTCACAAAGTGGGACAATAGGAAGGGAAGTAAAAGTCTCCTTTAGCCGTGTTGCCATCAGAGTTTTCCAATTACAGTATCCGCTTTTTCCTTCTATATTCTCCCCTTGTGTTTTTCGTAGCCCAAACATCTTTCGCCTACTTTCGGTTTGGGAAGATAATCCAAAATTCATAAAACAATTCGATGGGAAAATCCGCAAAAACGGCGGGGAAAGCGAGCCGCTGCAGAAAGTTCCAGTCATGACTCTTGAGGGGGTTATGGAGAAGCACTTGTCTTTTGCTTTCGGTTGGAAAAGTGTACGCGAGTGCCCAAGTTCAACACGAATGTCTTCATTTTTGTTGAACACGTCGATATCGGCATCTGTTGACAGTACCACACAATGTTTTCCACGCGTGCCTATTATTAGTCCTAATCAATTTTGCGATAAATCCTCGCCTCAGTCTATGTCATTCTGAGGCTGTTTTCGGATACCAAACAGCTGTCGGGTTCTCTTTGCCACAAAGAAATCACAAGTGATTTTAGAGAGGAGGCAATGTTGGAAAGATATTCTTGCACGAGCGGAGCGTTCTCTTCCCAAATTTGACGTATTACAATAATCGAAAGGCGCTGGTTTCGGCCGTAATTTTCAATGGGTGGTACGGTAAGTTGTTGAAAATTTCAACACAAAACGAAGACCTCCTTCTATTCCTCCTTTTTCATCCAACGTTAGATAAAACGTTGGATAAAAAAAAGAAAAAATATTACCCAACTATCCCCCTTTGTAACACCATTACTACTTCAGGTGGACGATAATGAGAGTGACCGTCACATCTTCCAATTGGGTATTTGCTTTCTACTCGGATGGATGCTGGTCATTATTCTCTGTGCATCGCCCCAGGTTCGTTTTAGTCTTGCCAATAAATCAAATGACGTAAGACTTACGTCAATTCTCTTTGGCATGGCGCAGATTGTTTGGTGGTCCCACTTCGTACTCCCTGAAAAACGTATATTATCTTTCGTTGGAGTATAACGAAATATGTTTTTCTGCAGGTCGAATTTTTTGCTCATAATCTACCAAATAACCAGCAAAAGATCTAAAAGGATAGCTAAACAATTCAAATAGCCCAAAAATCTCATAATTATTCGAATACTTTTCGGTTTACAATTCAACTCTTTGGTTGGCCATTTAGTCGATCATAAACAAACGTTCGACCTGTCCGAAAGACCTATTAGCATTTTCACAAAGTGCCTGGACATCATTTCGCTTTCGCACAGTGCATCTTGAACTTTTGTCGCCAACGCACTGCGGATTTTTGCTTTTTCGCACCGTGCAAACCTCAAAAAAAGCCGATTGCACTGTGCACATTTTTGATCAAAATCGCAGCGGCGCAGTTGAGAAAAGCTTACGTCGCAGCGATATTTCAAATGCACAGTGCAAAATCAAAAAAAGGTGAGTGCACGGTGCACGTCAAACTGAGGAGTCCGGTGACCGGAATAGACTCTTCGCTATCGGTTTTTTACACTTCGTCTTGATTTCGCAGAGAAAGAGAGAAAAAAGACACGCAAAAACGTACTCTCTCGCCCCAAAAATTCCCCATTTCTCCCCCGACAAAACGTTTTTTTGCGTATTTCTTGCCAAGTTTCCAACCCATTCATCGGACTGTTTTAGCTTATCTCAGTTTGACGTGCGGTGCGCATTTTTGTGGACCTCGACAAATGTCCAGGCACTTTGTGAAAATGCTAATAAACACACAATGAAAATTTTTCTGCCCTTTTGCTAACACATTTATTTTTTTTTCAATTTCAGTTGTTCCGCGACTTAATTCTCCGCCACATCTTTTGCTGGTGTCATAGCCCCAATGAAAAGACAGTCGCGCTGGAAAACGGGCTGCAGAACTTTATTGTGGAACCAATGGCGGAGAAGCCATCTCTTCTAATACTACAACAAGTAATGGGCATGAAAGGGCTCGAGGCGATCAGTCAGGCAAAGAAATCGACAATCGAGATCATACCCGAGGTACGGTAAAATATACAAAAAAGCCCCCGTAACTTGTAATTAATCTTAAAAATTCGTATTTCAGGAAAACCTATCACAAAGCCGAGAAGCGTTGGATACAACGTCATCGGTGGAGAGAGCGCAATAAGTCTTCCTCATTCCATTTCAATCTTACTCATACCAAAAACGGGTCCTTCTTTAATAAACAGACATTGATACAAAACATTTCTAAACTTCCACCCGTCGTCTAACGACGCAACTAAACTTATGACCTCGCTGACTAACGATAGCATCACTGAAGCGGCTGAGATATTGCACCATGTTACCTTAACATAATAGGCCTCGAAACAAATGGCGCCGTAATATAAATAAATGCTTCATTATGCCTTAAATGGGTGAACAAAACATCAACATGTATATCATCTAGATCACAAGAATGGAATAACTATTGGATGTGCCGTTTGGCGATGCTCATGATGAGAGCTTCTTCGGCGCGGCGGACAGCGTTGGGAATGCGTTCGTCGGTCTTGGTGCGGAAACAACCCAACAGATGGGGGCAATGTGCTTCTCCCTTTGAGATTTCATCCATCTACAAAGAATAGATTAAGCACGCTTTTGCTTACAATGAAAGTACTTCAATGGGGTATGGAGTTACAGGCCGAGACAAACATCAAAAAAAAATCGCAAAATTTTTCTGATTCAGAATATGTAAAAGTTTGCTGTAAGGCTTGTCAAGATACCAGAGTTTGCTTTAGCTCAAAAACAAGCTTTTGATTTGGTGAAAACCTGGTCAAAAAGGCATTTGCGTGGTGTTGCGGGAAAAGTTCAGAGGACTTTTTCACCCTTACAAACCAAAATTAGGCAGCTAACTTTTACATATTCTAAATCAGACAAATTTTGCGATTTTTTTGATGTATGTCTCGATCTCTAACTCCATACCCTGTAGAAGTCCTTGTTAGAAAAAAAATTATATAAAACCTCTTAATTAATAGACGACAATAGTCCTAGACTTTTCACCCCAATGCCTCCCAAAGCCTAATATAAAATAACAAACTCACCTCGGTGATCAGATCATAAACAGTGGAATCGGGGACAAAGGAATCCTTCTTGTAATCTGGATGATTCTTCACGAATTCTCTCATCCAATGCGCCAACGTCCAGATTTCGCCAGATGCCCTTTTTTGGATAAAGTTCAAATACTGTGTGATCGTGCACCTGGTGTCCACATCAACATCTGCCCCATCCAGAAACTGGCGGATCAGTGGTACTAGCCCCGGGAATTCTTTTCCATCGCCGTTTACAATCTGATTTATGGTCATCTCCACCGTTTCCAGGTCCGGTTTCTTGGTCGGTCCGTTCTTGTCGACATCCGGCGGTGCATCACAGGTAGAGAGTTTGGAGCGGAAGAAGAGTTTCTGGTGGAGAACAGCATCCCTGGTCTGGGCTCGCTTCATATTCTCGGTTACTTTAGAGATGGGAGAAAGGAAGGTCAGTTTGTATGAGACAATCACACTGGAATGATTGGCATAAAGAACAGAAAACAACCCGTCGCTATCTAAGACTTTTTATGCTATTAGAATTTTCACAAAGTGCCTGGAGATTTGTCGCGGCGCGCACTGTGCACAAAAGTCACCAATTTTTTGCACCGTGCATTGACCTTTTTTTTGGTTTTGCACTGTGCATTTGAAATATCGCTGCGACGTAAGCTTTTTTCAACTGCGCCGCCGCGAGAACTTGCACAGTGCAAACGGGTTTTTTGAGGTTTGCACGGTGCGCAAAGGGAAAATTGCACTGTGCGCTGGCGGCAAAAGTTCAAGATGCACTGTGCGACAGCAAAAAAAATGTCCAGGCATTTTGTGGAAATGCTAAAACTTACCGAGTCAGCAAAACCACAAAACAACAATAAGCGGCGTTCTCAAAATCCGTCAACTGGACTTCGGTTGGTCGGAACTCCACTCTCCACCCAATCTCGGGGGCATCCGGAGGTGGTGGTTTGAATCGCATATTCATCCAATTGGAGGATTGGATGGTCTCAAAGTGCTCGGTGGATTTGGTGTCGTCTTGTTCGATTCTCTCCTTGAAAACTTGCAGTGGGTCTCGGATGAACATGTGGGCTATGTGTTTGGCGAGGATCTCGTCCACGCCGCCGTCCAGGAGTTGCTGCAGGATTTTGGGATCGTACTCCAACTCGATGTCATTGTATGGAGCCGAACAGGGATAGATGTAGCAGTCGGTGGAATCATAGCGGGACTTCTTGATAACAAATTCATCATTCTTCAATGGGACTTCTCCCAACTCCTCGGCTGTTCTGTCGTCCACACTCTGGAAAAAAACGGATAAATGGAATAAAAGTCTTCAAAACCGAGGGACCTGATCCAGTGGCAAAGAACGTATCATTTTGCACCAGGGAAGTATAAAAAACGTGGCGAAATGCTTCCCTCTCCAAGTGAAAAAAAAACTCTGATTTCAAAAGCGCGCCCGCTCTTTTTGTGAGGCAAAGGGCGCGCCTTTCGAAACAAAAGTTTTTTCATTCGGAGAGGGAAGCATTTCGCCACATTTTTGATACTTCCCGGATGCAAAGTGGTACGTTTTTTGCCACTGGCTCAGGTCCCCCACTGTAAGAAACAAGTTTCCCTACCCCAGAAATGATGTCCCATCGGCTGTCGACATCCGCCAATCGGCTTCTGAAGATGGGAGTGGCTGCGCTGAGCGCCACAAGGATCGGGGTAATGGGAGTCAACTGGTCGTAGAGCCATCTGGCTTCTTGGACGTTCACAGCTTGGAAAGTCATTTGAAGGCAGCAACATCCCATCCCAAAGCCCATGTGATCCAGGTAGATGTGGTCGGGTTTGGCCATGACTTTGGCTTCGGGGTCGGTGAACTCCTCCACATACGGCTGAGGGGTGTGTTCGTCTTTATAGATTGGGACATTGATGGCGACACGACGTCCGCGGCGTTGACGGATATTCCGGACAAGGTTGCGGAATCGGGGATGGCCAGAATAAATGCCTTCGTCCGGGAAGAACACACTCCGCCCGGCTCCTTCGACATCGTCGGGGGCGGGTTTGCTTGGCGGATCCGTGAAGTCTGGAGTGCCCAGACTGGGGAAGCTGATGGACAACAAGCTTTCGTTCTTTCTGAGGAGCTGAGTGGCTTCGGCGCGGCGGAGGATCATGTTCGATTCGACAATGTTGAAACAAGACATGAGGCCGCCGTATGGCACTCCCGGCGTTCCCTCCACCATGTATGCGGCGAACTCAGGTCGCCAGAGAGCGCGATTCTCTGTCCCCACCATGTTATTCACTTCTTCTTGGGCTTGAAGACGTTTGAGGAGATCGTCGGCGCGAAGACATACACGTACCTAAACAAAAGCAATAAGTTCAAAGAGCCTATTACAGTGGCGGACTGTTACAGTGACCTGATCAAGTGACAAAAAACGTACCATTTTGCATCTTTGACGTATCAAAAATGCAGCAAAATACCTCCCTCTCCAAGTGAAAAAAACTGCGATTTCAAAAGCGCGCCCGCTCTTTTTGTGAGGGAAAGGCCGCGCCCTTCAAAACGAAGTTTTTTCACTTGGAGAGGGAAGCATTTTGCCACATTTTTGATGCTTCCCAGATGCAAAATGGTACGTTTTTTGCCACTGGATCAGGTCCCTTACTGTACTTCAAATTTCAAAAAAAAGAAAGCCCACCTTTTTGTTCTCGTGGTCAAATTTAACAATGGTGTACTCGATCTCGTCGCCCCACCTGAGTTGATCGCCCTCTCGGTCTTTTAGGCGATGGTACAAAGTGATGAACTGGGCAATTCCATGTTCCTAAATCATTGGCATTAACAAAACCGCAAAGATCACATACCTTGACGTATTTCACATACGGCTTTAGCTCAGCCCAGGTGAGTGGAGTGCCTTTGGTCAGAAGGCCCATAACTGAAAAAAAACAGGTTTTGAATGCAGAAAGACGCCTCAAATCGGCAACATTATTAATCGCACATTGAAAATAGGCAATAACAATGGCTGACAAAACCGATAAAAAAATTATACTTCAAGATAAGCCTAGATTAATCAAAAAAAAAGTCCAAGAAAGTCCGCCCTGCAGCGTGACAACAAAGAATCAGCGGTCGGGAGCAAAAACTTTAAACTCCGCGGTCGCCTTCTCATCATTCGTTTGGTCGGATTGAAGGACGATTGATCAAAATTCGTTCGAAAATTCCCAGTTTTTTGTGATGTAATTATCAACCCAATCTCGGGACGCTTTTTTCGTTCACCCGTGCGGGAAAAGAGAGGGTTATAATACTGAAGAACAGACTCCAATTTCGACTAAGAAATTCCCACAATTGCCTTGCCAACAGGGACGATTCAGCCAGGTCCTAACTACGCTTGGCCCCGCGAAACGACCGCCCTTAAACCGTGTGTATTTCATAATCCTTCCACACTCCGTCACAAAACATAATGCATAAACTACAACATGAATGCGAGACAGATAATTTGAACGAACAAATGACGTCTCGAGCAGGTTGGGAATGTAATCATAAAAATTTTTATTCACACCGAACATGTCGCTTGGAAAATCATGTTTAACAACAACAAACTGATCAAAAGATGACTAATAGCATTAACAAGAGAAAAAACACCCGCTTTTTGTTTTGTACAACGCTTGCTGAATTCTGTGGCATACTATAACAGTTGAAAAGATTTTTTTGGTCAGCTACGCCCCTGATTTTCTAAACGGTAAACCACAGAGATCCTTATCAAAAACAAAGGCTAAAAACTGAAATAAGAAGGGAAATAAAAGACCCACTATCGACCTAATCGTCGATCGCGAGCGCACAGAATGGACCGATATGACGATTCGCTGAGTCGCTCAGGCCATGCTCCCACTTTTTTTTGAATTTCGGCCGCACGAATTTGTTTGCGCACCCAACAGGCAGAAGAAAGTCCGCTTTTTGCACATTTGATGATAATTCCTAAAATTTGAAACTAAAACGCAGAAAATCGGTAAAAATAAACTTCGGATTTACAATAAATTACATTTCTTGATAAAATCAGCTCCAACTTGTGTTCGATAACTTTGACTGAACTTCTCCAACGTCTTAATTCAGACAAATATAATTCAAAGAGACGTCGATCAACCGAGTCCGATGCCACGTCTACTGCGTCCATCTGTTTTCATATTCCTAGAATTTCAAGATAAAAACAAAACAGAAATTTACCCATGGTCCAAGATTCGGCATTGAAGGTCCAAGATTCGGAATTTCGCATCCACCTTTCAGCATCATGAATGTGAGACAGATAAATTGAAAGAACAAATGACGTCTCAAGCAGGGTGGTAATGTAATCGTTATAATTTTTATTCAGACCGAACATGTAGCTTAGAAAAATCATATTTAACAACAACAACATGTCAAAAAGATAACTAAATTCAAAGATAAGAGAACATATACCCGCTTTTTTTGTCATATACAACCCTTGCTGAATTTGTGATACACTATAACAGCTGAAAGTTTCCGCAAACAATACTCTCTTCCTAAATCGGCTTTTCAAAGTGTATCACAGTGCAAAATAACGGAAACAATCTGAACTGTTATGATATAAGGTCTGAACGGAAAACCACATAGAGATCCTTATCACTCAGCAAAAACAAAGGCTAAAAATTGAATTGACAAAGGAAATAAAAGACCCACTATCGACCTAACCGTCGATCGCGAGAGCTAAAACATCTCAGAAGGGATCGGTATGACGATTCGTTGAGTCGCTCAGGCCATGCTGCCAATTCTTGAATTTCGGCAACACGAAGCGCCCACGCCGGGAAACCATCGAGCCCACCAACAGCCAGAAGAAAGTCCACTTCGTGCACACCCTTCGACGCCAACTTCGATGAAACGCGCTCAGTTGTGATCGGTAAGGGGGAACGAATCAGCTGAAAAATATAAATCTTCTCCTTTCTAAAATTAGGAAATAAACCATTTTTCGAATTCTGCTTACTTCTTTGCAAATGTCAACCATAAGTTCTCTTCCGTCATTCTTATTCCAGAAATGCACTGTCAATCTTCCAGGATGACTATTTCCGTCTTGGCTTTTGGAGAACACGACGTTCTTGAAGAATCCTCGTTGTTTCGAATATCTTTCCCAACCATCCTCAATCCTGCTCATCATTGATTTCAAAATCCCATCGGAATCATAAAAACTCAGTCTCTGCATTCCATGTGAGCTCGAGTAGTAGATGAAGTCATAAAGTACTTGCTGCAACAAGGAAAAATAAAAAAGTGAGACCTAAATACAAAACAAAACTGCAAAAATTTACCAAATCAACCTCCTTTTGTTCTTCTCCCAACAATACCGCCACATGTGGTGGGATTTTAAGTTCGTCCGTTAGCTGTTTCCCTTCATCGTAACTTGCACCAACAAGTTGGGCCAACATTTTCAAAGTTTGGAAAGAAAAAACTTCTTGAACCCGCGATATTACCCATAGTGTCGAAGAAAAGACAAAAAGAATTAGTGTAGAAAGGCATTCTAAAAACAGACAGGATAACGTCTTGGTCTTTACCTAAATTCAAAAAAAGAAACGAATATCTTACGTTGTATTGACATCTCAGCCGGCAAGGTGACGAATATGAACGTATCCAATTAATGCACTGAAAATTACAAAAGGACACAGTCAAATCCCATGGTTGTCTTCTCCATGGACCCGAATCTCCGTACGTACGACGAAAAATCTCCAAAAACCAAACTGACGTTTTATTCTGCGTCTCATCGCGCTCTTTGGCATTCTGCAATTCCAATTTATTGTGGCATTTCGTCGTGTGCTTGACATTCCGCAACAAAAAAATAAAAAATTCTTTTATTTTCGATCGAAAGTTGTTCTTTCCGCAAAAAGGATTGGTTGCCGCAACTGAAAATGGGACATGGGCATCATGAACCTTTTGATATCCCCCATTACTCCAAGTTCAATAATTGGCAAAACTCTCCGCATCTTGTTGAACATGCAAAACGATTGGAAAGATTGGGACTAAAAGATCCATGGATAAGGTAAGCTGGAAGAGCTATCGGTTTAACTGCGGTGATTCTATATTTTTGAGTTTTTTATTTTGATTTTTAGGAATATGGTGTTCATGTACGATCCAAAGTTCGGTATCCATAGAACAAGCTACGAGATCATCCGAGAGGTAAATTGTTTTAACCTTTTATCTATTACCTACTATTTTAATAATCAGATCGTAGTAGCTGCCTCCAAATAAGACAAAACGAAATTTTTAATAAACTTTTTGTCATTTCAGTTCTTCTTCAAAGGAATGAAACCCGGCTTGGCGATTGCGGCGTCCGTCATTGCCCTGGAAGAAGGCTATTCGTATTTCAAGAAGGGCCACACCAGTTGGGGTGGTCATTAAGTCATGCCATTGTGCAACACTGCTAGAGAGGAATAAACGATTGTATTTTTATTTTATCAGTTTTGCTTTCTTTTTTTAGAGCCTACAACCTTCTTTGCTCAGATTTTAGCAGCTGAATCGGATGTATAATCAGAAAAGGTCATGTACGCTCCATCGTATATTCGACTTTGATTCGGATGTTTTGAAAACCCGAAGGGATTTTTAATCCGCTCGAGGGGAACTGGAAATTTCGCGGTTTTTGTAAAGAGCGCCGGAATTCGGTGGCGATGCCGACTACAAAACCTGACTTTCCCCTGCTTCCTTGTTAAATTATGGTTTGCATGCAATGTTTTCTCGTACTTTATTTGATTTCGGGACTTTTTGTCTGCTTGGGTCAAGAATTCCCGGCCAAGTTGGCCGCAGATTTGTTGAAGATGTTGGACGTGAACTCGAGGAAGGCGGATATACCCTATGGAATTAACAAAATTAATAACAACAATGAAAGGAAGGGTTCACCGATTGATTCGCTCGCCAAGAGCTTTGTGGAAATGCTGATGCCGACCACAACGGTCAAACCGAGTTTGGACTTGTTTGGAATGTTGAATGTGAGGTTGTTTTGCGTTTTTTCGTTTTTGCTTTTAGATAGACGGTTTTAAACTGATTGGTTTAGCCTGAATCCCGGGGAATGGACTCGTTGCTTCCACAAGCACCCGTGATCCCACTGAATCCGAATGCGCGTCAATTTGACTTTGGGACTGATCGACTGGTCCTTCGTGAGGGTGCTGGCGCCGAGCCCGAGCAAGATCTCCTCACCAAGACGTTGGGTGGGCCGTGGCAGGAAAGAGGCGTCAAGTGGGCCGAGAATGGGAACATCTTGCTTGTGAATCGGAGTGGAAACCGGTTTTTGGGATCAGAATTGGCGGTCAGAGACCGGACAGTGGAGATCCCCTTCAATCAGTGGTTGAATTTGGCTTCCAATTTGATGGACATGGCCGAAGACCGAAGGATCTGATCGCTTTCGTGTTAATGTAAAGGTTTTATTAATAAAAGCGCCGAAATTCGATTGCCTATGCCTTTCTTCGCGCAGTTGTCTGGCCCTTTTGCAAACGCGCTTTTTCGCAAACGCGCACTTTCCCCGTTACATTAATTTGTATGTTATTAGGATGGTGTCGTTTCCGTTTAAGCAGCCTCAAGTCGTCGTTTCTTTTCAATTCTTTGTGAGTTTGAAATGTGATTGCAAGTCCGTTCGCAAAGTCGCTGGAGTGATTTCGAAGACATGCACGGTGCAAAAAGCAACAAATTGCAACCTGCAAGCTGCACTTTTGTTTTTTCTCAAAGTGCATGTATTGTCGCAGGAATCACTCCATCGACTTTTTACACTGACTAGTGTTCGTATGATGAAGGTAATTGACCACCATTCTCTTCTCTAGGCCACTCATATTCTTCTCACCTTATGCCTCCTCTTTTTCCCTGTCGTTTCGGCCAATTGTTGGGCTAGGATGATGTGGGCATTACAAGTTCTATTCGGCTGCAAGAGTCATCACGGCGTTGTTGTTGGCGAGTTATGTAAGTTTTTTTTCAAAGACACAAAAAGCAGATTTTTATGGTGTTTGGCCTGCTTTTCATTCCGGACAGATTTTATTTTTAGCGAAACATAGTCACTATGTATTGTCCAACCTTTCAAATAACTAGTCAAAGAGCTTACTTGACCTAAAAAACCTGATAAAGCCGAAAAGGGTGGATTGTCATGTTATGCACTACCCATTCACAGTGGGGAACCTGATCCAGTGCCAAAAAACGTGCCATTTTGCATCCGGGAAGTATCAAAAATGTGGCGAAATACCTCTCTCTCCAAGTGAAAAGCTCTGATTTCAAAAGCGCGCTCGCTCTTTTTGTGGGGAAAAGGGCGCGCCTTTCAAAACGAAGTTTTTTCACTTGAAGAGGGAAGCATTTTGCCACATTTTTGATACTTCCCGGATGCAAAATGGTACGTTTTGTTCCACTGGATCAGGTCCCCCACTGTATGAGATTTATGGGTTAGCCTTACTCTTTCGCTGGCTACTTGGATGACCGAACAAGACGATTGCTCGTCAGTTTTTATCATTTAAAGAAAGACTTGCAGATCGGCTACATAATCCATTTGATTCGCATCTTCCTTTCGATGGTGTTCTCTAAAAAGACGGAGATTTGTACAGACGAGGAGCTGGAGCATTGGAGAAATTCCAATCCATACGATAAGGAGAATCCCCCTTTTGTTCCACGTAGCTTTCGATCCAATCTTCGTACTATATACGACTTCCACATTCGCATTGACATGAACCATGTGCTCGACAAGAACGAAATGTATTGTCGTATGGTGACGTTTGCTGTGATAGTGCTTTTCATCCATTTACTGGTGTATTTTTATGCAAAATGGTTTTGGGAGACGCTGTTGTTTTGTTTCGATCTGACAGATATGTAAGGTTTTGAGGTCGCTAATAAAAACTTGCCTTCCAATCTGGAATTCCGATTCCCCTTTCGATCTACAAAGCGAAGCGATTGTCATCAATAATCGGTGAGAGTTTTCACATCAATATCTTGTTTACCGATGACAATTTCTCAGCATTTTTTTGTATATTTGCTCTATTGAATATTATAACTTGTATTTACATCACAAATATTGCAAAAATTTCTCATCACCACTTGTCCTGGTTGCTAAGAACATGTGCCAACGTGCCCATGATTGCGGCAGTATAATCGATGTCGCCGTCCTCGAAGATGTTCAAATAATCTCCGGTGGTGTGATGGAAGTAAAAGTAGAAGTCGGCCCCTTTGTCTGCCACATATTGTACTGATGGGACGCCGTCGTCGGCCCACGACTGGACGTCTCCTTGTTTATCCCCTTCTTGCACACTGATTGGGATGTCATTTCGTTTCAGACTCTGCACAATTTCCTGCATTTTGGCTCGCTGAAAAAGATTCTATAGTCGTAATCGTAAGAGTGCAATAAGGATGCACGTCAATCCAAAATAGGAAAAAAAATGTCCCGCCCCTTTTTGGTGATTCGTTCAAAACGAAATGTCACTACCCGATAAAACGCATTTTCTTGTCTTTCTTCTTCCTTTTCGAGAAAAAGCAATTATCGGTTCAGGAAATGCGCTGGATTGACGTGGGATGGTCGATTGCTTACTTGGGTCGTATTCCCCATGAACCGGAGGATGGATTTGGTCGTAGTTGGCTTGAATGCGCCCTGATCCGTCTCCGAGACAAAGTAGAACTTCTCTTTTCCGTTTTTGTGTTGCTCGTAGTAGTGTTTAGCTCCGGCGAAACCGTGCTCTTCGGCGGTCCAGAAAATGGCTCGGATCGTGCTGAAATTTGGTCATCAAGTTATAGGGTGATCTCTCAATGAAAGCGGTTTGTTTTGGGAGGATTGATTTTTTTTTGCTTGGAATTTATCAAACGGAGTTGGACGAATGACATTCATTTTTTGACCCTGAATTTTTTTAAGTAGTACTGTAAAGTAGTCATTTTTTGAATTTTTTTCACACATACTCAATTTTTTCTGATTTGAAAGCAGCACCATCGGAAACCCCCAAATCGAATATTCATGAAAAAAATTTAAAAAATTAAAAAAATGTTAGGTAAAAATGAATGTTATTTTCGAAATCAGCACCCTCGATTATCCTAATCGACACTTCCATCGAAGAAAAATAATACTTTTCGGTTTACCCAATCGTCCCAGTTCCGTATCAAATGGGCTTGCACGGAATAAAACCTACCGTTTCGGCAGGAATCGTTTATCGGTCTGTCCGAGTTCCCTAATCACTTTCATGGCCTGCCAAACCGCTGCCATTCCTCCTCCATCATCGAGTGCGCCCTGTCCCAAGTCCCACGAATCGATATGAGCGGAGATGAGGACCACTTCCTCCGGCTTCTCACTTCCCTTTATGTCAAATATGATGTTGCGCGAAGTGCAAGGTGGAAGGTTCTTGGATCGAATGTCGATGCTGATCTTCAAGGTCTTGTTGCGTCTTGCAAGACGACCCAACAGTTCCGCCTCCTCTAATGACAATGATGCCGCTGGCAGATGCTCATCGGATCCCCCGCCGGTATGCGGAGAGCCAATCGAGAATGGGCCGAGCGATTTGGCCAAAAGTCCCACAGCTCCAAGCGCTTTGATCTCTTTGGCCGCGCGACGGTACTTGATGTCTTCGTAGTAGCCGGTCCATTTCTGATTGAAAACTACAATCTTCCCGTTCACGTTGGTGGTCTAAATATTTACCAATCAGTCAATATAACTATCCCACATTGATCAAGTCGTAATCCTCCAGAACAACAGCTTCGGCCGTCACCTTCGCCGGATCCACCCCGCCAATCGTCAAGATGTTCAGCTTTAAGTTGCGCGGCTCAAGCAAAGTCACCGTATCCTCCCCTCTCTCCCAATTCGGCATATTCGGCGCTTCTTCGGTGTGGACATTGTCAAAGCCGTCCTGTCGGAGACGTTCGACTGTGAAGTCGATCGCACTGAAATCGGTTTTCTTGACAAAAAAAACATGGAATTCTTCTTGGACAGATCGAATTTTATGGGACTTTAAGGTACTTATCAGGCCTTATAATAGCTAACAAATTGGCGTGGAAGCTAAGACTTTATGCAATTAGCTTAAAAATGCTTTAAACGGCTAACCAAAGCGTCGATTGGCTTAGGAGTCTCAGACAGACAATTTTTCGACCAAGGTCTTTTTTCCGCGACATTCCTTACTCTTCCAAAGACTTCCTGCACAACATCCGATGTCCAAAGTCATCAACCAATGGTTCCAACCATTCCAATCCGCTATTTCTTGATGGCCCACGGAGAATGTAGCGAGTCAAAGTTTGAACTTCATCCTAAAGGGCTTATTTAGTATTAGAAGTTGCATTATTCGATGCAGTAAACTTTTTAATTTCCCTTACATTGTTCACAAATCCAACAGTAAGATAAGGGGAACCCAATAGCAATATAAGATGTAAAATCCAATCCATCAAAGCTCTAAATTCGAAGAACAGCTTGAGAATTCAACAAATAATCGAAGGAACCGGTAATAAGTAGTGCATTTGACTCATTTTCGAAATTCCACCAGTTAAGAAAAGAAAATTACACGCACCGACAGGTAGTATTGTTGATTGATTCGCTTCAATTAATTTCAAAATGTTAACACATCAAAGACTACGATCATGGGAAGTAAATTCTCCAGGAATAAAATGAATCAAGTTCCGAGGGTATTCATTTTTTTATTTGTGGCATACTGTAGCTGCATAGAATTCCTTGAAGGATTGAGCTGGCGAATTGCAATCGTGGCGGAGACTGTAGTCTCGGAAAAAAGTCCTTGGAATTTTGCACCGTGTGGGTTTCCACTTTTTGGGCCGTCGCTGTGAAAATGGCAAAAAAAGTGCTTTGCACGGTGCACCGCGGTGCATTTCAGCCGAAAACACCTTTTGCACAGTGCATTTTTGCTTGTTTTTGCCTTACGTCGCGCGCGATCCCCATTTTTCGCAGCGACAAATCAAATTTTCGGAGTGCGACGGGATTTGAGGGCCGAAGTGCACTGTGCAAAATTCCCAGGACTTTTTTCCGCGACTCAACGATGTTTGTAGACGAGAGACTATGGGAAATAAGGAGAGACGGTCAGAGAAAAGACCTTTCTTTCGGCTGCTGTCGTGCTCAAAAATTTCAAACCAATCTACTCTTAATACAACGAGACATTCCCAGGAATATACAGTAAAACGAATCCCAACGATAATTCCACTGTATCACAATCAGAGGTTACTGTAAGTTATATTCTCCTTAGCAAATCCAAAGCCCCCAAAAAAAAAATAATTGACCGGCGTTTGCGAAGCGGAACTCCCGAGTCTGATCCGGCCCAAATCGACCATTTATCATGGCGAAGATCAAGGGTCTAATCAAACGGAACGGACACGTGTAAACAGCGGACAGATGGTGGGCCGTTGGAGTTGCATGACGGATATCTTGGGAGACGTCGGGCGCTTTGTTTGTGCACAAAAAGTAACAATCAACTTGTTTTCCGGTATTTTTAGTGCGCAAACAGAAACAACTTGCGGTATAACGCAGCTAGCAGAAAAGTTGCAATATACTTTTTGTCCCATCTAATCAGCAAATATTTCAAGTTCATCTCGCCAAAATTATAATTTATTTTTCATGCTTAAACAACTTGGCCTGTGGCATACAAATTCAACAGTATTAAACAAGAAAATAACTACTTTCGGAATGCAGTGAAAGCTGGGTTGTTAGGAGTGGTCGAGTTAGTTGAGCCAAACGAGCTGAAACCGGTTGATTGTTGTCCTCCAAACAGCGAGTTGGATTGGGGTGGGGATTGAGCCAGTTGTCCGAAGGAACTGCCTTTTCCGGCAAATCTAAAATGACAAATTCAGTAATAATATTATTTTCTCCATATACGAAACAACCCCTAATCACATCCTCAGTCTCTATTCCATCAAAGAGACACTGACAAAAAATTCCATAAAATTACGACATTTCTCGACGATTTTCGACCGAAAAACTGAAATCTCTCGATCATTTTGAACCAAAAGCCCTGTTTTTCGGGGTAAAAGAGCCCTTTTTCAAAAGGTTGTAGCGTCCTCAGTTTGCATTTAAAAATGTTGTTATTTCGTAGACAAAAAATAATGTCGCTTAAAAATACATATTCCAAAAACGAACTCTCTGCGCCGCCTCCGCCGAAAGTTACAGCCTCCTACTTTCCTTCACGTTTCTTGAAAGACCCTGTATTCCCCAACTTACGCTGCAAATCCAGTATTAGTAGGTGTAGACTGAGCCTGCGTTCCTCCTCCAAACACCGGCTTCCCTCCGAATACCGAGCTGGTCTGGGTTCCACCTCCGAACACACTGCCCGATCCAAAAGCGGGACCTGATCCAAACGACGGCGCTGCCCCGAATCCAGATCCAGTTGGAGCAGGTTGGGTTGACCCAAAAGATGCAAATCCACCGGTCGTTGACGCCGCCGGTTGTTGGGTTGGGGTGAAACTGGCGAATGCGGGTTTGTTCTGGCCAAGGGTACTAAAGTTGAGGGACTGAAAGCCGCCGCCAGTGCGATTCTGCGGACCGGATTGGCCTAGTCCGGTTCTGAAAAATACACAAGGTCTCGTTATATTCAACCCACAATCATATTAGGTTGATGCATAATTATCCGGCGTTTTTCAACAAATTTCGAGATCGGCTTTGTTGTGGTCGGAGAGTTCCAACGCGCCAATATAAACGCCGGATAATTATGCATCAACCAAATATTTGGTCCTATACAATATTCTACATTCAATTCATGTTCTTTCACCTTTTCTTCTTCCTTCTCTCGGCCTACCGTAACCCTAATTCAACTCAAACTTCCGACTTACGATGCGAAATTAAAGTTGTTGGCAGTTGATGTTGCTGGCGCTGTGCCTGAAGTGTCATCCTCCATTCCGTCGTCATTTCCCGCTGGCTGGGCCGGTTTGAACGAGAAAGATCCTGGAGCGGTTGCAGTTGTCCCACCGCCAAACGCACTCTTCTGGGGTTCCGCCGGTTTGAATGTAAATGATGATGTTGTAGTGGATGGAGCTGATGGATTGAAAGCGAATGACGAGGTAGTGGCGGCCGGGGTTGGTGCTGGATTAAAGGAAAAGGAAGATGTAGTCTGTGGTTGGGATGACAACGTGCTGAAATAAATGCAAAAAAAATTAAAACTTTCTTCACAGATCATCATTGTTTGCTTCAAATCTCACCTCGTGAAAGAAAAAGATGGCGCAGCAGTGCTGACCGCAGCTTCTAACGGCTTTCCCGCCGCTGCCTCACTTGAAGTTACACTAGTCGCAACAGCAGTTGTTGCCGGTGCAAAACTGAAACTCCCCGTGCTAGTGGTGGTTACAGACGCCGGGAGAGCGGACGTCGTCGTCACTGTGGTCGTCGCAGTTGTCTCCGTTGAAGGCCTAAAGGTTCAAAAAGCAAAATCAAAAATGTCCTACTTGGAAAAGACGGATGATTCGGATGTCACAGTGGGTGCTTCTGACTTCACCGGTTCTTGGGGCTTCTCCTCTTTCTTTACAGGAGTAAACAGCGTTGTAGTTGGCTTCGCCAGAAGCTCTGGGTTGTCGGGTTTCGAGTCATGTGTCTTTTTCTCCCTTGGTTCATCTTTGTGCAATTCTTTGGGTAATGCCTTTGGAGTTGAGAACAAACTAAAACCAAATTTTACATTATAAATAACATAGTCCAAACGCCGAAAATATTGTGTAATTACAGTACCTCTGCTGAGACAAAGTAGGGGCCTGTGATATCGTAGTAGGCTGAGATAGAGGTATATGAAGTGGTGGAGCAGGAGCTGGCTCTAAACATTGCAAAAGTCAATAAAAACAAACTTCACCTACCCGGAGCTTGAATGACAAGTTGGAGGACAGACGGTGATTGCTGGGAGAGCCTCAGCGGTTGCGGTTTTAATTCAGCCACTTTCTTTGGGGTTAGTATTCTCGCAAGTATTTCGTCTCGACTTTCCACCTTCAACGCGTCCGTCCTCGTCTTTTGTTGGACTTGCGGTTTCAGGGTGATCGCTCCAACTTTTCTCATGTTCTTCGTCGATTTCAATGAGACCTCAGCCAATGCTTTGACAATATCAACTGACTCCTCCGGTACAACACTGCGTCGTCTTGGACTGGTCTTCTGGCCCGGAACCTCTAAACTCAAATGTTGCATTCGGAGGGCAGTATCATCGTGATCTGTCTCTTCTTCCGCCGGAAGGCGCTGTCCCTTTTCTACAGCGTTCAGTGCTTTCTGGAAGTAGAGAATCCGTTTAGAAAGCTCCAAAATCTTCTTGTTAATTTTCTCGGTAATCTTGTTTGCTTTCTGCTGTAGGTCAGGCGGCATTGTGGTTGTTTCGTGACTAAAACATCGTCCTATTACACATACTCTCAACGGACAGGATTCTAAACAAAAAAAACCAAAATAAAACAACTTACGCAGTCTTTGTCTCTTCGGCAGGCAAAGCAGTCATGACATCGGAATAGCCTTTCCTGAACCTCTCCATTTTCTGCAGATAATCCGCGAATACCCGTTCCAGATCATACACCTGCTCGGATATACTTGCCAATGTGGAGATTCCATCAAAGCCAGGCCCAAACTTTAAACAAATAGTAGCAGTTTGTCGGAGCTGGCCCAAGAATGTCGTCATCACCGTGCTGAATTGATCTGATCGCGTAAAAGCAGCGTCCAACGACCGCTGCACCTGATTGATACTATACTTTAGCTCGTCAATATCGTCTGGAAAGGAAGAAGAGTACTTTGCGAAACGTAAGCAACAACCTCACCTTGGCTAACTATTTCGATGTCTTGGTCGATTGTTGCCCGAATCAAGTCCGTTTTGGAAATATTTCCTTCCGTGGCATTTCGGAGCTCCACGAATTGCTCGAACTTCTTCAGAAGGACGGGATCCAATGGTCCATCCATCTTCTTATCCACAACGTTTCGCTCTATCTACAAGAAGGTGGAATTCGAGAGCTAAAATCGCGCCATTACCGATTGAATTTTTGTGACATTTCGTACCAACAAAGTGGTCTTTAGCGCAAAGTGCGTCCTATCAAAGCAATCTGCGAAATATTGAAGGTGAGGTAGGGCGCAGCTGTTGGCCTCCGGCATGTGTTTCGAGAAAAAAACATTCATTGACTTGATTCTCTCACGTTTCTCTCTTTTTTTGAACTTTTAGATGTTCGCTTTGTTTTAGTAGCCACTTCCTCTACAATAATATAAATAGATGTCCGAAATAGCCGTAAATCATGTAGCAAGCATCAGTTTTTGTGTTGTAAACTGTGTCTTATAGTCGGCGACTGTTCTTTTCACTTTTAATCTTTTAGGGCCTATTTGTAAAGAACAACTCGAATTTAGTCTACTCGATTTCGTAGGGCAACTGAGTTCGTGATGTGAAGTTTATTATCGGTTAAGTTTGGAGGGAAATGCGGAAATCTTACTCTTTGATTTTATGGTTGATGATGTCATTTCGCATTCTAATTCGGACTCTTTTTTGAAATTCCTTGATTCCCCGAACAAAACTCGTCGTCTTTATTTTGACGTAGATGGGGACTTGAAGGACCTCTTCGATGGTCACTTGAAACGAACAAAGACTTGAGCCTTGGAGGTTGGTTCAGTGGCTCGCTCAGCCTTGACTTGGTCCAATTCATTGCGGGTTAGATTATAGAAAGATTAATAGGTCTTACTTTTTTTATATTATACTTTCCACATCATATGTTCTCTTTCCCGTGCTCATTGTGAGACGTCAAGAAGTCGGAACCCTTCTACAGGGATTAGGGAGTCGTGAGAGCGCGACAAAGTTTGCGTCCTAATCCTGATAACTCTCTTCCAGAAAGACGGCATTCCCTTCCAGCGTTCTGGCGTCGCGGCACGGTCGATATTCTGTTGGCCTTTCCTCCATCACTCATTCTCCCCATCACGGCCCCCGTTGAAACACGCACAATCTGGCGAAACGACCGTTCAACCTTCAGGCTCAGATTTTAGCGAAACGGCTGAAGATGCGGGCGGATGAAAGTAGTAAGTTTCTGTTCTTTCTGGCTGTTTTTCCGTTTTTAGATCACGTGTAGAATATCAATGGGGTTTATGGAAATGGAATGTGTTTACTAGGGGAATGCCTGTAAAAGTAGTGTAGTTTCATGGGATCTTGAAAATGCGTTTCATAGTCTGTTTTTCGGCTATTTGATACAAATGTTCTCAACGAGTAAGAATGAACAGGTATAATATAAATAAGCGACGCAATTTTGATACAAATAAATTATTGGGATACTGAGGTTTTCGATGTTCTCTCAAATTCAGAGCCTTTTTTCGAGGAATTAATTTTTGCGAGATTTGGGAATTCTTTTGAGAGACGCTAGCTAAGCCACGTGATTTTGATTGCGGAAATGAATTAATCAAAGGCAACATGAGACTTTTATTTTTTTTATCAGACGTCACTTTCACTTTTTGAGCTATGAGTATTAGTTTTTAGAAGATAAAATTTCTATTTCCTCCAAAAAATAGCCTGTCTTGTCAATTAGTACCTATGATTCTTTTCAGAATTGCCCTCAATTACGGAGGAAGCTCCAATGGATGATAATGAAGTGATAGCTCCGATATTCCCTGATTCGGGTCCTCCCCCATTACTGGCCTTACCCGCTCCGCCGAGTTATTCCCAAGCGATCGGACCGGATTTGCCATCGATTGGAGGCGAAATGGAAGGCCAAAATCAAGATGAAAATGGCCATCGATACGTGGGATTGGTGAATCAGGCAATGACATGTTACTTGAACTCTCTTATCCAGACATTGTATATGACGCCGGAGTTCCGGAACATTATTTATAAGTGAGTTTTTGAATTTTTGCAATGGTCGAATTTTGGACTGTTCTTTATTTTTGTTTTTAGGGTGGAAAGGAAAAATAATGCCCGTGACATTGCATTCCAACTACAGAAACTCTTCTTACAGTTGCAAACTAGCGACAGGACTAGTCTGGAAACAGTGGATTTAACACAATCGTTTGGGTGGGAAAACGAAGGTAAATTTGATTTTCAATTGTATTGGACTTGATGTTTAGGGCTCAAATGAATTGATTTAATTTAGTGTACGACCAGCACGATGTCCAGGAGCTTTGCTGGTTGATGGTAGAAGCTTTGGAAAAGCGGTGGGCCAACACTCAATGGAAAGGAATGATTGAAAATCTGTTCAAAGGCGAGGTGGTGGATTATGTGAAATGCATGAACTGCAAAACCATCAAATCGAGGAATGACATTTTCTTGGACTTGTCGTTGGCTGTTCGGGAAGACGGTGCAACGGAAAGCCATAAGACCTTGGTGAGTAAGGCGATTTAATTATATTGTACTTGTTGTGTTTCAGCAAGAAGCATTAAAAGCTTTTATAAAACCTGAATTGCTGGATGGAAATAACCAATACAAGTGCGAGAAGTGCGACTCACTTCAAGACGCACAAAAAGGATTGGGAATCACGAGGTTCCCATATCTGTTGGTCGTTCAACTCAAAAGGTTCAGCTTCGATTACAATACAATGCACAGGATTAAACTAAATGATCGGTAAGTGGATTTAATATTTTTGTTTGGTGTTTTAGGAATCAGAGAATACCTGGAATTGATGGGAATCTAACTTTTAGATTGACATTCCCCGACTTTCTGGATCTAAATGAATATTTGTACAAGCCCCCGGAAGAAAAACCGAAAATGTCTTGGGCCAACGTGGCCAAGAAAGCCCCATCCCCGACTCCGTCAAACGAAAAGTCCGAATCGAGTCCGGAAGGTGATTGGTATGATGTCTTTCCTGATTCGGAAGTGGTGGAGACAATGCTGAAGAAGGGCCCATATGTGTACGAATTGTTCTCGGTCATGGTCCATCAAGGTTCGGCGACTGGAGGACATTATTATGCATACATAAAGTAAGTAATCTTTTGATTTTTTGTAGTTGTGCATTTAGGAACCTTGACCAACAGAAATGGATGTGCTTCAACGACTCGAATGTGAACTTTGCCTCTTATCAAGAGGTGCAACGCACATTTGGTGGCTCATTTTCCTATGGAGGGATGAACAACTCCAACGCCTATCTTTTGATGTATCGACGCATCGAAAAAGAGCGGAACGAACACTTCATAAGCACCCAGGACCTTCCACAACACATAAAGAATATAAAGGAGAAAATGGAAACCGAAGAGAGGGAAAAGGAGGAAAGGAAAGCACTGGAGAAGGCCATGGTGAAGGTGAATGTAATTTGCAACGATTTCAATTACATCCAAGCCGAACCGAAGGAGCTGATGATCCATAAAGAGACGTCCTTTGAGGATATCAAGAAGAAATTATTGGAGAACTATGAGAATTTGCAACGGGAAGCAAGACTTGTGGAATGCAAGAGTAACTGGAGAATGGTCAGGGAAATCAATAAGGAAATGTTTGGGGACAAACCGGTAAGATGTTGTTTTAGTGGCATAAATAGCCTCTAATCTGGGGAGGAGGTTGTCTGGGGGATGTAAAAATTTACTATTTTGGCCTGTTTTTATTGTAATGGTATTAGGTTTACTGTACATGAAGAATACACAATATTGTTTCAGCCCCTTTCTCATCTGAAACCGCCATCCCGATGGTCCAGCGTCCCTGCCGAATGCCACATCATGATCGATACCCGCGAAAGAGCCCACTTCCAGGAGATCCCGGAGTGCTCCCAAACAGCCGAGGTCTGGCTGGTGGACCTGGACAAAAAGGCGGTTTATCCGGTGAAAAGAGTCGCCTTCGATCCGGAATCGACGGTCGGCGACCTCCGTGGATCATTGTGCGCCATCGGGAAGATTGGGGAATCGGACCCGCATAATGTTCGAATCGTCTACAGTCCGTATGGTGAAGATGGACAACTTCAACTGCTAGATCAGACCGATGATTTGGTCAGAAAGTTTATCAGAACTCCCAATTGTAATCCGCAGGTAACTGGTTTTGGTAACTAATAAGTCATTGTTGTATTTTACAATTGAGTTAAAAAAATTTTTTTTTAGCTGTATGTTGATGTTGGGAACTTGGAAATTCTTGCGGAAGACCGCAAGAGGTATTTTGCGAAAACGGAAATGTTCCGATTATTGGATTCCCACATGTACAAGATGCATCTGCAGCTTCATTTGCCCTCATTGAGTAAGTATTTTTATAATTTCTTGATTGTTTGCGGGCTGTATTTTATTGTAAATGTTTTGTTTTCAGACGATTACTGTCGGCTCGGCGTGTTCCCGCCAATGATGTGCCGAAACGGAGCCCGCTCTCCCATCGCGTCCCCATTCGCCATCCAACGAGGCGACGGGAAACCCTTTTCCATATCCGATCTCAACGAAGACACCAACTCCTCATCCACCCCATGTCCCTCGATTAACGAGGCACCCGATAATGAGGTCTTCCAGGCATGGGATTCGAATGTCCCGACTGTTTCGAACATCCCCTTGCCCACTTATCCGGAAGGAGCGACCCTCTCATCCACCGCAAAGCAAGGATCCTCATCGAGCACTCCGTTGTCGGCTTCTTCCACTTACTCGTCGTCCAGAAGCAACGAAGAAAAGAATGCGTTGGAAATCCCGGATGAACCGACCTGTTCCAAAAGTTTTGGTGAGCCTTTTTTTTATTTACTTTTTTTATTTTTGTTGGTTAGATATCTAAACTGTGTGGTAATGGAGGAGTATTTGAGCTTATTCTTTGTCTCTATTTATATTATTTTAGATTCGAAAGAAGAACCGCAGGACGATGGTGAGTACTTGTTGAGCAACTCGGACACCCAATCCCAACCAGCCTCGGTCCCTCCATCATACGAATCGTGGGAGCAGTCGAATCTCGACCAACCCGGCCCCGAAGATCTCACCGCCAAGTATCAGGACCCACCGCCGAAATACGAGGACTGTGTGTCGCAAATCCCCCTGACTGCCGAGAATCTGAAACAATACTTTGACGAACCGAACAATGACAACGCTTCCTTGAGTGGCAACTGCACTCCAAGAGGATCCTGGGACTCGAGCGATGAGTTGAACGCCTCCCCACCACCGTATCAACAGATTGATGAGTTCCCGTCCTCGTCGGGAGAGAATGCATACTCGAACAATGAGGTGGAAGAAACAGAAAGCAATGATTTTGACAATATGTTTGAGGTCAGATCGAAAAGATATGATCAGAACGGGTCTATGGGTATGTTGAACAGGAAATTTGATTTGTTTTTGATGGCTACCGATATGTTTTTGATTGTTGTTGTAATCTTGATCGTTGCAGTCTTTCAACTTAACGTGGACAAGCGAATGCCAGTAGGACGCTTCCAAGAATGGGTCGCGCATCAAATAAAACTCCCCGTGAATCAAGTGGAGTTCCTCAAATTCGCCACCGAAGAGGGATGCGGGTTCCAGGTGCGAGTCAACCAAAACGACTTGATGCGGGATGTGATGCGAGACCTGCACCGAGTGGAAGTCCGCCCAAGGCTAACACCGAGACAGGGAGAGGTGGTCCTCAGCATCCATCAATACATTGCGGCCGAACCGAACATCGACAAGCGTCCGGTTTTGTTTGAGGTCATGTACGATCGATCCTCGCCGGTCAGTCATCTTTTATTGAAGTGTCAGGCGCTGCTCAAGGAAGTTTATGCCGAGGAATACCCCCTAAAACAACTTCGAATCAGAGCGCTGGGAGATGATAGTGCCCCATTGTTGCAATGCAATTCGACTCTGCCATTGGACAAGAAATTGTTCCTACAAGTGATTGATGGTATGTTCAGAGGATTGGTTATGGTATAATATTCGGTATTGTTTCAGACAAGCAGACCCTAAACCAACTAGAAGAGGCGACAGACGAAGAAGAGGAGCATATGGTTGTGGTGATGGTCCAGCGATGGTGCCCACAAAGTTTTGAGACCCTCCCTTTGTTTGAGTTGTTCCTACCATGGGAAGAGAGCGAGGTTTTCACGAAGAAATTGAGGAACAAGGCCGCAGAACGATCGGGAATCCCTGTGGAGAGAGTCGAATTCTCGGAACCATTCCCAACTAAAGACGAGATTTGTGCCAGATACCCATTCTCGAGGCCGATAAGCGAATTGATCGAGACGGTGGAGTTTGGAGAGAAGCTGGAATGCGCCGGAATCAACGGGAAATTGGTTTATATTAGGTGAGTTGAGGGATTTGTGAGAAATGAAGTCTTGAAACAGCGGTAGTTGGAAATGTTTTAGGAGTGAAACACTGTTGAATAAAAGGTCTGAGTTGGATTGGTAGCCAATTAATCTCACTGGTTGGGCGAGGAATTCGTTTATCCTGAAAAATTTAGCTCGATTATGCTGCCCATCCAAAAAAAATTAAGGAATAAAAAAGCATGATTGAGTTCCGTTTACATTTTTACGGTGTTTTTGTTTCAGGGACTCCGAAGAAGAGCGCAAAGTCCCAACAGAAGACGAGAAACGCGTGATCCGCAACAAGGACCAGCGTCGCCTTCAAAAAGAAACTGCCAACACGTTCCGCCGCATGGAGCGCCCCCTCCGAATCCAAGTCGCCAGCATCTCCGAAAGTGAGCCCTAATCTCAATTGTTCTTCTCAATCTCCGACTGTGAAACTTGATGTATAAATTGAATACACATTCGATGTATATTGATGTAGCCTTACTGGTAACCACAATGTCTTCCCTGTTAAACTAAATTGATATAGAATCTGTTTGTTTTTTTTTTGTCTGGATGTGATTTATCCCTTACGAAGCGAAATAAATGTCGTTGAATAGATTGGGAAAGAAATTCGAGGACGGAGAGATGAATAGGAGAGAAGGGGAGGGGAAGGTACTGTAGTAAAAACTAAAAGGTCTGAAAATTAATACAAGTATTGGTGGCAATTTAGGCCATGTGAAATAATTTCAAAATCTTCCGTCGACTGCAATTGCATAAGTTCCTGCACGACCCTGCGAACCTCCAGTCATAAAAAAGCAATCTCTTTTAGTCTGCTTGAAAAAAAACACAAAAAACGGAACGGGTGGGGAGAAAGTTCTTTTTTGAAAAAGCGGACGAGGGAAAAGAATTTTCAAAATAGCTCGAATACTTGTAAATTTAATTTTATCTTTATTTGAGGCCATATATCATCATAATATATTATGCTTTCTTTAAAACCTTCTTTAAATATAATAAAATATATGAAACGCTTATAATTTGGGATAAATTAAGTTTATTTGTTATTTTTCTTACATTTTGCAAATTTTAATGTATAAAAATATTATTCATTTGTCACGGTACACAGCATTCCGAATTATTTTTGCCGCCGACCGGCGTCCGAAAAAATGAAAAAATGAGATACGCCTCATACATTTTCGCCAATATCTCGCTAGCCTCGAAGTGTAGCGTGAATCTGAAAATTGTGTTTCAAAGCTGACACATTTGTCCTTCAGAATATATTAATTTTGTAATAATACTTATTATGTAAGGCAAAGAAACCATTGCTGAAAAATGGCAAATTTCAACATTCAATGCCAGAAAAATGTACTTTCTAAGTGCCAGATCACAAAATCATGGGCCTCATTGTGTACAGCATCTTGAATACTATAAGATATAACAATTTCAGCCATTTTCTGCGGTATAATACTTTTTATGGCAAGTTTTGCGATCGGATAATGCGGAAAATTATCATATGACGTAATTTTATTCTGTTTTTGAAGTTTATTTCCCAACAATTGTAGGTGAGACAATGCAAGAAATTACCACGTAATTTATATTTTTACATTCATCAACTCTCGACTCGATTAAGTATGATGATCTTTCTTCTTACTTTCCATTTTACAAAACTTTCCCGATGATTCTTGCTATTCTATTCACCTCGATTTTTAACAGTTGTGGAAAGCGCTTACGTAACTTGCGATTAGTTTATATAACGCAGAAAAAAGTTGCATATAGCAGAAATAAATCAATCTTCTCTTGGGCTAACTAATTTTTGAAAGCGCAGAAACTTTTTCCTGCAGTCTATGTTTGTTTATTATCAGCGATTATACAGACTCCTTGCAAATATTTTTTTATGATTTAATTTTCTTTTATGATTCGTTTATAGTAAGATATACTGTAATATATTCACGATATAGTACCATATAATATACGTTTTGATTTGTATTCTCATTCATATAGTACGACATATATTACACTTATTTATATTACAATTTTTTTCATATATTCAGACAGTAGTCTATTACTGGAATATGTATATATATATATATCAGTAGGAGCACCGGTATCGTACATCGTGGTGTATTCTAATGGCTTAAAAAAATTAAAATTAAATAACTGCTACGTTTTTAATTCTGAGAGTAATGCAAACGTGTTGCGTGGGGTAGCCGGATGTAGGGTACCAGGGATGGCTGGTCTCCCTCACCCAAGTGGAATTGCAACGAATTTTAGAGTGAATTATCGGCCGTGGACAGAGGATGACCGTGCAATCGTCTCGAGAGTGGTATTTACAAGGGACTACCGGGATCGAGACGTAATTTATATTTTTACATTCATCAACTCTCGACTCGATTAAGTATGATGATGTTTCTTCTTACTTTCCATTTTACAAAACTTTTCCGATGATTCTTGCTGTTCTATTCAGCTCGATTTTTAACAGTTGTGGAAAGCGCTTACGTAACTTGCGATTGGTCAAAACATATTAAAATAGTTTACATAACGCAGAAAAAAGTTGCATATAACAGAAATAAATCAATCTTCTCTTGGGCTGACTCATTTTTGAAAGCGCAGAAACATTTTCCTGCAGTCTATGTTTGTTTATTATCAGCGATTATACAAATATTTTTGCAAATATTTTTTTATGATTTAATTTGCTTTTGTGATTCGTTTATAGTAAGATATACTGTAATATATTCTCGATATAGTACCATATAATATACGTTTTGACTTGTATTCTCATATAATACGCCATATATTACACTTATTTATATTAAAAAAATTTTTCATATATTCAATCTCTATTACTGGACTGTATATACAATACATATTAGTAGCCTTGATGAAGGGTTCAAAAGTAGTAGCAAAACAAGACGGCGACGTTATTTTATTTTTCTTGTAATAAATTTTTTTGTCAACCAATAATACACAATGATAGATCCAACATGTAGATATTCGCACGTCTACGAATTTCACGTAATTTTTTTGAGGAATAGAAGGGGTGCGACAAAAAAGGCGTAAATTGCTTACAAAGCAGCAACAGACGACTGTTGCCAATGAGAATTATATAGGAATGATTTTAATAGCGGGGACGTCCATAGGATAAATGGATAAGTGTGTAGTATCTTAATTTTTTCCCTTCTTTCTATGGGATTTTTCTAATTTCTAAAAATAATAATGGACTTTGCGCAAAAAATCGTAATAGCATGAGCAACCAAAGATTACTAGCTACCACAAAAATAAAATGGTAAATAACTATGAAATATATGTACTTTTATAAAGGTCTCTAATATTGATATTTTATTTGGGGGTGATTATAGGTCAAGGGGATAATCAAGTAATCGTAATTAAACCTGTATGTGGGATAAACTAGATCAAGTAAGAAACTTTTATAAATTACAACTAGCTCTCATAGAGAGTTTCCCATAATAAATGTTACTTATCACATGGTAGGTTAAAAATATATAGGTAGTTTGCAAATGCAACGAAAGAAGTCAGAAGTGAAGTCTACTTACTTATAAACTTGGAATCCCTGGAGTCGGAAAAACTACGATAATGGTCGTAAATACATGATATTAGAAGAAGTCAATAGTGCCAAGTGGAAGTCATAATGGATTCTGTAAAAAATCGTAATGAAATGAGCGGCCAAAGACTACCAGCTATCACTCAGGTAAAGTGGTAAATACCTGTAAAATCTATTGATATTTATTTGGAGTGTTTATAAGCACAGGGAGATCAATAATTTTGTCAGGTGGACAAGATTTGGAGGTCTCACCGAAATTCCCAACCCTGTGTGACCACGGATTCAATATCCGGGGAGGCCAAGACGCCAATGGCAACTTCAAATCGAAACCAAGGGAGAGAAATTAGGCGGAACCGAATGGGACTCCCTGGTATGGGCTACCAATGGTATGGAAGGACTGAACCAAGATACCGTAATTTTATTCTATGTTAATCTAACTTTTTATAAACGAAGTTAAGAAATTACATAACGATATTAAGCCGAGATTTGCACAAATCTGATTGAGTTCAACGGATGTTTTTTCCACGGCGTAAAGCTCCAACTGTGGAGCTGACAGCATGCCAATTTAAAAGACACCGAAACTTTGGGCGTACAACCACTTAGTCCAACTGAAAGTATTGATGAAAGATTAATTTATTTAAATGAATTAAATGGATGTTACTTCCATGGCGTAAACATTCGTCTTGGCTAATATCATCTTATACATGTATGTGCCCTGAAACACTTTTGCTTACTACAACCGTTAATTATGACGTCATATTTTCCAAAACAAGAAATGAATTACACTTAGACGTCGAATGCAGATCTTTTTCGTGTGGCCATATATCGGTCATTTTTTCTACAGACATAAGTATCACGTAAGAAATAAACTTACAATTAGCTAAACAAAAAATAAGAAGCTTGCATTTTCTAGACTTAAAAAACGCAGAAAGATTTTCCTGCAGTCATCTACGATTTACATTTAGGACTCTGCAAATCTTTTTTGCAATTTAATCTTCTTTTTTGATTGTTTTAATAAAATACACTGTAATATTCAATCGATATAATACGATATATTATACTTTTTTGGTTGTTATTCTCATCCATATAACACGTCATATATTACACATTTATATTGTAAATTTATGAAATGATGATACATTGATGATGGGGTATTGCATATACTAATTCGGGGGTAATATATTACAGTAACAAAAAAGCGCATATTTCTCAATGTATAGAAGGACTGAACCAACAACATTAAACTAGTTCAAGGACAAAACGCAACATGTAATGCTTAAAAAACTGGTTGTCTGGTCGGTTACCGCCAAGGCTCGTTGATGGATGGAAGAAATGGTAGCCGATTCCTAAAGTGGGCCGTTGAAAATCCAGAAGAAGTTCCAGGATATCAACCGGTCTTCGCAGCACTCCATGGCCACAGCGAAGGATTACGCAATCGACTACGACGTTTTTGACGCACGGATTGCCAGCAACGAACAAGTTCCACTTGCTCGAATCTCACGTCCGAGACTTCATTGTCAGCTATGACACGTGGGGAAAATTTGGCGGACAGTGCTTGGAATCGATGCACCACGTCAGCGAGTTCTTTTCTTCAAACGAATAATAGCGTAAAAAGACTACTCTTTTTTTATTTATTATTATCTGCCGTCCCGACTAATAACCACGTTGAAGCATGGCACGTAATTTGCGGCAAGTTGAAGATACGGTTCAGTAGAACTTCCAGAGTATCAACCGGTCCTCGCAGCACTCCATTAAGTACAGAAATGGGCCACAGCGGAGGATTAAATCGACTACGACGCTTTTGGCGTTCAAACGGCAGATATTGAAGCGTTTACAACTGCATGGAGTCGCCACGGATTGCCAGCAACGAACAAGTTCCACTTGCTCGAATCTCACGTCCGAGACTTCATTGTCACCTATGGCACGTGGGGAAAATTTGGCGAACAGTGCTTGGAGTTGATGCATCACGTCGAAAATATTTTGTCTGAACGCTGCTTTGGAGTCAATACTGCAGATAAGGCCCGACACACGGCAACCCGAAATAGAAGAAAAATGTTTCCCGCCCACTTTTGAGTTTCGTCCAAACGAAGTGTCAAAATTGTCAAGAGAAACAAAATAATTCCGAGAAAAATATTTTTCGGTCGCACAATCCCACGAAAAATTCTTTTGCGACATTTCGTTTGATCTCAACCGATACAAAATGGGCGAAGTGTCGAAAGGAGCCAGGAAACACTTCGGGTTGCCGTGCGACAGTTCTTCATACGGCGGAATTTTTGAACCGCCACCACCAACACCAGTCAATTCCAACCAAAACCCAGGCCAAACCAGTCAAGACTAAGTCAATCCAGCAAAAGAGCATTGCGAACAGAATGTGTTGTTCCTAAACGCAGAGCTAGGAATAACATACCACGTAATAGGAAAATTGCAAATGGAGGCAAGTGTACAAATATTATAGTAACCTATGCAAACATCGGGGTAATTGTAGAATTTTGAACAACAAACTATTGTGAAGGATGGAACGTAAAGAAGGAATGGAGCGTTTCAGACAAAACGACGTCATTATACGCTCAAGGGGACAATCAAATTGTCGTAATTAGAAACTGACTCCAATGTCACTACATATTCCGTTTGTTAATTTTACGGACATTATACTAAAAGACATGACATTGTGTCTTCGAAGTGATAACGCAGGTTGTTACGTAAATTTTCCACATAACGGAACGAAATGGAACGTAAAGAATGGAGTGGAGGGAGTTAGAAGTTGTGGCAAGTTAAAGATACGATTCTACTACAAAGAGGTTCAAAAGTAAGTAAAAATCCTGTCCATTTCCATACTTGAGACAAGATCTGTCGTGATCTAAGTAAGTTTAAAACTGGAAACCTTTGCTATGTGTTTACAGACTGTGATTTATTTTACCTCTAATATTTATAAGTAAAATAAAGAACGTTCTGTCTGTTGATGACTGTTTACTTTGTGTATACGAAATAAAAGCTTCTTGTAGCATGACACAGAGGATACATTCTTATTTATTAATGTCATCGTTAATCATATTTTTTAGGCAGATATGATGCTTTTTCTCAAGAAGATTTCAGAGGTTAAAAGTCGGACGGTAAGTAATTTATTCCAAAAATGTGTTAAGTTCACGCTGATTTAACTAATCTTTTCTTTTTCAGCCAATCTAGCCAAGTTCCAGCCGCCTCCATTAAAGACCACATTTGCGTTTCAACGATGCCCAATTATCTGACGAATCAAACATTTTTCATAAATTGTATTTGTAAAAATCAAGATAAATAAAATCGATATGCTCAAAAATAATCTTGAAATCTTCAACCAACCATAAATTAATGTGCGGTAAATTTGTCTACAAAATTTGAAATGCTGATAGACTACTGTAACAATTTCAGTTATTCATTGGGCACTCGGCCAAGAGAATCATCTCATCTTTGATGACGTCAAAATCCTCTGTCAGCACCTTTTCGTTTAGTGTAATTTTAATAGGTGAGTCAGGGCAGCTGAAATAAAATTTTTTGTATGACAAGTCCTGCTTACTCCATAAAACCAAATGGAATTTCGACATCCCATTGTACTCGAATGTGAGCACTCAAATACGTCGCTTCTATTAGAATCCTCGCACTTTCACATTGTTTCATCGCTTCACAGTAAAATTCTGTGGCTAGCCGAAGAAATCTAAACTGTTTAGTGAAATGATCCGAAAAGGGGCTTACGAACGGGCAAGCCTCTTCTGGACTATGGAAGACCTGAGGTGTTTCGATTGTACGGAAAAAAGTCGAGTCCTTTTGTCCTCGAGAGAATTTATAGAGGCACGATGCATCCGCTTCGACTGAAATTACAACAGCATTACATTAGTGAGAGTAAATCTAAAACAACGCTTACATTTCTGACTGTCATTTCCATAGTAAAGTTGATTTCTCAACAGAGTGTTGGCAACTGCCATAAATGGTGGTGTTCCGACTTTTTGCGAGCAATCCACCATTTGGTCAATCCTGAGTCAAGATTACAGTTATTACAATAAAATGCCCAGCTACTCACCATGCTTGATCAATGGTCTTAGCGAGTGCCAGCTCGGTATGATTCCAAATGCAGTCGAAAAATTGTATTAGGCTATAATTCTTGTTGATAATTGCGAGTAGACCGAATTTATTGCTTGTAAACCACTAAATAGCTTATTTTTTTGTCTCACTACTTTGTACCTCCACCTATTTATCATCACTGACCTACCTTTCATCCGAGAAAAGCATTTCAGGCAGTGATTCATAGTCGACAGATTCCGCTATGGGCAATGTCCTTTCCCATTTTTTGGGCTTCTGCCTTGCATCAACAGTAAAAACCAGAAGTATTAAGCAAAATATAGACTCCAATTTCCCCATTTGACTTCATGTTGGGACTCAAAAGCGTTTCGAGAATTTAAATTTTGGATGACGAATGAGCACTTAGTAACCCCGTTCCTGGATTCGATCGCAAAATTTCCACTGGGAAGAGACACTTCACCCAAAGAATTGAACCAAATGAACCCCAAACACAAAGTTATAATATAAATTTATAAAATGATATGCATAAATCACAGTTACATTAGACTATATATAAAGTATTCAGTTAGATTTGTGACTAATACAGTAGATGCCGGACATTTCTTTCCAATCGTTCGTATCTCTTGGCCTTTTCTCTGTCTTCTCGGCGTTTGTCACGGTGTTCCGGTTTATGATGAGATTCCTGCAAAATAGTCATTATTTCAATCAAAAAATTAGACCTGTTTCCTGCAAATAAAAAAAATTAATTTCTCACCTTATGTCGTTCATTTCTATCTCTGTCTTCTCTATATTGTCTGACACTCTTTCTCTCTCCGCTTCTTTCCCCCGCATCTTCATAATCATTTCTTCTTCTTTTATAATCTTCATCATAATCAACTTCCTCTTTTATTCTTCGTTTTTTGGGACTATAACCGTCTGCCGGTTGATTCTTCGAAGAGTATTCTCCATCGCTAATCTGAAAATTAAAAAATAATAATAAAACAGGAGTTACAGTGGGACCTGATCCAGAGGTAAAAAACGTATCATTTTGCATCCGAGAAGTATCAAAAATGTGGCAAAATGCTTCCCTTTCCAAAGTGAAAAAAACTCAGTTTTGAAGGGAGCTCCCTTTCCATCACAAAAAGAGCGGACGCGCTTTTGAAATCGGAGTTTTTCCACTTGGAGAGGGAAGCATTTTGCCACATTTTTGATACTTCCCGGATGCAAAATGGTACATTTTTTTGCCACTGGATCAGGTCCCCCACTGTAATATTGTACAAACTAAAAGTCATAAAAACCAAAAAGACATTATTTTCAAAAGACTATGGGAAAGTCATATTTTCCCACTCAAATCCCTTAATCAACCCTCTGAACACCCAACCTACCAATTCCCCATCCTCCACCTCCTTCACCTCATTCTCTACTTCCAATTCGACTTGACCTTCTATTACAACATCTTCTTCCTTAACAACCACTTTTTCCTCCCTCGAATCAACTTGTTCCTTGTTTACCACAATCGATTCATCTTCTCCCTTCTCAAAATCATCTTCATCCAGATGAATCTTGTTCACATTCTCCAATCCGTCCTTCCTTTTCTCCTCTTTCTTCAGCGTGCTCTTTGTGGTCGATCGTTCCTCCTTCTCTCGTTTCTTCTGTTCTCTTTTCAGCTTTTTAATCTTCTTCACCGACTCCTCCAGCTTGCTTCCAACCTTCTTATTACTCCTCTTGGCCGACTTCCTTTCCTTTTTGACCACTTTATCCTCTCCTTGACCCTTCTTCTTCGACGACTTTGATCTGCTCGGGCCCGGCTGTGGTGATGACGAATGGCGACTCCGATCCTTCCTAGAAGATTTGCTTGGGCTAGGAGTGCAATCCGTCTGAAATGGAAAGAAAAATGAATAAATTTCAATCGAATATCACAGATTCCCTAAAACAACAACAAAAAAAATAAAATAAAAACAAAATCTACCTGTTTCTTTTGAGCGTTCTCAAACTTTCTGAGCTCCTTGGGATCAATTCCGAGTTCCTTGGCCCTCTCCAATTTTTGCATACAGTGGACCTAAACAATGACCGTAATTTATTCCTCAACCTAAACAAAATAGATCAAAAAATTCAAATCAACCTGCCTGATGTTTCTTCCTATAAACCGCTCGTTTGAAACTCTCTCCACACAACTCGCACTCGAAGCTGGCACCGTTTCCATGAGTAAATTCATGCATTTTCAGGTCATTCTTTCTGACAAACGACTTCTCGCACATCAAGCAAACAAACGGGCGGTCCTTGGTGTGAACCGATCTGATATGAGCAGCCAATGCCTAAAAACGAAAACTCCACTAATAAAAACAGTCTTCTTACTTTGGAACATTTGTATCCGGGATGTTCGCATCCATCGATCGGGCATTTATAAGTGTGCCCAGTGTGGACCATCACAATATGTCTTCTCAATCCCCCTCGTCGTCCAAAAGCCGCATCACACTGTTCGCACTTGAATGGTCGTTCATTTAGATGCATTATTGAGACATGTTCACGTAATTGAGAGGCTGTTTGATAAACCTTTCCGCATTCCTCGCAGCGGAAAAACATTTGACGAATCTTCTCCTTATGCATCCGACGTTCATGTTTCTGGGCTTGTGACAACGATTTGAACATCTGAAAAGATATAAGACATGTCAAAGTGTCTACAACAATATGTCAAAAATTTGGTACCTAAAATCATAAAACCAATTTTTACCACCTAAAATAATGTAATCATATCCTATGCTAAGCTCCTTACCTGCTCGCACTTCGTACACTTGTACCGTTTCCCCCTTCTGGGCTTAACAGTATTCGGTCCCATGTGGTAATTGAATATGTGCATTTGGACATTTTGTTTCAAAGTAAACCAATGATCGCAGACGTCGCAGACAAACGCTTTCTCTCTGAAGCGCTGATAACGTTGACGCGGCCCATCCTTGATAATTGGACGAGATTCCTTGGATTCGACATAGATCTCCTAAAAGCGCCAAAGGTAAGATGGCTCTGCAACTACATCAAGCCAAATATTCCAAAAGTCAAAGGACTAACGCGTCTGACTTCTTGAAAAGATCACCTAAAACAGAAGAAAAAGAAACAAAAATATTACCTGAATTGTATTGGAATCGTCGATAATTTGAAAGAACTTCTTCCAATTCTCCACTTCATACTCCTGACAAAGCATATCATCGCAAGCCCTCATCTCCTCATTCAGCTTGTTCCGCAATTCTTCAAACTCTTTGTTTACCACATGAACTGACCCATCCGAATTGTCGATTTGAATCCCGGAGTCGTATAAAGGAGTCGAACCTGGCGGGGAATTAGAACTGGGTGGTCGGGGAGTGCTCCAGCCTGGCAACGGGGTTGAAGCTCCGGGGAAAGGGGTCGATCCGCCGAACAAACTGATCTCCCGGCGAATGTGACGTTCCAATCGACGGAAGGGCAGGCTCGGATGGTCAAAACATTTCGTTCCGACTGAAATTAACGGAATAGAAGAGTACCTTCTCCTATTTAGCCAAACCACACTCCAAACTTCATCTTGAACTAATAAACAACAGTGGATATGCGACCTAAATGCAAAACAAGAAGCAAAAATCTAAACCTACATCCATTCTGCACCTGAAAATCGGGGAAAAAGTCGGCTTCATTGATCTCGAATTCACCACATGGAGTCGACTCCGAATCCCCATCCGATTCATCGAAGATGAACTCGTAATATTTTTGAGGAAGTTCGGTTTGGAGTTTATCCACCGTCATAGTGCAGTCGAAGAAGGCCGCTCGGCTCGATGGAAATGAACAATAGTGACCAAAAATGGAATCATTCTGTCTCCCAAAAGTTTGACGGACTTATTCAAATTCGACAAGAAACGTTGATGCACATTTGCGTAACGCCACGAGATCTCGTCGACGATCGCTGAATTTCTTCTAGGTCAAGTGTTGCTCTCTACTGAGTCAAGTCTTGCTTTCACCTAAAAATGGTACTGTAAGAGTCGGAGAAACTTGTGGAAGCAATACAAAGCTTTCAGAAAGGATCCTTGTTAATTTATTCTTTATTTTCTTTATAAAAACAACTACTGTCAAGTTGCGATATTATACTTGACATCAATTTGACGCAATCCTCCCTCAATTGTCTATTCCCAGCGCTGACTCACAAATTTACGTCAGCAGAACGTCACAATTGCCCAAGTTTATCGCCTGATGGGTTCTAAAGGTTAGAAACACATGTTTCTTTTTTTTATCCATTAGAATCTTTAAAAAGGAACAACTTTTTTTTGCCTCTTCTTTCAATCCAGTGCATGACATACAGTGCTGGACAAAATGATATGACCACCGCAATTTTGCGCTGGCAATTTGTCCATAGTAAATGAATTGCTTTAATATTTGGTACAAGTGAATACGAGGCAAGGTAACATGCACACAAAAAGTATCAAAGGATTTCAAAAAGTGCAAGGTGAGTAAAATTTGGAAAAACGCGAAACCGCCAAAAAATCGGCTGGACAAAATGATATGACCACGTGGTTTAATTCAATCTTTTACTAATAACCACAATTTAACAAACAATCCTAGTAATGAGTGAGTCCTCCACTGATTACTAGGACTGGTATGGGGACACGTTCGGCCAGGTTTAGACGGGTTTGAACGCGTTAAACCATGTTTGATGCAGAGCTACCCAAACTGGTGATTTTCTTCCATTGACGCTTTCCAAAAGTTTTAAATGACGTTTTTATCATGTGATCTAGACTTGTAATCACCTGTAAAACTTTCGCTTTTCGCACGAAATCCATGGTGGTCTGGTAGTGTGGATTCAGCAAACATCCGGTTACCATGTCCAGCTTTGGCGACCCATTAGCTATTTGACCCTGGGGATAGATGTGCTTCTTAGGTTTAAAATGTAACCCGGAATCTCTCTAGAAACCGACGAAGCCAAGAAAAGTCCCCGCTGACACGATCACAGCTTTGCAGATGCAACTTTGCCGACCTTCACCTTAACCAGCAAAACCGAGTTTTTCAAATGGATTTTTAGAGATGCAAAACGGCTTTCAAACGATGGCCTATGTAATTTTAGAACCTACAGCACACCTCATGCATCCTGGGCCATCAAATGAACTGTTTTTTGTCGCTAACGATCCCTTTGGAAAACTTGGCTTTTCTGGTTAAGGGGCACATCGGTGCAGTTGCATCTGCAAAGCTGAGATCGTGTCAGCGGGGACTTTTTTTGGCTTCGCCGGTTTCTAGAGAGATTCCGGGTTACATTTTAAACCTAAGGAGCACATCTATCCCCAGGGTCAAATAGCAAATGGGTCGCCAAACCTGGACGTGGTAACCGGATGTTTGCTGAATCCACACTACCAGACCACCATGGATTTCGTGCGAAAAGCGAAAGTTTTACAGGTGATTACAAGTCTAGATCACATGATAAAAACGTCATTTAAAACTTTTGGAAAGCGTTAATGGAAGAAAATCACCAGTTTGGGTAGCTCTGCATCAAACATGGTTTAACGCGTTCAAACCCGTCTAAACCTGGCCGAACGTGTCCCCATACCAGTCCTAGTAATCAGTGGAGGACTCACTCATTACTAGGATTGTTTGTTAAATTGTGGTTATTAGTAAAAGATTGAATTAAACCACGTGGTCATATCATTTTGTCCAGCCGATTTTTTGGCGGTTTCGCGTTTTTCCAAATTTTACTCACCTTGCACTTTTTGAAATCCTTTGATACTTTTGGGGTACATGTTACATTGCTCCATACTCACTTTCACCAAATATTAAAGCAATTCATTTACTATGGACAAATTGCCAGCGCAAAAATGTGGTGACCATATCATTTTGTCCAGCACTGTACAACGATCGGTGCTTTAGCAGTCCATTCTGGCAAGGTTTTTTCAAGTTCTTTGAGGTTTGCCTGTATTCGACCTCCCTTTTATCGCTTCTTTATGCGTTTTCCGGATTATTAATGTAAGTCGCATATGGTACACTGAAAATTTTTTGATGTTCAGTTCGATTCCCTGTGGACATTTGGGACCATGCAGGGTGTCTGGTCGCTTAATCGACTTTTTGGAGCGGGATTTACGTGATTTGGCACTTCTGTGGATCCTTTGCATGAAGACAATGTTCTGCATATCCCGATGTAAAAACAATGACAAAAGGGACCTTCATTTTTTGTTCAATGTAAGTCAGGTGTTCTAAAGACAATGTTTATGACTAACAGGGGAAGTATTCCAAGTGCGACGCTCAGATTTTGATGAAACCTGGCACAAATTTAGAATAATTTTTTCTAAAATATATGCGAGAATCTTAGCTCGCGCTTTGCAGAAACAACCTCGATTTTTAGATCGAAAGTGGGTGGAAATTTGACACTTTTTGCCGAATTTCGGCACGAAAAGTTTCATGCCTATTTCTACCATAGAGTGTGATGTTTCCACAAAAAATCAATTTCTTCCGCACGAAACTAGCAAAGGTATAGCCAAAAGGTGTTTTCCACTCTGTCCGCTCTCCGTATTTAGCGTACTCTCTCGGCGGCAAAGATCGTTCGATATCTCATCGGCGCCCGCAAAGCGCGAGCTAAAACTTTCAGGAATTGTTACTTAGTTCATGCCCGACGTGTGTTCAAAATTTGAAGAAGGTCGGACTTTGGGTACTTTCCTTAAAAATCTTTGATTTTCAGTACGATCATGAGCTCGTGGAAGGTTGTCAGTTTCGTGCTGATCAAATCCGCGAGATCGGAGGGACGGATTCCCAAATTATCGAAGAAATGAGAGCAAACAAGCTGTCTGACTGGGAATTGGAAATGGTTTTGGCATCTCCACTGAAGAGAAATGTTTATTATACAACTTTGTTTTATTGCCGACTTTTTCATCGGACCTTGTTCACCATGACAGCCATATTATTATTTGCTTTGTTGATTAACACATTGTTTGTTGCTGACAAAATGTTCATTGTTGAAGGATAACAATTGTGATTTACGTATGAATAAAATTGTTAGACCCTGAGTTCCCATATTAAATTTTAAACACCACTAATATCATCATAAAATTTGAACTTAATTTTTGAAATAAAAAATTTATTTGGACTGGAAGCATTTAAGGCTTTATTGCCTGCTTACAATTCACATTGAATATGGACTGCAGGGCTGTTCAACTCGTTGTGTTCCTTGTTCTGGCTTATAATTGCTTCGGAAAAAGTATGTTAGCCTTAATTTTGCTTCAAGTTTCACATCTCTCTGTGTTGATTACAAGTGAAATTTTTTCTTGGTTCAAAAAAATACAGCATAATTGAATCTGATATAAAATAGTATTGCAAAATTTTTTTCTTTATGTCGCACGTCAATCCAAAATAGAAGAAATAATTTCCCGCCCCTTTTTGGTGATTCGTTCAAAACGAAATGTCACTATCCGATAAAACGCATTTTCTTGTCTTCTTTCTCCCTTTTCGAGAAAAAGCAATTATTTCGGGCGAAAAAAGTGCCGATAATTTCGCAACATTTCGTCTCCCTTTTATTGTTAAATCAATGAAAACGATACGAAGTTTCGAAACGGTTCAGGAAATGCGCTGGATTGACGTACGTCGGCGTTTTTTGATAAAAAATCCAGACCCTTACCGTAAAAAAAAATTGTCATGCCTGAAACTGTATCATCTCTTCTCTCAATTCTTTTCTACCAGGTACAAAAGAATGTCTTTGCCAAGAAGAAACCTGCAAACGGAGGAACTACGAGTCTTGCGTACGGGGTTTCCTAAACGAAGAAGGCTCCTGCGACGTCTCCTGCCGACGTCCCGGCCATTGTCCCAATGCAAACTGCTCCTGTTCTGATGCGGAATGCCGTCTTCTTGGGTTTGATGAATGTGCCGGAACCTACTGCCAAGACGGAGAATGTAAACCGAGCTGTTGTCAAAAACAGGAGTGCGAATGCGATCATGATTACTGCATCTCGCAGGGGTATACAATGTGTACCAAGGCGTACATGAAGGACGGGAAATGCAAGCCTGTGTGTCGAGGGCCGACTTGTCCTAATAAGAATTGCACTTGTGATGACAAAGAATGCCAGAGACAGGGATTCGAAAGATGTGCTGGGACTTATTGTGAGAATGGAGAGTGTATGATCAGTTGTTGTGATAAGGTCGGGACAAACGTGACAATAATTCCAACTCGATCCACTAAACTTACAACCGCCTCGCTTAGCACTCCCGTCACATCACCAAGTACTTCAATAACAACACCCAGCACCACTCCAACCACAACTACAACCAAAAAACCCGGCTGTGAGTTATATAATAAAGCGATCCGGCTGCCTTCAAAGTACCGTAACTCCAAAACTCCTTTCATTTTCGCGCATTTTTGATATGTTGTTACACCTATGTCAAAGTATTTTTGAGAGGTTTCAAAAGTTGAGACAAGTTCTCTGCAAAAAAGTTACATTCAATATGGTACCTTGGTATTTTCCAAAGTAGTCGAAGGCAACATCCTACGGTAAAGTTGTCAATTATGAAAATGTTCCCCATGGTCAAAAACGTAAAACAGCGAGGTTTTGTGCCTTTACTCCATGGGATTTCTACACACGAACCCAATCTTTCTGAAAATTGTACCTACCGTAACCCCCGTATACGGTAATTTCAGAAACTAAAAATTCGCGCTGACGTTCAACTATCATAGTACAACAACTATGCAAAATATGTAGTACAAAAATCTTTTGGCCTGACCTAAACATTTTTGCGTCAGGACCCATGGAAGAAACATGCATTTTTTTGGGACACCCTGTAAAGGTGTTTTCGAGTTGGGCGTCCACATTTTTGTTCACCGAAAATTGCGATTTGGGAAAAAAAATTTGTGAATTCTTATACGGCCACCTTTATATATTACACATTTTCATCAATTACATAATATATTTCAGGCAAGCCCTGTCGATGTGGACGTTGTTGTGGCGGTTGCCGAGGGCGTTGTTGCGGAAAGTAAGAAATAATGGCAACTCAATACATCCCTTCTTCCTGCGATGTTACTGATTGCAAAAATACCATCAACTTTGCGACGTAGCATTTTATTGTCAAATAAATTTATTTTCAGTTTTTTTGTGGGATATAAAAATGCGTTTTAGTTGTTGCATATGAATTAGTTTGAATGTAGCAACGTGTTTAATGTGCTGCATTTTGTGAATTATCATAAAGATGATGTTCGTTTGCATTTTCCGCAGCTAATAAATGGAATTTATTTACATGTTTCACTTCAAGGTGAGTTCATTAATACCAAGGCCTAGCGAACTCACAGTTAGTAATGAATATAAAAAGGCGGGTAAACAACAGTCTCCGCCGAGTTTGTCGGACTTTTGCCGAGCTCTTCCCAATTCCCGAGACCTATATACCGTCACCGCAGCCATCATTTATTGTCATCATTACAATAAAATGCAACTTTTTTTCAATTTCCCAGCCCCATGTTTTCCTAAATCAATTTGCAGCTATCCCATTCAGAAGGCTCATTCGAATTGTGTGAGGCATGAAATGGTGTGCGCTTCTAATATTGCTGCAAATATCCTGGTCTCAAGCCTTGCCTAAGGGAAATGGTAAGGATTTTGCCAAAGCTTCTAATAAAGAACTGACAACCGAGATATCGAAAGATTTTTGCCGCCGAGAGAGCACGACAAACGTGGAGAGCGGTCAGAGACAAAAACGCTTTTTGGCCGTAACTTTGGCAGTTTCGTGCGGAAAAATTTGATTTTTTGTAGGAACAATATCCTTTATGGTAGAAATAAGCATGAAACTTTTCGTGCCAAAATTCGTCAAAAAGTCCTAAATTTTTGCCGACTTTCGATCTAAAAATCTCGGTTGTTTCTGCAAAGCGCGAGCTAGAATTCTCGCATATATCTTAGAAAAAATTGTTCTAAATTTGTGCCAAGTTTCATCAAAATCTGAGCGTCGCACTTGGAGTACTTCCCCTGTGAACTTTTTGTATAACGAAATATTAAAAACAGGCACCAAGGAATGCCCTTGCGCGGACGAAACCTGCAAACTCAGGAACTATGAGTCATGTGTAAGAGGTTTTCTGAACGAGCAAGATGTTTGTGACGTCTCCTGTCGCCGTCCCGGCCATTGTCCCAACGAAAACTGCACCTGTTCCAATGCGGAATGCCGTCTTCTTGGGTTTGATGAGTGCTCCGGAACCCTCTGCCAAGACGGAGAATGTAAACCGAGCTGTTGTCAAAAAGAGCAATGCGAATGCGATCATGATTACTGCATCTCGCAGGGGTATACAATGTGTACCAAGGCGTACATGAAGGACGGGAAATGCAAGCCTGTGTGTCGAGGGCCGACTTGTCCTAATAAGAATTGCACTTGCGATGATGCTGACTGCGAAAAACAAGGTCTTGGCGTATGTGCGGGGAGCTATTGCGAAGATGGAGAGTGCTTGATTAGCTGTTGCAATAAACAAGGGAGAAATGTTACAGTAAGGACTACGGGAAGCAGTGGACAAACAACTCAACGGTTGACAACGTTGACTGCATCAACGGTCACAGCAACCGCTTCGAAATCATCTACAGTGACTGGAGTTTCAGCCAGCATTTCGAGTTCTCCTTTTCCTTCGACTAGTGTCTCTCAAACGGCTTCATCTTCCGTCAGCTCAACGCCCTCAACACCTACATCGGCGAGTCCAACACCATCAGTGTCCACAGTCACTGGAACAGTTACTGAAAAACGGTCCACATCTAAGAGAACTAGAAAAACAACTAGAAAGGCCACAAGAAAGAGAACTACTACGACTACAACCACCAAGAAACCGGCACCACCACCACCACCTCCGCCCCCACCTCCGCCCCCACCTCCACCCCCACAGCCTTATTATCCAAACAGTGCCTGTCGAACGTGCCCGGTAGAATATTGCTTTGTAAACCGTTGCGGACGTAAGTAAAGATTGCAGTCTATCTTCTATTTCAGGGCTTGAATGCTGTCGATACCCTTATTGCTGGAACTCCGGCAAGTAGACCACGGCAGTGTGATGAAAGACAGAAACTTCATTTTTGAACTGCGCTGAGCAATAAATCTGCATTTTTATCTAATAAAAAAGCTTTCTTTTTTTAAACCATTTCTGTTCTTTGAAATACCACATAGGTATAATATATTATATAAAATATCAATGTCCAAGAAAATGACTTTGATGACAACAGGTAAAGTCGAGATTTTGCATAGAAAGGTCAATTCAAAATATATTTTTTTTTGAAATTTAGTCTGTTGAAAATGGCGGGTCTCAGCTCGAGAAAAATGTAAGTTTCAGGAAAATCGGCGGAGTCTCCGCGGAAAAATTCAAAGAAAAAACTTACCCGTTTCGAGTGGCCCACCCTGCATTTAATTTGTAGGTTGAAATAACCCACAGGCAATACGCATGGAAAGAGCTACAATTGCCATTTATGTATGTTCTTCATTTTTTTGCCAAAGGCAAAAAATTTGTAGTCTAATGAACGCTAGTTAAAAATGAAAAGATTGCAGAAGTATTCTATCAAACTGTAGAAGTCGTTGATGACTCGCCCATTTCATGTCGTATTTTGAAACTAATTACTATGACATTGAACTGCCTTCTCAAAATCTCAGAGTCTTTTGCATCGCGTATGCCTGGATCATAATGACCATCAACGGATTTCTTTTTGTGCTCACGATTTCTATTATCTGGAATTACTCTCCTTCATCTATGGGGGCTTATAAATGGTGGGTGTTGAGTTGAAATGCGGGCCACGTTGTTGCAGGTACATGATTTGGGCTCAAACCAACTTGTTTCTATTACATGTTGGAATGGCGTCGTTGGAGATGGAGTGCTTGTCGATTCGTTATGAACTGGTGGCTAGGGGAATTGTCGAGTATTTGAAGGTACAGAAACGTACAAAAAACTTGAAAGTACAGCAGCTACGATACAGTGGGGGACCTGATCCTGTGGCAAAAAACGTACATTTTGCATCCGGGAAGTATTTATCAAAAATGAAACAAAATACCTCCCTCTCCAAGTGAAAAAACTCAGATTTCAAAAGCGCGCCCGCACGCCAATCCAAAACAGAAGAAAAAATTTCCCGCCCTTTTTTGGTGATTCGTTCAAAACGAAATGTCACTGTCCAATAAAAAGCATTTTCTTATCTTTCTTCTTCATTTTCGAGAAAAAGCAATTATTTCGGGCGAGAAAAAGTGCCGATAATTTCGCGACATTTCGTATTTTTTTTTAAAATCAATGAAAACGATACGAGTTTCGAAACGGTTCAGGAAATGCGCTGGATTGACGTGGCCCGCTGTTTTTGTGATTGAAAGGGCTCGCACGTCAAACTGAGGAGTCCGGTGACCGGAATAGACTCTTCGTTATCGGTTTTTTACATTTCGTCTTGATTTCCAGAGAAAGAGAGAAAAAAGACACGCAAAAGCGTACTCTCTCGCCTCAAAAATTCCCCATTTCTTCCCCGACAAAACGTTTTTTCGGGTCTTTTTTTCGCAAATTGCCAATCCATTCACCGGACTGTTTTAGCTTATCTCAGTTTGACGTGGCTCGCTCTTCAACGAAGTTTCTTACTTGGAGAGGGAAGCATTTTGCCACATTTTTGATGCTTCCCGGTTGCAAAATGGTATATTTTTTGCCACTGGATCATGCCCGTCACTGTAACTGTTTGTTTTTTGCAGTTGCCAATTCTTGGCCCTATTCTGCGAGTCTCCTTCTACGTCTTCTACGAGATGAACGTCTACGTAACTGTCTGTCGATTCTTGTTTCGCTACGCGCAGACTACGGGAAAGACCAGTCTGCTTGGGATTTTATCCAGCAAACGCTTCTTTATCCTACTTTTTATTTTCTTCCTTATCCTATGCATAAAAGCCGCTTGGCTGAGCATTAACACCTATGCGGATGGGATCGAATTCAAGCGAAATTTCCCCAACAATAACCCAGCTCTGAAGAAGTATATCATGGACCATACGATTGTTATTGCAAGGGTATGCTGACTGAATGCAACCGCTGATTTATCAGATTTCAGACAACGATTTTTGATCAACTCTTTCTGTATGTTGTCTTCCCTTCTACTTTGTTGATTGGCTCCTTTTGTACTTATCGATGCTATCGCTTCAAAAGAAAGGCCACCGTATTTCTGAGTCAACGGACAATTCATATGTATCGAGTTTTAATCATGGGACTAGTCATCGAACAGCTCGCTGAATTTCTATGGATCTTGGTGCCAATGCTAGTGGTACACTTGGCCTTGGAAGGGCGACAAAGACCCTTAGGATTCTTCGTCATGTTCCGGCTATTCTACTCTTATAACACGTTTGTTCTCGTCTTTACGTTATCAATTTACCGGAGATATCGTGAGGCGGTTAGGGAGTTATTCAGTCAAATATTTGGGGTGCAAAAGACCCCAATTGAGGTGGTTGGCACCAGCACGTTGTAGATTCAAGTTTCCTGGTAATATCCGCAGCGATTGTTGGATAATTTCGTATGTGTCGTATGATTATATTGGCTTAATATTTGAAGACAAAAAACAAATTCTCTCCGACTGTGTGCCAACATTTTCTGGGCCAGAAAATCGTTGAAACACTCGTCTGCATCTGCAGGGAAATTGAAGCCTTACCTTTCAACCAGTACTTTGTTAAACTTTGGTTCCAACAACAGCTAACTATTGTTTCTGCATTGACATTTGTCGTGAATATAAATTTGAATTCACAAAGAGCCAAGTATGGCCACACAATTTGCTACAAAAGTACAAAAAAAGTAAAATATAAGAATGTGGGAGTTTAGCGAAGAAAATTAATGAACAAATTGCCCCAATAAATAAATAAAGTTACCAATTTAAGAACGGGAAATGTTATAATTGAAGTCCGTATTAAAATTTAAAATTTGTGAATCGTTCAGACCACCCATGTACCATACATTTTGTATTGCACTTTTGGTTATCAAAAGCATTACAATATAACAAAAATGTACATTAATTTCTTCTGTAGTTTTTATTCTGCAGGCCCAGCTCTAAAAACGTCTGTATTTTTTGATGACTTATAGGTTTGCGTAAGAAAATTTAACCCAAGAATCATATCTGCTGTAAAAGTAAAAGAAAACGTGCGGTATTTGTACACTTAATAAGGCAAAGCTTGTTGGAGTTACTTATATGCAGAAAACGAGCCCTGTGCTTGTGCAAAACGGGGAAGCTGCGAGAGAAAGAGAAAAACGCACTATGCAAAAGTGTCGAGACTTCATGGCGCGATGAGTTTATATTGTGCACGAACACAAGCCTATACAATATCGGATAACTTTGCAGCTCAACTAGGTTCAATACATACAATGGGCACAATTTTTAAGCACCTTACTTTACTGTGCGAAGATAAAGGAAGGCAGATTTTAGACCCTTCACAAATTACACTCTTTGCTTGAATAATTTGGAGCATGAAATAGTTATTGCATTAAATAGTCATTCTGGACATTAAACTTATGAGTGTTAACTTGACGTATTATGATATTGAGCTTCCCTCTGATTCGACTAGATTTGCGTTTGTTGTGTATGCCTGGATTGTAACTACTCTAAACTTGATCTTATTTGTCATCGCAATGAATATTATTATCTGTTATTCTCCAGTCACAATGGGCGCATATAAGTGGTATGATACGAGAAATATGTGGTACTGTAAACGTGAAGTTCTCTTGGTGCAACGCTATGATCTTTTTTCAATTTTCTATATGCGTTGTGTTTAGGCCACGTATTAAATACTGAAAACTTTAGCTTGATTCCCGTTTTAGGTATATGACATGGTCGGTTACGAATCACGTTTTGCTAAACACATTCTTGGCCATGTTGGAGCCGGAATGTTTATCACTTAATTACGAGGTAATTGCCAGTGGAGTGGTAACATACGTAAGCTAATCTTGCAAGTTCTTCAGCAGCCTTTGTTTTAGATACCCGCTCTAGGTCCAGTTCTTCGTATTGTGGTCTATAATTTCTTTGAGATGAACACCTACATCACAATCTGCCGCTTTCTTTTCCGGTACGCTCAGACCACAGGGCGACAAAGCCTGATGAGTTTCTTGTCTCATAAACGTTTTTTTCGGTTTCTGTACTTACTCTTTGTGCTTATTCTGCTAAAAACTGTGTGGTATAGTCGATTTATGTGGGTTGATGGAGATGAATTCAAAAGAAACTTCCCAAATACAAACGCTACTGTAAAGAGATACATCATGGAGAGAACTGTGTTGATTGCGAGGGTAAGACACTTTGATAAGAAAACATCCTTGCGGCTGTCGTTTGGGCAGTATTTGTCTTTGAAACAAAAAAAAAATAAAAGAAACAGCTTATATCGTTACTAAAATGGTCTAAGTGAGAGCTAAGTAGCTTACCATTAACGTCGAAGGATGTAACAGTTTCCATATGTTTTTGATCTCTAGTCAACCGTTGCAATGACTGTTAACCGGTTTTAAAAGTATTTCAATCGAATGGGACGGCACTCCAAAACTCCAGAGGCCTAATTGCGCCTTGGCTACTCTCCCAAATTTTTACCATGCTATCTAATTCAGTTCGCGCTTGTTCTAACTGTTGAAGTAGCGACCTGAAATACTTGACTGTCAATCCATCCTTTTTAACCTTTTTTTAAAGGAGGGATTGACATTTTAAAAAAGCTACAAGAAAATGGTAACATTCAGCCTTCTATACTTCTGTGGCACAAATGGATGCGATTTATGCATAGGGACTAATACACCATCTAACCTTTAACTCACAATCAATCAAAATTTAGTCCGATATTTCCAGACTGGCACAGTTGAACACATCTTTATTAACCTGATATACCCATCTTCCTTGCTTATTGGAATCTTCTGCACATATCAATGCTATCGCGTCAAGAAATCTGCCACTTATCTGAGCAGTCGGACATTACGCATGTACCGACTTCTCATTCATGGCCTTGTTGTTGAACAACTTGCTGAGTTTCTCTGGGTCTTGCTGCCAACTGTAATCGTTCACCATATGAAGCTGCGTGAACAACCCCTAGGATTCTTCTTTTTGGCCAGATTATTTTATCTGTATCCTTCATTTGTCATCATTTTTACATTATCCTTTTATCGGACTTATCGAGAGGCGATCAAAGCTTTGGTTTCTAGGGTGTACAAAATTCACGTTACTAAAGTTTCTACAGGAATTACAAGCAGTCGAATTCTGACTGTTTCGTAAGAACCTCTTCGTAATTCGTATGAGAAAAATTTCATTTAAACATATGCTTAACTTTGAAGTCCAGTTATACAACACCTCCTTGCCAGTTGCAAAAAGTTTTTTGAAGTTGTGGCGAAACCTGTCATCGTTTTTATGATCTCATCATTAGAATAAACTCTGCAGCTCCGTTAGATTCATCCCATACATACAATGTGTACAATATTTAAGCACCTTCCTTTACTCTTCGAAGATAAAGGAAGGTAGATTGTATACCTCACATGGCTATCAAAATTGTACTTTCTGCTTGAATAATTTGGAGCATTAAATACCCATTCTGAACATTTAATTTATGAGCGTTAACTTGACATATTATGATATTGAGCTTCCTTCTGATTCGACTAGATTTGCGTTTGTTGTGTATGCCTGGATTGTAACTACTCTAAACTTGATCTTATTTGTCATCGCAATAAACATTATTGCCTTTTATTCTCCAGTCACAATGGGGGCATATAAGTGGTAAGATACGGGAAATGTAGTACAGTAAAAAGTGAAGTTCTCATGGTGCAAGAAAATGATCTTCTTCCAATTTTCTATATGCTTGTGGTTAGGCCACGAATAAAACATTGAAAACTTTAGCTCGCTTACAGTTACAATTGCATTTATAAAATAATAAATTATTCAAGATATTTGCCCACGCGAGAGTACACATTATGCAGAGAGTTGCCAGAGAAAAACATTTCCGGGCCATTCTTTGTCAATTTCGCAGGAAAAAATAGATTTATTATGACAATTTTGCCCCTACAAAATGCCATTTTTTCCTTCAGTCGTAAAAATGTTTACTTTTTCTGCAAAGCCGCGAGCTAATAAACCAGTATGCAAAAAATTAATTTAAATTTTGGGGCGTTGCTCTTCAAGCACTTCCCGTTTTAGGTATATGACATGGTCGATTACTAATCATGTTTTGCTAAACACATTCTTGGCGATGTATGAGCCGGAATGTTTATCACTTAATTACGAGATAATTGCCAGTGGATTGGTAGCATACGTAAGCTAACTTTTTTTTTTAAGTTCTTCAGCAGTAAATTCGAAATGATTAAGCAATGAATAAATAAGTTAATAGTGTGGATTTGCAGTAAACTTTGTTTCAGATACCCGCTCTAGGTCCAGTTCTCCGTGTTCTGACTTATCATTTCTTTGAGATGAACACCTACATCACAATCTGCCGCTTTCTTTTCCGGTATGCTCAGACCACAGAGAGGCAAAGGCTGATGGGTTTCTTGTCCCATAAACGCTTCTTCCGCTTTTTGTATTTACTTTTCGTGCTTCTGCTACTCAAAAGTGTGTGGTATAGCCGATTTATGTGGGTTGATGGAGATGAATTCAAACGAAATTTCCCAAGTTCAAACGCTACTGTAAAGAAATATATCTTGGACAGAGCTGTGTTGATTGCGAGGGTAAGACACTTTGATAAGAAAACATCCTTGCGGCTGTCGTATCTTTTGGGTAGTCTTTGGGACGGAAATTTTTCAATGTTTGGAGAGCGCTATGGGGACAAGTTACACATTAGTCTACATGCTATCAAGTCACCCTTGCATAGCCACATGATAGAACTTTCCAGAAAGTTTCACAACTTCCATAACTTTTCCCGAAAATTAGGGGGAAAACTTTTGCTCCAACCTAATACAATACTAGCAACACTTATATAGTCTGTCTTATATGCTTCCGTGATCCAATGTGTCGGATCTTCGATCTCGAGAGAACCAATTCCCAGTAAAATAATTTGGTTCTCCGTTTTTTATATTATATTTTATTTTTTGTATTAGGTGAAAACTTGTCCCGTGGATTTCCCGGGTTAACTCTCTCTTTCCCGAGATTTTTTGAGTCTCTGTCCTCTCTTCCCTCAGGGGAAGGATGAATTGATATAGAAATTCGTTTCCTTTTGTCATCAAGAACACGTCAGTGTGAAAATTATCTAATTTGTGTGTGTGTGTTTTATTCTGAAGATAAATTCTTGTTGTTAACACGGACGAAGTGCCAAAGGGAAGTGAACCCCTATCTTCAGGATTCTCTGTTCTTGTCAGTCTCTCCGGGAGCAACCGGATTCAGCGATAACAAGCCAAGGTTGGATTATTCCTCGACCAACAGGCGAGTATATATCTATTCCGCTCGACCTCTTGGCGAGTCTCGACCCTAAGGCGAGTATTGTTGAATCAGAAGGTTCCCTAGTCGACATTCAGCAAATACTCTAACCCCCCTTCGGCGAGGAGAGTTTATTCTGCGATACTCTTCGCGTCGGAGGTAAGTTGTTAAAGTTTATTGTCTTATTCAGCTATCAAACGGATTGATCACCCGGGCATTAGCTGGGATAAGACAATTGGGGGCTCAGCGAGCGTACAGAGACTGTTGAGCATCAGAGAACGCCGAAAAGATGGTGGACAACCTGGTAGCCAGACGAGAAGCGGAAAAGGCGCTAGGCATTTTCGAAAAGTATAACACCAAGTTTTACCAGACAATTGAAACGCACATCAAGCCAAAGTTCCAGCACTGGTTAACATCCCCTCCTCAAACCGACGAAAATTTCTCGGCTACACTCGATCAGCTAAAGAAGGCGGAGCTGGAATACAGCTCATGTCTGGAGCAAGTTGAAAAGTTGAGAAAGCTCACCGGACTGGATGAGGAGACCGCATTGAAGACCGAGAGGGACCAAGTTCTCCTCGAAGCCATGCGAGACCTGTTAGAGCAAACGCGCAAAAGAGCGAGTGTGGTCCTCGGGAAGGTAAAGTTATCCAACCATCTGGTGGAATCATACTCGTTAGTGCAACTGGAAAATGGGAATTACGAGTGGCCCCGTGTCTTCGACACTCCCTTATCCAACACTGAGGAACAATCAACACCTTCAGGAGAGGATTTACCTTCAAACCAAGTGCAACATCCTCAAGTCATCTTGCCGACTAATTTCACCACTCAGTATGAAGACCAGTTTTACAACGAGTTGGCAGCAAGTAGCAGCAGGCCCATCGTTTCGCCCGATAATCCGGCGTCCCCGCTTGGCCAACACACTGCACACACTAACTCGTCAAACGCATCACAAGGAGGTACAAGAAATGCACCACTTCAGACGCAAGAGACAACGACTGCACCCACACAACTGGAGCAGTCTTTGCTCGCCGCCTTGGTCAAGCAGTTTCAGCCTCTGATGCAACAAGCCATCAACGATGTGATGAGCAAAACAATGGCCGATTCCGTGCATCAATCAGCCGGACAGAGGCACCAACATCAACCAGAACCGGATGCTGAAAGATCCTCTAGCCGTCGCAGAGATAATCCAACACGCCGGTCGTCCTCCCGTTCTCGCGATGACAGACGCAGAAGACGTAGACGACGAACAAGATCCTACAGTTCGTCATCCAGGTCAAGCTACGATTCTGATCGGGAAGACAGAGATCACTCCCCCAGGAACCATCGTCGGAGCAGTCGCCGAGTAATCGAGCACAGGTCTGATCCTGAGTTCGATACCAGGTGTGCGATCAATGTATTCCAAAAGGGACAGTTTATATGCAAATGTAAAGAGTACTTTGAGATGAGAGGCTCTCTCACCAAAGGTCTCCCAAATCCGTCCGTCGAGAAGATGAAAGATTCGGAACATTCGACATGGCTGGTCTTCTTAACTCATTTCAATATAGATGTTGGGAACAACCCTAGTTTCCCACCAGCAAAGAAGAATGCATTCCTTCGCGATCGACTCCTTCCAGCAGAAAGACTGGTGGCTCATATCGCGGATCCTCATCTTCAATCTTACACTCGGACCATGCAAGGGCACTTCTCTCCTTCATAGGCACTTCTCAGCCAAAGCGAAAGATGTTGCTTTGAAGGTTCAAGAACTCTGGACTTTAAGGAAAGCTACTACCCAAGAGGAAGCCCCGGAATGTCTAGAGAAGTTGTTTCACAAGCTGTTGGAGCTTAGAGAAGCCGAAGCACTACCAGTTCCAGCAGTCATCAAGTCATTATTTAGCGCTATGATCCCAGAGCAATCATTGTCCTTCATTATGAACCGTCCCCTTTACACCATCAAAGAAGCAGATCCGGTGGACCTCTGCAGATGGGCCGCTGAAGAGTTCAGACAGTTCCGGACAGCCAGAGCCCTTGCTAAAGACGTTGCCAGCTTTGCTAAAGATAGGAGCTTTCGTAGGGATAAACCCACGACTTCTCAACCTGTGAGATCAAATCCAGGTCTTGCTCCTCCTGTGAAAGGAAATGACAACGTCAAAGGTAGTGAACAAACCCACAGAAAGCCAGGTCCAAGTCAGAAGCTACGTTACCCCTGTGCTTTTTGCCAGGAAGACCATCGCACTGCCACTTGCCGAGCGAACGTGGATCTACAAACGAGGAAATCCCGTGCCACGGCTGCCGGATTATGCAATACGTGCCTAAGAAGGAAGCACGATGGGAAGTGCAATCTATTCCCATGTCGACGGTGCTCTCAGCTTCATCACTCTGTCTTTTGCCATCTGCCGGCTCCGCCAGAAAATCAAGGTGAAGAGAGAAAACAAATGCAAAAGCCGTCACAACCAGGTGCATACATAACGCTTGGAGGGGATCCAGTCATCATGCCGACCCATCGGAAGAGCATGCTTCCCACTTTACAAGCCAAACTTAAGGCTAAGACAAATACCTCAAAACCCGTAGAGCTATTGGTAGCGCTCGACTCGCATGCGCATTTCAACTTCATCACAACCGACGCAGCTAAGAAGCTCGGCTTGAGGTTATCCGATCCAATCACCACAACAATCCACGGCTTTGGGGCGAACACCACCACAAGAGCCATGTGCGTTACAGAAGCGTTCGTTGAATTGAACGACGGTTCCCTACACCCCGTAACGCTGTGGGTGACAGATCAGTTTATTAAACCATATCCAGTCCTAAACGGTTTACCACAAACAGAGGAAAGCTTGCTACGATTCAAGCTGCCGAACCCAATTCCATTAAAAGAACCAGACGTTCTCTTCGGTATAAACGAGGTGACCGAGTTCCAGACCACTTTCACGACATTGACGCATCCGTCAAACCTGCGGGTGGTTCGCTCAAGAATTGGTCTGACGCTTAGCGGAACGATAATTTCCCCGTTTCCCTCAGAGATCACGGCTCTTTTGACATTAGTCGAAACCCCTCCTGACATGGATGTAGAAGACGCTTGGTTTAATCAGCTCTGTTCTGTTCAACACTTGGGAATTCATGAGAAGGACTTTTTTCACACAGAAGAGGACGAAGTAGTAAAAAAATTCCATCAGACCATGAAGAGGGATAGTGAAGGCCGCTTCCAGGTTTACTATCCGATCAAGGATTCCATAAGGGAACTACAGTCTCATTTCTCCGTCGCACTGGCACGGCTTAAATCGTTCCAACAAAAAATGGTGAAACATCCGGAAATTTGGAAAACCATATTAGAAACGGTGCACAGCATTCCGAACTTTTTTCGCCGCCGATCGGTGTCCAAAAAAATGAAAAATTAAAAAGTGCACATTACATTTTCATGTGTGTAAGGGTAGCCAGAAGAGATACCGGCAAAAACAAAAACTCTTTAAGTAGAGTAATCAATTTCCTTTCAGAGTATGTAAGTTTTGCCTTCAGGTTGTCCGCTACCTTTGAGAAAATCGTCACTAAAAAAATGGAAATTTCGATTTTGAATGCCAAAAAATGTACTTTCTTGGGGCCACCAAAAAAGATGTTGGAGTCTATCGTAAAGAGAATTTCAAGGGCTACAACATATTAAAATTTCAAGATTTTTGTGGGGGTTTAAGCCAAGTTAGAGTGAAAAAACCCCTGATTTTGCACTTTTTCTCGATTTGTTTGCACTTTTAGTGCAAAAATAAAAAACCATCCATGGGCGATGGAATCTGTGTGTCATGTCGGATATTCATGCCAAATTTGAAGCTTCGCCGACGCTCCGGAGTCGCTGAATATCCGTTTAAATACGAAACCTTAGAGTACTATTTCTGTCGTTTGAAATCGCTTTATGTGCTCCAAGATCCCTTTTGATCAAAAATATATTGCCTGTATACAGTGTATAACAACTGCATAACGACTTAATTGCAAAAGTCTAACTCAGCTTGGCGGTTAATTTAATTGGTTGTTGCAACAAAAAATTGGCTCTGTGAAGGATTCGAAATGAAAAAAATATATCGTGAGTAAATGATAAGATGTTGTTGTGCACTGTATATAGACAATATACTTTTGATCAAAAGGTATCTTGGAGCACATAAAGCGATTTCAAACGACAGAAATAGTACTCTAAGGTTTCGTATTTAAACGGATATTCAGCGACTCCGGAGCGTCGGCGAAGCTTCAAATTTGGCATGAATATCCGACATGACACACAGATTCCATCGCCCATGGATGGTTTTTTATTTTTGCACTAAAAGTGCAAACAAATCGAGAAAAAGTGCAAAATCAGGGGTTTTTTCACTCTAACTTGGCTTAAACCCCCACAAAAATCTTGAAATTTTAATATGTTGTAGCCCTTGAAATTCTCTTTACGATAGACTCCAACATCTTTTTTGGTGGCCCCAAGAAAGTACATTTTTTTGGCATTCAAAATCGAAATTTCCATTTTTTTAGTGACGATTTTCTCAAAGGTAGCGGACAACCTGAAGGCAAAACTTACATACTCTGAAAGGAAATTGATTACTCTACATAAAGAGTTTTTGTTTTTGCCGGTATCTCTTCTGGCTACCCTTACACACATGAAAATGTAATGTGCACTTTTTAATTTTTCATTTTTTTGGACACCGATCGGCGGCGAAAAAAGTTCGGAATGCTGTGCGGTGGAGTACCAATTGAAAGAGGGAATCATTCGGGAAGTAAATCGCAATGATCCCCTTCCGGAGAACTCCCTCCCGGCTCATTATCTTCCTCATCATGTGGTCACCAAGGACTCCAATACGACTTCGCATAGGATGGTTCTCGACCCTACGGTGAGACAGCCACCAGACGGGCTCTCCCTGAATCAATGTCTCCACAAAGGCCGCGCAGACATGCCGACAGTATTCGCCATTTTGCTCAGGGTTCGCACTTTCAAATATCTTGTAGCCGCCGATATTGAGAAGGCCTTTCTCCAGATCGGAATCGCCGAAGAACATCGTCCCATTTGTCGCTGGCTACTTCCGCGAGAAATCAACAAGCCCTTGTCTTATTCAAACATCAAAGTCTTTGAGTTCTGTCGTCTTGCGTTCGGTATGAAACCGAGCCCATTTATGCTCCAAGAAACGATCAAAGCACTTTTCAAAACCTGTGGTTCAAACCTGGGATTAGAATCTTTAAAAAATATCTACGTCGACAATCTTTATCTCGAAGCTAACTCGCATGAAGAAGCTCAGAGAAAAGCCGAAGAGGCCAGACAGTTGTTGCTGGGAGCGAAAATGAATCTCCGGGAATTTCTCTCAAATGGTGTCTTAAACATGCCAGAGGAGTTAAGAGGGGATCCTTCCAAGGCTAAAGTGCTTGGTATCACTTGGGATATTTCAAGGGACGTCATCGCGATCAAGCTGCCAAAAGTCCCCTTATTACAGCGGTACACCAGGGCAGATTTGTTGTCCACCATGCACTCGCCTTACCTACCGCTCGGTCTCATCGATCCATTATTGGTCGACCTCAAACGTCTCTTTCAGGAGACTTGGGCACTACCGCATAGAGATTGGCATAGACCCTTACCTCAGCAGTATGTAGACGAGTGGTTAAGGATAACAGCGTCATGGAGAGAACAGACAATCGAGTTCCCCAGATATACCCCAGTCAACAATGGAGACGAATTGCATCTCTTTGCCGATGCTTCGGATTATGCAATCGGCGCGGTAGCGTACATTGTCAACTCGGACAACAGATCGGCAGGGGGGCATATAGTAGCTGCTAAAGGACAAATCGTCCCCAAAAGGAAGGTAATAAACAAAGAAGCTTCCGAGAAAGCGGGGAAAACCAAATACAGTCGAACGGATAGCCCCTACTTCACGATCCCTCAAGCCGAAGCTGCGGGTGCCAAGATGGCCTGCGGCCTGGGACCAGTCCTGCGAAAACTGTTAGAGAAAGATCTTAAAATTTATTTCTGGGGGGACAACACTTCAGTGCTTCAGTGGATTCAGAACGGAGCGACGGACCAGCCACTGGTAATCAGGAATATCCTTAAGTTCATTTGGAATTCGGAAGTCACAGAATTCGGCTACGTGCCTACAGAAATGAATCCTGCGGATATTATCAGCAGAGGGACGACTCCAGACAAGCTAAATAACTCCTCACTCTGGAGGTTTGGACCCCAGTTTTTGCAGCTCGACCCGGAACAATGGCCGCCGGTGCAGCGTTTTCATCTGGAGGGAGAACCCCAGGAAGCCGACATTTCAGAAGGGATAACCCTCACAACGATCGGAACCCCTGGAGTCATTTCTGTTATCCAAAGAGTATACGGAAAGTCATCATGGCCAATGGCAGTCGGAGCCATCGCTCAAGTCCTCAGGGTTGCCGACCTCATTCGCCTCCGGAGCACACCAGGTTTCGTAGTCAGAGATCAAACTGAACTTCGTACAATCGCGATGACTAAGATCCACCTTCTCGATCAGCAAGCGCATCCACCCACGGAGGAACAGAGAGATAAGTTAAGGTTGTTCAAGGACTCAGAAGGTGTTTTCCGCTCCCGGGGACGGATTGGAACAGCTAATCTTCCTTATTACACAAAATACCCAATTTTCATTCACCAGTCTTCCCCTCTTGCGAAACTGATCCTCCGGCATGCACATGAACGCATGGCGCATCAAGGAGCCAGAGCAACTTTGTGCTGGTCGAGAAGACGCTATTGGATACCGAAGCCCATTCGCTCGGCCAACTCCGCCATCAAGTCATGTTGTGTTTGCTCGCAGCTCAGCTCGAATGCCTTCCCAGAAGCAGTAGCAGAAGCGCTTCCAAGAGAAAGGATAACGAGGACAGCGCCCTTTGAAAATGTGGGCGTCGACGCCTTTGGGCCTTACATGATCAAAGCGGAGAAGGGGTTCAAGAAAAGGTGGGGGATTATATTTACTTGTGCGACGACTAGAGCAATTCATCTCGAAGTGGTAGATAACATGTCAGCAAAGGCTTTCCTAGAGGCTTTTCTCAGATTTAAGTCGGTCCGAGGAATCCCGAATATTATAATCTCTGACAATGGGACTAACTTCACAGCCGCCGCTCCAGTCATAATCCACAAATTCGCACCAGACGTTGACATTCGCTGGAAATTCATTGATCCAGGTTGCCCCTGGAAAGGCGGCTTTTATGAGAGGCTCATCGGAATGGTTAAGCGAGCGTTCCAACGTTTGTCGAGACAATTTAAATCGTTTTCCGACTCTCAGTTCATCACCCTCCTCAAAGAGGTGGAGGACGCGATCAATCACAGGCCACTGTTTCGAGCAGAAGAGACGCCAGATGATTTCTCCCCGTTACGACCAGTCGATTTCTTACGTCCAGCCGGTTCCATGTATGTAAATCACTCTATTGGGGTCCAGCAGGACGATCAAGACACGTTGTATGTACCAAAGTCATTGCAAAACGCAAAGAAAGACTGTCGTAAGACAGAAGAGTCCAAGCTGTTTTTACTGCATCAGTCTCTGTTAGCCACATTGAACAACTTGTGGTCAGGTTGGTCAGAAGAATACCTACTCAACTTGCGTCAGCTGGATAAAGGTCCGAAAGACAGGCGTCTCGGTCAGCGCGTTCCGTCAATCGGTGAATCCGTCCATAAAGAGCGAATTTGTCAACCGCTCCAATTGGAACACAGGCATCATAGAAGAGATCGTGCCGACAAGGGACGGCACTCCTCCAGTGATGGCAGTGGTCAGAGTAAGGAACCACAGAGTCAAAGATGTTGATAAAAACACGGCGTTCAAGCAGCGCAAGATCCCTTTGAAAGAGTTGTTTCCGCTGGAAATGACAGTCAAAGATGAGATTCCAAGTTTGAATATAGGATTCTTCTTCGATCCACGTACAGAAGGCGTCAACTCTGATCATAAGGAAAGCACTGAGAACGTCCCTACGACCTTGGATAATCCCCAGCAGAAGGCCGGGATCCTCGAGCAGCCAGCACAGTGTCCAAGAAAGTCAACCAGAAAAAGAACGCTCAACGTTCCGTTCGATCCCACCACGAAAACATTTGACGCCAAGAAATCAGCGCCAAAAGTGGGCCATGAAACCGCGAGCGACTGCGACTTGGAGCCCATCGTGGCGCTAATCACAGTAGAAGACTATTCTGACACGTTCAATCGTCAGCCTTTTCATATTCCGAACGCAAATGATCGTCATCGTTCAAACAAACCTACTCGCGATTATCAGTTTGATTTAAGTTCTCAGTTTTCCATGATTATAGATATGAATCATCGCCAAACACCTAAGGGACACCGATCCCCGTCGCCTTCCGTGCACCAGCCGGAAACTCAGCCTCGATTAACGGACGAGGAGCTGTCTGGCGAGCCGGAACTGCATTGGGAATCCGATTTCATTGACCTAGAAGAGTCAGCGGATTCCCAGGTCTCCATTCCTCAACATGTTGTCGATCAGTTGGACAAGGAGGCGCGGAAAGAACCAGACGAGGCAGATCACAAAATCCCGGAGCATTCGCCCGGATCCGCGGTATCCAGGGAGGCATTATCGCACTCCGCTAAACAAAATCAGTCAGCAGCCGGAAGAGAGAAGTCGTGCGGGAAGAAGAAGCGAAAGCCAGATTCGAATCAGTTGTCAAGCCCTCGCTCTTGTCAGAACTCCTCTTCGAGAAGCCCTTCTCCATCTAGAAAACAATCTAGGCTGAAATCCTTTATAGGCGCAGTGTTTAACAAAGCCAACCCCAATCCGTTGAGGCGTTCGGAGCGTTCTGCCCGACATCGTTCATCCGATCCACCGAGAAAACATCCAGACGAGAAGAGACCGTCTGGGGAGAGCAACGTCTGCAACCAATCTGTGGTCAAGGAGCTCCGCTCAGACTCGCGAGCAAATGTTTCGGATCCTCCCGGCACTCAGAAGTCTATGGCCAATGACCCACAGGACGACTTGCCATTGGAAAAAATCCTCCAGCTGCTCACCAGAAGAGTCAACAACGATCCGAGCATGTTAAAATTGGTCCAACAGAAGCTGAAGATAGCCCCAGAGTCACGAGTTGTTAGTCCGTTGGAGACTGGTCCGTCCAGAAAGATGGTGTTTAATCCGAAAGGACTGGGATCGTCACGTTCTACGGCTGCTACCGACGCTAACGCTACACCCCCTCCAGCTTTGGTTCCCGAGCAATCGCCGGGCTTAAACGTTCAAGAGCAAGGTGCTCAAGCTAGGGAATCTGGTGACACATCAGCGGATCAGCATCCACCACCGACCGTGCAGATACCTCGACAGAGAAGCCGTTCGGTCGCCGACAGATTACGAACGGTGTCTTTCCGTCAGTCGGAGACAAACTCTCCATTTATGTTATGCACTCCAGGCAGCGGTGATCATAGACATTGTCAAAGAGCGACGACCCCATCTGAGTTCAATAAGGTCTGTCGCTTTGAGATCGCATCCGCAGCTCATGCGTTAGCATTTGGTCAGATCTGGGTCGATCAGAAGCAAATCAGATTCGCAAAAACCACGTTGACCCGAGAGGTTGAGTCTATGACTCCAGAAGCTGCCTGGGAATACGCGGCGGTCTTGCAAGATGACCTACACCCCCATCGCCCTTTCAACGCCCCCCGCCCCCAGGCCCGTCAACTCACCACAAAGTTGGTTAACCGGTTCTTGAGCTCGTGCCAAGTCAGATTCGAGGAGTTAATGGATAATCCTCTGGTAGATCTCATCCCCCGGAAAAATTCTCCTCATCCCATCTTGGAAAAGCTGTACTCCGATGCCGTGAATCGGATAAAGGTGTGTCGAAGTTGGAGGGGCAGCGAGGAACTGAACTTTGATCCGAAATTTTTTGTGGATAACCCCGTTGTCATCATCACTGATGGGGAATCCTATCGAGATATGACAGACGAGATCCGAAGAGAAGTCCAAGTTCCAGGGGCGGTCCGTCACAGTCACTTTAATGTTACCCAAACCCTGAGAGATATCCAGGATAGAGTGATTTACGTCTCTCCCAGCGTAGCGGTCGTAGTAGTGGTGGCCAGTGTTTCGAATTTCGACAACCGCTTGGTGGACAAGGTCAACAATGCGTTCAAGGAGTATGCCTCAGCACAAGGAGCCCATTTCAGAGTGGAATTATGGGTAAGAATAGCGGTGCAATTCTACCCCGACCTCCGAGAAACCCTTCAGGAACGGGCTTCCCGATTTCCATATATGGCATGTTTCTGTTTTTCTGAGCGTGAGGATCACGGAGAGGTCTATGACCGCCAGCTTTCCGTGCTCACCCGCCGGGTTAAGGTGCTGGTAGAAAGGATCAGATCGGCACGCGAAAGGATCGCGTCGGAAAAGGCGTTGGAAGATGAGGTCTTTTGGGACGACACTGATCAGCCGGACGACTAGGATCCGCCAGCCGTCTCTGGAGCCGTCAAGCACTAAAAGCCCCCCGTCCCCTGTGTCGGATCTTCGATCTCGAGAGAACCAATTCCCAGTAAAATAATTTGGTTCTCCGTTTTTTATATTATATTTTATTTTTTGTATTAGGTGAAAACTTGTCCCGTGGATTTCCCGGGTTAACTCTCTCTTTCCCGAGATTTTTTGAGTCTCTGTCCTCTCTTCCCTCAGGGGAAGGATGAATTGATATAGAAATTCGTTTCCTTTTGTCATCAAGAACACGTCAGTGTGAAAATTATCTAATTTGTGTGTGTGTGTTTTATTTCTGAAGATAAATTCTTGTTGTTAACACGGGGGAAGTGCCAAAGGGAAGTGAACCCCTATCTTCAGGATTCTCTGTTCTTGTCAGTCTCTCCGGGAGCAACCGGATTCAGCGATAACAAGCCAAGGTTGGATTATTCCTCGACCAACAGGCGAGTATATATCTATTCCGCTCGACCTCTTGGCGAGTCTCGACCCTAAGGCGAGTATTGTTGAATCAGAAGGTTCCCTAGTCGACATTCAGCAAATACTCTAACCCCCCTTCGGCGAGGAGAGTTTATTCTGCGATACTCTTCGCGTCGGAGGTAAGTTGTTAAAGTTTATTGTCTTATTCAGCTATCAAACGGATTGATCACCCGGGCATTAGCCGGGATAGACACAATGGATGCGATTTATATAAGAGCTGAAAGATGATGTCACTTTGAACCAAATTAAAATTTACTTCAATAATTCCAGACTGGCACAGTTGAATACGTCTTTGTTTACTTGGTATACCCATCTTCTTTGCTTATTGGAATCTTCTGCACATATCAATGTTATCGCGTCAAGAAATCTGCCACATATCTCAGCAGTCGGACATTACGCATGTACCGTCTTCTTATTCATGGCCTTGTTGTTGAACAACTTGCTGAGTTTCTCTGGATCTTCCTGCCGACTGTAATTGTTCACCATATGAAACCGCGGGAACAACCATTAGGGTTCTTCTTTTTGTTCCGATTATTTTATTTATACCCAGCATTTGTCATCATTTTTACATTATCCTTTTATCGGACTTACCGAGAGGCAATCAAAGCCTTGATTTATAGGATGTACAAAAATCCCGTTACTCAGATTTCCACAGGAATTACAAGCAGTCGAATTCTGACTGTTTCGTGAGAAGCTTTTCAAAAATACTTTTTATGCGGAAAGTTTAATCTAAATTTATGCTTATCATTCTTACTTCGATCTCAAACGACCTATTTCTAAGCCATCAATAAACACGTCCCACTTTCGTAATCATGGAAAGAATCATATTAAACTATGGAATACAATGACAGATCGTATTCCAGCTATATTTTTGAGCTTTGTCTTAGACTCCATCGACTAATTTATTGCGTTTTCTGTTTGTTGCTTAGTCTATGTTTGTTTGCTTCGATGCTTGAGTAAGAAGACTTTAATTTGATCTGCATCACTTCAGATTTACACTAGATATTGCTCAAGAAGATCTTTGGAAAATCAACAGATGCTTTCTCTGTTATATTTTATTGTCTTATCTATTCGCCATGTACTTGCTTGCAGTCCTATTTGTCATCATAAATGATTATCGATTGGATGCAAAGGCAACTTTTTGCAAAGATTTTTGTTCCAGTGTAAGCCTTCAGAGAATTTTTTCATAAAGGAATTAAGCCAAAATTTTAGCCGAACCAAGATCTTATTCAAGCGATAAGACCTGTAGTTCGACAACTTCGAACTTATGGAGCATCAAAGTCAGCAATAATCAGCCATCTCAGCAAGTACAAACTCATGGACACCGAGCTCGAGGAAGTCTTTGAGGAACCGATTAGCCGTAGAATCGATCATCTCCTAGTCTACTACTCAAAGAAACTAAATACTTCTCAATTATTCTCAATTTTTTGGTATCCTCTGTATACACTTGCCATATTTTACTTCTTTCTCCAATCTATGATTATTTATAGTGTTATATCGAATGACATTGTGGAAGAAAAATTAGATTCTGACTTGAAAAAGTTGTGGAGAACAAGTTCCAAATTTTTCAACGATTTTTTTGATGAATAAATACAGTTTTTATCGTATAAGATGGCTCTGAAAGACAGGGCGCAGCTGGGGAAATTAAATTTCACAAATTTCTTTTCGACGTTTCATAAAATAATTTCTTTGTACGTTGCAACGTGCTCATATCATCTTTGTTCGCTTTAAAATATTCAAAGATAATTCGATTTTGCTGTCTTTTGTTTGTTAACCTCTAAAATAATATAATTTTCCCATTTCAGGCTGAAAAAAGATGTCGGAAGACGGTTTAGAGCCTTCATTATCCAACGTTGTCAATCAGTCCTCGTTGAAATGGATCTTTGTTGGTGGAAAAGGAGGTGTAGGAAAGACAACTTGCAGTTGTTCACTGGCCGTTCAATTGGCCAAGGTTCGACGATCCGTGTTGATCATCTCGACGGACCCAGCTCACAATATTTCGGATGCTTTCAATCAGAAGTTCGGAAAGACACCAACACCAGTAACAGGGTTCGATAATTTGTGTGCGATGGAGATTGAAGCAGCTGGAGGACAATTGGCTTCGCAGGCAGAGAATCCCGAAGCTGATGATGGATGTAAGTTTTTTTCGTTTTATTTCTCTTGGTTTAGGTATAAACTGTAGTGGGAAGGTATTACGAGGCCTGTCCTTATTCTTTTTTAACCGAGTTTTATTGAGAGTGAAGAAATTTTTCTATTCAGCCGTGATGAACATGACGAAGAGCTTCCTGTCCGAAATTACTGGCGGATTACCTGGAATCGACGAAGCGAACTCGTTTAGTCAGATGATCAAGCTTGTTCAGTCCATGGATTTCGATGTTGTTGTCTTTGATACTGCTCCAACTGGCCACACTCTTCGTCTTCTCCAATTCCCCACGTTGATTGAGAAGAGTCTGGGGAAATTGATGGGAATGACCAACCAAGTGATGCCATTGGTCCAACAGCTCGGTCCTTTGTTGGGAATGAGCAATATGAGTCAAGAACAGGCTTTTGGAAAGATGGAAGAGACTTTGGAGGTGGTGAGGGAGATAAACAAACAATTCAAAGGTAAGACCAAGTTTAATATTATTTTTTTCTGTTTTTAGATCCCGAATTGACGACATTTGTTTGTGTTTGTATCGCTGAATTCCTTTCCATGTACGAAACCGAACGATTAATTCAAGAACTCACTAAACAAGATATCGATACTCATAATGTTATTGTAAATCAGTTGTTATTCCCGGACAAGGACGATCATGGGAATGTGGTCTGCAGGAAATGCGCATCTCGATATAAGGTCCAGCAGAAATATTTAGATCAGGTATGCACCCTTTTTTGCATGTTATTTTAGCATTCCTTCAGATTCTCGATCTCTATGATGATTTCCACATAACTCAACTTCCCCTTCTTGAGACAGAAGTCAGAGGTCCAGAGCTTCTCAAATCCTTCAGTGAACGACTTGTGAATCCCAAATTGAATGAATCGGATGGAAGTGAAGAGCCAAAGGAAGAAGTGACCGCTTAAGTTATATCGTACAAGCTAAAACCGGTATTTATAATAAATAAACTCTTTGGTGAAGCGTTGGCTTTAGTTGTGAATTTTTGCTGTGTTTTGACTTGATGTGAATTGATCATTATATTGTTTTAGTGCGCTGTTTCCTGAAATTTTTATTTTAGTTGTGTAATGGCGGAAAGTGTGGAGGTCCGTCCTGTGACAGACGATAATAGAGAGGTAAAGAACGGAGAAAAAGGTGGAAAAGTAAATTTTGTTATGGTTTTAGCAGTTCTACGACCTCTATAATCTCCTTTGCCCTCAAGGTGTCCCAAAAATAATATCCAAAGCAATTCCCGCGACGTTTTATGTTCGTTTAGCCTTTGTAAAGAGCCGACCGGTCGGATTGATATGCATAGACACGGATTGTCGTTTTGAAGACAACAGTATACCAGAGGCATCGCCTTATTTGTTGTTTTTGGGGGTCAAGCCAATGTTTCGAATGTAAGTTTGAAAATAATTGATTAGAAATATGTTTTTTTTGTTGTTTATATTCTATTATAAGTCTTGATGATTGTCTCTGTTTAGGCAAGGGATTGGTTCTCGACTTCTCAACACTTCTGTAAATGATTTATCTGCAGATGGTCATAGTGCAATTTATCTTCATGTTCAGGTAAGAAGATGCAAATTTCAATTAATTTGCTTTTAGAAAGATAACGAGCCGGCTATCAGCATATATAGGCAGCACAAATTCAAACACATTGCCACGATTCCACATTATTATCGGCGAATGGAATGTGAAGACGCTTGGATCATGATGTGCAACTTGAAGTGTTAACAAATTTTCATTTGTATCTATTACAATAAAACGGGTAGTAATCTACCATTCAGACTATTAGAATACTTCATATTTCATTTGCAACCGGTACCGTATCTCGACAATTCTTTCGTACAAACTGTTTTCTCCAGTCTGCGGAACGCAGGGCGCGAGTCGCGGTTTTACCGCGTAAAATATTTTTTTGAACCAAAAATTTTTCGCGGAAATTTTTTTTCCGGAGCCGGCTTGGGCCAAGAATAATATCGTTATCTCCAAAAGAAAGTTGATATGGCCCTGTTGAATGCAGTAAATGCAATAGTAGACCATCTTGGAGGGGTTAATGAACTCGATGCAGAAGCTTGTAAAGAAGTGTATGTTTTTCTTCGTTTTATTTTTTTAGAAACCTTTCTTAACTAGTAGAAATCAATCTACGACACCTAGTTCTGATCTAGCGACAACAAGCACACGATATTGTTTTGCAATACCTTATTTTAGGCGGAAAGCTCACTATGGCGTATATGGACAACTTTCGGATACACTTCGTTGTGAATTGTTCGATGTATCCCCACAAGAACTCACTGAGGCATTAAACACAGGTAAATAAAAATGTTTTTGGTCTATTTTTCGTGTTTTAGTGACAGAGAGAATACTCAGATTTGCGACTGCTCAAAACGGAGATGAAAACAACTTCTATGAAGCGCTGATGAATGAAGGAATCGATTTAATTAAGATGACAGTCTTCCTCTGGGTCCTGATTGAAAGATCATTGACGTGAGACCATTTTTTTTATTTATCTCAGTTTAGATTATGATCAACGAAATTGATTATAATATTTTAGGTCCAATGAAGAGCTAGAACTCGGAGTCGCTGCTTCAAACTTGTACTTATGTTTCGCCGGACTTAAAGATGCCAAAATGTACAAAGTGTTTCATGTTTATGTGTTTGAAGTGAGTATTTTTCCTTATAAATTTTATTCTTCAACTTTTAGAGAGCTTTGGAACTCCTGAGAAATGTTGAGAAAATCATCCGACCATCTGGACGAATGACCATTGCCCTAAACAAAAGGCGGAGGGACGATCAAAACGCCGTTGATCCAGGGATTGATTGTGGGAAGATGGCTGATAAACTGCTGGAATCGTTGAGGATACTGTTTTTGTTCACTCATTCGAGTAAGCTTAAGGCTTTTAAATATCAGTTAAATTTTAGATTGGATCGAATTCTCTGAGTTTTAATATGTTTTAGATATAAAGTGGTCTAGTGTAATATAAACCAATTACAATAATTTTCAGAAGGCGTTGCTGATATTGTATTTGAGAAGGAGGGCCTCTGCGAGAGTGTGATCGACTTCCTTCGCGATATTTCGGATCTTGACTTGGATTCGAATACCGATTTTCAAGCCAAAATAATCGATGAGATCTCCCGAGTCCGCCGTGCTTCAGATCTTGCGTTCGCGATTGTCCAAGCGCTCTTGCAAAAAGATTCCGACTCCCGAAGTATGGCCATCATGAGTCGGTTTGTTATGCCGCGGATTTTGTATTGGGTTGGAGGGAATTCGAAGTATCACATAACTGGAGCCATCCCCAACGTGCTGAAAGAGGCTTGTCAAGTCATGATTCATTTTCTGAGCACCAGATTTGATGTGAGTTGGAGATTTTTTTTTTTTTAACTTCATGTTTTAGAATTTGACCCTCTCCGAACTCCGTTCGATAATGCAAATGCTCAAGATTTGCCCATTGCGATGCACTGATCGAAGTGAACATCGCTCGTTATTGGCTCAGAATTTCTCGGAGATTCTCGCCATGATGCCACCAATCGCCGCTGTAGTGAGTTATTCAAGATTTTTAAATGATTTTTGATATCAAGGATGGTAAATTTTATTTTTTTTAGCATATGATCGACTATGTGTACATCCTCGGCCGCAACACAAAGACCTCATATCGCTCATTTGCCCTGGAGATTGTCCCAAATTTGCTCAGACGATTCAGTAAGCATATTCTTTATCTTTTTGATTACGTCTTTAGATTTCGACCAACTTCACGATCGCGCTGAGCGGATCGAGACCATGTTCATGGGCGATGTGGACGAACAAATCGACGGCCAAGAGGCGGATGATGAGATTGTGGAGGGAAATGCGGCAGAAGAACCAGAAGAACCCGCCGAACAGGAAGCAATGGAAATTGTGGAGGATGAAAATGAAGGGGAGGTCACCATCCGAGATGAAGAAGATGAGGCAGCGGCCGAAAATGCTCCAAGGAATGGACGAAACGCAAATTCTGAAGGATTGTGAGTTTTTTCGGTATATTTTTGGGGTTATAATAGTAAAAATCGATAAGATTTGGGATTTTTTGTTGGTTTACGTGTGGTAGGTGACAAAATTTTTAAAATTTTTTGATTGTAATACGATTATTTTTAGATGTGTGTTCGAGAAAGAAGGAATGACCGCAAGACAGGCCATTTTGAATCTACTGATCACCGGGTTGGTCGACAAGTTCGCAATGCAAAAGGCCCTGCAGGCCGTGGAAATGTTGGTCACCAGTAATGCCTGTGTGGATGATCTGGCTGTCCTGGCGACAAGATTGGTAGGAAATGAAACATTTTTTTTGCAATATTTTCGTTTCTCTATTTGCAGGTCGATGAGAATTTGGAAGCCCTGAAACTCGCCGACCGACCTGCTCGAGCACAACAACAGGAGGCCCCAGTAGTCAAAGAGGAGCCCCAAGAACACGAACTCAGCGCGATTTTGGAAGATCAACCGAATTCAGCCGGCATTGACGACCTCCTGAGGTTGGTGATCAAAGCATGCGACTCCGAGAAGACACCGATCGCGAAACATGCACTGTGCTGTCTTCAAGCCATTTTAATTAATGTGGAAGTGGACCCGGAGATGACCAAGAAGTGTGTGGAGAAAATAAAGGTAGGAAAGTTCGGAAATTTGTAGGGGAATTTACCTGAAAACAAAAGATTTTGAATTTGTGAGAGGAAAAAATATTGGTTTTGCAAGGTTTTAAAAAAGAATTTTTCGATTTTTTATCTTTATTTTTTTCAGGAAAAGTGTTGGGATGTGGCGATCCAGGTCCGAAAACAGGCCGCCCTCTGCCTCCACAAACTCCTCCCTCGATTCCCGAGCGGAATCGAACACGCCTGGCTGCGCGGTGTTCTCCATCAGGTAGTGGACAACGAGAGCGGAGTGGCCAACCAGGCCATCAAACTGGCCTCGGAATACATTGTGGACGGCCTCAAGGAGGAAAGACCCAATCCAACCTGGAATCTGATGGATGTCGTGGAAGGGGACACGGAATACACGTGAGTAATTTTTTTTGACAAGGAAAGTACTATGGGGTATGGAGTTACAGGTCGAGTCATATATTATAAAAATCGCAAAATTTTTTTGATTCGGAATATGTAAAAGTTAGCTGCCTAATTTTGGTTTGTAAGGGTAAAAAATTCTCTGAAGTTTTCCCGCAACACCACGCAAATGCCTTTTTGACAAGGTTTTTACCAAATCAAAAGCTTTGTTTTGAGCTAAAGTGAACCCTGGTATCTTGAGAAGCCTTAAAATATCAAATTTGATTTATACTACACCTTAATCAGTAGTTCCGACAAGCCCCGCTCACGCGGGCCTTGACGCCGCTGTGCGCGCAAAGGTCGTCCAACATAAAGTTGACTTGATCGCACAAAGGTTGATGATCGCGTGCACTACAGTTGATCGTGCAGGCCACGCTTCGCGTGGCCAACAACGCGCTGGCGCGCGTTATACTGCCTCAAGCCCGGCAGTTCCGTTGCCAAGGGCCGCGCGCCAGCGCTACCTTTCAGCAGCTGAACTCTTCTTTGAACTTTACCTCGGCCTTCGGCCTCGGCACAGTTTACTCCAGCAGTCAACTACAACATTCAGAAGGTTCCGTAATCAACGGCGGCCTTCGGCCGCCGAAGCTTCCAGAAAACACTCACTTTGGCTCGGCCTTCGGCCTCGCAGTCATTTTTTGTGTTGCTTCATCGTTATTGAACTTTTCCTATGCCTTCGCCCTCGACAGAATCCCGGGAGCCCGACATTCAGAAGGTTCCGTGACCAACGGCGGCCTCCGGCCGCCGAAGCTTCCAAAAAGTCCCTTTGACTCGGCCTTCGGCCTCGCCAAGTCGTATTTTAAGAAATTTTGGGTTTCTTTGAACTTTACCTTGGCCTTCGCACAGTTTACTCCAGCAGTCAGCTACAACATTCAAAAGGTTCAGTAACCAACGGCGGCCTTCGGCCGCCGAAGCTTCCAAAAAAAAGCTCCTTTAGCTCGGCCTGCGGCCTCGCAGTCATTTTTCGTGTTGCTTCACCGTTATTGAAGTTTGCCTCGGTCTTCGGCGGCTGCAGAATCCCGGTAGACCTACATTCAGAAGCTTCCGTGACCAACGGCGGCCTCCGGCCGCTGAAGCTACCAAAAAAAAGTCCCTTTGGCTCGGCCTTCGGCCTCGCCAAGTCGTATTTTAGGAAAATTTGGAGTTCCGCACACGAACTGCATCCAGAATTTGATTCTGCGTCGATTGGGACCAAAATCATGTCGATAGCTCCACTGGCAGCCGAGTTCTGGAAGGGCGGATCCAGAAAATTTCAAATTTTCGTCTTTGTCGCTAGGCGGGCGGGGTAAGATGGTCGTATGTTGGGAAATAAAAGTTGTTTCTAGGGCAGTTTGACGTGCTGATTACGGGGCGTATCCCGAAAATTCGCTGAATTTGCTATTCGTGCCCTCAGGGCCGATTTTGTGCAAAAAATCCCGAAAACTCCCTACGGTGCATTCGATGAGCATTCCGGCACCGTATCAGAAGCCGAAAATAAGCACAGAGTAACTTCAGTCTATTGCCGAGACAATGCCGAAGCCCTTTTTTTGAATTTCGATCTAGTTTTCCCGGAAAACTTTCCGGAAAATTTGGCCTTTTTTGGGAACTTTCAGAAAATCCCGAATAGCTAAAATACGAAATACGATAGAAAGATACGAAATGTGGTTCTAGGGCATGTCAGGCATGCTGATTCAGAATCCGTTGTCAAAATCCAGAAATTCCGTCATCTTGATGGTGAAAAATGGAAAAATCCGAAAAATGTCGAAAATCGCCAATAACTTTCGACCGGTCGATCCTACACTCACGATGTTTAGCTCAGAAGGCTTAAAATTTTGCGTAGATAACGATGGAACTCAGTTTCGTCCCACACAATAACGCTCACATCAGGTACCCTCAGGGCATATATGTGAAAAATTCGAAAATTCGCGCGCTTTTGGCCCCAGTCGATAAGAAAAAATGTAGAAAAGCTAAGGGCGACTCGAAAAATGTGAAAAGTTACAGCCGATCCAAAATCAAAAAATCCCATTTTCAAACGCTCGCAATTCCCGCCAGGATGAAAATTCCAACTAAGTGCTGATGCCCAAAGTCATCGAATCCCTGCACCAGTTGACAAAAAAAAAGTCTCGAAAAAAAGTGCACGTTGAGTATTTTTCATTTTAGCAAATTGGGGAGTTTTTGATATAAAAAAGGGGCATTTGTGTGGTGTTGCGAGAAAAGTTGTGAGGATTTTTTTCACCCTTACAAAACAAAATTAGGCAAGCTAACTTTGCATATTCTGAATCAGAAAAATTTTACGATTTTTTTGATATATGACTCGACCTGTAACTCCAAACCCCATAGGAGCACTTTGCTCGTGAAGTTTGATATTGTGGAAAATATAAAGTTGGATTTTAATGGGGTTTGTTTTAGACGGTACTTGTCCATTTGCCTCACCGAACAACCCCCAGGCTCCAATCGAACCACCAACGTCTCCGAAGACTTTATCCGACGTCTGGAGAGGGTCACCGAACAGGATGATTGCCCGCCATCGGCTTGGATGCTCCTGGCCGAACTCAGCCCCTTTATGGAGGTCCGTCCCCAATGCGCCGAGCATGTTTTTGATTCGGTGGACTTTGCGAATGCCGAGGACAGAATCCCAACCTATGTGGCGAAGATTATAGCCAACAGATCGAACAAAATCCCGGCCGCGAGAAGAGACGTGATGAAGGAGAAAATCGCCGAGAAAATTAGAGAAAATCAGTAAGGATTTGTTATTTATGAGGTGGAATAGGGAGATTAGGAAATGGATCTTCTGATCTGGACACTTTTGAAGATTTTATGTGACAAAAAAATTGTTTTGGGAACAAGGAAGATAGAGGATTATAATTTTTTTGATAATAAAGTAATATTTTTACTTTCAGAATCGCTGTAACCCATATTGGTGCTGTTTGCTACGCCTTTGCATGCCTGATGAACGCTGTCGGCAAGGAACGACCTCCGGGAGCGGCGGATATGCAGGAATTTGTGAAAAAATACCAAAAAGACGCCATCAAAAGACTCAGCGAGGATATTGTGAACCCCTACACCGTCCGTGTGGCCTCTCGCTCATCGGCGGCATCCGAGTTCAACTCCCAACGACTCGACACCTTGACGGACAACAAGACGGACCAGTTCTTGCGCATGATCCACAGCATCGGAGAGTTGTTCCAATACGCGCCGAACGCGGTGGATAACAAATTTGTGAATGTGTTATGTGTTATTGTGGCTGGAGAAGAAGTGGCCTGTGAGTGGGATTGAAAACGGAGTCGATTGGGGAAAAGTACTGAAGCCGAAAAGTATTATTTTTCTTCGATGCAAGTGTGAAATTGGGATAATCGAGGGTGCTGATTTTGAAAATGACATTCATTTTTTTTGATAGTTACTTTTTTCCTTAAGTGGTACTGTAAAGTAGTAATTTTTTGAATTTTTTTCATAAATACTCGATTTTGGGGTTCTCGATGGTGCTGATTTCGAAAATCTTATTAATTTTTTCTGATTTGAAAGCAGCACCACCGTAAAACCCCCAAATCGAGTATTTTTGAAAAAAATTCAGAAAATTACTACTTTACAGTACTACTTAAGGAAAAAGTTAAAGATCAAAGAAATGAATGTCATTTTCGAAATCACCACCCTCGATTATCCTAATTTCACACTTGCATCGAAGAAAAATAATACTTTTCGGTTTCCCAATCGCACTTTTCCCCAATCGTCCCAGTTCCGATTGAAAATATTACGATTTGTTTTTGATGTGTGAAGTGTAATATAATTACTTTCAGTCCACCACTACCGCCAATCCCAGCAATTTCGCGCCGAGTCCGTGATGACGAACGGCACTCAAGGCACGAATATCAGAGACCTCCAGGCCCAGCAGCTGCGCGAGGTCATCTCCATGATCCCCATGGGCATTCGAGCCGCGGCCGCCTTTGCGATTGGTCGGATTTGCATTTTACATGAGACATTTGCCAATCGATATATCCAAACCTTGATCCAATTGCTGACTTCGGACAAGGACAATTGCTTGAGGAACAACATTTTGATTGTTCTAGCGGATTTGTGCACAACGTAAGCGATTTTTTGGAAGTTTGAAGGTGTAGAAGGGGGTTAAGATGAAGATGATGATATGATTCTTAGTGGTGGAGCAGCCGTCAATCAGTTTGGACCGGTCCTAGCCACAGCCTTGAGGGACAAATCGGTGTTGGTTCGACGGCACGCGGTCTCGTTGATCACCACCTTGATCAGAGACGAATTCTTCAAATGGGGAGGCCAGATTATGTATTATTATCTGGGAGCACTGGTGGATCCGGATGACAAAGTTCGAGAACAGTGTCATGCTTCTTTGGTAAGGATTTTAACGTTTATATCAACCCGTTTTGCTGGGTTTTAAAATGAGATCTGAGGACATTACTTTAGCTGAATGTCCTCCTCCCAAAATTCCCGAACATGTTCAGCAACAAGTTTGTGGAGTCGATGTTCTACCTGAACGACGTTGTCCACCCCTCAATGAAAGTTTTGATCCAACGTGGGTTTAGTTGCGATCATTTTTGGATATTGTTTTAGAGGAAAAAGAAAACTGCTCGTTGCCAGTGGAGGATTACTTCAAAATGTGGGGCGCGAGGAATCGAAAGAACCGAATGAGAATTTATTTGTTCATTGTAAGTGGTACTGGTGTTTTTGGAAGGGATTGTAAAGGATTTTGAGTTTTAATTTTGAATTTTTAGATCAGCACTTTCGAAGACAAAATCAAGGTCCCGCTGATGGGAAGAATCGCAATGGAAGTGTTCCAGTGTGTTGTGGATGAAGCCCTAGACCCCAGTGACTCGAAAGTACAATGCCTCATGAGGGACGCATTGGATGTAAGAAGCAACGACCCAAAATATTACCCTTGTTTTAGATACTCAGAGCAAAAGAAATGGTCCTCAGCATGAATGTGGGCAAGAAAACAGCGGCCGATGATGTGGATGAGGAGTCAGAAGAGGCTAATGTGGTAAGTTCAGAGGAAATTTTGAGGGTTTGAGGTGATTCAGAGGGCTTGGAAGGGTTATCTTGATGTAGATGGTGTAGGTGGAAGATTGATTTTTTTCTTGGGTCAAGCTAGCTAGCTATCAGCTTGTTTGGGATGGTTGATTTGTAATTTAGATTTAAACTAGTCCCTTGTGTTTCATATTTCATCTTTTGGGAATCAATTTTATTTTATTTTTGACTTCAGATGGCCCAAATGGCAAAGGACGTCATCTCCAACGTGTACATGTACAAAATCAGCAACGATTGTCTGCATTATCTGTTCAAAGCCCGCGATTATCTTAAAGTGAAACAATTCCCCGACTTGGCCCGACAAACTTACAGCACCATCCTGGACATCTTCGAACAATACATTGACTTTTTTGAACAACTCTGTGGACCTGATGCCCAGCGAAGGGAAGAAGTGAAAAATGATCTCAAGAGACATCGAAACCTCAATGTCCCTCAACCCGGCGGCCCTACTCGACGAGCCCCCGCGAATCAAAATCAAGAACAGCGCCGACCTCCGAGCAGGGAAGAGGAGGACGGTGCGGATGAATAATGAATGTTAACCTTGATCAAACCTGTATAATATAAGGTTGATATTGTGAAATACAAATAGAAAAAGTATTTGAGTTTTATCAAAATTCGTTGAGAGGATTAGAGCTCAATTGGGGAGCCGAAAAGTATTATTTCTCTTCGATGCAAGTGTAAAATTAGGATAATTGAGCGTGCTGATTTCGAAAATGACATTCACTTTTTTGATAGTTACTTTTTAGTACTGTAAAGTAGTAATTCTTTGTTTTTTTTCACATATACCCGATTTGGGGGTTTTCCTTGGTGCTAATTTCAAATCAGAAAAAGTGAATAAGATTTTCGAAAAAATCGAGTATTTGTGAAAAAAATTCATAGAATTACTACTTTACAGAACTAGGGAAATAGTAACTGTCCAAAAAGTGAATGTCACTTTCGAAATCAGCACCTCGATTATCCCAATTTCACACTTGCATTAAAGAAAAATAATACTTTTCGGTTTCCCCAATCGTCTTTTTCCTCAATCGTCCAACTCCGCGCCAAGCCTCGTTGAGCACTATGTATTATAGAGTACATCAATGCCATGATTTTTTGGGTATCGTGTTAGATTGTCCCATGGCCATGCATGGTGTTTCTATGCCGAATTTTGAGGTTCTAGGCCCAGCGGTTCCCGAGATACGAGGTGGAAAGAAAATTTTGTCAACCAGCAGAGTTCTTGTACAGCAATTCTTATTTTAAGGCTTTAGAATGTGGAGATTTTAAAACTGCAAGTCTCGAAAATTAACTTAAAAAAGGCCTGTTGCAATTTCCCAATCCCCTCTCCCAAGTGCGTATGTTATTTCCGACCGCCGCTCCGAATACTTTGCCCTCTAAATGCAGAAATATTGGAATGCAATTAGGCGTTAATAGGCCTAAGTGTTACATCGAACAAAGAACAGGCTCAGCGTATTCCAGTCAACAGTTTTTGAGGGCACTATCGCACGTTTGTTTGTGTTGACTTCCGGGAAGTTGTAAGTGAGGCATTAGCGTTGGGGAAGTCAAATTTCTTTGCGCTTGCAGCTGACCCTTTCCACAAAACACAAATATGAAAATGTCACGATTTGTGAGAGCCGTATTTTCCGTTCACATCGTCGCTGTTTTTATGTTTATTATTATTGCTGCTTCCCATTTCCATTAACTTCTTTCTGCCATCTCCTCATCTGCAAAACACGTTGTAATATTGTACGTGGATTCGAGTGTGAGTACCGTGCAACTGTGCGAGGTTTTTGTACCAAAACTTTGTCTTCTGTGATTTCTGATTGCTGTCTCCTATTTGGGGTTGTTGCCGCTTTTGTAGGATTTGTTTTTTGGACCTAAAACGTGGAAGGAGCGAGGAGAATACTACAAGAATTGAATCTATTTCGATTTGGATGTTTTGGGACAAGGTACAAGGGTTCCATGTTGTGTTTACGGAAAATTTCAAATATTTGAAATCAGCTTTTCTTACTGTACAGGGTCTTGCAAAAAACGTGAAGGAAAGCCGGAGGCTATAAGTTCCGGCGGAGGCGGCGCAGAGACTTCGTTTTTGGAATACGTATTTTTAAGTGGCAGTAGTTTTTGTCTACAAAATAGCAAGATTTTAAAGTGCAAACTGAGGTCGCTACGACCTTCTGAAGTAGGGTCATTCCTACCCCAAAAAACAGTGTTTTTCGGTTGAAAATTACCGAGAAATGTCGGATTTTTTCGGGGTTTTCGGTAAGGTTGATTTTGATAACATAGAAGAAAATTGCCAAAACGTTACAAGTTTTGCCCTTCATCCTCACATTTTGGCTAGCCGTTTCATGTTTTTGGCTAGCCATTTAAAAAATTTGGCTGTCATTCTGCTCTCTGGCACTTTTCGGGTAGTCCCCCTGTCGCAGCGACCTCAGTTTGCGTTTTAAAATCTTGCTATTTTGTAAACAAAAACTAATGTCGCTTAAAAATACGTATTCCTAAAACGAAGTCTCTGCGCCGCCTACGCCGGAAGTTATAGCCTCCGGCTTTCCTTCACGTTTTTTGTAAGACCCTGTAAATAAGCGTTTCATCAACTCTCTGAGCATAAACCATAGTGCGGATTTCTCAAAGTGTGGAATTTTCGATTCTACCGTAATTCTGAAACAAAATTCCACCTGAACTCAACAAACAAACCCGATAAGAACCCGCCCTCAACAAGTGATCTCTGTCAACACACAACTTTTTGTTTCTTGACCTCTTCCCCGCACATGATGCCGTCCATTACGGGCGCCTGTAATTGCGGGAAAACGCGGGCATTGGAGAAAGGAGACTGGGCAAATAAATAGCATTTTTATTTAAATTTGAGATGACATTTAAATTGGGATTTAGTTAAGGCATTCGCCGGCAACATTTCCGGACCCTCCTTTCTCATTTACTGCCCTAAACAAACACCGTAGGACAGTCGACATGATTGCTGCACCATGCGGTCGGCACGTGGGATGTGATGACTTAAATGAAAGGAATGGTCGCATTTCGGTTTCGTTAAATTTTATGCTTCATTATGGATGCAAACATTCTGTTAAAGTGCATGGAATAATAAACGCGTCATTTCTTTGTGAATTCATTAAGGATTCACAAAGGATGAATTAGGTTGACCTTAGAAAAAGGAGAGAAACGATACATATATGTATAAGGTTTGGGTGTTGGGCAAGTCATCATGGCGTCTTAGATGTATTTATAGGCTTATAGATTTGATACTATGTCTATGAATACAGTAAAACTTCTATATGTACAAAAAATTTTGTCGTAGAAGGGTTTGATTGCACGAAGATAGACCTTGCCCGAAACTGAATCCTCAGCTGGACCGTTGAAATTTTGCGTCATCAGCTGGCTTCATTGCAGAAGAGTTTACTTTCCCGGGTTTCCACTGTGCATAAGTCGATTTTTTGTCCTACCGAAACTCTCATTTTTCTATGGGAACTGGGATTCTGGACCATCTTTTGACGCGATTTGATGAAAGATGAGAAGACAAGCAAAAAAATTTTTTATTTTTTCAGTAAAAAATTTATTCCTAATTTTTTAGCCCACTTTTCACATGCATAACTGTCCGCTTACATAGGTTTTTGCAGCACAAGATATATACGGCGACGTGTATTTTTCCACCGCTCTTGTCGTATGATAATAATACAGCGTGTTCCAAAAAAAAACGCATGTTTTTTCTATGGGTCCTGACGCGAAAATTTTTTGGTCAGTCCAAAAGATTTTTGTGCTACTAAAATCTCCGTGTTTTTCTGTCCTAGTCATTTCATTTTCATGTTCATATCGATTAACTAACATGCTTTTTTTAAATGCCAAACAAAGGAACTGCTTGTCCATTCCTTTTTTGCACTGTTTGAACTGTTTTTCACCTTTTCCGAACCCAAGATTCCAATTGCCAAGTAACCTTGGCCTCCCCGGGGGCCTTCAGGACTACCCCATCACATGGCATTGCTCTTCATCCTAACTGGGACTTTATTCCTCCGAATTCGCCATCCTCTTGTACCCGAGTTCATCTGTAATTGCGTGCTGTTTTGTTTGTGTAATAGCCAACCCGTCGTGACAATTTTTTTTCGTCTTGTGCGTAAAGCTTGTACCCCATGTGCGGGGGTACAAAATTATAAAGAAAAAACGCGCCTCTTTGGCCCTATTGAGAGTATTTCAATTTGCCAAAACGAGTTTCACATACAACCTTTCTATTACCGTGCGAACAATTTACTCTTCAAATTACGGTGACTGTTCAGGGAATGGAGATTGAATACGACCTGGAAAGTGGGCTTGGAATTTCGATTTTTAAGCTGGTTATTGGCCTTCTCGCCATCTCTGGGAACCTGTTGATTGTGTCGATTTTTATCAAATTTCCGGCTTTTCGAAAGGTCCAAAGCAATGTCCTCATATCGCTGCTAGCGGCGAGCAGTATGGTGGTCGGTAAGATTTGAGGAAATTACGTTAAAAGTGGTCATGTTTTGACGCGCGGATTTTTTTTTGAAACTTTACGCTAGGGTTAGAGATAAGATCGTGGATATTGGGCCGTTTTCGGTCGAAATCCTTGAAAAATTTGTGTCGAAAATGTCCACAACTTGACGATCTTATCTATTAGAATATTTCTACAAAAAATTAAAATTTTTTCTTCTGAACTCGAGCTTCGAGAACTTTCTTGATCAGCTGGACCTACAAAAAACTTATACAATGGGGGGCCTGATCCAATGGCAAAAAACGTGTCATTTTGCATCCGGGAAGTGTCAAAAATGTGGCAAAATGCCTCCCTCTCCAAGTGAAAAAATTTCGTTTTGAAGGGCGCGCCCTTTTTCCCCACGAAAAGAGCGAGCGCGCTTCTGAAATCTGAGTTTTTTTCACTTTGGAGAGGGAGGCATTTTGCCACATTTTTTGATACTTCCCGGATGCAAAATGGCATGTTCTTTGCGACTGGATCGGGTCCCCCAATGTAATCCTTTGAGAATACAAGCCTGAAGTTTGCATTAACCCTTCAGCTCTACCCCTCTCGGACTTTCATAAAATATTATAATTTCCAGGTTATGGAATAGTAATCCGTGCCATTCACACCATCTTTTTCTACGATCCCCAACATTGTAATCGAGCTGTTTGTCTCTACATTGGCCAGCCCCAAGTGATTGGGCTGATCTTCGACCAGCTGCTTTTACTGGCCCTGGCGTTGGATCGGTATTCGGCGGTTCGTTGGCCTTGCTCCTACCTACAAATCAATATAAAATTTCGAGTAACTGTAATCCTAATATTCTGCACACTGTTGAGTATTTTCTTCTTTATCTTGGCTGTTCAAGGGCTGACTGACGAGCCTTGCAAACAGTGCACGATTGGCGCCACAACAACACATTTGTATCACGCGATTTGGCTGGGGATCGGGGCATTGAATGCGGTCTTGGTGATCGGTAAGATGGCTCAAAGTTGTGGCAAATAACAGAGTTAAAAAATGAAAATTTTTGTAACAGTGATGACTAAAAATTTCAGGGCTCTACATCAAGGCAGTGAAGCTATTGAATGCTCAGTTAAGCTCAAAATGTGCAAAGCATTTCCACACAATTCGGGTTCATCAGCACGCCTTCATCTCCATATCACTCGTGGTCCTCTGTTACGTCCTGTTTTGGTGCATTCCGGTCTTCTGTTCGATTCTGGCTTATGTAAGTTTTGAACGAATCTTGCAAAAATACGCGACATTATGAATAAGTTTTGGGAACAGTTGAACTCCAGCGTAAGCGAAAAGCTAGCGTAAGCGAAAATTTTAACAAAAATGATCCCTCGGGGCAAAAAAATAAGCCAAAATTTCCTCGATCAAAAATGGATTGTACTCAGCTGCAGCTGACACGGGAAGCACCCCAAGTGCGACGCTCAGATTTTGATGAAATCTGGCACAAATTTAGAATAATCTTTTCTAGGATATATGCGAGAATCCTAGCTCGCTGTTTGCAGAAACAACCGAGATTTTTAGATTGAAAGTGGGCGAAAGCTTGACACTTTTTGTGAGTATAAATTTAGAGCAAAATTGCATTATAATTTGTCTCCCTTTTGACTTTTGTAGGCAGCTTCTTAACTTCAATATTTGCAAAGACAGGGCCAATTTAATTTAATATTTTTCTTCCTACCGTCTCCCTTCATTCTCAACTGGAGTTTCCTCACGAAAAATACAGTCCTATACGGAAAAAATTAGGTTTCTTCCGTTCTAAATTTTCTTGTAGCATGTCTTCCCCCAACTCTTGAATTATTTAGCAAAATCTTTGGTCTCCAAAGACCGTTGCAAAACTAGGCCACATTTCCGCAGCTCGACACAGTATTTTGAGCTCTTAATTTTTGGACTAACATAAGTAGATTACGCATAAAAAATTGAAAGTCTTTCAAAACAGCACGTTGAACATTCCCTTTCGAATTGACCCTCCGTTTTGCTCTCAGCACATTTATTCTTACATTTTCAGCTCGGCGACGCCAGCGAAACCATCCGAGGCTACATGTCGATAACATTCGGGCTCGGCGAAGGCCTCAACTCCTCGTTAACTGTTGTGATTTACCTCGTAAAGCACCGAGAAGTCAGACAGTGTGTTAAAAAGATGTTGAACATCCCGGACAAGGTTCAACCAACTTTCGACACTGGCAATCGGAAAAGTCAGGTCTCAACGCATTGAAGACACCAAAGTTCACCGAAAAATTGGGCCAGACTGTACATTTGTGTGATTGCCATAAGGTCGATTGATCTTTTGTTGAACTTTGAAACTTTTTATTACTCTCGGAAACGGTTGTAACGTATTATTTGAGCTGTTATGGCTCCACGAATAAATTGTTCCCTTCCACTTTCCTCACAAGCCTCAATAGGAAGCTGTCGGAATGTCACTCTCAGGTTCCCTGTAAAGTCATGCAGCCCTTTTTCAGATGGGCAAAATAAAATTCTCTAAAACTTTTGACTGACAGGGGAAGTACTCCAAGTGCGACAGTCAGATTTTCTTTAAATTTTGCACACACACCGGGTATGGACTAAATATCAATTCCTGAAAGTTTTAGCTCGCGCTTTGCGGGCGCCGCCGAGATATCGAACGATTCTTGCCGCCGAGAGAGCACGCTAAACGTAGAGAGCGGTCAGAGAGAAAAGCGCTTTTTGGCCATAACTTTGGCAGTTTCGTGCGGAAAAATTTGATTTTTTGTAGAAACATTATCCTTTACGGTAGAAATAGGTATGAAAATTTTCGTGCCGAAATTCGACAAAAAGTCCTAAATTTTAGCCGACTTTCGATTTAAAAATCTCGGTTGTTTCTGCAAAGCGCGACCTAGGATTCTCGCATATACCTTAGAAAAAATTATTATAAATTTGTGCCAAGTTCAAATAATCAATTTGTCATCCTAAAAACTCTCAAAAATTGCAGACTGTTATTCGTTGCAAACACGAAGTTTTTGGCATTACGCAAGCTAAAAATCTGAACTACGTCTTAAAAATTTTTAACCAGCCAATATACCGTATCCAACTATCTTTCCATACGCCAAAATTGGCAAAAGTAACAACCAAATGGGAAGTCCAAAATCAGTCTTCCGAAGACGGATATTCATTTCCCAACGAATGAAACATACGAATTACTCTCGTACGGGTTATTTATGGCTTTATCAGAGAACTGCTCATAATTGATGGCCTTGAATTGTGTCCAAAAATCATTTTTGTTTGAGCGGAAAATTAAAAAATTTTTTCACATCATTTTTGAAAAACTTCCAACATCAAATATGGACATTGTTGTTCATCCATGTGCACATCAAATTAGAACTGCAAAAATTTCAAAATTTTGGGAAATAAGTTCAAAAAAATTGTAGGATGTTCAGGGATCAGATAAAAAATTCTGAATGTTACAGTCAAATTGGGAGCTTTCGAATTTCGTATGTCATCAAAATTTTCTATCTTTACTGGTAAAAGACTCCCTAAAAAACACCTAATTTCTAAACGCGGGTATAAAAGCCCTAAGGGCACTGTACTTTGGGCCATAAACCCCGCGTCCCGCGGATCCCCGGATACTTTTTTCAACGTTTTTTTCGCTTTTCCCCCCTTTTTCACACGGATATAATCTTGAGCAAATTAATGACATGCCTGAGGGCTGGAACCAAGCGGAAGGGCGAGTCCGGGAGGATAAAAATGTTATTTTTTCTCCACCCCTGGCCTCAGGCGATGGAAAATCCCGGCTTTTATTTGGGTTTTATGGGATATCCCCCGAGGCGATTAACTGCCGGGGATGGGTGGGAAAATGCGTCATGATGACGCTCTAAAATTTTGATGGGATGGCCTGGAGGTCATGTAAAATTTTGAAGTCTAAAAGTAAAAATTTTTAGACCTCAAAATTCATGAATTTAGGGGGAAGGGTTACTGTAATTTTTTTTTTCATTTTTGCAAATATTTGCAATATTTTTTTTGAATGAAAGGGTTTATATAATATTTTTTATAAACGTTGCACTTTAGATTCACGCTTAAATTATTCGTCTCCAACGGCGCAAATTATAGTAGGAAAATGTTGTTGGAGATGAACAGCCTAGAAAAGGACATCTGCAGAGTGAGTAAACACCCAAGACCTCATAAATAAAAAGGGAATATTTATGTTTATCGTCTTTAATTTTTAGTGGGCCCAAAAAATTGATTATCATTGCGGGTACATAAGTTTGGAGGTTGATTTACTGCCCAAACACTCAATTGTTGTTAGAAAAAATTGTGAAATAAATAAGTTTACAACGAAAGTCAACTCTCTGTACACCGAGCTAATTGAATATAGAAAAAAAATTTTTACTAAAAATTTTTTTGCTTACAATTAGACTCATCCCTTGGTGATGATTAATATGTTATCCAGGAATAATAAAAATTTGTCATTTCCGTCGCACTAACCGTCAAACTTCTCTAGATTCCAACCTGAATTTTGTATAATCCGCAAAACTTTGGGTCCTCAACTTTTTCCCCTACCTCACTTTTCGACTCGCTGTTTTCACATGATTGACACATATTTCCAGAATAATTGAAGAGCGTTTGCGAACTCGGCAAACAACAAAACCCCCTTTCAAATATCTTTTTTTTATTATTGTTCCATTTAGTTTCCCACGGCTTTCCGCACAAATCCCCGGGAAATCCTTCTCTTTCTGTTTAGGGCCCCACTAGTACTACATTTAATTTCCCATCGCGGTAATTCGATTTTAAATTTCGGACAAAAAATTTTCGCAAAAAATGGCATGATGTGGCCAGAGGGATGCGGTTCGTTTTTTAGGAGCCGCAGGGGTTTTTTAGGAAGAAAGTTTTTTTGCAAAATCTTTTTTTGTTAACGATCAACAAGCTTGGTATTAAACCAGCAATAAAATTAGATTATTTCGAGAAAGATTGAAGAGTTTTAGGTCGTGTTTTGAAGAAATCAACAATGTTTTTAGGTCATCAATGCACCGAAAATTGATAAACTTTACCGATATTTGTGATGACAAATTGATAATTCTCTCTGAATTGTAGCGTGGGACATCTCTGTAATTTTTTTCATCTCAAAATCCGCAGGGATCTGAAAATTTGTTTTTCTCTCCTCATTTTCCCTTTGAAAAAGCCTAGCTGAAATTTTTGGGACTTTCCGCATGGCCTAGGTTAACTAACCCCACCGTGTACGAACTGTTTTTTTCGATAAAGTTAGATTTTTAAACCAAAATTTTTTGTATAGTACTCTTACAGTAGAATCTCTGTATAATCAACTCCCATACGACAAAAACTGGTCTATAACGTACAACTTTTTGAAGCTCCAAGAGTCAGTTTTATGTCAAAAAATCCCCGTACAGGAAACCCCCTATATAAAAAAATTATTCCCACAAAATTTGCAAATTTGTTTTTCACAGATTAGACTGTATTCGCTCTTTTAAAATTTTTTATGTATGTGCTGTTTCAGCCAATCTCTGAACCATATATTTCTAATTAAGAGCCGACATAAAGCAAAGAAAAAGGAAGCCGATCGAAAAGAGAATTAAAACACCCCAAACAGACCAACTGACAAGATTATGCTGTCTCTAAATCTTCGAGTCTGACCTCCTCCTGACAACCTAATAATGTAATTCGCTCCACATGTAATGAGTGTCCCATGCAGTAAGTTGTAATCGCAATACTAAATTTTAAAGTAACAATCAATGTAAGATACGATCCATTCTTCATTTGGCTAGTTGTTGTAGACTAAAAAATTCAGGGAATGTCATAAGCTGCACTTCCAAAGAAAGATTTTTGAAGCTTCCCAAAAAATTTTTGTTTTTTAGAAGATCTGCCCATCGCTACGTATTTCCCTTACCTTACAAAATGAAGTAATTTTCAGCGCCTCCACCCCCAATTCACGGGTTCCGCGTTGTTGCGGCGGGCGAGCGCTTCGCCCGCCTTCAATGGGGCCACAAGAAGCCGTGGCGGACATATCAACCATATCACTACGAGATCGACTGGTGGTCCAGGGATTTCAAAACGAACTTTCTACCAACCCGGTTGATCTTACAATCGCCCACCAGGACCGCGATCTTATCAAATTTGGACACCAAAAGCAATTATAGCGCTCGGATCACAGCGAGAAGCGAATGTGGAGCCGCTGGGATTCCAAATCAACTTAACTTTGCTACTAGATCGCAAGGTACCACCAATTTTTTTCTAGTGAGATGCTGGAAGATCATGTTGCGTAATATCCCCATACTTTTTTCAGAGATCCACTCAGCCATCACACGGGTAATGCCTCATGAAGTCGTTCTAATAGCGCTCGTTTTGGTCATCTGGCTCGGAATTTTGTATCATTTCTTCAGGAAGTACGAGAAGATGACATTTGTCAGCCCAAATCGAGCATTTCAGGATAAAAAATACGACAAAGTCAGCGACGTTCATAGAGACAGGTAGGTAAATCATAGCTAATTTTTGACGCTAAAGTCTGTGTATTGTAGTAATATTGCTTTAGCGACGCTACGGCGAGATCGCGCAAGGTTTCCGAGCAATCCAAGAAGAGTATTTGCCAGTTCAATCTACTGGAAGACGTGGTCACAAATTGGAGAACCGAGACACTGTTTCATAATAAAAAAATTGCTCAATCCGATGTAACGTCGAGTGTAGATCATACGGATCAGGCGTCTCTGAGCACGGGGACGAATACGGAGAGGAAACGGTGAGTGTTTCTACTACAGTGGCGGACCTGATCCAGTGGCAAAAAACATGCCATTTTGCAGCCGGGAAGTATCAAAAAAATGCGGCAAAATACCTCCCTCTCCAAGTGAAAAAACTCCGATTTCAAAAGCACGCCCACTCTTTTTGTGAAGGAAAAGGCGCGCATTTCAAAACGGAGTTTTTTTAGTTCTAGAGGGAGGCATTTTGCCACATTTTTGATACTTCCTGGATGCAAAATGGCATGTTTTTTGCCACTGGATCAGGTCCCACACTGTACATGTTTCCAAAATTTTTCGATTTGTTTTATCTTCCGGCCAATACAAACTGAAAAAAAATACTTCAGCCGCAACTCCAACCTCACAGTCTTTGACGATCCCCAATGGTCCCATGATCATCAACAAAAGCTGAGTTCGGCGACAGTTCGTCCCTCCAACTCCCTGCCACTCTTTCAAAAACCTCTAACTCTCGACATCTCCCCAGAAAAGCGATATTACACTCCAATCGATGAAGAGCTCACTCCGCTGGCCCCGGGGACGTCTCCAGAGGGACGGGAAGACGATAGCGAGAGTTCGCTGGAGGTTGCCAGGAAATTGGCCAAGATCAGTGGAAATCTGAGGGACACCCTGGAACCGGAAGAACCTATGAAACGAAAGGTAGGGGTGCTTGTTATTCGTTAAGAAATTTTGCGTTTAGATCAGTGAAGTTTTGTTGGGAAAGGCAACAGTCGACATTCGAAGATGCTCGACTCTCTCAGCCTATGTTAGGCGGCCAAAGGCCACCAAGTTCGCGATGGTCCGGCGACAATCGCTCTTTGATAACCTTAGACGGTAAGTTGAGTAGGGCCGCGTTTCGTCTCAGGAGTATCGAATTTACGGCTTGTATTGTACTTACAAAAACAGCCGAACGGCTAGCCAAAGTGTTTATAAATCGGCCAAAAATCGAACCAAAGGCTTGTGATATTTCAGTCCAGCCCGTAGGCTAGTAATTTTGTAATCTCAACTACCTACCAATCCAACATTTTTCCTAGTCGTCTGAGGTTTGATGAGCAGACGAGCAGCCATAAATTCCCAAAAACGAAACATTGTTTTGCGCTTCAATGTCTATTCAAATGTTTCCAGAAGCATGAAAAGGCCGTTCGGCCGACAAAACACAACAACTGCACCGATGGCACCAGAAATTCCTTCGGTTCGAATGAGAGACAGAGGTCTTTTGAAAGTAGGTCATAAACCCACTTATTTCTTAATCAACTAAAATCTATTACAGTTTAAAGTCGGTGAAAGCACCTCTTATTCCTCGTCAATATCAGACCCTGTCTCCCGACCCGATTCGCTCTCCATCTCCTCAAGAAGTCGACCACAATTACAAAACCTGCGACTCAGCCAAGTTCAAAACGACTCTACGGAATCTTATTTTACGGCCTCGAGCGTGGTAATCAATATTGAGCCGGACGAAGGAGAGATTACTCCCAAAGCACCCAATCAGACCTAATTTTGGGGATGAAATTATGATGACGAGTCTTTTCACAGCATGCTGAACTCTTTTACCAGTGACCTCAATGCCTTTTCGAATGCAATAAACTCAAGTTTAAAATTTGAAATCTTCTATGCAAGCTTAAATTTTAGAAAATTTTGAGTGTAAATTTTCGTCAAGACCTCAAAGAAAAGCTCAAAATTCCCATCATTTCAAGATTTCTTCTCACTCGTGAACAGTCGCTCACAGAACGGGATTGATAGTTTCGTCCGAGAACAACGTAAGCACCGAGTGGAAATCGCATCCAATTTTCAGTGAACTCATCGATCAGAATGTTCAATAATACAACGGAGGACCCAACAAAGCAGCCGCAGAGCGGAGCCACCACCACGGAAGATGGAGGGGCCGCGCAAAACAACAACTACACGGAATCCGACGACCTCGAGAGTCTGCCTGGAGGCGCGAACTATGGGCCGGCGGCGAACGGACAGGCGTCGATTTATACGGTAAGGAGGGGAGTGGAGAAGCGTACTAGGCGGGCCAAAAAGTCTTGACATGTTTTCGCACCGTGCGGGCGCATGAATTCGGCGTTGCGACGAGGTATCGCGCAATAAAAAGTTTGCGGGGTGCGAATGAAGAACGCACTGTGCGTTGTTTACGCTTTTCAAAACAATCTTTTTGCACTGTGCGGGGTCGCATTGCACCGTAAATTTTTCTTGTGGCCGCGCGACAAATTTCATGCAGGATGGCGCACTGCACGTCAATCCAAAATAGAAGAAAAAATTTCCCGCCCTTTTTGGCGATTCGTTCAAAACGAAATGTCACTATCCAATAAAAAGCATTTTCTTATCTTTCTCCTTCCTTTTCGAAAAAAAGCAATTATTTCGGGCGAGAAAAAGTGCCGATGCGACATTTCGCATCTCTTTTAAATCAATGAAAACGACACGAAGTTTCGAAACGGTTCAGGAAATGCACAGGATTGACGTGCACTGTGCAGACATGCCAAGACTTTTTGGCCCGCCTAGCATGGGTTCTTGGGTTGATCACAACGCTTTTCCTTTCAGGGTCTCCGCAGCGACGAGCTGTTCCACGGCCCGATCCCCAAAGAAGACGTGTCCCCAATGCTCAAGAAAGACGGAGACTTCACTGTAGGCATTCTTCAGGCCGCAACGAAACGAGCAGTGGTCGTCTGGCTCAAATGGCAGAATGAGGTCAAATGCTTAGATTTCCTCATCAATGACGAGTTGAAAAGCTGCTCATTGGATGGGAAAAACTTCCAGCCAACAATTATGAAGACCGTCTTGTAAGGAAAAGAGTTTTGCAAGTCAATCCATTTCTTTCTCTCGAAAAGGAAGAAGAAAGATAAGAAAATTGGTTTTTATCGGATAGTGACATTTCGTTTTGAACGAATCACCAAAAAGGGGCGGGAAAATTTTTCTTCTATTTTGGATTGACGTGTTTTGGGGATAATTAGTTTAAAGTAATACCAAAACTTGATCCCACTTCAGCTTTCATTTGGGTGGTGTTTCCATCAACGCCAGCGACCCAACAGCCCCGAGATTGATTCGAGGAGTGAAAAGACAGAAGTGGGAACTGGATGGGAACAGTGTGACAACAGGAAAACAGATTGGCGAAGGAGCCTTCGGCCAAGTTTTCGTCGGAACGTTGTCTTATGGTGGGAGGGAAGTTCAAGTTGCCATCAAAGTTCCTCGAGAAAGTCCGGACAAGGAGAAAGAAAAGGATATTGTCAAGGAAGCGATGAATGAAGCGAGAATTCAACGAGAATATTATCATCAAAACATTGTCAGACTATATGGAGTGGTCCTTAATACCAAGCCGTTTGCTGTGAGTAAAAATATAACAGGTGAACAGTTGGACTAAAAATTAATTTCAGATCGTCTTGGAGTTTGTGGATGGTGGGAATCTGGAGTCGTATTTGAAGAAAACACAGCTTAAAGTCAATCTGAAACTGACCTATTGCTTCGATGTGGCGCTTGGAATGAAATATCTGCATAATATGCAGTGCCTGCATCGAGATATGGCCACTAGAAATTGTTTGGTCGACCCGAGGTACCCGTGCGTCAAGATCTCGGACTTTGGACTCTCAGCGAAAGGAAGTTCGATGGCCATGGACCGAAGTAAACCAGCGCCGGTTCGTTGGATGGCGCCGGAAGTGTTGAAGACGGCCAAGTATGCGACACCAGCCGATATTTGGAGCATGGGGTAGTTGAATTTTGGAAACTATTTGGTCGATTGGAACCTGTTGACTGGCGACCACAATTTTATTCATTTCAGAGTTCTTTTCTGGGAGATTTACGTGTCCTGTCAGGAATTGCCCTACAGCAATATGGATTTAAAACAAATCCAAAGCGAACTTCAGCATAATCCCAATTTCCATCCTCATTATGACACGAACACGACTCCTGCTGAATTGAAAAAAGTGTTTGAAAAAGTTTGGAATCATGATCCGAAAGCACGACCATCAGCCGCAGAGATTACAATGCAGCTGGCTGGCCACAGTATGAAGGAACGGTAAGGAAATTACGATTACTATTTGTTACTAGAACTGCAATCTTAATAATAATACTTGCGGTTGTTACCAAAAATACTACTATTACTTCTTACGTGTTAATAAAATTACCCCAAAATAATTCCGTTATTATTTTAGATATAACAATACAATGCCGATTTACCAAGAACTGGTTTGTCTAGACGAAGAACGTGCCAAAAATAAATCCATTAACACTTCCGGTAACACTAATATTTCCAATCATAACACAAGTCAACAAACTGAGAAGGGAAGGAAAACTCCGAAAGCAGGCACTCCAGCCAAGACGAACAAAGTGTCGGGTAGAGAGAAGTCGTTGAAGGAAAGAATTGAGCAACTTAGCAGAAAGAAAACCATGAGTAAAAAACCAAGAGGACGGAAAACCAAACGACCACAATAATATCAAAGCAATGGACTTTCAAGCTGTTTTTTAACCTTAAAAACCGACTGAAAAATGAATAAAACCGATGCTGTTTGATATTGAAATATGAGACTATAGTATAATACGCCAGTAAGCCGAATCTCAAAAAAAAAAAAAAGAGGCGCCAAAAAGGCTTCGTGGAAACTGGACAGAGTGAAACTCGACAGATTTTTTTCACTGCAAAAAATAATTATTTGATGATTCAATATTGACATTTCGTACGATTGCAGCGAAAATCTGTCCAATTTCACTTTGTCCAATTTCACTCTGTCCAACTTAGACATGGCTGGGGGGCCGGGCCGAAAATCGCGGCCCGGCCCGGGGGCCGGAAGAGGTCGGCCCGGCCCCGGCCCCCTTCAAATTTTCTCGGCCCGGCCCCCAGGGGCCGGGCCGGGCCGGGGGCCGACCGGGGGCCGAACTGTAAATATGAACAATGCATTCATTACGAGATATAACACATTTTTTTGGGGCTTTGGTAGTTCAGCCCCCCAGGAAAGGTAGTTCAAACAGCTGGGTGCGGCTGTCGCGCGCACCCTGACTTTTTTCGCACAGTGCAAACGCCAAGAGTCAGTCCGGCGACTTTCCTGAAGGACTAATAACTGCAACTGCACTGGATTGACGTGCTACACGATAAAAAAGGTCAAAAGTCATCTCAAATCTTGACAATCAACTGCACCGAAAAACCTCGATTTCAAACGTATCCAAAAGCCGTTAAAGTGTGCACAAGTAAGTTTATTCAAATCAATGTAACTTGTGGTTTTGGTGTGCGGAGATCAGGGGACGAATAGGGAGGGTTTACAAGCTGAAATTTAAAAGAATCAGACAGTAAAACTTGCCAAAAACAATTTCCAAGGGCAATCCAAAATAACCTCCCAATCATCATCTATTTTAGCCAAAATTAAATATCTCCTTGGTCTACAGTACTACCAAAACTAATACACAACTATTCTGTAAATCAACACAAAACCGCCTACCCCTTCTTTTCAAAGTCGCCGGGAACCGCCGTCCGCGTGGAGGTCTGTGGGGGAGGGTTGGCACTGCCGCCTTGACCGGCAAGTTCAGCCAACTTGTCCTTGTTCAAGTAGGCGTAAACACCAGCGCCGATGGCGAGAAGAACCAGCACAACCGCGAAGAAACCCATCGTCAACGTCAAATGTGGTGATTTTCCGGCTCATGTGGCTTTTATTCATTTTTCAAGCCTCTAAAATTATGCAAATTTTTTAAAAAATTTTGAAAAAATCCCAAAAAAATTATTGTTTTTTTTGTGGCTTAATCATGTTGGCGGTTCGAATTTTGTTGTTCTTGATGATTTGGAGTGCTTTTGCCCAACAAGAACGTAGGTTTTGGGAAGCCCACATTCGCAAAAAGCCGGCTACTGGAAGATTTGAACCGGTAGAAAATCATCCAAATGGCCAGTCGAGGAGCTGGAAATAGCTTTGGCTGTTTATGAGTTAAAACCTCATAAACGGCCAAAGCCATTTGGATGATTTTGCTACAAGTTCAAATCCCAAAGTAGACAACTTTTTGCCACCATGTGTCTTACGCAAGGCTTAAAATTTTCAGGGTGGTTCAGTCGGAGCTGCCAAACTTATTCCAAGTATTTCTCCGCCAATAATGCACGAATTTCTAACAGGGTCCCTCACATTTGGTGGACCAAAAATGGGGCACTTCAGCTTCAATTTGCTATAAGTTTTATAGAAATTGGTGCATTATTGGCGGAGAAATACTTGAAACAAGTTTGGAAGCTCCGGCCCTGTAAAGAAGTTTAAATATTTCGTTTTTTTTCAAGCGGGGACCTGCGATAAGATCTCATGCCACACTCAATGCAACCAATGCAAACAATATACGAGGAAGGGACTTTCATTTGGCTACTGTGACATGGACACCTGTTACTGTACCAACATTGACTTTTATGCCTATAATGCCTCGGCCGAAACTTCGTAAAATGAGTGTAAACTTTAATAATAAACTTTGTTGCATTATAATCTTTATACCTTCGATTTAAAAAATTGAGAAATCTACCACTTTTACGCTTAAAATTCTAGGTAAAATACGTAGGCTAACTCACGACTTTCTCTCCCGTATGATATATTTTTATTCAAATTCTCCATGCAAATTCATTTCGAGTTGTTTTACCGCGTTTCGACGAGAGAAGAGAGAGAGAGACAATATTACACCATTGAGCGCTGGTCTGAGACTCCAAAGGGCACAGTGAATACCGTGGAAGAGCAGTTAGATATGCCTATAGACTCGTTACAACCTTGGCTACAAATGAAGGTCGAGAATACCGCTAAATGGCTTTGTTTTTTACACCGTAAATCAATGATTTCTAGTAGGGGTTACGCCGTTTCTGGAAGATATAATGAAGACCGGATGGTGTTGGGAGGAATTACTGGCCAAAATTTGGGGAAAACTTGAGGGAAATAGTCCGTGTTATTGGTAGTTAGGACCAACAAAAAAGTCGCAAAAGTTATCCACAAACCCATTTTTTGGCATGAAATTTATCGAAACAAAATCGCATTTTTTCTCATGAAGACCTTTGCTGACATGAGGCAAATTTTTTTGCCAAATTGCCGTTTACAGAAACGCACATTTCCTCCCCAAACTCAACATTTTCCCCAAAAGTTTCGCCGCTAATTGTTTTCTGATTACCATTGGAAAGACAAAGAATAACTGTTTCCAAGACCCCACTAATCCTTCAGAACAGGATCAGGTTTGGGAATTCTGATTATGATTTCTTCGAAGACCTCCTTGTCCTTGAACCCTTTATCGATTCGGAAGAAGTTGAAGAGTACCCGTTGACAATCCAAAACCTTTTCAAAGTCAGTGTGTAGTTGAATCAGCCATGGAAGAATGTCATTCTCGCATTTCCGAAGCATCGCCGCCGCCATAATACACGCTAAAATTTTGGTGTGATATCGAAATTTGGCAGTGTAAATAATTTTTTTCATCGAAGGATCAAAAAAAAATAAAGATTTTTTGTTGGTATGAAACAAGTTGCAGAGGCCTCAATTATTGAATTTCATCACATTTAAACAACAACTTACCCAATGCTATCACAAACGGAGGGAATAACAGAACAGTATCGGTCCTATACGAATCGTTGATCAACATCCAAACATCGGAATGTAACTCGTCCACATTCCTCACTGATTGCTCTTTTAGATCCTAAACGACAACCCAATAATTCATGTTTCACCTAAACATCAAAAACAAAATAACAATGAAACTGACTTGGAATAAAACCTTCAGACTTCTGTAAGGATGCCAAACATATAGGGAACAATCGATTATCTGCAGCAACATGAACTCTGCCTCGTGGATGAACTGAGGTCTCAATGAAAATTCGGGTTTGGACGTGTATCGACGCACTAGAAGAAAATATAATTTTAGTTACCATCTTGTCTCTAAACTTTAAACTAAAAGGATACAATACTTACAATAGGAATTGATGAAATTGGCTATCCGCGTCGTAGACAGGATCATAAATTCCTCGGTCTTGGATGCAACAAAAACGCACGTCCCAGCCATCAGAATTGGATCGATATCCTTCAATGAACGTCTAAAACAATAAGGCCAATAAATAAAAAGCTCACCTAACATAAAACCGCCTAAAGTAAGTCATGGCCGTCGCTACAATCTGTTGTCTGAGCTTGTTATCTGCACCAACGGCTTGGATTACTGAAACAGACATAATTTTAGACATTAAAATTATATTATTACTATAAGCACAGAACATTCGACTGTTCTGCTAGAAAAGAACAAAAAGCCCTAAAAATTCAGAAGCAAAAAATAAAAGAGGCAACTCACAATTACAATAGAAGATCATAATCTTTTGGTACTCCTCTTCTCCAAAAATCTTCAAATCGTCTCCACGGTCTCGAGAAAGGTCGGCTCGCTCCAAAATCCATTCTTTACTAAAATACAAACCAAAGTAACCGGCCAAAACTTTTAAACGTACCAATGCGAGCTTTTCCAAAAATTCTCGGCCATGAAAACTACCCGGAACCCTGAAATCAACAAAAATTTCGATTCTGATGCCAAGTACAATATAATTTTCGTCGTTTTGTTGGTCAAATCGATAAAGGAGAATAAATAATGGGTGGAAAAACACCAGCTCCACTGGTTTGCGTTGAATTTTTTGTTCTTTTTGTCTAGACGTCTACAATTTTATTCTGCTTGCCACGGAACGCCAACACTTTTTTTGCATTTATTGTTTTCGTCGTAGAGCCCATTGTTTAGAGCAGCAAAACATTTGCATAAAATTGCATGCAAAGTGTTTTCGACACCTCTCTTTACAAGAATGCTTGTTTTGGTCACAGAATTCCCCCACACGTGGAGAACACGATGTTTTTCCTGATTCCAATTATTTTCGTCGTTCTTTTTGATGTTTGTCATGGATATGAGATCAGCGTTGAGCCGGGAGAAGTCCAATGTTTCTTCAATCGATTCAATAAGACCGATTACGTCAGCATCATCTATGAGGTGAGTTTTCACGGGTTTGGTGATCATCTTTTTTGGGTTTTCTCCAGGTCCATGATGGTGGTTATCTGGACATTTCTTTTTCTCTTCGTGATCCAAGAAACAAGACTTTGCATTCTGCAATCAACACTCACGAGAAGATGCTGATCAATGCGGACGAGACCGGGCCGTATGAAGTTTGTTTTGATAATGGTCCAGCAGTTAGTCAACAGATCAAGGATGTCATGTTCTTTTTTGAGATAGATCATTCCAAACGTATGGAATCCCTAAATCCTCTATTCGGAAATTCCAGTAAGTCCTTTCAATTTTATTCTTGCAAGTTTTAGGGCGTTTTTTACCTTCTTCAGCTTGATTTTCTTTTCTTTTAGCTGATGAAGAGCGTCTCGAAAACATGATCAATGAATTAGCATCAAATTTGAAGGCCTGCAGCCGGCGGAACATGTTGCTCGATATGCGTCAGAAGTATCACGTCCAATTGAGTAAAGCAATCGATGGAAAAATCGTGGCCTTTGCCTTTTTCCAAAGCGTTCTTGCAGGTTTTGGAAGTTGGCTTCAAGTTTACATGACTCAACGGTTGTTTGAGGTCAGGCTTTGCGTATGATTGATGGATGTTTCATTTAGAGATGTATTACATAACTGTTGGTGTAATAAAAGTTTTCAAAGAATTTTATGCATAATGTTATCCTTGATGGTTTTACCCAAATATTTATCCAATTTCGCTACCTTCGGAAGCCAAAAGCCCTCAATTTTCGGTCGATTAATTTCCTCAAAGTTTTCCTTTTTGATGGCCGTTAAAATACCGTTCCTAGTGCGAAGATGGGCGTTTTTTAAGTGGAGCCGACTCACTTTTTATGATCAAACAAATCATTTTCGGACTTTTTTGGTGGTCATTTGTGGAAACAAAAAAGTGACATTCGAAAAGACATGGTGTAGCGCTGCTCATAGGTTGTTTTTGTTCATTTTGGAGAGGTTTTTTGGTAACCTGAGGTAATGGTGAACATATAAATTATGTCAGAAATTGGTGAGTTTTGAGGTATATTAGTGGATCAAGACTTTTAAAACGAGCAATGAGCCTTAGTGCATGATTTTCTATTTTGTTCTGAACTATGTATGATCAAAAAAGTCATGTTAGAACCATTTTTCTTCCATCCAATCTACTACAATATAGATCGCCCAAACAAATCTGCCATTCATGGGTTCCCAAATTGCCGCTAAATGACTCTCTAACCTCTACATGACATTGACATCGTCTCCTTGTGATCCTCAAACAAATTAATCTCAATCTTTTTTCGGACCTTCTGTGTCATCCCCCTCCCTTCGAGGCGCTCCGTTGCCCGATCCCCCGTCGATTTTCGGCACCTCACCGTTCTCGGTCGTCCTTTTGTCGGCGGGCCGTTGTTATATGGTCGCGCATTTTGATTATGTCCGCGTTTTATTTTCCTTTGAGATATTAAAATCTCGGAAAATAATGGATTTCGCTGAGGGGCTACGGTAGTTTTGAGTGCATTTTTTGACGTCTGACACTGTTTTCGGATGAATTAGAAAACGTTTTCAAATATTTTAGGCTTTGTTTTAGTCCACTGGTCTTCGTTTGACTTATTTTTTCGCCCAAAATAATTAAAAGAACCAATATTTTAACAAAATGACCGTTCCGTTCCAGTAATTCGTCGGGCCCAATTGAATTTGCCTCCGGCAAACTCCCATTCTTTCTGGCTTCATTATCTTTTGTTGGTTATTATTTTGAGAGCCCCAATTTACATTAGACACAGAGCTATTTTGCCCGAGGACATCAGCCAACGGCGGTACTGTAGTTTAACAGGCCGGGCTTAATTGGATTTGGGGATATTTTGCTGATAGATCTCAGCCCTAAAATGGCCTTTTTTGACGTTTAAAGCCAAATGGGAAGAGCATTGACGGGTCACGCTATGTCCATCCACAGTATTTATATCTTGTGAAGGAGTGAGTAAGATATGTATTTAGAGATGTATTCTATAACTTACTGGCTACATTTAGACTTGGAGTCGTCCATTGTTTCGTTTGCTTTCTTGGTATTACTTTTACGATTAGGAGTGAGATTAATATAGAGGCGTTTTAACAGCATAAGAAATTGTGTTAGTACAGTATTTGTTACTTTTTTTAAAATTTTTTTTTTGGATTTGAACTTTGTAGATATTTTAATTCGAATCTTGAAGTCGAAATTGGAGTTAATTTTTTCTACTTACTATTAAAAAAGGCTAAGGATTAGTTGCTACTTGGTTTACAAGGTACTTTCTACTCGTGATGACCTCGTTTTGAGCCAATGTCCTTCCTAATTGCGAGATCCTGTAATTATAACGCTCAGTCAATGTCAGCCCCCTCATTTGTCTGCAGTCCAACTGTTTTTGTAACCTTTTTAAGGCTTATAAATTAGTGTTCGAAAATGACATGCCATCTTTTGTTTCATCGAGGTCGAATTACTCCCTCAAAAAACATTACATGGATTGGCTTGAATCAAGGTTAAACTGAGAACGGGACTTAGAGTAAAGTAAAGGCTGTTACGGTAGATATGAATAATTTTCTTGGGAGTGTTTGAGGTTTGGACTATTCGTTTGCGTTAAATTTTATTTGAAGATTCTTCGAAGGAATCTTTAAATGGAATTTAACGTGATTTTTCAGAACCATTTTTTTGACAAAGCAAGTGTCACAAAGGACTTGTACAAGCTATCCATCGTCAAATACCATATGCCATATACTATTCGAGAGCCCTTGAAAAGTTGTTCAAGGAGCCAACTTAACCATGTGCATGCACATGGTAAAGACCAAGGCAAAAGTTTTTTGAAACCTCCAAAAAATCGAGACTGTGCCTTCAAAGAAAACTCAATAATAACTTGTCATCAATTTTCCAAATCCTAAACGAAATTCTTACAGGGTGTTCAGAGAAATGTACCGAAATTTTTTGTCCATTTCTTGGCACTTCTTTCTGAAGAGGATGGGCGATTTTTTGCCTAATAAAACCATTTTCTCCGCCAATGCGGAAAGCATTTTATTCGGCGGAGACTTTTGATCGCTTTTTTGGTCATTACACTAATCGTAAACGTTTTAGTCTGATATCTGACGGTTGAAAAAAAGGATTTTTGCATACTTTTATGTTTATCAAGTGTTTGGCGGACGCTCGCAATATCGGCGGAGCACGTCAAGATTTTGCGCTCAAAGGGTTATGTATCAACACGAAAGTTGGCATTCTGTTTCCGCTTACGGAAGTGTCCAAAAAATCCGTCTCAATGACAGTTTTTTTGGACGAGGTCAGAGGAAAGGCGAAATATTGCGCAAAATGAAGAGATTTTCTATCTCGAAACTGGCTCATTTGATTTTTTTCGTTTTAGGCTCAAAAAATCCGCCTTGTTCCAGACTATGTTTCCACGAAACTTCAAATAGGGGCGAGGGAAAATCTTAGAGAAATCCTCGAAATCGCAACATTTTTTAGGCGTTGTTAGTTTAGGCTTCAAACAGATAGAAGACGACCGATTTTTTATATGAAATATATATGTTCAGGTTAAGCAGGAGCCCAGCTTCAAATTTATGTATGCAATAACCCCATTCTACCCCATCTTCATCGTGTAATCAGGCTATCTTTATCGCAAAAAATTGTCTTTGAGATCAAACAGAATGCCAAGAATTTTTCATTGCTTGAGCGCTTTTGTTTTATTTTTTCTTGACGTGCGGAGGCTTTAACTCAGCTGCGGACAAGAAATGGCCCAACAAAACTTCTATGCTCTGGCTAGCATTCCCTACTGGTATCGTATGCGCTTTCAAAATTTTGCCGCCAGTCCTTGTCTGAAGTACATGTATCGACGGCCCACTTGATGCACCAGAAAACAACAAAATATTTTTAGTCAAAATGTTTCTTTGCCTTGCTGTCGCTGAGCTCCTAGTCCATTGCGCAAAAAATTTGAAGGCTTTCCGGAATTCTCAGCGTCACAATAAAGCGTTAAAAATTCGTGTGATGACCAAAAAAAGCGTCCAAAAGTCTCCGCCGAATACACTGCCTTCCGCGTTGGCGGAGAAAATATTTTTACTAGGCGAAAAACCGCCCATCTTCTCATTTATCCTGGAAAAATAATTTTTTGGATGTCTTGACTGAGCGCCAAGAAATCAGCAAAAGTTTTGCGGCACATTTCTCGGAAACACTGTGTAAGGGAAGTGCCTCAAGTGCGACGCACGTTTTCTTTCAATTTTGCGCACGCATTGTGTATAGGCGACAAGTGTATATGTGCATTTTAATGCTTAAAAGCGTAATGTCATGTCTTGGAAAAAATAGTCTAAATTTGGGTCAAGTTTAACCGACATGTCAACTACCTTACTCTCTACAAAATTTCTCTTTTTTCCATCTCTTCGTAACACTGAGACGATAAAAGTCTAAATCCACGCACTGCCTTAATAGTACACAAAGTACAATCACACCAGGTTTTACAGTGCAACCCCCTCCACTTGTAGCTACAGTATAAACTTCTTTCGGCATGTGGTTTTGTTGAGATATGTAAATTACACTGTGCCCGACCTTCTGCATACCTGACTTTTAACAAATCCAATGTGTTGCAAAAACAATAGATTTCTGCGTATGGCATTACACTTGTACGGTGCTTTCGAAAAGAATTTGTAGCCAAAAAAGGAATCGATGCAAAGAGATTTTATCGGGGGATAATTGAAGAGGGGTGTGCGAAAACGGGGTGTATTTTTGTAGGTGAGGTTCTAATGGATTTTAGGAGAGTGTTGGCTAATATTTTTACGTACATTGGAACAAAAAAAACAACCTCAAGGACAAAAATTTTGTTGTTTGATGAAATTTGGCGCAATTCAAAATCATAGTATAGAATTTTTTCAAAGATATGCCACACTCTTGGAGTGCCAACCTTGATTGTAGACCTATGAATTTCCGAAAGTCATTTGATTTTCAAGAGAAATAGACGAAACCCAAAGTAATCACGCAGAAATTTCTTCCACTTTGTCCAAACCGTATGCAACGGCCTACTTTCAAGATTTCAAAACCGTATTTCTGATTTGCAAAAAGGGCATTTAATGTTTTGGAAGCTTCCAAATTTGTGTTGAGTTTAACCGACATATGGAAGCTTCCAAAACATTGAATGCCCCTCATGCAAGTCAGAAATACGGTTTTGAAATCTTGAAAGTAGGCCATTGCTTGCATACGGTTTGGACAAAGCGGAAGCAATTTCAGCGTGATTACTTTGGGTTTCGTCTATTTCTCTTGAAAATCAAATGACAAGTACGTATGTATAATACAAACCATAATATAAACTTTGTTTTACCCAAAGTTTATGCTCTACCACTTGTCGGAGTATGTACACAATGAGGTTGTATTCTCGCATTTGCTCAACAATCCAGATGCCTTAAAGGTTGATCGATTGTAGCTCTTGTACTCTAAGGCACTGTAAGGGCCTATTGTAAACAGACACGTATTCAGCTTTGATGTTTTACGAGTTGAATCTGGTCTCGGATGGCACGTGCATCGCAAAACGTCATCGTGGTTCTGAACCGAAATATATTTTGGACCGTATTTTAAGCCAACCAATCTCTGCTCACCTTTTCCCTTTTTTGCAAAAATAT